TTACCAAAGATTGACTGTCCAAATTTTACAATCAGCAGCTCATTATCTTAATAACACATAAAAATGATATTAGAAACAGAGGACGTTTCTGCTTCATCCAACACCATAAGGATTTTCAATTGATCTACACTTAAGTTATCACGGTTACTAATGCCTTGATAATATTCAAACAATAGACAAAATATGAAATCGGACAAAATCAAGTTTATGGCAACTGGTAGAAGATCACATTGGACAATGTCTAGGTCCCCCATCACCTGCACACGACTGGATGAAGTCCAGGTGAGCTATATTTTCTGGATCACTCACTTGTCAGATCTACAAATGTCGAGACTTTCAAGTTACCATTACTCTTCAGCGTTGTTTCAATCAGCATCAGAAACATGTGGTATCAGACGCATATGACCTTGGTAACATCACTATCTTCAGTACAAAATGTCCCCAAGTTTTTGAGTCCAATTTACAGTGACTTTCAAATAACTTGTAATAATGACAGTGTTCCTCACCCAACTCAACGAAGTCTCTTTCACTTTCCAACATTTCCCTAGATCTGTCCATCGCCTCATCACTATCCACATGTATTAACCCCACAGGCAACATTTTGCCCACTGCTCTCAGGACACAATCATCTAAAAACCAAATGCCCAGTACAGATATCTGCCCAAATGCCCAACGTCGATATCACTCTCCCCTTTACAGGGAACCAACCTTAGCACAAATCTCCATATGATTCCATCTTTTGATGCAATCCATTACAATTACCCAAACCGGTATCACATTCTCATCCCAAAAAGGATTCTATCTTAACACAAACTCTTCACAACTATCTCTCGCACAATTCCACTCTCCATAAAATCCCATCTTCGACACAATCACATCTTAACACAATCCAATACTTGACACAATCTAAAACTCGACACAATGAAATACTTGACCTAAGATGAAATCCAAACCTCAACACAATATAATTCTCAACATTCCATTCTCAACAAAATCCCTTCCTCCACATAATCCAGTTCTGGACCCATCCTATCTTTGACACAATCAATAACTCAACACAATGAAATACTTGACGCAATTCCTCCTAAGATGAAATTCAAACCTCAACACAATCCAACCTTCAACACAATCCAATTCTCAACACAATCCAACTCTTGATACAATCCAACTCTTGACACAATCAAATTCTTGACAGAATCCCATCCTCAACACAATCCAATTCTTGACCTAAAAAAAATCCAACTCTTGACAGAATCCCCTCCTCAACACAATCCAATTCTTGACAGAATCCCATCCTCAACACAATCCAATTTTTGACACTGTCCCATCCTCAACACAATCCAATACTCGACACAATCAAGAACTGGACACAATCAAATTCTCGACACAATCCCATCCTCAACACAATCCAATACTCAACACAATCAACTACTGGACACAATCCAATTCCCGACACCACCCCATCCTCTGAAGTTCCACACAATCGGGGACTACTATTCTGCACACAATACAATTATCATCATGAACAAAAACGGAAGGGTTCGCCCTACACAAAATGGGAATACTCACAATATTCCTAATACTGCTACTTGCCCTATTTCATTAACAATAAAATGGACAAACCTCATATGAAATGGTTAGGAATTGTGGTCACGTCCATAACAACTAGTTAAATCAGTAACATATGAGCTTCATAATTGATATGTCTAGTTTGTTGGTTACAAAAATAAACCATCTACACACTTTGTAGGGCAATATATATATTGTGGACATCTATCATCACAAATCACACACTCACTCTAATGATGGGATGAAAACATGTCAAATGTCTGACAATATCCAATCATCACAAACATGGTAACATCAGGATGATCAAAGCATTAAGTCCGCCAATGTCACCACTTGACAAGTCTGTATACACTACGTTCCTCCATCCCTTGTGAATACATACAACGGACATGTGGCGAGGCTCTAGTTTTAACCAACAAATGAAGCAAAGGCTTTGTTCCAGCAAGGGTGAATCAAGTGAGTTCTCAGAGCAACCAATGCTCAGAATACACCGCACACATACCATTGTGTCTCGCTGGACGACACACGTGCCACAGCTTTGCTTCAGATTCAGGCAAAGGGGAGGGCTCGTTTGATATTCTACCATGACATTTTAGAATCCTGTAACCTGATTGGTCTGCCATCAGTATTGAGTCTATGGCAGAATGGAGATAAATCTTCTGTTTTTTCAGTGGAGAGGTTTCAAACTTCGATTTGATACCTGTAAGTTTTTCAAATTTGAAACCTCACTTTTTCAGATTCAGTTGGAAATGAAATTTACAGGCATCAACTGTAGGTTCAACACCTCTAAATTGAAAACACACAAGGTTCATCAACTAATAATTTTACTGAAAAGATATGTGTCACAACTATTCATATGTATTCACATGTGATGGAGGAAGTTGATCTGTACAAAACCACGCAGTATTAACGATGTAAGTACGTCAAATTCTACAAGTACTTTGTGATATATATGCTATACTTACAGGCATAAACATAATGACCAAGAATTACTACAGAACACATGTCCAAAACTGTAAAAACAGCATATTCAAACCATCATAAAACCAAGTTAAAATTGTTGCCATTTACTCAAACATTCCAAGCTAATTTTAATTATGATGTTGTTTAAAGATTTCTGACGAACCAAAATGTTTGGCAGGTCGAAACAAAATAAAATCATTCTGTGTATCTGACTGACAAAGAACAAGCAAATATATTCCAACAGAAATACTTTGTCTCATTCTTCTGATAACCAAAAGATGTGATCTAAATCATGATTACATTATATGAGAATCATTGTTTTGTTTGTTATTTAACGATGCACTCCGCAATATTCCAACAGTCTGTAAATAAATCGAGTCTGGACCAGACAATCCCGCGTGATGAGCATCATGAACATCCTTCCATGTTGTTGAAATGACCCAAGTCACTAAGCCTGACCACCCGATGCATTCAGATGCCTCTTTCAACAAGAACAGGTAGCTGGGGATCTATATTCTTTACAGGGAATATCCATGGATTTGAGAATAAATCAGAGTCAGTGTCAGGGGAAACAACAGGAAAACAAGTACCTTGGCATTACAAACAAAAATGAAGTGTTTGCCAGGGCACCGTTCCACAAAGTGATCTTTGCACTATGATTGTCGTAAGTTTGGGAGTTACAAAGTTTAAACGCTAAGATCACTTTCTGGAACAAGGCCCTGGATGTCCTGAAACACCTGGTTCGGCTTCTTCTCACTTCATACGTCTTGGAGCAGTGACCTAAAATACCCTGTCACTAACAACAGTCAAAGAAGAGTTTACTGCAACTTTTCAAGGTGTCCCAAGGTTTGTTGTATAAAAACATCAGACACTGTTGTAAAGTTCATATTCCCTGAAGAACTAGTTCAGAGGCAGGTTCTAAGATCTGAATGAGTGAGTGAGTTGGGTTTAACGCGGCTTTTAACAGTATTCCAGTTATATCACGGCGTGTCAGCTTAATGTGGCATGCATGAGTATGCATGAGTATGCCGCTTTTAGCAATATTCAAGCAATATCAGGACGAGGAACACGGGTCTTCTGAAAGATGAGTGAGTGAGCGCTTAAACCATTGGGCTACTCCATTCCCAGTTATGAGGCATATTGTGGCTGATCTTACCATGGTAAGTTTACCAATTTTAGATTTTATAGGAATATCACCTCTATGAGGGTAAAATTGACCCGTACGATAGTAAAGTGTAAATGACTTCTTAAGATAAAGTGAGTGGATATCTGCCATGAATAAACAATTTTCCATACACAGGACTCCATAGACCTGACACGATTTTTCTTACAATTCTGTACCGCTTGCTTCACACATACCAACTGTTAGACAACTGGCTTGCTAACAAACTGGTATTTCCATACACATTACAACATCCAAGCAGGGGAAATAACTCTTCCACATCAGGTGACAACCAGTTACCTCCCTTGCAACCAGTTCCCTCCCCTTAATGATCTGTGATTACACCATAAAGAAGATTGTGTACATGCAAACAAGATGACTAGAATAACAGAAAAATACAAGACAAATATAATCAACAAAAACATTAACGACCAAAGCTTACAAAAAAGACTAACTGGAAGACAGGTAGAAGCTGTCGCAAACAAAAGTTGATGACAAGCATAAAATTAAACAAACAGAAAATGCAGTTTTTCATCATTTCGTTTAGATTTCTTATCAAAGACGATGGATTCTGCATCTAATTCTTGTACATCATGTATCACCCATTTTTTGCAGGATTTCAAGATCTCCCACAATATCAAATGATCAATGTCGGAAACAAGGTTAAATCACATGAAAGTTTATATCAATGTTTAATCCCAAATTGTTGAGATTATTACAAATGTATTACCCTTATACTGTTCCTAGCTGCCACCATTCATCAGGACACTACAGGTGCAGCATCCTGCGGCTGGGCAAGGAACACCTCAATGCAGAATGTCTAGTGCATAGAACAGCATGAATATATGGGCATCACAAAAGCATCCAATAAATAATGAATGGTTCTCAAAGTATGACAAACAGTGAAAAGAGCTGCACTGCTCATTGCTAAAGGTAAAAGCTATAATTAATAACATATCGCAATATCAATACATGCCTAAAAATAACATATAATAGGACTGTCAAAAACAACGAACTCAGCCCTATCAAAAGTCCAGATACAAAACATTTGGGAACAAAAACACTTATTGTAAAAACAATTACTTTCAAGTCTTGGAAGTGATACACATAAGGAGGAGAATGTATGGATGTCAACTTCTATTATGAGGAACACAACGTTTCAGAGTATATGCTTACTCCTTCATCACCTGATGAGTGAGTGAGTATGGTTTTACGCCGCTTTTAGCAATATTCCAGCAATATCACGGCAGGGGACACCGGAAATGGGCTTCACACAATGTACCCATGTCGGGAATCGAACCCGGGTCTTCGGCGTGACGAGCGAACGCTTTAACCACTAGGCTACCCGACCACCCCTCATCACCTGATGAAGGTGTAGGCATATACTCCGAAACATTGTGTTCCTCATAATAAAAAAGTCGACATCCATAACTTCTCTTCCCTAATAATTTTCAATACCTGATATATTGAGTTTTTTACAGCTGATTGAGTGAATGGGACTTTAGCTGGTTCTCATGCTGACACAAAAACACTCTCTACAGTGGAACCCAATTATTGAGGACACTCCTTTTGTGGACAATCAAGTGGGATAGAAAATGAGTTACTTTCCAGATCCTGAAACGCAGACTTATAAACAAAACAACATTCTGCTATAGTGGGGTGTCCAGATTAACAGGGTTATACTGTAAAGTTTGTCTTCATACAGTGTCATTATATTTCAACACATCGTAAAGCACTAATCTCACTAATATCGGATCTTTTTCTCTGATGAAACCCCTCCACTGGACGTCACATCAGCTTTACGATTTAATCAGTCAAAATTGAATATATTGGGAAGTTCCAAATGAAAAAAAACTTGCTATTATCTTCTTGTGAACATTTTATACATCCTGTCGCTTCTGAGCACCAAGTTCTGATTTTAATGTGACTGGTTAAGCACCAACAAAGAAATGACAACCATCCCTTGTTCTTGCTCATAGCAAAACATGAATATCTGTAACCATAGCAACTGACTAACAGAGACTTGGTTTAAAGTACTAGTTCAAAGTGTCTGTCATCCTCGCTTATCCAGGGTATGATATCTCCAACTTCTGATAAATACCCTGGGCCCATGCGCTACAATAATCAAGGTAGAGTGTGTGGCAATTGTTCATAGTCTGAGATATCTATTGTCACCGGTATCACACAGCACCGCCAGGGCACACAATGATTAAAATGTCATAAAACTGGAAGTTTCCTACACACACAGGATACTACGACAGTGTTTGAAATAAAAAAGATTGTCTGGCTGCCATAACGACCCACAAATCTTTAGAAGCTGCAACCCTGACCTAACTCTTCGGGCCCTGACTTAAAAAAAACAAAAAACTGCAGCTTAATGTGCTAAATACATCGACACGCAAATTTACTATAGGCCACAAGGACCCTTCAAATTTTAAAACCACGGCCCGACACGATATCTACCTGCCACAGGCCTACGGGCAGGCACTTATTTCGATCACTGTACTGAAACACTTTGAATCTCCATCTGATGTGAAACAGTTCTGAAACAATGGAACATATTTGGTTCTTAGACATGCCCCATCAGCAGAACCACACATTCATGACAAGGTCAGAAATTCCGACTCTTTGTTAAAATAGGCCATGGCCAGACAGTCGTCTTATAATTTGGCATGTTTGGTTTTAGTGCTACGTTAGGTTATACACATACACAACAGGCTATCAAAAGCTTATCATCTGAACCGTGGAACTGGTGCCACAACATTTGTATCTTTCGGTACAGGAATTACCCCTACCCTGCTGCCTGCCCGAACCAGTTTTCCCTGAATCAAGTTGGATTTCGAGCATTTTTAGGGGGTGGTTCTTTCTGCTGTTGTAGATTTTCTTGGTCAATGTCTAGCGGAGATGTCCTTTGCAATCAGTAGATTCATAATTGGACTTCTATCATTGATGTTAGTAACGAATGTAATGAAACACAGAAACACAAAAGTAGGTTTTGGTGTTAAAATAGGGACTGGTATGAGTGAGTGAGTGAGTGAGTGAGTGCGTGTTATCTTACTGTGGGGGGAAACCCTAAGTGATGCAGGTTTCAAACATTTACTACTTTGGTGAAACCCACGAGCACAGGTATGGTGCTGACAAACCTAGAAACATAATTGGGTGAATCAGGATTCGAACCCACAACCATAGGTTTCTGGCGTGTCCAAGGGATGCAACTCTGCACAGCCAATTACATCCCATAATAATTCTTGGTGACTATGAACAATATTGGTAGGCGTGTGAGATGGGCGGGTGACTGAAGGTGGATATACATGTAGAAATACTACAGAAATAAAACGGCTAAGCATTGGCTTCATGATTAAAAATGAACACCTTTTTCCTCTGAGGGTACAATAACAAGAAATAAATGCAATGGAATCTCGACCAAGCAACAAATACAAGATAACAACAATACTAAAAGCATTCCACAGTACAGTGGAATCTGTCATGACCAGACTTCCTTGGGACCAACAGGTATGTCTGGATTAGGCAGAGGTCTGGATTTGTGAGAAAATAGCGGGAGATAAAGAAATAGGATAATGTTGCAAGCTATATTCAGGGCAGTAAATGTGGTCTGGTATTGACAGAAGTCTGGATTAATCAGGGTCCTGTTTTTGCCAGAATCCTATGTACAGCCCATGCATCACTGGTTCTACCTGAAGCCAGCAGGTGAGCCGGTGTCCGGACCCCTTATGACAGTCAATGAACTGATATGATCGTAAGTATGAGTTACGACAGTCAATGAACTGAGATGATCGCATGTACGAGTTACGACAGTCAATGAACTGAGATGATCCTAAGTACGAGTTACGACAGTCAATGAACTGAGATGATCGCAAGTATGAGTTACGACAGTCAATGAACTGATATGATCGTAAGTATGAGTTAGGACAGTCAATGAACTGAGATGATCGTAAGTATGAGTTACGACAGTCAATGAACTGAGATGATCGCATGTACGAGTTACGACAGTCAATGAACTGATATGATCGTAAGTATGAGTTAGGACAGTCAATGAACTGAGATGATCGCAAGTACAAGGTACGACAGTCAATGAACTGAGATGATCGCAAGTATGAGTTATGACAGTCAATGATCTGATATGATCCTAAGTACGAGTTGCGACAGTCAATGATCTGAGATGATCGTAAGTATGAGTTACGACAGTCAATGAACTGAGGTGATCGTAAGTACGAGTTACGACCGTCAATGAACTGAGATGATCGCAAGTACAAGTTACAACAGTCAAAGAACTGAGATGATCGCAAGTACGAGTTACGCCAGTCAATGAACTGATATGATCATACGTACGAGTTCAAAAAGTCAATGAACTGAGATGATCGCAAGTAAGAGTTACAACAGTCAATGAACTGAGATGATCGTAAGCTTGAGTTACAACAGTCAATGAACTGAGATGAGATGATCATAAGTACGAATTACGACAGTCAATGAACTGATATGATCGTAAATACGCGATGCAACAGTCAATGAACTGAGATGTAAGTACAAGTTATGACAGTCGTAAGATCACTTTGTGGAACGGGACTTTCTGTTGGTGATTCATGCTCTGATTCATGGATGAGATGTACAAATCGGTTATATTGATCAATGAATACCCAGAGAAGACCCTGTAACTTGGGACACTGCCCTAAATCGTGGAACTATTCATATCAGAGGCACAAGCCGAGATTTATCTAGAGTTCCAAACTAAGTGCCCTATCATTTTGTAGGATTCTTTTAGAGTTCATATTTTCATAATTTCACAGGAATATTAACATCGCAATCAATGCAATAATGTAACTTAGGCATTGAAGCCTCTTAATTTATGGGTCCTTCAGTGAAATACATGTCACCTCGACAAAGCCATCACGTTATAACCATACTAACAGGAATTGGGAATTTTAATATTTCCCACTCTGGAAGTTTTAGCAACATTCGCTGCAGACTTGGGGCCAATACTAGGCCTCCAGGTAAACCCCTGCACTATATATACAGTCAACTGTTCCTTGAACACTTGGAGACTACTGCTTGTCCTCTCAGCATAGACATGCACCTGACAAAGCCTCGAAACGTTGTGTATATATACAGACGTCCCATCCTAATATCCTGAACTCATGAACCACAAACTTCTCAGCATCTACCAAAGACCTTTTCATGTCAGTGTTAGAAATCAAAAGTGTCTTTGTAAAGTACTGTACAAAGATGTATTTTCACCCCAGAAACCCCAAACTTCTTTAATTTCATATGCTTTCCATGTTCAAAATTACACATTGCACTTAAATTCTCATTCTATGGATTTCAGTTGGCTAGCAGTGAAGTAACTGCTCGTATTTCCCGCTATGAATAAGGTCTGGATTGACAACATTGCAGGAATAAGATATTTCTGATCATAAAAAAACCTTTTTGTTATGGCTTGATAATGTAAGTAATCGAGCTGTCACTGGATTTTCATTGATTGGCAGAAGAATGCTGACTTAGCATAATGTCGGTAATATCCGAACTGTTTAAGGATTCAAACTATTGGTCATATGACTGTATGAAAGACTGAAAGTACAGAGCCTGTCTAGCATCAGTGGGGCTTGGTCCGGAAGCGGAGGACCCAGTAGCCAACGATCCGGAACATGATGGTGAAAATAAGTAGTGCCAGCACATACAGGTACATTGGCAGCTTTGTGCCTGAGTCTATCAACAACATCTCAGCTGTGATGAACTCGGTTCCATTCTGGCCACATCTGGGGTACTCTGTGACTGTCACATTGGCACATCTGAAACATTGGAATATAGCTGTGAGTGGTAGGGTGTGTGAGAGTCATGTATATTTTAGGACACTGAAAGAGGTACTCATGGACTTGTTTGTTTGATTGCTGTTTAACACTATTCTAGCCTGGATCTTCACGGATTGGTACTCATGGAGTGTGTGGAGAGTCAGATATCTGCATACATGGGGCACGGAGAGAGGTACTCCCGGAATGGGTGGGGTGTCGGAGAGCTCCAGGATACACAGGGCACAGAGAGAGGTACTGATGGAATGGTTGGGGTGTCGGAGAACTCCATTATAGACAGAGCACTGAGAGAGGTACTCACGGAATGGGTGGGGTGTCGGAGAACTCCAGGATACACAGGGCACTGAGAGAGGTACTCACGGAATGGGTGGGGTGTCGGAGAGCTCCAGGATACACAGGGCACAGAGAGAGGTACTCACGGAATGGGTGGGGTGTCGGAGAACTCCAGGATACACACAGCACTGAGAGAGGTACTCACGGAATGGGTGGGGTGTCGGAGAGCTCCAGGATACACAGGGCACAGAGAGAGAGGTACTCACGGAATGGGTGGGGTGTCGGAGAACTCCATTATAGACAGAGCACTGAGAGAGGTACTCACGGAATGGGTGGGGTGTCGGAGAACTCCAGGATACACAGGGTACTGAGAGAGGTACTCACGGAATGGGTGGGGTGTCGGAGAGCTCCAGGATACACAGGGCACAGAGAGAGGTACTGATGGAATGGTTGGGGTGTCGGAGAACTCCATTATAGACAGAGCACTGAGAGAGGTACTCACGGAATGGGTGGGGTGTCGGAGAGCTCCAGGATACACAGGGCACAGACAGAGGTACTCACGGAATGGGTGGGGTGTCGGAGAGCTCCAGGATAGACACAGCACTGAGAGAGGTACTCACGGAATGGGTGGGGTGTCGGAGAGCTCCAGGATACACACAGCACTGAGAGAGGTACTCACGGAATGGGTGGGGTGTCGGAGAACTCCAGGATACACACAGCACTGAGAGAGGTACTCACGGAATTGGTGGGGTGTCGGAGAACTCCAGGATACACAGGGTACTGAGAGAGGAACACAGAATGGGTGGGGTGTCGGAGAACTCCAGTATACACAGGGCACAGAGAGAGGTACTCACGGAATGGGTGGGGTGTCGGAGAACTCCATTATAGACAGAGCACTGAGAGAGGTACTCACGGAATGGGTGGGGTGTCGGAGAACTCCAGGATACACAGGGTACTGAGAGAGGTACTCACGGAATGGGTGGGGTGTCGGAGAGCTCCAGGATACACAGGGCACAGAGAGAGGTACTGATGGAATGGTTGGGGTGTCGGAGAACTCCAGGATACACAGGGTACTGAGAGAGGTACTCACGGAATGGGTGGGGTGTCGGAGAACTCCAGGATACACAGAGCACAGAGAGAGGTACTCACGGAATGGGTGGGGTGTCGGAGAACTCCAGTATACACACAGCACTGAAGGGATGGCTGAAGATGGAGACGTATCTGGCCCAGAACAACCAGGGTGGAAACTGAGTGGTGTAGAAACCTCCTGAAACAGACAAGTTCATGCACTTCTAATAAAACCTACACTGTATTTAGGGCTATAGCATTTAAGTAAGCACTGGTAAGGGCTGAGGAAAATAATATGGTTCAGGGACTGTAAGACAGGCTAGGATCAGGATTTGTTTTTTGTTTGTTGTTTCACGCCACACTCAGCAATATTCCAGTTATATGATGGCGGTCTGTAAATAATCAAGTCTGGACCAGACCATCCAGTGATTGACATCATGAGCTTCGATCCACGCAATTTGGATACGATGACATGTATCAACCAAGTCAGCCAGCCTGACCACACAATCCTGTTAGTTGCCTCTTACGACAAACATAGACCGCCTTTTATTTAGTATCAGTGAGTGGTTGGTGTAACACCACTTTGAACAGTATTTCAGTTATATCACTGTGAGCCTGATGAGAGAGGAAAGCCCACTGTTGGCAGGGAGCAGACAAACCTAGAAACATAATCAGGGCAATTCTTGGGAGTCAAACCAATGATGACAGGTTTCTAGCAAGCCAATGCACATAAAACTGTGACATGGACAATGACTGGGCCACCCGTGACCACTTAACCACACAAACATATCCAATAATAAACAATGTTGAATCCACCTTATGAAGTCAAATACTAAAAGGATGTACTAAAATACAATCACAATGACCACAATAATGCAAGATAATAAAGTTGTTAAATCACTTTCCTAGCTCCTGGGAGAATTCCCTATTTATCATTGTTAGACCTTGTATAAACAATGGGTTGATGGCTTGCAAAAGTGTGCCTGCGTGCGTGTGTGTGCCTGCGTGCGTGTGTGTGCCTGCGTGCGTGTGTGTGCCTTACACCAGGAACTGAATGGAAACACTGACACTAATGCAAAGCCATGGATAAGCAGCGTATTTGAATAAAATTAACTTGCGTACAGAAATGCATGTATTTTATGAAAAACTCAAATGTATAAAAACAGCACTGGTAAATACCCAATGAAACGAGCAAATTTTCTTTCCGAGTTAAACATATATTTAGAACCATTATATACATCTAAAACCATATTTTATTTTATTTTAAATCTCAAAATGTTTACTCATTTTGGGAAGACCCAAAAGAGTGATGAATAGATGAGTGAAAAAATATTGCTTACCCAATGAAAAATGTAATAAACCAATTAAATAGAAACCGTCGAGTACAAAGTTAAGTTTTAAAAAAAAGGTATCTGGAGCTCTGCAACTGGTGTATGACAACATGCAATCAGCTGTCACCGAGACTGAGCACTGATCCATGTTTGTCTACTTTAACACCAAGCATAAGTTGCTGGGAAACAATTCCATCCCACTCAAATAATAAGCCCTTGCTTGTTCCACCAACAGTTACATGGGAATTGTTGGTACAATATCATTGATATCAGCACCCTGCTTGTCTTCAAGACCCGTAAACATCCGGGGTAGAATAGGTCTTCAGCAACCCATGCTTGCCGTAAAAGGAGGCCATTCTTGCCGGAACAGGCGACTAACAGGATCGTGTGGTCAGTCTTGCTGACTTGGTTTATGCATGTCATCGTATCCCAATTGCATGGATCAATGCTCAAGTCTATCACCGGATTGTATGGTCCAAACTCGATTATTTACAGACCACCTTCATAGCTGGAATATTGCTGAGTGCGGCGTTAAACAACAAACAAACAAAGCTTGTCTTCAACAATATACATAGGGAGATTTTGTTGGATTGTTTGCGTCCTTGTTCTTTAACGCCACTCTCAGCAATATTCCAAATATATATGGCAGTCTATAAATAATGCCTTCTGGACCAGACAATCCAGTGATATATCGTGACGGCCAGGCCACACCATCAGGGTCAGTACGACAAGCATGAGTTGCTGGGGACCAAATCTAACCTGGAATCCAAGGGTGTATCATTTGTAACACTAAACATGAACATTCCCTGACCTGTGAGAAGCAACAAGTCAGTGTGATGGAGATGGTTTATGGTGGTAGCCATTTTTACCTAGGAGCAGCATTGTGAGCATGGAGGTCGACGTGAAGGTCAAGGCCAGTTGCATGTTCCAGATCCACGCACCAATTAACAGACCAATTCCCTGGAAAAAAAAAGCATCCAAATCACACACACAGAATCTTGTGTTTGTTGATGCTTTAATGGCGGCCTGTAAGTAAGCATGGAGAAGACGCACAAGTCATTGATGTAATGAGTGATATCCCAGTCTCTGTACCGCCCAATCCATTGGAAGATTTCTTATAAACCAATGTACAAAACTTTCATCAAAGAATAAAAAAGTGTGTCCAATAAAACCTTAACCCCTGGTATATCCTACATCAGCTAGCAACCAGCAAAGTACATTATCCACAAGTTGGTACAATTTTGAACATTTTGATTTTTTCTGCGCCTCAAGTGCACTGTCATAAAATGACTAGTTCCTTAAATAGTTTTGTCTTAAAAATAATGATATATCAGAGTGAGTGAGTGAGTGAGTGAGTATGGTTTTACGCCGCTTCTAGCAATATTCCAGCAATATCACGGCGGGGGACACCAGAAATGGGCTTCAACATTGTACCCATGCCGGGAATCGAACCCGAGTCTTCGACGTGACGAGCGAACACTTTAACCACTAGGCTACCCAACCGCCCCAATGGTGTATCAGAAACTTTGAACCAAAATGTCGATGTATATAAGAGGGTATGTCTGTGATAATTGTTACCCTTGCTTACAGATTCTTGCCATTTAAGGATTGACTGTGTATCTTTTTCGGTTCATTGAGGTATGAATCGGAAAACAGATGTGCAAACTGTGCAGTCTGTAACGAACCGGAAGAAATATGTCCGGCAGAAAGCGGCTGTTTCAAATAACATGGTCAGTTACCGCCAGATTCAAACATTACTTCCCTGATTACGGTAAAACAAAGTTGGAAAAATGCTAGTTAGAAATGAAACCCGAAGACATGAAAGTTGAACGGAAGCAAGCGGGGAAAAAAACAGGTGAGGGAGCCTGCACGTTTGCTGTTTCATTCATTCTCGGCCTTCAGTTTCAAAGGGTAGTTTGGACAATGAATATGCATGAAAGTCGCTAAATGTCCTGTGCATGACGATACACGTGAGCAGAAAGGGAATTCCCTCGACTGTAATATTGGGATTCCCCGACATTCCGCAGTAATAAAAGTAGTGCACCTCGGTGGGCGTGGCTTAATTTTTTACATTCATTGGGAAATGAATGCAATAACACGTGACCAATTCAGCTAATCAGAATGCAGGAATTTCAATGAACACAACCAAAATTTTATTATAATAGTTGTAAAACTAATTTATTGATTTTACCTACTGACAAAATACTATCTACTGACCACATCATATAAATATTGTCATACAGGATATTTATTTTTCATTTCAGCCAGCAATAAAATCTGTAAACCAACTATTAAAAACTTAATGGCTTATCAGAATAAGATTCTCATGGCTTTCAAATGCTTATTTCTCAAGAATGGAAGTTGACTAGACACTTTCTAGGATTGAGAAACAATATCTGTACCTGTCCATTCAGTGCATTAAGAATGATGATGCCCATTGTTGCGAAGAACTCGGCCACGCCCTTCATCCCCGCCATCCAGTAGATGATGGTGGTGGCCACGGACGGCAGGATAATGACAAGTGGCAACTCACTGGTCATCTTGGCCAGGTAGTACGCTGACAGTCGATACGACCCCGCTGCCCTCTCCTTCAGGATGATTGGCCGCTCGGAAGGGACTGTACACACAAATAGATTTATTTTGCAAACTGTTTCAAATACAACTGGGAACACCTTGTAACACAAGGACTTATCTCCCCTATTTTAATACGCAGGAAAATACATTCTAGCTGAGATCTCATTTACAGTCTTCCGATTTGATTAATGGAAGGCTCAATACTGCAATTTCAAAATATCAGTCAGGGCCCACTTGCACAAAGCCATCTTAGTGCTAAGATCATCGTAACTTCCATACTTTAGCATAGGGTTACAATAGTCTTAGCGCTAAGATCGTTAGTGCAAGTTGGCCCAGTTCTTGTTTTGAAGAGTCATTCTAATTGCTTATTGATTGCAAGTTCATTAGCATAAGAAATTCTGTGGTGAGTTGGTGATTAAACATGTTAAAGAGATGGCGACATCAAAAGAAGCTATGGTCGTGAATGGGTTCATCAAAACAGAAGGGACATGTAAACACATTGGAATATCTAGGATCCTAAGGCCGAGAACGTTTGGAATCCCCCTTATCCTGACGTGTCTTGTTTTCTGGTCTGTCATAGAGTATTTACATTTTTTAACGTAGGTATGTCTCAAATCTTAGATATTTAATCAAACTGTCCAAATAAAGGAAGAGGAGTGAGCATTTTATTGTGCTAGACACAATTGATAACAATCACACCAAATTCACACCTTACTGTTGAGGCATACTGTATCATGCTGTATGGAGATTAGATATATCTTTTTTCAGCTGCAGCTACAACACCAGATACTTTTTTAATTAAAACTCTTCTAAGAAAAACAACCTGAAACAATGTAATTTTTGTGGCAGACAATTTCTTTTGTTTTAAACAATGTGAAGCATAATCATGAATAACTAGTTTTTTCAATAATTTTCTGGGACAAATTTTTTTTTTTAATAAAATCCCAGGTGCTCCTCCCCCAGAATATCAAATGGTCGGTCCTTTAGAATTTTCAGTGAAATACAATTTGCAACACCAGCTGCTGTTGTTGATAGGTAACCAATGGACACAGACATTATAATGAACCACATCCTTACATGATGTTATCCCGTCAAACACAGGCGACAATCCCCAGAATATCACAGTGAAGAAAATCTGAAAAATGAGATGTGGATTATGTGAACAGCAGGCGAAGGAAGGGGTATTGTCAGCAATAGATGCTGATCCAGCTCCAGGTCATGAAGAACAGATCTTTTACGCCATAACAATACCCCTGAGTGAGTGAGTGAGTTGGGTTTAATGCAGCTTTCACAGTATTCTACCACGTGTCAGCTTAATGTGGGAGGAAAGCCTGAAGTGATGCAGATCTATGAAGGGTGTGTCAGAGGACTATCCAGAGATTAATCTTGCTGCTTATCACACAGGTTTTATTACAAAATATATCTTGATTATCGATCAGATCGGTGTGACTGGGGACCGCCATTTTGTTTGAAGCAAATGCAAGTGATATGAGAGATGGATTGTGATTGTTCAATAGGAGAGACATCAAAGGGACATAACTCTTAAAAGCCACTGGATATGAAGCTATGATGGCAAAAGGGTCCAGGGCTGAGTCCTAATAGCATCCAGTTCACTACCCTGACTCATCAAGGATGATACTGGCCAACCTTACCATGCCCATCCTATCACGGATGATACTGGCCAACCTTACCATGCCCATCCTATCACGGATGATACTGGCCAACCTTACCATGCCCATCCTATCACGGATGGTCTTGTGAGTGCGCTCCATCTGGAACCACAGCAACCCCACCACTATGGCCAGGACCAAGGCATTGGAGATGGCGTACTTGGACAGGATGCGGCCCCGAGATTGCTTGAATGTCCGCCAGTTGAGCATTTTATACTGAGTCCAGAAACATGTTGGCCACCGGGACATACTTTCAGGGGAGAAAACATCAGTTTTAACACATTCCACATCAACACCATCTTCCAGATCTGAAACAGAAAATCACACCACACCAGATTATATTTGTTGTTCTACTTTAGACACAAAACCTACTCACAACTTTCTCAAACATTTGGAGTCTTTGTTCTAATCAAGCATGTTAAGTCACTCAACTTCATAAAGAACAAATCGAAAAGAATAATCTGTGGAAACGATGTTTGCAATGTGAGGAAATGCATTTGGAGAGAATTTAGGAGTATGGCCAAGTTCAAAGATTAAACATAATTGCTGGAACCAACTACTAACTACAAATATACTAAGTTTCATAACACTTGAATGAAAAGGGACGAGTGATAGCCATTTATCTGATTTTTCAATATGTCTGCTGAATGGCGGTATTCAAATCAGAAATTTGAACCTCTTAAACAAATTTTGGTGACATCATTGGTGGGAACAAGCTTTTGAAGGTTCAGCTTCATTGATCCAATTGAGCTACATTGAAAGATTAGGGAAATTCCAGCCTCGTTCTGCAGTCAGTTAATTTCCTTGCCTCAGGAAAATGATCTTCTAGTCTTTAATAAACTCCTGGCTCCATGCAGGACATCAGTCGACCCATGGAGATGCGGGGTAAAATAGGTCTTCAGCATCCCATGTTTGCCCTAAAAGGCAACTATGATTGTCGTACGAGGCGAAAGGAATCAGGTGGTCAGCCTCGCTGACTTGGTTGATGCATGTCATCGTATTCCAATTGCATGGATCAATGCTCATGGTGTCAATCACTGGATTGTCTGGTTCAGGCTCAATTAGTTACAGACCGCCGTCATATAGCTGGAATATTGCTGAGTGCAAACAAACAAACAAACAAAAGGATGTCAGTCATCAACCTTGTATTAGCTGTAGTTCACCTCTCTTTGTGTAGTTGATGGCGACGCAGGCAGACTTGGTGACATCATGTGTGTTTCCCCCGGGAATAAAGCCATTCTGGGGCTCTGAGTTGTCCGCCTCAAACTCGTACAACATGGACGGAGAGTCAGCACCGCTGGTTTTGTTCCTGTCATTGGTATTCCATCTTAGTTCTAATGGCCAGTCCTCTGTGAACCTGTGACATGAACGTACCTTGAGTTTAGCCACTACCACCCACGACAGGACCTGAGTCTCTGTCCACAGCTCAGGCACAAACTTCATTCAGCAAAATCAACTTTGTTTATACCGTATTCGACGTAATAAGCACCCCACTCTAATAAGCGCCCACGGCGATATTTGCTAATATATTGGCTAGTGAACAATCCCAATTAGTACGCTTTCGATTGATAAATGTACATGACTTATTTATTTGTCTATAATACGCACTCGTGTTTCAGGCTGTCAGTATAAACCACGACATTTACGATCTTTCAACTCTGTTTCTTTTCTCACCAAAATAATAGTCTAATAAGAGCCCCCTATTTCTAATTTTGAGAGCGCCCTGGGCCCTTATTACATTGAATACGGTAATATAAGTTGTAGCAGTATCACGAGGGGTACATGTGGATTTATGTGTCCCGAGTTATGTTTTATACCATGAGCCGGAGCAAGTGGTATAAAACCTAATTAGGGATGCACAAAACCCCATGTAGCCCTAGTGATCCCGCTACATAAATTTATCTAACAGACATGTTTCAATCTGACACTGTAAAAGAATCAAAACAAATTCAAATTTGATAGGAAGTAGCTGTTAGATTGAGCTTAGGTTAACTTGTGATGTGTCACGTGACTTTCACTGACCCAGAATAGGCGTTCAGCTTTTGGTGTGTGGAATGGGCCTGGTCAGTCTGTTGACCCCAGGTTGAGTGAGTGAGTGAGTACGGTTTTACGCCGCTTTTAGCAATATTCCAGCAATATCACGGCGGGGGACACCAGAAATGGGCTTCACACATTGTACCCATGTCGGGAATCGAACCTGGGTTTTCGGCGTGACGAGCGAACGCTTTAACCACTAGGCTACCCGACCGCCCCTGACCCCAGGGTGACAAATGTCCCAACATGAAAGTGAGTGTCTTTATTGCAGGTTGTTATGACGACTGACCTACACAAGTGTAAATATTGGCCTGGCAGTGTCACTTGACTTTAGACCCAAGTCTGGCAGTGCTGGTGTGACTTCAGACACGACCAATGGAGCATGATAACTGACTCTGACACTTTTCCAACACAATGCAGACGATCTAACATGCAACCATTAAATGTTTGTTTGTTGGATCACAGATACTTTCCTCCCCAAACCCCAGTACACCTAACGTACGTGACACGCGTCTTGTTTCATAGCATCCTACATCTGTCTTGTGATCTAAAGTGTAATCAACTGTTACCATGGTTACCTACCTCTTGTTCTCTGCTGCTTTCAGGATGGTCTGCAATGTTGCTTCGTCCTTCTTCACCGTCTCCACTGAAACCATGGCAACAAGAGTGTGGATTTAGTAGTATCAACATTCGTGATGGAAAATCGGACAACTACACGATAGATAAGGATTCAAACACGTAATAAAAAATATAAAATAAATATTCATATTGTTATGTTACATTGTTGGTGGGATATGTTTTCTGATCATGCAACTTCTAGAGTTTAACACAAAACTGTTACGGACTGTATGACCGATTCAAAATACTTTAAAAAGCATAGCCTGGAATGGAAGTCGCAAATTTGAAACTGGTACCCGAAGCTTAAGAAAGCTGCTTTCTAAGTGGCTAACGTCGACTTCCTGTTGGTCATTTCATTGGTAGGTTGATTAATGAGTGATTTCGGTAATTGGTTGCAAATTAGGTGTGTCGGAGTCGGAGTGCAAGACTGTCGGACTAACGGGTCTAAATAGCACTGATTTAATCAGTTCCCATCATTAGTGTCGGATAAAGCCGATTGTCGGATTAACGAGTGTCGGATTAACGAGACTTGACTGTATATTGATACAATTGACAACAATAAATAGACACAGGCTTTGTTCCACATCTGACATTTGACGTTTGAACACTGTTAAGCCAAGAAAATTAAAGGATAATCTTTATCAGAGTGCAAAGTTGTCTTTTGTTTTGACTAATGATCTGTAACCTTAGGTTCCGGGTACTCTACCCTTCTACCTATGGTCACTTCTACTTATCAACTACTCCTTGGTTCTAGGGATGATGTAGCTATCTCAAAATCACAAGTCAGATGGTTTGCTCCAGTCCTTTTTATTTATGATAGAATCAATCATAAATATGTACACATGGTCTTCAGATATGTTCTTGTTGTTGCCTGATATAAATACAACACATACCTAGATGATGGTTGAAGAGCCTGATGGTTTTTCTGATGAACGTTAACTCTACTTCTTTTCTGACTCGGGATCCCAAAACCACAGTGAACCTTTCTGTTCAGCTGTATGCTCCCGACTCCCCACACCACTCCCGGACAACTAACAAAATACTATCGATGATAATTTTAGCTCCTCCCTCCAAAATCACATTTGACATCATGAGAAATGAGTCATAATGGTCATTCCCCAATTTCCATAGTAATTAGTTTTACCATCAAGCTTTTCGAACTAACCAATTTGATTACCTCTTTAAGTCATTGGTCAACTTGGACATACTCATCTTATCAAATTCCCTCAGCTACTTCTGACAGACTGGAAGACGCCGAAAAGATACTTATTCATGTTATTTAGACATTCCAATCAGGCAGTAGTACTCAGAAATGTTTGATCACCACAAGTCTAACCATTTTGTTCCATCTATCTATCTCCCTTCTGACATTCCCATTTCAAGACCAATTCTACTAATTCATTGTACATTGTACTAATGAAAAGTTTATACTCTATCACTTAAGAGAAGCAAAACCCATAATCACTTGCCCCAGGGGTGATGCCTCACACTGCTCAATCACTTCTCTCATATGGTCTATATGTTACCCAAAAGCTTAGTTTAGTTAACTACATTTTAAGTAAATACCAAAAACCCTTTCTCTAAAATACCCTGGTTATAGATCCCCCATGAGTAATTACATATAAAGTCAGCTGGGTTGTAGTGTGGCTCACACATCAGACCAACTCCTTCAAAGAAATCTAGAGTCTTCTCAGCAGCACCAAAATAGGCAACCTGAAAGATGAAACAATCCCATTGTAGTAACTAGGTGAGAAAGTCACATCACACGTTCTAGAGGACCTGCACATGCTCAAGAAGAAGACACATCAGTACTTTACAATAACCACTTTATTTGTTACCATGGTTACTGTGTGGTGCGGCTTAAATCGAGTGAGTGGGATTAGGCGCTTTTCTAACAGTAATCAAGTCATATCGAGATACGTCAGCTGGATGTTGAGGGAACTGAGATAAGTGACCACAGGGGTAGCTTACTAAAACCATACACAAGTGGGTACAGGGCACTTAATACAGCGAATACGATACATGCACTTTGCTTCCTGCAAATACTCTACGCGCACAAATTATCCCTAAACCAGCAGTCACTCACACTGATCCCAACATAGATGTTTACCACTTCGGTGAAACCCACGACAATGGGTATTGTGCTGACAAACATAGAAACATAATCGGGATTCAAACCCATGATTGTAGTTTCTTGCATGTCCCAGGGACGCAACCCTCCTCAGTGAATTGCGGCACCTTAGACAACTGGGCCACCTGTGCCCTCCATTGACCCCAGGAGAAACCACTTAAGGTATTCATACTGCTCCCTACAATCACCTCTTTATATCTGGGAAGAGAGAATCAATATGGAAAGAACTGCTGTAGTTTACCTGTCCCTTTGCCAGGAGAAGAAGCCTTGTGAACATGTGGAAGATCTGGCTGGCCGGCTGGTGAATGGTGACGATGATGGCCTTGTTGCTCTCCGCAGTGTACTTCTTCAGCAGCTGCATCAGTGTGTAGGCTGTGCTGGAGTCCAGCCCTGATGTCGGCTCCTGGAGACACCATCATCATCATCATCATCATCATACTCATATTAATTAACATTTGGAATATGCTGAATCGTCATCAATCATCCTTCATAATCTATTAACATTTGGAATATGCTGAATCGTCATCAATCATCCTTCATAATCTATTAACTTTTGGAATATGCTGAATCGTCATCAATCATCCTTCATAATCTATTAACATTTGGAATATGCTGAATCGTCATCAATCATCCTTCATAATCTATTAACATTTGGAATATGCTGAATCGTCATCAATCATCCTTCATAATCTATTAACATTTGGAATATGCTGAATCGTCATCAATCATCCTTCATAATCTATTAACATTTGGAATATGCTGAATCGTCATCAATCATCCTTCATAATCTATTAACATTTGGAATATGCTGAATCGTCATCAATCATCCTTCATAATCTATTAACATTTGGAATATGCTGAATCGTCATCAATCATCCTTCATAATCTATTAACATTTGGAATATGCTGAATCGTCATCAATCATCCTTCATAATCTATTAACATTTGGAATATGCTGAATCGTCATCAATCATCCTTCATAATCTATTAACATTTGGAATATGCTGAATCGTCATCAATCATCCTTCATAATCTATTAACATTTGGAATATGCTGAATCGTCATCAATCATCCTTCATAATCTATTAACATTTGGAATATGCTGAATGTCCCCACTGATGCTTACAAGGCTACATTTGTTCTGGGATAGAAAAGGTCATCTGCAACCCATGCTTGCCGTAAGAGGCGACTAACGGGATCGGATGGTCAGGCTTGGTGACTTGGTTGATGCATGTCAGCATATCCCAATTGCCTGGATCGATGCTCATGAGGTCAATCATTGGATTGTCTGGTCCAGACTCGATTAGTTACAGACCGCCGTCATATAGCTGGAATATTGCTGAGTGCGGCAATAAACAACAAACAAAATTTATTGTTTCCACTGTCAATTGATCAGTGTGCATTCGAAATTATTTTCAGCTCCCTGGGGATCACACAAACAAAGTTGCCTTGTGAGGTACTAGAAGGTAAACAATGACATCTCATATTTCGAACAAATACACTTGTCAAACTTTAGCATGTTAAGACATGAAAATTTCAAATTTTCTGTGATCTGCCCATATTTGTTTGATTGCTTATTCATGTTATACCACAGAGGCCTGTAAATAATTCTGTCATGGCCAGATGAACGTTGATTGACATTATGAGTCTCCAGGTGAACATTCAAACACTGGACCACAGAGGCGTTCTTTCAGCTACCACTAGACCACAGAGGCGTTCTTTCAGCTACCACTAGACCACAGAGGCGTTCTTTCAGCTACCACTAGACCACAGAGGCGTTCTTTCAGCTACCACTAGACCACAGAGGCATTCTTTCAGCTACTACTAGACCACAGAGGCGTTCTTTCAGCTACCACTAGACCACAGAGGCGTTCTTTCAGCTACCACTAGACCACAGAGGCGTTCTTTCAGCTACCACTAGACCACAGAGGCGTTCTTTCAGCTACCACTAGACCATAGAGACGTTCTATCAGCCTGTGAACAGTAATAACCAGTTGCTAATGGTTGCTAATTATTTGTATCCATCTGCAATTTGTACGCACACAGGATGCAACATGCTGCATTGGTATAAACTGGTTCAACTGCTTTTAGCTAACTGTTCACGCTTTTAGCTAACAGGTCACACTTTTAGATAACAGTTTACACTTTCAGCAAACAGTTCACGCTTATAGCCAACAGTTCATGCTTATAGCTAACAGTTCGCATTTATAGCTAACAGTTCGCACTTATAGCTAACAGTATACACTTATAGCTAACAGTTCACACTTATAACTAACAGTTCGCACTTATAGCTAACAGTTCATGCTTATAGCTAACAGTTCACACTTTTAGCTAACAGTTCACGTTTTCAGCTAACAGTTCACACTTTCAGCTAACTGTTCATGCTTTTAATTAAAAGTTCACGCTTTTAGCTAACAGTTCATGCTTTCAGCTAAGAGTTCATGCTTATAGCTAACAGTTCGCACTTTCAGCTAACAGTTTACACTTATAGCTAACAGTTCACGTTTTCAGCTAACAGTTGACGCTTATAGCTAACAGTTCACGCTTTTAGCTAACAGTTCACACTTTAAACGAACTGTTCACGTTTTAAATTAACAGTTCACGCTTTCAGCTAACAGTTCATGCTTTAAGCTAACTGTTCACTCTTTTAATTAACAGTTCACGCTTTTAGCTATTGAAATTTTGTTATGAATGATAAACTTTTACAAACCTGTAGAGGTTATGAATTCTCTGATGAAATCCTCCTTGGGGCACTTATTGCATTTTCCTGGCTCAAGAAAATCTACATGACATAGTTGTAACCATTTTCCTTAATAAAAATTGTTACCACACAAAAAACTTTGTTTTTGTATGATATACGTCCACCCTTATGGTGCCTCACCCTCCACGGCGCGTCACGCCAAGGGAAGCAACTCTCACCCAAATCACTTTCCATATGACTAATGCTGACGGAATGTGGGGAGGCGGGTGGCCGTGCCCCAAGGAGGATTTCATCAGAGAATTCATAACCTCTACAGGTTTGTAAAATTCTCTTTCAGATTAAATCCTCCTTGGGGCACTTATTGCATCAAGATAGACTCCTAAAGATAATCTAGGAAGTGGCATCCGTCAGCAACAAGCGTGCATAAAATACATTGTATTTTGATTATTTCAATGAATAAACAAGAGTTCAATAAATGGAACCAACCTTATCGTGAGGCACCACCGTCGAAAGGCGGGGGCTGGAGACAGGGCGTTATCGACCATACACAATGAAAAGAGCCATTCTTTGTGGCTCATCATATCGAGAACTCGAGACACACACACCCCCCACCCCACCCACTTTTTTGAACAAGTGATATTGGGGGCACAGATCACGAGAGACTATAAACCCGCACAGAGCTAGGCCAGAGGGTCCCCGTAATCGAAGGAGTGCATGTGCAATTACGATGATTATCGACTAGTAATGGCTGGTATTGTATCGACCGTAGAAGATAAAATCCGGACCGTTACTGAGCAGTGTTATAACCGGTCCGGGCGGTCTAAAATCTCGAAGGCTCAATCGGCTAGAGATGTAGTACTTTGCCCAGTTCGGAGAACTGACTGACCAAACCGAGCACGCTCGCTTGAGTGTTTGTCGAGTTGGTAATGTTTGATGAACGTGCTCGGCTGGCTCCAAATAGCCGCGGAGCAGATCTCCTCAATGGGCAGAGCCGCAGCATACGCTTGTGTCGTAGCCACTGCTCTAACCGAATGAGCCTTCAACTTGGTAGGGGGGTCCCTGCCTTGAAGCGTGTTCGCCGTACATATAGTAGAGACTATCCACCGCGAGATAGTTTGTTTGCTCGCAGGTGAGCCAGCCTTCCTACCGCCATAACAGCAAAATAGTTGATTATCCTTACGGATACCCTTAGTTCTGCTGATATAGGACTTAAGGGTCCTGCGGACATCCAAGACATGAGCATGTCTTGTAGTGGTCCCCGATGAGGAAGGCTGTGAAAGAGCAGGTAGCTCAATAGGAGCCATCACGTGGAAGGCGTGTGCGACCTTAGGACGGTAAGAGTCCGGCAGGCGAATACTGACCCTGTCTGAGTAGGGCTCAGATCTGACTTCTTGAGATTGACTATCCACCCTAGAGTGATCAGAATATCTATCACTTGTTGTGTAGCTATCTGACTCAGGGATTGCGATAGAGCTCTTAGTAACCAGTCGTCGAGGTACGGATGGCAGAACCGACCTTTTGACCTGGCCACTTGGGCGGGAATCAACATCAGCTTGGTGAACACCCTCGGGGCCGTAGCGATCCCGAATGGTAGAACCCTGAACTGATAACACCTCCCGTCGAAAGAAAACCTGAGGTATTTCTTGAACTCGGGGTGTATGGGTACGTGGAGATAGGCGTCTTTTAGGTCTATTGACGTTAGCCATTCTCCGGTCTCGACAGCTGAGATCACCGAGCGCAGTGTCTCCATCCTGAAGGACGGTACCTCTATAAGTTTGTTCAGCCTTCTCAGATTGAGAATAGGCCTGAACCCTCCGTCTTTTTGGGTGACTAGGAAATATGTCGAGTAGAAGCCCTCGCTTTCCTGTCCCACGGGAACCGGTTCGATCGCAGCCTTCATAAGAAGTGCGTCGACCTCGGCACGGAGGAATTCCGCCCTCTCCAGGGTAGCAGGCACCGGAGTGTGCTTTATCCCGGAGAAGGGGGGCGGATGATGTTTCCACCGAGGCAAATGGCCATCCCTTAGAGTGGACAGGGTCCAGGGATTGGATGTGACTGTCTCCCATTCCTGCAGGAATAGAGCCAGTCGGCCGCCTACGGGGACATCCGGCTTGAGGCAGCGGACCCCGGCTGTCGGCAGTTCGAAAACATGCGACCGTGGGTCCGCCCGGGGCGCTTCGGGCGCTAATGGGAACCCGATGGGTTCCCGGCCCCGCGAAAAGGCTGCTGGCCTCGACCAGCTGCCCTGCCCCGGCCCCTGCCTCTCTTGCTCCTCCCGGCGCCCTTACCTGAAGGAAGCGGCTGCTTCCAAGCAGGTGCAGACTTCTGACCCGGCGCGTCAGCGTAGGAGGAAGCAAGTGGAGAGGTCCGCTTACGCGGTTTAACGCATGGTACCTCCAACAAGGCCTTAGAATCCTTGATGGAGGCATACAACTGTGCGGCCTCTCGGACCACCTGCTGAGCCCCAGGGAAGAGGGTGGCACCCATCTTATAAGGCAAAGCAAGTAGATCCTGGCGTGTGGAAGCCGAGTATTTGGATACCGACATCCACAGCCTGCGCATGCCCATGACTGCGCACATCATCTGCGAGGCACAGCTACGAATAGCGTCCCTCGCAAGATGACTATGTACCTCCGTAAGTTGCGCGGCCAACTCCGAAGAGTCGGCCGGCCCCTCTCCCGCTAACTCCCTCTGTACGGCCGACAGATAAGCGGAGTGTACGGACACCCGGAGCTGCTGACATGCGTTACGATATTGCTCCTGGAAGCAAACGTAAGCAGCCTTCAGCTCCGTACCGCACGCGGGAAAGGGTGGCAACCGCCGGCCCTGCTTGACCTTAGCCAAGTTGGGTAACGGAGGTCCAGACGCATTCGTCCACCACCGGTACCTCAAAATCACCATCCTCTGCTAACGGGTACCGCTTAATAAGTTCGGGCAGGTCGAACTTCCTGCGGGCACCCGACAACAGAGGGTTGATGACTTCATGCACCAATGAAGACAGAATACGGAGCCGCACCTGGGGCGCCTTGCTCGGAGCAAAAGCGTCCCCCGGAAGGCGGAACTCAGTCGGATCCGACTGGGGCATGGGCGCAGCCACCTGAGGCAGTACCTGGACAATCTTGTCCCGTACATGCCTCAACGAGGAAACGAAGGAAAATATTCCCGAGGTCTCCGAGTCGTCTCCCCCCTCCTCCATCCACTCCTCCTCTCTCGATTCCGAGCCGAAATTAATCGACTCTTCCCCGAGAGAAGAGGCAGACGAAGTCGGAAGGGGACGCCCGAAGGCCTGGGCCTTCGCATCCCCGGGCTGCACCCGGCCCGAAGCCGAGTCCCGGTCCCGAGGTGCCGGGGGTTCAAGGGAACCCAAGGGTAGCAGGCACCGGAGTGTGCTTTATCCCGGAGAAGGGGGGCGGATGATGTTTCCACCGAGGCAAATGGCCATCCCTTAGAGTGGACAGGGTCCAGGGATTGGATGTGACTGTCTCCCATTCCTGCAGGAATAGAGCCAGTCGGCCGCCTACGGGGACATCCGGCTTGAGGCAGCGGACCCCGGCTGTCGGCAGTTCGAAAACATGCGACCGTGGGTCCGCCCGGGGCGCTTCGGGCGCTAATGGGAACCCGATGGGTTCCCGGCCCCGCGAAAAGGCTGCTGGCCTCGACCAGCTGCCCTGCCCCGGCCCCTGCCTCTCTTGCTCCTCCCGGCGCCCTTACCTGAAGGAAGCGGCTGCTTCCAAGCAGGTGCAGACTTCTGACCCGGCGCGTCAGCGTAGGAGGAAGCAAGTGGAGAGGTCCGCTTACGCGGTTTAACGCATGGTACCTCCAACAAGGCCTTAGAATCCTTGATGGAGGCATACAACTGTGCGGCCTCTCGGACCACCTGCTGAGCCCCAGGGAAGAGGGTGGCACCCATCTTATAAGGCAAAGCAAGTAGATCCTGGCGTGTGGAAGCCGAGTATTTGGATACCGACATCCACAGCCTGCGCATGCCCATGACTGCGCACATCATCTGCGAGGCACAGCTACGAATAGCGTCCCTCGCAAGATGACTATGTACCTCCGTAAGTTGCGCGGCCAACTCCGAAGAGTCGGCCGGCCCCTCTCCCGCTAACTCCCTCTGTACGGCCGACAGATAAGCGGAGTGTACGGACACCCGGAGCTGCTGACATGCGTTACGATATTGCTCCTGGAAGCAAACGTAAGCAGCCTTCAGCTCCGTACCGCACGCGGGAAAGGGTGGCAACCGCCGGCCCTGCTTGACCTTAGCCAAGTTGGGTAACGGAGGTCCAGACGCATTCGTCCACCACCGGTACCTCAAAATCACCATCCTCTGCTAACGGGTACCGCTTAATAAGTTCGGGCAGGTCGAACTTCCTGCGGGCACCCGACAACAGAGGGTTGATGACTTCATGCACCAATGAAGACAGAATACGGAGCCGCACCTGGGGCGCCTTGCTCGGAGCAAAAGCGTCCCCCGGAAGGCGGAACTCAGTCGGATCCGACTGGGGCATGGGCGCAGCCACCAGAGGCAGTACCTGGACAATCTTGTCCCGTACATGCCTCAACGAGGAAACGAAGGAAAATATTCCCGAGGTCTCCGAGTCGTCTCCCCCCTCCTCCATCCACTCCTCCTCTCTCGATTCCGAGCCGAAATTAATCGACTCTTCCCCGAGAGAAGAGGCAGACGAAGTCGGAAGGGGACGCCCGAAGGCCTGGGCCTTCGCATCCCCGGGCTGCACCCGGCCCGAAGCCGAGTCCCGGTCCCGAGGTGCCGGGGGTTCAAGGGAACCCACCTGGCTCTGGGCTAGAAATCCGCTAGAGGAAGCCTCGGCCTCGGAAGAGGCGTCTGGCTCCGCTAGGGAGAACTGTGCGTCGGTAGTGAACGGGCCAGTGCCCGCCACCCCTCCGCTGGGGAGCGACCTCGAGCCGGCGCCGAAGCCCGGTCTGAGTTCGTCCCCGAGACCAAGTGGCCTGCCTCGGCCGACGCCGGGCATATCACAAGGTCTCGAAGCCGCGTCCGGCGCCGACAACGGGGAAGGCTCGGTCCGCAACTCCTCTCGGAGCTGAGACTTTACCTCCTCCATCATCGACGCCATCTGCGACCTCAACAAGGCAGAGATGTCTGCCAAAGACGGTGCAGGAGAGGGTGCAGTGACGGGGACCCTAGAGCCTTCTCCCCCGGCCCCCGGGGAGGGAGCGGAGGAGACAGTCTCAGCTGCCTTTTTACCCTTTCTTACTTTTTTTGAGGGGGGCGGGGCGGTCTTTGCCGATCTAATGTCCACCCCCGCCTTCAATAGACCCTTAAAGTGTAAGAGGTCCACATTTCTCTTTTTCTGCGCCCGTGGTGTGAATGCAACACAGATCGGGCATGACCCATCGTCATGCCCGTCTTCGGCCAAACACTTTATGCAGGTATCATGCCTGTCTTGGGGGGGAATCGAAGCCGAGCACCCCGTACACAGTTTGAAGGTCTGTAAAAAAGACCGTAATTTTTTAGTTTGGCGGGAAGGGTAATAAAGTGTATCAGTGCGATTGAAAGATCGGAAAGATACGTGCATAAATTGTGTAACTAGAAGCAAAGGCGTAATTTAGAATGCGATTGGTAACGCGATACTAATAGCCAATGTCGTAGTATAATTATAACACCAAAGTGGGCGTGTTCGCGCGAAGGTGTAGAAAACCCGTAAAAAAGGTAAGTGTAATTTAAAATAATTAACACACCACCTTGGGTTTATTTAAAGGAAAAGATTGTAGGCTAAAGCCCGATGATATAGATTAAAAAACCGAAGCCGTTTTTGATGGCCCTGGTGTTACATATATCATACGTGGCACTACAAAATGGACGCTACGACGGCCTTATTTCAAAGGTATCGTACACGTGTCACATAATTACAACTTTATAACTTTACAATGCGAGGTATTACGCCTTTGCATGAAAGAAATGTACCATACATACAGTTTGGTCTGCCATGGTTCTTGTACGAACGATTATCTTGTCTTTATATTGTCTTGAAAAAAAACAGCACGTCTGTCTTTGTCAGATGACATAAGGAAAGTGATTTGGGTGAGAGTTGCTTCCCTTGGCGTGACGCGCCGTGGAGGGTGAGGCACCATAAGGGTGGACGTATATCATACAAAAACAAAGTTTTTTGTGTGGTAACAATTTTTATTAAGGAAAATGGTTACAACTATGTCATGTAGATTTTCTTGAGCCAGGAAAATGCAATAAGTGCCCCAAGGAAGATTTAATCTGAAAGAGAATTTATATATCTGCTCATCCTAGTTTGGGCAAGAGTAATTTACTTCATGAAATCCACTACATATTTTCCCTTGACCAATGAATGCAATGTAGTGTCATCCAATCGCAACCATCAAGAAAACGCCTTCATAGCAACACCCGGTAACCCAGTCTACATACATCTAGCAGCATGATGTCGGGGTCCGTGAGCAGCTGGCAGGCGATGCTGGCTCTCTTCTTCTCCCCTCCAGACAAACCTCGCTGGGCCTGATCTCCGATAGCTGAAACATCCAGAACATTAGTGACTGTTTAATGTCAAATTCATTTCAAAACAAAATTTGGATATTGATTTCATTTAACCATTTCTCATAACGAAAACTGTGGGGAAAAAATTACCTGTATTTTTTCACTAAACCAATGCAAATTTACACATTAAGAATCACATGTTGATATTCTGCACTGTATTTGCTGAATTCTGTGTCAGAGTTCTGTACGAAAATGATTTTCTGCAAGATAGGTATAATTTTACACTGAGTGAAATGAGTGAGTGAGAGCTTGAGTGCTCGAGTGAGTGAGTGAGTGAGTGAGTGAGTGAGTGAGTGAGCGAGCGAGCGAGCGAGTGAGATTGGCATTTATTGTCACCTCTAGTCAATGCTTTAGAGCCCAATACAATCGCACAAAATAATTTACTCCGAAACGAAACCTTCTGCATGAAGATCTGTAGAGACCTCCTTAGGAGTGACTGAGTGTAAACATAATACCATATGAACAGTCATTCAAATAAAACACAAACTGGATAATAGCAACAACTTCTTGTTAGCGGGGCCACATGGAACAGAGCGAAAATGGAGCAAAGTAATTATTCTGATACATATCGTATCGTGACTCCAAGAACGTGATACATCTCGTATTGTGTCTCAAGTATCACAATATGCATCGAGTCATGAACCTGACACCCCGAGAATACACAGCCATGTACTCACCTGTATTCTTGCAGTCCTCAAGGTCAAGGGCATCAATGATCTGGTCAATTCTCGACAACTTTTCAGAACGAGGCATCTTGTCAGGCAGGTGGATCATGGCCGCAAACTGATGAATACAGAACACGCCATGAATCACAGGTGGGTCAGATGCAGGCATTAAACATCAACAAGTGCTTTCACTAACACAGAACTTTACACTTGATATTGATAAACCAATAAGATAAAACCAGGGCTCCAGATAATATTTTGAGCCATTGAGCAATGTTGATTATTTACTCACAAATTATCATTTACATTCGGTATTGATAGTTTTCTTTGGGGGTATTCAATATGAATTTACTCCCTTTTTGTCTATTCAGGAATATTGCGCCAATGATTTTTTTATTTTTAATTAATTCTGCTTAAATTGATGTTTCCTGCGACCTATAATTTGTATCTGTTTGTGTGCTAGATATCTAATTAACAATAAGCAAGATTTATTTGCATTTTTCCACTGCAGTAGAGTTCATTTATCCTTTTCATGTAACTTTTGTTTTATATAAATTTCTCAAGGATATTTGTATGCAAGCAACTCAAATCAAATAGGTAAAGGTGATATGTTTTTCTGTATTTGCATAAGCATATCTGGAGCTCTGCATAAAAGTTGTATTTTAGAGGTTAAAATGTAATTTGATTATTTTGTAGCCACAAATAACCTCATCCAAAATGTTAAACAGAGCATATGACCATTGTCAATACTTCGCGGGTTTATCTCCACTCCGTTCCTCCATTAACCATGTCAACCATGAATACACACAGCATTCAGTTTTATCATAACTTTTCAGGTAATTCTTGCATTATTTCAACTGAATCAAGAAGCGATTTGTCTCTTATTTTTCGCGATGTTTCAATATTCATAATGTCTGAATGCAGGCAGGAACTTTGAGGATGGGCAGGTAACTCTCATGGGTCACCTGCCCGACTGTCTTGTTGGGTTTTAAAATTATTTCAAACACTGGTAACGGAGACCTGTACATTGTGTAAACAAACCTGTGAAGTATAGACAATAACTTGGCAACGAGGTCATCAGGTAGGTGTCATATCTCAACCTCGCTTGACTCTCTGTGTCATTCAGAATTGGGTGGGTACACTCTGTATAATCATAATTGTCACATCCTATACACATCGATTAATTGGACAGTAGCCATTTTGTCCTCTAACGGGTTCTTTATCATGTGATCATTGAATGGAGAGGACAATCCAGTATTGGACACTGAAAGTGAAACAAGTACAGACTTACATAAAGAGTCTCCCACAACGTCAGTTTGGAGAAGAAGAGGTCCTCTTGCAGAACATAGCACATTCTTTGCCGCAATAGTTTCGTCAGCTTCTGTTGGTTCACAGTTATCTCCCCTGATTGTGCAGTTGTTCTCCCTGCGATTGTATTTAGCATTGTCGTTTTTCCCGAGCCTGTAAAAATACACAGGGTATTTATCATGTAAAAGGTGAAACTCTTTATTCAATATGTTGAATTTTGATGAATACAATGTCAATAGGCTCATTAAATGCTTGAGCGAGTGACCAATGCCACTTTGTTTTAGCAATATCACAGCAATACCAGGACTGGCAACACAAGAAATGGTCTTCACATCGCTACAGAAGTGCAGTATTCTTGAACATGATGCTAAACACCATTTCACCTCACCTTTAAGAAACAGGCTGCTAAGAAATCCAGGGCAGTATGGTGCCAATCACGGGACGTAGCTGGATCTATAAATGTGTAATCCAGCCGTAGAAACTAACATTTACTAAACTAATATTGTTTGGTGGTCTCATACAAGGATTTCTAATCCTGTAGTACACTTAGCACTAGGGGTGAAACAATACAGCAAGGTCACTATACATAGGTCACGACACGATACATATCGCAATACATATATACTACTCAAAGGAAGTTAAGGATCACCCGATTCTTTCATAATGGTAAAGTTAATCTGTAATGACATGAGAGATTAACTATAGTAATATGAAAGAATCAGGTGATCCTTAACTTCTTTTGAGTAGTATAGTTTACATCAAATCACACGGACACTTATTGGCAACATTTATTTCAGAGCAGGTTCAAAAGGAAAAGCGAGCTTTAGACACATGTTTGTAGTGGCTATGTTTAGCAATGTTTAGTAGTGTATTTGAAATGCTAATTACAACACATTTTGTGATATCTGACTGACAAAAATGCCAGGGCTCATTAAAGGAGTAGTACAGCAGTAGAAACTAGCATTTTTAGGCCACTAGTCTGTAGTTCTAGCATTTTTAGGCCACTAGTCCTTACAATGCTAACATACAGCATAACCTTTGAAAATGGCAAATTTCTACAAGTTCTTGCGATACCTTAACTATTGGACAGTTTGGCAAAGAAGAACTACAGAACTAGTGCCAATTTCTAATGCTGCAATCTCAGAATTAGTACTTTGTGTGTGTGTGTGTGTGTGGGGGGGGGGGGGGGGGGGGGTAGGAGGAGAGGGAGAGATACGTAACATTCTCCAATGTCGTGCAACTATGTCACACCAAGAGTATTTTATTTTGACCTTTCGCATGTTTAGCAATCAGAACGGAATGCCCTAACAATTGAAGTGTTTATCCTCGATGTATGACATCCACACTTTTAGACACGCAATAGATACTAACTGGCCACCAATGTATTACATGTTTGCATACCGATGTGCGTGTAATAAAGTTGTTGATCATACATGTTATAAGCATGCTTTTCAGTACAGTGACAAAGGACCAGTAAACATGGTAAACAGAGGGTGGCAGTTTATACAGCACTCCTTTGAAAGAAACACAAGTACCGTATTCATCACAATAAGCGCCCAGGGCGCTCTCAAAATTAGAAATAGGGGGCTCTTATTAGAATATAATTTTAGTGAAGTTGAAAGATAAATTTCGTGGTTTATGCTGACACTGACAGCCTGAAATGTATATGTACGACTAGTATATTTTTCCAGAAATTAATTGCCCAGAAATTAAGGGTGCATATAACACACGAATGTGTATTTTACGTGAATAAATAAGTCTTGTGAACATTGATCAAACGGAAGGGGTACAAACTGGGATTGTTCACTTGCCAATATATTAGCAAATATCGCCATGGGCGCTTACTAGAGCGGGGCGCTTATTACGTCGAATACGGTACTTCAGTGGTGAATTAGGAGAGCTGTGGGGGTAAGGGGAGGGAGGGAGAGTAGAGGGATGTGTGTGAGGTTCAGTGCCCCCTCCCCTTGCAAATAACATATAGATCTCAATGACAGCTTCTTGCTATTGAAATATTTGTGTATACTGTCTCTTACAAACCATCACAACCCCGTCTGAAAGACCAGCTGAGACCCCCAATACTGTAAAATGAACCTGTATCTTGTGCAGGTATATTAATGAGAGTTTGATAACAAATTACAAGCTTTTGTGAAAGAAAGAAATTAATTTTATTGAATGCATGATACAAAATAAACATTGATCTTTATATATGTTACAGTCAATGTGTAAAATGATTGAAATTTTGACTTAGGCAATTTACAAAACACCAAACTATTTCATTCATTTTACAATTATTTTTCTGTCAGAACTGACAAAAAGTCATAAGAGGTTCAAAAGGGCTGAAAAACACCACAACAGACTAACAATGGTGGGATTAGACATTTTAGAAGCCCAATAATGATACCATATAGCAAAACCCTGAAAAAAGGGCAAATTTCTACTAGTCCTTGCATGCCTTGTGATACCTTAACTATTGGCCAGTTTGGCAAGGACTGTAGGACTAGTGCCAATTTCTAACGCTGCACTGGGTGATGAAACAGAGCATAAAAATGTTTAGAATTTGTTGAATATATAATACATGGAAAAATAATTATAAAATGACAAAAATAAGTTGGCGTTTTATAAATTCAGTCATTTTACACATTGACTGATTTTACTCATTTGGCCGTAACATACCGGTATATAATATTCAAAATTCATAATTTTGCCACAGCAGAGCAGCTGACATAGAAATAACTGAAATCCAGTTAGCTATTTGAAACATGACTGGCGAATAAAAACTTGCATGGATGGCTGTGTCTGCTTATCTGCCAATTATCTCTCAATAATCATGATAATGAATAGTATAACATGAAAAACATGACAGCAATCTGGCAACATTACACAATTAATTTGGAAAATCCACATATTACAGCCACAGAAGGCCCAATAAAATTTTGTACAAATTCAAGGACTCAATTCTATCAAGTAAATTAAAAAATGAATTGATACCAATTTTCAATCTCTACAATTAAGATTATATTATTAACAGTGTTCAGTTCATTGTTCTCTGGTAAATACATCCAGTTGGTCAATTACCACACAAACACATATCAATGTTATTTGGGGAGGGGGTTCAAATTTGTTCAACTGGACATTGCACAATGTCATAAATATTATTAAACATTTGGTGTATATTTTGCTGTTATTAACATGATCAAGAGGAAGTCCATGAAGCATGTAGTATGGAGATCGTGGAAAAAACAAGGGGCTGATAGAGTTCAATGAATGACAGCGATTTGCCTTTGTCTTTAATCTTGTGAGTCCTGTGGCATCTTGGTAATATATTTTGGGGTCTCAAACATTAAAAGCCAATGAAATGGAGTCTGTAGTAATTTTTTTAAAATTTTCTGTATCAAAGCTAAGGGTGCTGTTGTTTGAAGTATTCTTAGCGCTAAGGTGGTCGTAACGCCCATACCTTAAACATAGACTTATGATAGATGTAGCGCTATGCTCGTTTTGTAAAACGACACCTAGGGCTTAATTTTAAACAAAATATTCGGTCTTCAAGAAGTGATACATACTGATTATTTTACAAGCATGCATGTCACAATGGTCACACTGATTTTACAAAAACGAGTGTCAGAATTCTTGTATTTCCCAAGCGAGAGTGAGGGTAATACAGTGATCCCTCGCTATTGGGCTCTTAGATATAGCGCTATCTCGGTTACGACGCGCGGTATCGCATGGCTCCCAAATTTTTTGTACACTTTTAATACTGAAGTTTTACACAGCCGTGATTGTATTGTTGTTCGTTGTTCATTTGCACATAACGCTTCTCATTGCATAATCAACCGTTTATCGCTGAATGGAGTTCTAAAAATCTGTTTGAAAACATCCGCGGCAAGTCCCGGAAATACGATTGTTCTACTAGTCAACTTTTCACACTATACATCCTTTGATCTTAGAAGCGCATGCATGCAATAAAAGAGAACCACAAGCGAAGTTTATTTTCTTAATTAGTGGGCAATCCAATTTGAGGCGACACTGTCAACTCACATGTAGTTGCTGTCACAACACGGCGGTCATTCCTTTTGATTCAGATCAAGTAACCGTATCAAACCAGTTAATCTGGCTTGAATGCGTATCTATATTTGTATGAATGTGTATGAATGCGCGTAGTGCTGGTCAAAACTTTCGTTTTCCGTATTTTAAGCAACATGACCAATCAATGCCACTGAATCACTCTGTACTTGTGAAATGAATTGTGATTGGCTCTTCACTCATAGCGGCTGTTACTACCATTATCAATCAATATTTTCATGTATATAGACTACATTCACATTGAATGTTACAGTTAAGGCTTGTAAATAATAACAAACGGCGAAAACATAATGGATATATATTTTTACACTATGAACGGTAAACAACTTGTATCATTACAATGTGCGAGACAAGTCAAAGATCATCAGATCATGAGATTGGCCGAGCGCGCTCCCCCACCTCGGCCTCGGTTAAACAGCTCATCGTCTATAACGCCCACCAATTATTTGGACCCCATTGGTAGCGTTGTAGCGAGGGACCACTGTACATGAATTCCTGCAAAGTTACTTAAAATCAGTATGACACACATCCAAGTGCAATGTCAACAATCTTCGACGTCATTCTGACCTTGTGTCACATTAAGATTCGAACGTCAACAATGCTGTCTGGATGACGTAAACAATATGAAGTGAAGTGTTTTAGAATGGACAGGTATCTCGTGTTTATAAAATAAAATAACTGATGGCTGTAGATACTGTTTGCATGAGGATTAAGAATGCGGAAAGAATTTGTTGTGGCTACTAGTGCCTCCGTCGCCACAGGACATATACAATAGAAAATGGCATTCTTGAATTTTATGTACAATGCCTCGTGGGCATGGTTATTTTCATTAAAAGTTCTTATGGTAATTGTTATTTCATGTCTTGATAACATTACACTTTGAAATGAAACAGTTTTCCCCATTAGTTGCATGTTCCACTATGGCTAAAAGACTTCCTGTTGTAAAATCAATTGGCAGTATTCGGTGAATTCCATTGACTGTATCTTACAGATGTTTGACGAGAATTTCTAGACTGCGTGAAATACATTAAAATGTAATCGCATCTTTCTGTATTTTGACTGAGTATCACAAACATTATGTAAGTCTTGCATTTCAAATGGAAGTGGAAATAATTTTTTGTGCTGGTTGTTGTGAAAAAACTAGCAGACAATCTTTATTTCTCATAAATTGTTGAGTAATAAACACAAGACATGCCTAAATTGAAAATGGCACACCTTCAAAATAGGTCCAGTGTCCTTGGGCACACCTAGTTTTAATTTTCTAATTTCGAGCCCTGAATACACTGGGCAATCAAGGATGGAACTGAGTCAGAAAATCCCAAATCCTACTCACCACTCGGCCCCATGACAGCCAGGATCTCTCCATTGTGGACTACACCGCTGACTCGGTCCAGGATGGTGTTGGACTCAATCTTAACTTCCAGATCCTTGAACAGAAACTCCAGTGGCTCCGACCGTGTCAGCTTCATCTTCTTCGTTACTGAGTCGGTAATCCAGTTCACAAAATCTGAAACATGATCAATGATATGAACACACAATGTCATTTAGAAAGTGGTCAAATGTAACAAATGTTATATTTGGGATAACACTTTCAAAGTAAAGTGATCAGGATTAGAAATTCCTTGTATTAGAGTACCAAACACCATAATGGCAGTTAGAATACACTTCTGAAGGCACACTCAGAATTTTGTCCTTAAAGATACCTTGTAATATGTGTTATGCCTGATTGTAACAGACCAATCACATGAGCACATTCTACAACCACAGAAACTCTAAAGCATACTTCTAGTACTAATAATACTTCATACTTGCTAAGACTGTCAAATACAACTGATTCATTTTATCTTAGCCATTTGATTCTTGTGTACTCTCGTTCATCATATCCAATGATTAAAGTTTGTCAAGTGTCTCCATTGTGTTCTCCCTCTCTCGTTGTGACTGGTAACCATATGGAAAGTCACTCATAACCTGATAACATATTAGGGGCTTGTCCAGAATTATGATTTGAATATTTGTAAATTTTGTTAAACATGTTAAAGACAATTGATACTATGTTAATGAACACATTACCAATTCTAACATACATTTTTTCACAATTCCAAATTCTAAGTTCCTCATTCCCTAATAACAATTCCCTGTTAACAGGGAGAACACAATTTTTTGCCATGGATTTTGATGTGAATGTGTTTATGAAATCCATTAGCAGAATAGTATGATTAGTGAAGCCAAGCTATTCGTCTAACTTGATTTGCAAACATGTGATGTGTTAAAAAGCTGCCTGCCTGTCTGTTGCTGACTGTTAAGTTAAAACAAGCATTCACTCAGTTTAATGATGATAACAATCACTAGATGATTGATGTGAGGCAAAGCTATTCGTCTAACTTGAGTTGCAAACATGCGATGTGTTAAAAAGCTGCCTGCCTGTCTGTTGCTGACTGTTGAGTTAAAACAAGCATTCACTCAGTTTAATGATGATAACAATCACTAGATGACTGATGTGAAAACACCAATGATTAATTTGAATATGTATTGATATGTATACATATATAAGCAGAGTACTGGTAGTTTCTTATTTGGCCATGGTTATGCCTACCCCTGGTATTGTGGTTAAGTGCTCCGCTAACACATCATCAAATTGGCTTGACCACACAGCTGAATAGAAAAATGAATTGTCAAACAGATGAGGACTAGATTGTAGGGTTAAGGAAATGTCTTGGATATGAAGTGACGTGCTTACAATCTGACATTGTATGTTTGTTTGCCATTGAAGGCCACACTCAGCCATATTCCAGCTGCAATATCCTTGCCTGCATAGAATCCAGGCTCAACTACACAATCCACGCAGAGATTGTTATTACATGTATTTTGATCAATGATCCGCGATATCGAGGGTACAATAATATGCAATCAACCAAACCACTCGATCCAATAATTTGCCTCTTACGACAAGCATAAATTGCTGGGGACCAATTCTTAAATCGGACTCCGCCAAGGGTCACTCTGACATAGACGGTGTCGGCTTCCTTACATAGCATCATCAAGAATATAGCACAGGTATGCCGTTGACAGATAATTGTCGTAATGAATCAGTGTGTGTATGTATACATTATAAATAAACATGTTATGAACATGATCAATACAAGAGAGTGAATGTTGCTTCAAGCCCAAGTCAGCAAAATTGTAACCTCATACCGGCTGATTTTATAATCGTGGGTTATCGACTTTAGAAGTTTAGTAAATCTATGCTTTTAAAGATTTTCAATCATAAGAGTTCTTAGAAAACATTTCATTGGAACGACTTCCATCATATGGTAACCATACTGGAAAACATCTTGACCCCAACGATTCGACTTTAACAGTTATGAAGTTACCTCGTGTTTCGGCGTTCTATATAAAATAGCATTTATGTAGACACCGGTAAAATAGCATTCGGCTCAGACAATATTCATTTTCAGTCGATTAAACCTGTTTGTGAACCGGTTCATCAATTGAAAGCGACTTACCTGCAGTGCCTTGATCACACAATCAACGCTACGGGAACTGAACATGGGCATTTTACATTTGAAAACGCTCTCAGCTGTGACATTATTTTTTGTGACTTTTGCCCTCTCCAGGAAAGGTAATTTGATATTCTCCTGTCACTGAACGTGCTTCCGGAAAGGGCAGATAACTCTAAATGTACAACGGATGATGAACCGGATCATAATCGAACCGTACCACATAATTACTATTCCAATTGAATAACACATTCAGACGTTTACAGGTTTGGTGAAACTCGCGGCCAAGAGTGTGGCGCTGATAAAGCAAGTATCGTACTCTGAGCGTATATGGTAGTCGAACCCACGACTAGCGAGTCCTGCCGGGAGCAGGTCAAAACGCCCTCATGTCAGAACGGCCAGAGTGAAAAAGTCAAAACGGCCACAAACCCACAGTTAGTGAGTGAGTGAGTTTGGTTTAACGCCGCTTTTAACAGTATTCCAGTTATATCACGGCGTGTCAGCTTAATGTGGGAGGAAAGCCCGAAGTGATGCAGGTCCCAGACGTTTACCACTTCGGCGAAACCCACGAGCACGGGTATGGTGCTGACAGACCTAGAAACATAATCGGGGCGAACCGGGATTCGAACCCATAATCATAGGTTTCTGGCGTGCCCAAGGGACGCAACTCTGCACAGCGAATCGCGGCGCCATAGACGACTGAGCCACCCGTGCCCCCAAACCCACAGTTAAAACGGCCACTAAAAACATCATAACTACTACAACCGATCCTGGCACAACTACGGTAACTAAAATAAAGTGAAAAACTATTGTAAGACAGCATCTTAAAATAATAAGTGAGTATATTGTCAAGAAAGGTGAAATTCTTCATATACACTGTACAGACTGCAAGTGTATTCTTTCTACTACAACTATAAGCGAATAAAAGAACAATGGTTTAAGCATATGAATTGTAAGGATATATATCATTCCACTGTGGAAAGAGAATGGGAGGTGTGTGTGTGTAGGTTAGAGTCGTATTAATATTGAGTCGCATTTTTGGCTAAGGGTCAGCGGTCGCATGCATTCAATTGGAGACTCAGTAAATTAAAGATTTTCGGTATTTTTAGAAAAGCTGGTTTGTTTTGTTTGTTTGTTGTTTAACGCCGCACTCAGCAATATTCCAGCTATATGACGGCGGTCTGTAAATAATCGAGTCTGGACCAGACCATCCAGTGATTGACATCATGAGCATCGATCTACGCAATTGGGATACGATTACTTATATGATTACCGCTCCAGCAACAAAACAAACACAAATTTGGTTACGGAATGCAAATTGACACATAACAGATGCAGAAACGTACAAACTAAGAGAATAATTCGAAGAAAACAAAGACAGTTTCCACCATTGACTTTTCAGTATTTTTACCAACTGTATATGATAGTCAAAGCACATATGATTACATTTGGATATTCATTAAAAGAGTAAATGTCCATGTCTATGCTACACATAGTAGCCGTTTTCGCCAGAGAAATCGGTGACGTTTTGCTGAGGTGCCGTTTTAGCCTGCACCCAATGTCCATAAATGTTAAGCTTACGGTATAAACGTTTCTTTACTTTTATTTGTTATTATTTCGTCGTATTAACTGCCTCAGTAGGCTCCGATCGCCTTGTTTAATATTCAAATGATCTAATGATCAATGATATTCTGATAACATGATACAATGAAATATATACTGACGTGGTTTTGCTGGAGCCGATCACTTACTTCACTTACGCTAAGTTTCAAGTCTATAGATTGTTTGTGTTGACTGAGTGTTTTTGTGAAGCAGTTTTTCAAACTTCAGAAGATGGAGAGACAGAAATTTGATGAATCATGAAGTGAGGTTGGGTACAGAGAATGACATCGATAAATACCAAGGACGGTGCCCAGTCAAGGAAGCCAAACAAATCAGTTAAACTGGTGCTGTTTTCGCGCAGTTTGACGCTTTGGGGCGTGAACCACTCTCCTACCCAGAGTTCCATGCGGCCGGCAGCCAGCTAGCATAGTACCTCTGCCACAGGCCAGCGCCATGTGACGATTCGTCACATCTTTCACAGTCCATTCAAGATATTGCATATGCTTTTCATCCGTTTCATGTTTGACAAGTCTACACATTTTCATAAACAAATGTCAAAGAATGGTTAACTTTCATTGAGAAAGTATGCAAATACGTAAAAATCTACTTGTTTTTGCGTAGTTATCCTATGTTTACATTGGTTGTACGGCTCCACGTGCTGTCATCGAAGCCCAACGGAGAGCTAGCGACACGGTCACTTTAATGCATAAATATATATTGTCATGCAACTCACTGTCGCAGTTGTAGTAGCATATCTATATAGTTATGCAAAACAATATGTAAAGCGCCCCCAAATACTTGCATTAGTCCGTTCTATACTGATTTCTGAAAAAGCGCGTTTGTTTACAAACAAGAGAAAAGTCCGGACACGTGATATGCAAATTAGCCTGTGGCAGTGGTGTTATGCTGAGTCACCACTGCGACGGAGTGTGGGCGTGAACCTGATCGTTCATGTACAGATACAATAGAGAAATAGACCTGAATAATGATTTATTACAGATTACATATAAATATGGAATTATAACACGGTAAATCTTAAATATCAGATGAAAATTAAAAAAATATTACAGTAATCTACTCCACCCACGACTTACCGAATGAACCTCCTGTCCTTTTCAGCTTGGATATACAAACTGAATTATATTGTTGTCCATAATAGATGAGGGTTTAACGTGGCGTTCAATATTATTGCACTTACATAGTGACGTGCATGCGTGCGTACGTGTGTAGTGCTAGCCTACTGAGATACCATACTGCAATTTCACATGAACACCCCACTCAAACACAGTATACTGAAACCGACCCGAACAGTCCTTGTTTTAACCCCTTAATGCCGAGCGCCAGGCAGTGTAACAATTTTGTCAAGTTCCGTCTTTTAACGTCTCTGGGTATGATCGAACCCCCGACCTTCAACTCTCCAGGCAGACGCTCCACCGCTAGTTTATGGAGGCGTCTTGTTCATAATACTGTTGTTGAGATAAAGATGCAAATCCAGATGGTTTGGGTTTTTTAAACTATGATTTTTTACAAAGAAAAACACCTTGCAGCAATGTTATTCACGTTGAAGGTAATTTCTTATTTTTAAACAGTCTGAAGCATATTTATTTATTTCAAGAATTTTCGGGGACAATTTATTTTTTTCGCCCACTCAAAAGCCCATTAGAATAGTAGGTACCATTCAATACCTACTGGTTAGTTTGAACAGGTTAGGCCTTTCTTAAATCAGAATGTATTTCTTGAAACCTTTGGTCGGTGGTCGAAAGAAGAAAAACAGCTTGTGTTGAAATGTCTGATTAATATTCATATTAACATATCTGATAACCTTTATTTTTGCTCAATTTTTTAATTAGGCAAATCCCGTGGCCAAAGAATGGTTGTTATTATCATACCGCGTCAAGTATTTTCTTAACTGCATACGTAAATCTGTCTACACAATCCCGCTGACGCCTGTCAAATGACTATAAAATCAAGGGCATTTTCCAAACAACATTAAATGTGGTACACACAAAAAATATTTGTTTAAAAAAAGTTATGATGCTATGTTGCTTTAAATAGAGGAAGCACATTTTATTCAAGACTTTTAAAAAATGGCGATATATAAAAACTTAACGAGAGGTGCGGCGGCCTGTACAATATCACAAAACACGCACGTTCCGCGTGCACTAACAGTGAAGAGTCGGTTTTTTTCACGTACTGAAATGATAAATTACCTGTGATCAACACCCTTCAGCAGAAGCCGTTAGCAGTGAATCTGAGAACAGATGTGGGCGCAACACGTTTCCATACTCTGCCGGGCGGTGTTTGATACCATTCTTCCTCTCTCGAATAAATATACGCGTTATCTCTAGATTTTAATTAGTTTTACAAAGGTTAGAATGAGTGTATGACCTGGAAGCCACAGAACAATTATACCCTGGCCACAGGAATTCTTTGTTGTACAATAAAAAATAATATCAATTTTCATAACTCATTTATCCTTCGCTTGACTGGTCCAGATTAAACTACACATCACACCAGCTTCCCTGCATAGTTTATTGATTACAGCTGTGTAGAGCTTCATGCACTCATTACGTGTTCATTTAGACTGTCACATATATTTAATTGTTGACAGACTGTCTCGTCTGTTTTATAAGTGAGTGAGTGTGTTTGGTTTAACGCCCCTTTTAACAGTATTACACATTTATATCGCGGCGTGTCAGCTAAATGTGGGAGGAAATCCCGAAGTGATGCAGGTCTCAGACGTTTACCACTTCGGTGAAACCCACGAGCACGGGTATGGTGCTGACAAACCTAGAAACATAATCGGGGCGAACCGGGATTCGAACCCACAATCATAGGTTTCTGGCGTGCCCAAGGGACGCAACTCTGCACAGTGAATCGCGGCGCCTTAGACGACTGGGCCACCTGTGCCCTCTCTGTTTTATAAACTTGTATGATGACGAACATTGTGTTACAATGCAACAGGTACCTGATTATTTGACTTACATACTTTAACACTAATAGTTGATAAATGATTGTGGAGAAATCCATCCGTATGTTTCATTCATCAACTTACACATCACACATAATTCATCAGCTATCAGCAATAACTTCATTGATTATGATTCTTTTCTTCTGTTTTAAGTATTTTATTACATTGATGGTATAAAGTCAGCTTTATTCTGATGCCCCGATCGTCTTACGTGCGTCAATCCGCTGTTGCGTCCCATGGACTCGCCAGGATCCTATGCTCATGGGTTCAAATCCCGGCTCGTCACGACTATGTGTCTAGGTTTGTCAGCACCATACCCCTGCTCGTGGGTTTCACCAAAGTTCTAAGACCTGCATCACTTCGGGCTTTCTTCTCACACGGGTATCAAGCTAACATCCGTGATCAAATTTGAATACTGTTCAAAGCGGCGTAAACCTAACTCACTCACTTACTCTGATCAGGGGCGGTGGGGGTAGGCTAGTGGTCAATGCGTTCGCTCGTCGCGCCAAAGGCTTGGGTTCGATCTTCCACATGCATGGGTACAATGTGTGCGAAGCCCATTTCTGGTGTACGCTGCCGTCATATTGCTAAAACTGGCATAAAGCCTCACTCAATCACTCTTACTCACTCCAAGTCACGATATGGCTGAAATATTGCCGATGTGACTTTAAATATTAACTCACTCACTCACTCACTCACTCATCCACTCACTCACTCACTCAGACCACGTGCTCTAGATCTGAGCGAACACTGCAGTACACCAAAGAGATTATGTGAATATGAAAACGCATGTTTTTTTTATGTTTGTTGTTTGCTATGATGTACAAATGTTCCAGGTAATCGGAAAATTAACGGCATATCTGCCACATTATGGTGATTCATAAAGGTAATTGAAATGTTTGATGTCCTAATTGTGTTAAATGATATATTATTATTACATGATGGAATATTACACGTGTTTGGTTTTAAAAAATAAATATAGAATCTATTTTGTCCCACGGGCCAAGCCAACGATGTAAATTCCAAAAGCCAATTCTCTGTATGAAAATATATACTTACATTCCCTTGTTGTGCCAGCGAAGTTAGTTAGTTAGTTAGTTTCCACAACGAATAGAAATCACTTTTAAACATCCCCTTTAGTGCTGTGCCGGTATGTCCGCATTTTAAGGTCAAATTACACAATGCCTGTGAAATGTCACCTGGGACCGGCTGAAAATGTCACAGCATCGGTTTTCCCAATTAGCAGATTAATTCGAAATGACAGTTTGAATATTCATCTCACGTGGTCTTCAGTATTTCAGTACTTAGAGAAATAGTTTCAGTTCCCGTACGTGACACGAGTTAATACCTTCTAGGCCTATATAACGCAGTGTCACATTGCACACGATCCGAAGTTCTGTTTAATGAATAACGAGGTCTAATCGAAACTGTTGCTATTTATATTATCCCGCTCAGAAGGATCATTGATCTCGCAGATCTAGTTGAGTGGACGCCCGGCGATCATTAAGGATATCAGGTAATGTTTCTATTTGGGACTTTCTGTTTTACAGACGGGCCTACCGTGGTTACAGCCAGTTACGGATCAATTTATTTATCACACTTTTATTGGGGTCTAGTCCTTTTTGGAATGGGATCAATACTTTTCTGCATGTGTTCATCAATGGGCTTGTGCACTTAATGTTTGCATTTATAATTTGTTTTTTGTTTAACACCGTAATCAACAATATTTCACTTGTCAGGACCGGACAATCCAGTGATTGACATCATGCACATTGACCTAAGTAATTGGGATATGATGACATGCATCAGCCAAGTCAGTGAGTCTGACAACCGGATCAATTTTGTCGTATCTTGCAACAAACATGGGTTGCTGAAGACAAATTCTGACCCGCATGTTTGCCTAAACGTAACTTGGTATGGTATGCAATCCAAAAGGGTTGTGTCTTTTTGGGTGTTCCCAATTTTGAGATGTATAGTTAGATTTAATATGTATTAAATTATTTTTGAATGACACATAAATTTGCAAGCCTCAACTGTTCCCCAGCCCATACATATTATTTTGTTTGTTTGTTTGTTTGTTTGTTTGTTTGTTATTTAATGCCACACTCAGCAATATTCCAGCTATATGACTGAGGTCTGTAAATAATTGAGTCTGGACCAGACAATCCAGTGATTGACAACATGAGCATCGATTTATCAATTTGGATACAATAACATGCATCAACCATGTCAGCGAGCCTGACCAACCGATCCCGTTAGTCTTCAAGCATAGTCACCAATTAGGGCAAGCATGGGTTGTTGAAGACCTATTCTAACCCAGATCTTCACGGGTCGATTGATATGAGCATCAATCTACGCAATTGGGATACGATGACATGCATCAACCAAGTCAGCGAGCCTGACCAACCGATCCCGTTAGTCTTCAAGCATAGTCACCAATTAGGCAAGCATGGGTTGCTGAAGACCTGTTCTACCCGGGATCTTCACGGGCCTAACATATTTTTTGCTTTGGTTAAGTTCGAAATACTCCTGATAAAACCATTTTGTTTTTACTCAGCCTGAACAACATATTGGCTTTTACATGTTTAGAAGGAATTTTGCCCATATTTTAATACATTTGTGTAGTAACATTGCTCCTTTAGCACATAGAATGTGATTTTGTATACTCTTTACCATTACCCAATATGCGAAGTTGTGAAGAATTAAGTGGTTTAGAAAGTTGTTAAAAGAATCTGACAACAATTAACTTGTGTTGAAAGTTTACGATAAGTCATATAAATATCAGGATGTGCTTTTTTAAAGTAACCAAACTTTTGTTAAGGAACCAAACCTTCATATCGAGTTAAGTCATATCTCATGTCTAAACATGAAAAATGTAAAAGATTTGTTTTTTCCAATTATGAAAATATTAATCTTTAAGTGGATTTATTCCAACTATAAAAATTGTTAGCACTTCAAGTATCGATGAGAATCATTTCATGTGAGTAACTACTTTGTGGATAAAGGGCAGTGGTTAAAGCGTTCGCTTGTCACGCCGAAGACCCGGGTTCGATTCCCGACATGGGTATAATGTGTAAAGCCCATTTCTGGTGTCCTCTGCCGTGAAATTGCTGGAATATTGCTAAAAGCGGTGTAAAACCACACTCACTCACTCACTCACTTTGTGGATAAAAAATTACCCTAGAGCATGGTTGCCATGTGGCATATGTGATATACCATATTTAAAAAAACCAACATTTTAAAAACAAATAAAACATTATATTAAATTGTTCTGTTTTGTTTCAGGAGACATTGATTTTAAGATGAAGACCTCAGGACCAACTGAGTTATGTTTTACGGACATTAATGTGACAATTGATGCGAAGGAAATCCTCTCGGATGTTACTGGAGCAGTCCACAGTGGGGAGATACTTGCCGTCATGGGCCCAAGTGGTAGGAGCATTATTTTACTGTGCCAGACACTCTACATTAGGCTAGTTTCTTGCTTATAAGTATCGTGTATCAGAAATTATTAATTTACACAGGGATTTGTCTGGACCTGATTGTCTGGACCGATATTGAACCCCGAGTCTGGAAAAAAGACATTAAACATTCCCAAAGTAGAGGTAGTTAGTGAGTGAGTTTGGTTTACGCCGCTTTTAGCAATATTCCAGCAATATCACAGCGGGGGACACCAGAAATGGGCTTCACCCATTGTACCCATGTCGGGATTCGAACCCGGGTTTTTCGGCGTGACGAGCAAACGCTTTAACCACCAGGCCACCCGACCGCCCCTCCCAATTTAGAACTAAGAATTTCCCAATTCATGTTACTCTGTATTCATATTTAATAACATATTTTTTGGCTTTGTAGAAGAAACCTGTACTCACTTATAACAAGACCAATAAATATTAAGAGGTTTTAATGCTTCGTTTTATGTTATTGCATTAAATGCAATCTCAAAATACCTATGAATTTAAGAAAATAAATTTTCTCAATTTTGAACAAAATATTTTTTCCCAATTTGCCTGTCATGGGTACTTAGTTAGCAATCCTAGATAAATCCCAAGTTATCTTGAGCTTTTAGATATCATTTTATTCAACTTGCTAGCCTGGCTGAAAGTATACTACACTAGGCTACATCTGCCCAGAGAAGGGAAGGTCGGCAGTTCAATCATTGGCCGTGACATACCAATAGACATTAATGAGGTTACCTAGCCTGGTGCTCAGCATTAACAAAATAAAACCATGACTGGTCAGCTCAGAGTCAGTTTGCTGTCTGAGTGGGGTATTCTTGTTATACATGTGGCATGGTATCTCATTGGGCAAGCACTATGAAACCGACATTAATCTGGGCTGGTAAAAGTAACCACACACACACGTTGCTATATATGTGCCATCTTGAATCCTAAAACCCAATTTCACCCAACTTCATTCAATTAAGAATTGACTATAATATATTTTGCATTTATGGATTTATTGATGTACAAAATTGGTGCACACTGTATAAATCGGTAAATATGTCACATAAAATATAAACGCAAAGAAATTGCTAGGATAGGTCTCGTGGAAAACTGGTGCCTTTTGATAGTTTGGGATTTTCAACAAAGATATGTTTTGATTTTCCACTCCAACAACTTTGACTTAGGCGCTGATGGTGCTAGTGTTTAGTGCTCGTTTCCGGAGCAGATCTTGAAAACCTTTCAATATTTCTTCACCAAACTTGGCACACATATAGGTCTTTTTTTATCATGATGTAATTAAAAGAATTTAAGATTTAATTAAAAAAACCTTCAATAATATTATTTAATGTTCAAATGTTTACTAAGAGATAATTAATATGAAAATTGAAAGATGGTAAGATCTTAATATTTTGGATGTTTTTAAGTTCATGTCAGAAAAGATCTCAAGTAATGGAATGTCTCATTGTTTAATCACCATTTTTTATGTTGTTAGGCTCGGGGAAGACAACTCTTCTGAATTCTGTTGCGGGTAGAGTGGCGAGAAAATCAGGGGAGATAACTCTCAATGGTAACAAACTGACCCGGAGACTGCGGAAAAACATGTGCTATGTGATGCAGGAAGATGTCTTTTTGTGTAACCTTACACTTAGGGAAACTTTGTATGTAAGTAAATCACGCATCGAGCCTGTATTTGTTTGCAATTATTACAGATACCCAACAGGCCCATGGCAAAGAAAAACAAAATAGCAGTTTGTGGACAAAGTATTGATTTAAGCAACATCACTTGGTTTTCACACCTTATTTGATACTGCCTATTTCTTCCTTGATTAGGACGTCCTCAGCAACCTATGCTGGACTCGACAGGCAACCGACAGTCTTTGTGCCTCAGTTGATGGTGTGTTCTCCAACAACATGGATCGTTGATCACAGTATCAATCACTGGATTGTCTGGTCCAGTCTGGATTATTTGCAGACCATATAGCTGAAATATTGCTGAGTTCAGCATTAACCAACAGATATTCCAACCTCACTCAACTTGACTGTAATCCTTGTCTGTCTTCGCCACACTTGTACAAATCGGTTTCACCAAAGATTCTTTACGCATCGCCAAATGTGTGTAGAAAAAAAAATTTCAACTGGCGACTTTAAGGTAAAGTATTTCGACCCATGAAGATCCAGGGTGAAATAGGTCTTCAGCAGCCCATGCTTGCCGTAAAAGGCAACTATGCTTGTCGTAAGAGGCGACTAACGGAATAAGATGGTCAGGTTCACTGACTGGGTTGATGCATGTCATCGCATCCCATTTGCGTAGATTGATGCTCATATCAAACACTGGATTGTCTTGTCCAGACCCGATTATTTACAGACCACCCTCATATAGCTGAAATATTGCTGAGTGCAGCATTATACAACAAACAAACAAATGTAAAGTATTTTAAACAATGGCCATGATATAGTTTGCAGCTATGGTACAGTTACCGGAGAAGATGTCCTACCAAGAAAAGATGTCATGTCTACAAGATATTCTAGACGCACTGGATCTGAACGCGTGCAAAGACACAAGTGAGTTGCCCCTGGCACCAGTCCCTCTTTCCTTTGTGAGTTAAACAACAACAGGGAAAGAAATGCTCTTGAGTGACGCTTTACGCAGCTTTTAGCAATATTCGAACAATATCATGGCAGGGGACACCAGAAATGGGCTTCACACATTGTACCCATATGGGGAATCGAATCCAGGACCAACACTCTGACCACGAGGCTAACCCACTGCCCCTTTCAAGGATGCCTCAGGGCAGTCCTGTTCAGATTGGCCTTTAGGAATCTAGGTTTGCCTTCCAGAACAATTGAGGGGCGGTCGGGTAGCCTAGTGGTTAAAGCATTCGCTCGTCACGCCGAAGACCCAGGTTCGATTCCCGACATGGGTACAATGTGTGAAGTCCATTTCTCTTGTCCCCCGCCGTGGTATTGCTGGAATATTGCTAAAAGCGGTGTAAAACCAAACTCACACACTCACTCACTCCAGAACAACTGTTTTCATTCATCTGTGAATGTCATTTCACCACAGCCTAGTCTTCTCCTTTCCTTATGATTGAGTTTTCTAATACCATGTTCCGGTTCTGAATAAGGATTATCTTGTGAACCATGCTCTCCTCTGAACATGTTCACATGGTAAACGTGTTTGTAAAGTTTACTTTTGCGAAAGAAAGTAAATTTATAACTAAATTTGATATCGAAGATACTGAGTCACAAACTGGAGATTAGACATGGAGACTGGGGTTTACTGACACTAGACATGGAGACTGGAGTTTACTGAGATATTAGACATGGAGATTGGGGTTTACTGAGACTAGACATGGAGACTGTCATTTACTGAGACTAGACATGGAGACTGGAGTTTACTGTGACTAGACATGGAGACTGGAGTTTGCTGAGACTAAACATGGAGACTGGAGTTTACTGAGACTAGGCATGGAGACTGTCATTTACTGAGACTAGACATGGAGACTGGAGTTTACTGAGACTAGACATGGAGACTGCCTAGACATGAGACTAAAGTTTACTAGACAGGAGCTTCTGTGATGCTGTGACAGGCACAGTGTTAACGTTGCAGGGAGTAACACACTGCTGTTTGTGTTCCAGGAATGGGTGGGCCGGTGGAGCGTGGGTTGTCAGGGGGGGAGAAGAAGCGGGCCAGCATTGGCTGTGAGCTGTTGATGGATCCTGACATCATGCTGTTGGATGTAAGTGGCTTCACGCATATTGACAGAACATAATTTATTAAAATTTAGTTGTTTTTTCAGCCAATGTGGATTAACTGCATACTATGAAAGTATGAAACTAGTCCTAGAAACAGTATTGTGAATGAATATGACTGGACCAAGTGTATTGACTAAGCATCATATTTATTCACCTGTATCAGAGCCTCATGCCTATTCCCCTGTGTTATCAGAGCCTCATGCCTAGTCTGTGTACCAGACTGATGACAGTGTGAGTTGTTAAATAAATCTTGAACGATACAGCTTAAACACCTAGCTTCATTGAAGCGATCGTAAGGTCACTACATCACCAGTCCTACACCTTGACACATCACATGTAGACCCATCCACCGGTCCACAGGTTTTTGAAGCACTTTCCACTGGTCCACAAGTACACCATATCACTGGTCCACAAGTACACTATATCACTGGTCCACAAGTACACTATATCACTGGTCCACAAGTACACTATATCACTGGTCCACAAGTACACTATATCACTGGTCCACAAGTACACTATATCACTGGTCCACAAGTACACTATATCACTGGTCCACCAGTACACTATATCACTGGTCCACAAGTACACCATATCACTGGTCCACAAGTACACTATATCACTGGTCCACAAGTACACCATAACACTGGTCCACAAGTACACTATATCACTGGTCCACAAGTACACTATATCACTGGTCCACCAGTACACTATATCACTGGTCCACCAGTACACTATATCACTGGTCCACAAGTACACTATATCACTGGTCCACAAGTACACTATATCACTGGTCCACAAGTACACCATATCACTGGTCCACAAGTACACTATATCACTGGTCCACAAGTACACCATATCACTGGTCCACAAGTACACCATATCACTGGTCCACAAGTACACTATATCACTAGTCCACAAGTACACCATATCACTGGTCCACAAGTACACCATATCACTGGTCCACAAGTACCCTTTATCACTGGTCCACAAGTACACTATATCACTGGTCCACCAGTACACCATATCACTGGTCCACAAGTACACCATGTCACTGGTCCACAAGTACACTATATCACTGGTCCACAAGTACACCATATCACTGGTCCACAAGTACACCATATCACTGGTCCACAAGTACACCATATCACTGGTCCACAAGTACACTATATCACTGGTCCACAAGTACACCATATCACTGGTCCACAAGTACACCATATCACTGGTCCACAAGTACACTATATCACTGGTCCACAAGTACACTATATCACTGGTCCACAAGTACACTATATCACTGGTCCACCAGTACACCATATCACTGGTCCACAAGTACACTATATCACTGGTCCACAAGTACACCATATCACTGGTCCACAAGTACACCATATCACTGGTCCACAAGTACACCATATCACTGGTCCACAAGTACACTATATCACTGGTCCACAAGTACACCATATCACTGGTCCACAAGTACACCATATCACTGGTCCACAAGTACACTATATCACTGGTCCACAAGTACACCAAATCACTGGTCCACAAGTACACCATATCACTGGTCCACAAGTACACTATATCACTAGTCCACAAGTACACCATATCACTGGTCCACAAGTACACCATATCACTGGTCCACAAGTACCCTTTATCACTGGTCCACAAGTACACTATATCACTGGTCCACCAGTACACCATATCACTGGTCCACAAGTACACCATATCACTGGTCCACAAGTACACTATATCACTGGTCCACAAGTACACCATATCACTGGTCCACAAGTACACCATATCACTGGTCCACAAGTACACCATATCACTGGTCCACAAGTACACTATATCACTGGTCCACAAGTACACCATATCACTGGTCCACAAGTACACCATATCACTGGTCCACAAGTACACTATATCACTGGTCCACAAGTACACTATATCACTGATCCACAAGTACACTATATCACTGGTCCACCAGTACACCATATCACTGGTCCACAAGTACACTATATCACTGGTCCACAAGTACACTTTATCACTGGTCCACAAGTACACTATATCACTGGTCCACAAGTACACGCCATTGATGCATCATCTGTGGACTACTGGATACCGAAAGGTGTATAAGAAGTTCCAAAACCTACACTACATTGGTGAGAACAACCTAGCTTGAAACCAGTCACTGATATAGATGAGATTACTCAAAGGTATCACAGAGGGGCGGTCGGGTAGCCTAGTGGTTAAAGCGTTCGCTCGTCATGCCGAAGACCCAGGTTCGATTCCCGACATGGGTACAATGTGTGAAGCCCATTTCTGGTGTCCCTCGCCATGATATTGCTGGAATATTGCTCAAAGCGGCGTAAAACCATACTCACTCACTCACTAAGGTATCACCGAACCCCAGTTTTTAAAGTCACAGTATTAACCTGTGTTTTCTGACAATCGCATCTACTCACCCACTCTTCCAGGAACCCACCACTGGGTTAGACTCCAGCACAGCCTGCGACCTGATGACTCTACTGAAGCGTTACACCTCGGACTACAACAAGACAGTCCTCGTCACCATACACCAGCCTTCCAGTCGCATGTTCTACATGTTCACCAGGCTCATGCTGCTAGCCAAGGGCAAGGTCAGTCTACAAGTAGACTTGTCGTGGTTCCAGCAACAAGGGATGTGTTGTTACTGCGGGCTTGGGTTCTTATTCTCGTCAACTCAGCAACGGAAGATGATAAAGCTGCTGCCTTCCTTTCATTTCATGATTCTCCTATTGACCAATCAGATTCCACCTCTCGTATCACTTGCATTTGCTTCAAACAAAACGGTGGCGCCCAGTCAAGACGATCTGATCAATAATCAAGATCTATATTGTGATAAAACGAGTCTTACATCGCGAAGTGCATCAAATCACGAGAGCACCTTGATTAAAAACATGAAAAGATATAGAAAATATCTGTTGACAACGAGTTAGCAGTGCACATGCTTTGCAAATCCTGCAGTCGACCTAAATCTGCTTGACACTTTACGAGCCGGATTTCGATTTCGGGGCGCAATTTTGATTGGACTATGCATAGACTCGTTAGGTCAGCCAAAATGTAACTCCAAAATACCAGCCTAGTTCGGCAAGGGTGGAAACTGGACTTTTATAGTCAGTTAACTCACTTGCCTCGGGAAGATGCATGCAATGTAGACTTCATTAGAACTAATAGCATACAGTGTATATAGGATGATCAGTGTCGGTTGGACAGGACATGGCTTGGGTGAATGCTGGGGAAGACACCATTTGTCACAACCAACAAGCAGTTTATGTAAAATAACTAGATTTAGGTGGAAACAGCAACATATACTCATATGTGACATACATACATATAGTTCATACATACATATAGTTCATACATACATATAGTTCATACATACATATAGTTCATACATACATATAGTTCATACATACATATAGTTCATACATACATATAGTTCATACATACATATAGTTCATACATACATATAGTTCATACATACATATAGTTCATATATACATATAGTTCATACATACATATAGTCATACATACATATAGTTCATACATACATATAGTTCATACATACATATAGTTCATACATACATATAGTTCATACATACATATAGTTCATATATACATATAGTTCATACATACATATAGTTCATACATACATATAGTTCATACATACATATAGTTCATACATACATATAGTTCATACATACATATAGTTCATACATACATATAGTTCATACATACATATAGTTCATATATACATATAGTTCATACATACATATAGTTCATACATACATATAGTCATACATACATATAGTTCATACATACATATAGTTCATACATACATATAGTTCATACATACATATAGTTCATACATACATATAGTTCATATATACATATAGTTCATACATACATTTAGTTCATACATACATATAGTTCATACATACATTTAGTTCATACATACATATAGTTCATATATACATATAGTTCATACATACATATAGTTCATACATACATTTAGTTCATATATACATATAGTTCATATATACATATAGTTCATACATACATATAGTTCATACATACATATAGTTCATACATACATTTAGTTCATATATACATATAGTTCATATATACATATAGTTCATACATACATATAGTTCATACATACATATAGTTCATACATACATATAGTTCATACATACATTTAGTTCATATATACATATAGTTCATATATACATATAGTTCATACATACATATAGTTCATACATACATATAGTTCATACATACATATAGTTCATATATACATATAGTTCATACATACATATAGTTCATACATACATATAGTTCATACATACATATAGTTCATACATACATATAGTTCATATATACATATAGTTCATATATACATATAGTTCATACATACATATAGTTCATACATACATATAGTTCATACATACATATAGTTCATATATACATATAGTTCATATATACATATAGTTCATACATACATATAGTTCATACATGCATATAGTTCATACATACATTTAGTTCATATATACATATAGTTCATACATACATATAGTTCATACATACATATAGTTCATACATACATTTAGTTCATATATACATATAGTTCATATATACATATAGTTCATACATACATATAGTTCATACATACATATAGTTCATACATACATATAGTTCATATATACATATAGTTCATATATACATATAGTTCATACATACATTTAGTTCATATATACATATAGTTCATATATACATATAGTTCATACATACATATAGTTCATATATACATATAGTCATATATACATATAGTTCATATATACATATAGTTCATATATACATATAGTTCATACATACATATAGTTCATATATACATATAGTTCATACATACATATAGTTCATACATACATTTAGTTCATATATACATATAGTTCATATATACATATAGTCATATATACATATAGTTCATATATACATATAGTTCATACATACATTTAGTTCATATATACATATAGTTCATATATACATATAGTTCATACATACATATAGTTCATATATACATATAGTTCATACATACATATAGTTCATATATACATATAGTTCATACATACATATAGTTCATACATACATATAGTTCATACATACATATAGTTCATATATACATATAGTCATATTTTGATTTTCACCATTTTTTCACTGTTCTTTTCACTGTTCTCCGACTAATCCGTAAAAGGCGACTATGTTTGTCGTAAGAGGTGACTAACGGGATCGGGTGGTCAGGCTCGCTGACTTGGTTGAGCATCGTAACCCTTTGTATTTCAGAAAGCATTTAATTCAACGTTCAGTTGAACGTGGGAGGTGTATGACTCAGGGCCCCGTTTCACAAAGCTGTCTTTACGCTAAGGTGAGGTGACTCCCATACTGTATCACTGGCTTACGATAGTCGTAGCGCTAAGATCACTTTGTGGAAGGGCCCTGGTTAGTTGTGTATAAGCTTCCATGTATTCAGACTGTGTTGTTTCTCTGTCCTGCAGGTGGCCTACTTCGGCCAGGCTGACAAAGCTCTGGATTTCTTTGCTGATGCTGGGCTGCCGTGCACCCCACACTGCAACCCGGCAGACTTCATGTGTAAGTCAACACAACAATAAAACCATCCTGCACTGTCCAGGGGATTTTATCCCCATTTTGTGATAAGTATTGTTTGTTTCTTGTTAACGCCGCACCCTCCAATATTCCAGCTATATGACGGCGGTATGTAGATAATCGAGTCTGGACCAGACAATCCAATGATTGATATAAGCATCCATCCACGCAGTTGAGATACGGTGACATATTTCAATCAAGTCAGCGAGCCTGACCATCAGATCCCGTTGTCTTACGACAAGAATAGTCGTCTTTTACGGCAAGCATGGGTTGCTGAAGACCAATTCTACCCCGAATCTTCGTAGGCACCCTGGACCTCTTCACCGCTAAGCTTCATTTTGGAAGTGATATCATCATCTCCATCTGGCTTTTCACTGATCCTGTTGTGCAGTGGAACTAAATAGTTTTTAGCTGGTTTAACTTAAATGAAAACTAATCAACTACCGGTACATATGAATGACTTACCTGTTATAACCAAGGTTTCAAAGAAGTTGTCACAGAGCAGTCACATTTTATGGATAACAACTTCTTTATTATACTGTAATAGTAATTGTTATCAATAAATTGTGACACTTTTTTATCTGTTATGTTCAAATAATTCAAAGATGTTACAGGCAACACACACACACACACACACACACACACACACACACACACACCACACACACCACACACACACACACACACACACACACACACATACACAAATAATACTAATAATATTTACTTACTTATACTTATCTGAAGCTGTGGTTGATGTTGCAGTGGAGATGCTGAAGCGGGACGATGACACTGTGGGGAGGCTGGTGTGTGGATCACAAGGGAGCACTTCCAGGTACCCATTAAACAACTCCTTGTGGAGCTTTAATGAAAGATGATAGCTCAAGGGGGCATGGGTGGCCCAGTATCTTAGGAGCTGTATTTGTAGTTCACTGTGCAGAGTTGCCTCCCTTGGACGTGCCAGAAACCTATCATCCTCGACTGGCGCTGATTATGCTTCTAACTTTGTTAGCACTATACCCATTCCCCCTGGTTTCAAAATCAGAACAATAGGCAAAATTATCATTATAGAATTCATGCCATTTAATTGTTGTGACATCTGTTATGTGTTCATCATGTAGAAACTGTGTCGAATTCGTAATTCATTGAACCAACAACACAAGAGATTATGATGTAAAATCAACCATTTTGTACTTCTAACCAACTTACAATGCATGCGCAATGGAACACTTCACGCTTGCTGACACTCAACAGTGCCGTAGCCAGCCAGGCGTGCAGGGGGGGCAGTTGCCTCCCTGGATTTTTTATAGAAAACATAAGTAACTTGATACTTATACAAATATTTGCCCTCCCCCATCAAAAAAAGTTAACTATGGCCTTGCCCATACAATGCAGAATAAATACCTAAGATTTGCCAAAAACTACATCAATGTGTATATTTTTAGACATGTAAGCAGCATAGAAATATGGTTTGTGTATGCTGATTAAAGTGTTGTTTTTCTTTGTTTTATGTTCCTCCAAGAAATGCCAAAGTCATTAAATCTACACAACCATGCCAGGAAGCCAGCTTTGTATTTACACCTAACCTTGACCCTGACCTTGACCCTGATCCAGAGCAAGGCAGCCGCTATCCCACCAGTTTCTGGACCCAGTACAAGATGCACATGTGGCGGACGTACAAGCAGTCACGTGGTCGGATCCTGTCCATGCATTCAATCATTGGCATGCTGGCGCTAGCCGTCATCGTGGGGTTCATCTGGTTCCAGATCCCCAGGACGGCGGACTCTGTGAGAGACAGGATGGGGTTGGTGAGTTGTGTACACACACTATATGTCTGAAATATTACTGAAGGAATATCAAATTTGAACTGCATATTTGACCATTTGCTTATCGTGCATATACCGTATTCGACGTAATAAGCGCCCAGGGCGCTCTGAAAATTAGAAATAGGGGGCTCTTATTAGAATGTTATTTTGGTGAAAAAAACAGAGTTGAAAGATAAATTTCGTGGTTTCTGCTGACAGCCTGAAATGTTTATGTGCGACAGATATATTTTTCAAGAATTAAATGCCCATAATTAAGGGTGCACATAACACACGAGTGCGTATTATACGCGAATAAATAAGTCTTGTGTACATTGATCAATCGGAAGGGGGGCTAATTGGGATTGTTCACTAGCCAATATCTTAACAAATGTCGCCGTGGGCGCTTATTAGAGCGGGGCGCTTATTACGTCGAATACGGTAGTTGGAAATTGGTGAGGGTGGCATGAAACAACACACACTCATTTATATAAGTAAGAATACCCTTGACACCTGTGTTTCACTCATATGTGAACCTGTTGTTTTTGTTTAATCTAGAGTGGTGGGGTAGCCTAGTGGTTAAAGCGTTCGCTCATCACGCCGACAACCCAGGGTCGATTCCCCTCATGGGTACAATGTGTGAAGCCCATTTCTGGTGTCCCCCGCTGTGATATTGCTGGAATATTGATAAAAGCAGCGTAAAACCATACTCACTCACTCACTTAATTTTCTGTATGTTAGGGATTGTCATTCTTTAAAAGGAGATAGACACTAGACACTAGACAGACACACCCCAATTGGCCCAAAATCTGCATATGTCAGTAATAATTAATAAATACCACATTTTAATTATAGTTAATATTATATAAATAGAAGTGACTTTAATATATGATTTACATATTTGCATTGAATACAAAGTTAAAACACCTCTGAGTTTAAGAAAATAAGAACTTTTTAAAAATCCCTGTTTTTGACGAAATAATATTTTTTTCAAAATTTCCTGCAAAGCTCACTTTGTTTGGAATCTTAAATTTGATGTCAAATGAAAATCAAACAAATGTTTTGACCATGAAGTACAATGTAACTGTACCCAGTAGGGGCGGTCGGGTAGCCTAGTGGTTAAAGCGTTCGATCGTAAAGCCGAAGACCCGGGTTCGATTCCCGATATGGGTACAATGTGTGAAGCCCATTTCTGGTGTCCCCTGCCGTGATATTGCTAGAATATTGCTAAAAGTGGCGTAAAACCATACTCACTAACTGTACCCAGTACTGCCCTTGCGCCACTCTCTACATTTGTTCAGGGCCCTGATGTTCACACCAAAGACCTGGGTTCGATTCCCCACATGGATACAATATGTGAAGTCCTTTTCTGGTGTCCTCCACTGTTATATTGGTGGAATGTTGCTAAAAACGGCCTAAAACAGTACTCACTCACTCTCCCATCTGTCTCCCTGTTGTAATGGTGTAATAACCCATGAAGATCTGGGTTAGAATTGGTTTTCATCAACCCATCCTTCTCTCCCCCCTTGAAGATCTGGGTTAGAATTGGTCTTCAGCATCCCATGCTTGTCGTAAGAGGTGACTAACACGATCGGGTGGTCAGACTTGCTGACTTGGTTGATGCATGTCATCGATCCCAATTGCGTGAATCGATGCTCGTGAAATCAATCACTGGAGTGTCTGGTCCAGACTCGATTATTTACAGACCACCGTCATATAGCTGGAATATTGCCGAGTGCAGCATTAAACGACAAACAAAAGATATGGTGTCATATATTCTTTTACTTGGAACACTGAGCTTTTGTGATAGCAAATTTCTTGTTCATTTGTTTGTCGCAAGCTGAAGGTTTCAACTCTTCCCCCATTCAGGAGCAGTTAGGGGAGCCCAGTGGTTATAGTGCAGTCTTCTCATGCCTAAGACCTGGGTTTGATTCCCCATGTGGTTACAACGTGATACCCATTCTTGCTGTCCCCAACAATGACATGGCTGGAATATTGCTAAAAGTGCCAAAACTCATGACTCTTTCACTTAATTTCTTAACACTTTCATTTACTGTATTTGATGTAATAAGCGCCCCGCTCTAATAAGCGCCCATGGCTATATTTACTAATATATTGGTAAGTGAACAATCCCAATTAGCATCCCCTGATTGATCAATGTATACAAGACTTATTTATTTGTGTATAATACGCACTTGTGTGTTATATGCACCCTCAATTTCTGGGCAATTAAATTCTGGAAAAATATATCTGTCGTATATAAACAGTTCAGACCGTCAGCATAAACCACGAAATTTATCATTTCACCAAAATAATATTCTAATAAGAGCCCCCTATTTCTAATTTTGAGAGCGCCCTGGGCGCTTATTATGTCGAATACGGTATTCGCTCTGTCACTCACTGAAAGAGTATTCACTGACTGACTGTTTGTTTTCACTAACTCTTTGTTTTCACTAACATTTTGTTTTCACTTGCAGTTGTTTTTTGGTATTGGTCACATGGGCTTCATCACCATCTTTGATGGTATTGTCTCTTGTAAGTGTAACCATGGTAACCAGAGAAATCATAATGTTATAATTTAAAACCTCAGTTGGTTGTTTTCATGGCAGTGCTTTTTGTCCTTTTAAATACAAAAACCAGAACAATTCACAGCTGACCCCTTTTTCAAGCCGAGAGAGCCTGGAACACAGTTTAACCAATTAACAGTGGTTTAGGGTTTTGAGGTCATGTGCTGGTGTCTACTATAATACAGATATGTTTAAATCACCATCAAATTATTTATCATCCCAAACTGGCTTTCAGGGGAGTTATAGCTACAATAATATTTCCGCACAATGCTTTGCAGACCATTGTGACATCATCAGTTACATGATATCAATTATCAATTGGTTAGCTGTACTTTTTACACTCGATCTCGCTGTTTGTTACAGTTTACAGACTGAAAAAGTTGGAAAAATGATTTGAGATGATACAGGAGAAATCACACACTCAGCTCGAGATAAGCTGTGTGTTTACATTAATAAACTAATTTTTGATTTGTGTACAATACACATGAAATATATAAAAAAGCTATATTTACAAATTGTAGCCATTTCAGTTTGCGTACTTGTATTTCTTTGCACATCTTTATTCACTGATCAAATGCAGGATTAGTTTGTCGTTAAACGCCAAACTCAGCAATATTCCAGCTATAGGATGGTGGTCAAATGCAGGAATGACAAATACATGGACCCAACCGCTGTGAATAATGCACAGAAGTGGCGTATTGTCACTGAGACATGTATCGCTGTTGTGACACACTTTGGGCAGCACAATGAGGTCTTTGCAGTGGTTAAAAAAAACCAATAGATATTTCCAAAGGAGTAAAAGTATATTGAAAAGTTTTCAATGAAAACCAAAGAAACTATAGCCGACAATGTAATTAAGAGGACTGAGGTGTGAAGATGGTGTAATACGGTTTGTTCTCTGTAAAAGATATAGATGGCATCAATATTAGTTGAAGTTATGTCGAGCGAGCAAGAAGATCTCCTCTTGGCTGTGGGGTGACAAAAAGTGACATTTAAAAGTGTCCACATCACACCCCAGTATGCGTATGAGATACTACTGGTAAGACAACCAGGAGTAGAGTGAGAGAAGAAGCGTATGTAGCAGGGCGTGGAGTCATCCCACAGATGACATCCTTACCTTGTCAGCTTGCTGACGGGGTTAACCTCATTGGTCATGTGGACAAGGCGTCCGACCTCGGATCAGAAGGTCCATGGTTCGAATCCCATCACAGGACTCGGAAATTTTATGGCCGCTACATAGGCGCCCAACGTGGGGCTGAGCACGTTCATATCAAATTTGAGCAAAATAAGCCTCAGTACCCTACTATGCGGCCCGGGACGTGCCTTCCGTTGACAAGGGAGTATGTAGCAGGGCGTGGAGTCATCTGACACATGACATCCTTACCTTGTCAGCTTGCTGACGGGGTTAACCTCTTTTGGTCATGTGGACAAGGCGTCCGACCCCTGATCAGAAGGTCCGTGGTTCGAATCCCATCACGAGACTCGGACATTTTTATGGCCGCTACACGTACGTAAAAGGAAATAGAGAATAGGTGTAGAATAATAACATTAGATATATCTGGTGACACTCTCAGTTCCCAGTGTGACTGATGCCTTGTGAGTAAATACTCAATGGCTACAAAAATGACCTTATAAAGCTCGCACAAGTTGAACTTTCCTATCAGCCAATCATCTTTTAGAGAGATATTGTGTCGGAGTAAAAAATCTGATTATATTGAGATTCATATTTTTTGTTTGACTAAGTTGTGACCTGAGCGGATGTACGTATGTCAGCTGTATGGTGTTGATATTGCTGAGTCAGCCTTTCTCCAATACATATAATTTAGGTCCAGGGTCAAACCTTGGGGTCGGCCTATTTCCCAGGTCTGCTAATACTCTGTAATGGTTTGTAAAGACAGTTGAAACAATAGGTAAAATATTCATCTGGGGTCATGCTGTTTTCAGTTCTACAAGTTGTCTTTAGTCCCAGTTTATCCTTTATCCTTTCCAGTCAGTTTAGGTATATAATGATGTAATAATTTCAAATTAAAATAAATATTCTCATATCATTACAACAAATAATGTAAGACAAATGAACTGTCTCATATTACATTCACAATAATTAGGAAATGTTCCTGATTGTAGTTTCTGAGGAACGCCCTGTTCACTTGAAGGAGCGAGGAGCTGGAATGTACCGACTGTCCTCGTTATATCTGGCCAAAATTACCAGTGAGCTGCCCTTGACCTTTCTCCTGCCGGCGTGCTACTTCACCATCAGTTACTGGATGGCGGGACTGCGACCCTTGGCCGACGTCTTCTTCGCCTCACTCGCCATAATGATCCTCCATGTCCTCAACTGTAAGGTAGGGAATATATGGATTTCATTTTCTTGATTAACGCTCATGTTTATCAACCTCTGGTTTGTGTGACCCTGATTCTGATTACTAAGATTTGCTCTTGCTGACTGCAGTGTAAATATGCAATGTCTTATCTCTCAAAATCTCTCGCACGCACACACGCACTCACATTGCTATATAAGTACAATAATCTTGGAAGCGACGTTAAATCCCATTTCACCTCCTCACCTCACCTAACCTCACCTCACCTCACCTCACCTCATGTATGATTGTTGTCCAGGGAATTGGTTTCATGATCGGGACGGGAATCTGGAAATTCCGGCTGGCCCTTACCATCACCAGCACCACGATGGTGTCCTTGATAATGGTTGGTGAGTACATCTGCACTAATCAGCGATTACATCAATGCACAATACACTATCAACCTATACCCATATTTGCGTAAGTGGACCGTCACACACACCAGTGATAAGCACCTCTCTCTCGCTGACTTGTTGTCCTGATAAACACTTGAGTATGCTGGTCATGTGCCATGTCTTCAGTCACCGATTTCTTCATCCGTTTTCCTGTTTCAAGGTAATATCAAAATCCTCTCTCAGTGGGTGGTGGTGGTGGGGGGGGGGGGGGGGGGGGGTTGGTTCTGGACCCTCTGCATCCCCACTAGGGACACATACAGAGAATCTCATCCGAGGGACTTTCGATATCAAATTAATATATCAACACGAAATGAGGCTTGCTCATGACCTTTAACTTGTATTTACGTGTGTTGACTTGTTTGATAGCAAAAGATACTAGGGTGAATCACCATTTATCATCCAAAAGCTTTTTCAGTTTGTATACATTAGTGTTTTGAGTGTAAAAAGTACAGCTAACCAGCTCAATGAGATTAGTGATGTCATTTGACTGTGAGGTAATGTAACCGATGACATCACACACAAGATATGGTCTGCAAAGCATTGTGATGTCATTTGTTGTAGAGTTGTCTCCATGCAGATGTTGTTTGATCTCACCCAAGTTATATCTGCCGTGGAAGCCTGTTTCGGAGATAAATGGTGTCAGAAACTCCTATCAGTCCTTAGCACTTATGTGTACGAGAATATAGTCCAGATTGTTCTTTCCTATGCACAGCTTTACCTTTGAGAAATTTGGTGCAGAAAACAAACTTGTGGCAGTTTCTAACCCAGTCCACTCGGTTCCCCAGGTGGGTTTTACATAACTATGATGCCGCCATGGCTGTTCTGGTCTCGGTACCTGTCTGTGTTCGGACACACCCTCAGTGCCATGTTAATCCTGGAGTTTGCTGACTTCACCCCAATTCCGTGAGTATCTTCAGTCTAGATGTTAACTAGATCCAACTTATGAACCGTCTAAATGTAAGAAATGTCCAAAAAAATCAGGAAACATTGGCAAACCTTATAGTGAAACAATACAGTGTGTCCCGGTATAAAAGGAATTTGATAAAAGCGTGCAAGAGAAAGACCACATGCAGCATGCACACAACTGAAGTCATGACATGTAAAATTAAACAACCTTTTATCACCTGCCCCGGTAGCTCAGTGGGAAAACAGTGGGTTACAAAACTTAACACTTTATGTTGCAGGTTTGATTCATGTCATGGAATTTTCATGTGAAAAAACATTTGTGAATTTTAAGCAATGAAAAAGTAATAGTATATTCATATCCAAAGGCCAGTTTATATCACTTCAGTTGTTAAACCTAGGTCTTACAATTCAAAATGTAAAACCTCTGAGCAGGTTTCACTTGAAATTAGTACCTCTCACAATACAATACAAATACAATACAATACAATAGGCAAAGTGGCAGTACGTTTGTATTGGCAGTTTGCATCCAAGATCTCTCAGTGTTTGTTTGTGATTTCAAGTAATAAGGATTCATTTGTGAGCTATTGTTCCTTAACACTGATCTTTCTTGTTGCAGAATTTGTTTGGACATTTTCTTTGATATATGGCCAACCCCATACTAAACCATGCTTAGCTCTTTAAAATCGGATAACTGTATCAGCTCATATGAGGTAAAATGAAAATCTGGTGGTCAGGCGCTGTGACTTGGCTGATGCATGTCATTGTACCCTGGCTGCACGGTTTATTGTGCACAGTATCAATCACAGGATTGTCTGGTCCAGATGTAATTATTTCAAGGCTGCCATCTCGATTATGATGAGTTCAGAGTTGAATTACAATCAAACAAATTGATATGGACAGTTATTATCCCCCGCCGCGCGAAAGCGCGAAGCGGGGGATATAGTATTCACGACCGTCCGTACGTCCGTCTGTCTGTCCGTACGTCCGTCCGTACGTCCCACCTGTTTGTTGCCGCGATATCTGAAGAACTAAACACTGGATTGTCTTCATATTTGGAACTATGGTGTATATACAGACTCCGCAGACACCAGTCGGTTTTGGTGACCTTGATCCCATTTTCAAGGTCACAGCAGACAAATCTGCTTTTAGAGTTGGAAAACGGTGTTGCCGCGATATCTCAAGAACTAAACACTGGATTGTCTTCATATTTGGAACTATGGTGTATATACAGACTCCGCAGACACCAGTCGGTTTTGGTGACCTTGATCCCATTTTCAAGGTCACAGCAGACAAATCTGCTTTTAGAGTTGGAAAACGGTGTTGCCGCGATATCTCAAGAACTAATCACTGGATTGTCTTCATATTTGGAACTATGGTGTATATACAGACACCGCAGACACCAGTCGGTTTTGGTGACCTTGACCCCATTTTCAAGGTCACAGCAGGCAAATCTGCTTTTGGAGTTGGAAAACGGTGTTGCCGCGATATCTCAAGAACTAAACACTGGATTGTCTTCATATTTGGAACTATAGTGTATATATAGACTCCACAGACACCAGTCGGTTTTGGTGACCTTGATCCCATTTTCAAGGTCACAGCAGGCAAATCTGCTTTTAGAGTTGGAAAACGGTGTTGCCACAATAACTCAAGAACTAAACCTCTCGATTGTCTTCATATTTGGAACTATGGTGTATATACAGACACCAGTCGGTTTTGGTGACCTTGACCCCATTTTCAAGGTCACAGCAGGCAAATCTGCTTTTGGAGTTAGAAAACGGTGTTGCCGCGATATCTCAAGAACTAATCGCTGGATTGTCTTCATATTTGGAACTATAGTGTATATACAGACACCGCATACACCTGTCAGATTTGGTGACCTTGACCCAATTTTCAAGGTCACAGCAGGCAAATCTGTTTTTGGAGTTGGAAAACGGTGTTGCCACAATATCTCAAGAACTAATCGCTGGATTGTCTTCATATTTGGTACTATGGTGTATATGGCGGGGGATATTTCGTCACTCTGTGACAAATACTTGTTTATTTTTTGTTCCAGATGTTCGAATGTGACGCTGGACACGTATCCCCAGTGTGGTCGCAATGGTACAGAGTTTGTAACGGCAGAGGTAGTGCTGGAGCAGGTCGGGACTGTACTTCCTATGTACATGTATGTTATGGCCCTCTCCGTAACGCTAATAGTTTACTTCTCTGCCGGCTACGCAATTTTTAGGTTTCGTGGAAAACCAAAGTCATGAGATGCCTTCAATCCTTATATTGTTGATTTGTTACAATCCATTCCTTCCAGTGATTACAGAGCAGCTATTCTAAAACATGTATGACAAATCTTGCCATCAATGAGTGAGTGAGTGAGTGAGTGAGTGAGAGGGTGAGTTTGATTTTTCGGTAATATTCCATCAGAATATCAGCAGGGGACACCTGCAGTGGGCCTGGTACATTATTTTTGGAGGGGGCACGGGTGGCCCAGTCGTCTCAGGTGCCGCAATTCACAATGCAGATTTGAATTGCTTGGACCCTACCCGTGCTCGTGGGTTTCATGAAAGTGGTAAATGTCTGAGACCTGCATCACTTCGGGCTGACCTCACACATCAAGCTGACACGCCCTGACTGGAATACTGTTCAAAGTAGTGGTGGGACCATACACCGATGCACCGGTGAATCGCGATTTTCTACTTCGCGATACAAGTATCGATCACAGTCGCACACCAAGTAAAAAATATCGATTCTGACCTTACATGTTTGCTTTAATAACTGTCCCAATAAACACTAATCAGTAGTGCAAGAGTGAAAACATTAATATTTCCATCTGTTGCGCCATACTTGACACTGTCAACTGTAAATCATCACTGTGCCAGGTATTTGGCCATCCTGTCTATGAAAAAGATGGCTTACGCTCCACAGATAAGAGTGAGTGAGTGAGTGAGTATGGTTTAGCAATATTCCAGCAATATCAAGGCGGGAGACACCAGAAATGGGCTTCACACATTGTACCCATGTCGGGAATCGAACCCAGGTCTTCGGCGTGATGAGCGAACGCTTTAACCACTAGGCTACCTGACCGCCCCCACAGATAAGAGCACATGCAAGTATCGTGATACATATCGGGTCATGAGTAAGGTATCGTGATACATATCGGATCATGAGTAAGGTATCGTGATACATTTCGGGTCATGAATAAGGTATCGTGATACATTTCGGGTCATGAGTAAGGTATCGTGATACATATCGGATCATGAGTAAGGTATCGTGATACGTATCGGATCATGAGTAAGGTATCATGATACGTATCGGATCTCACAGTTGATGTATCGTCCCAGCCCTAGTTCAAAGTGGCATTAGACCCAACTCATTTTCTCCCTGTTTTACAGGAGAACCTACCCTTGTTTTGTCAAATGAGGTCAGTATTTTTACCCAAGAGTATTCTTATTTATTACTTGTTTTCTTCTCTATGTCATTTAAAGACCTTGTGCAGCCAAAAAATTTGAATTAATTATGTAATAATTATCTGCATATTCAAGGTGATTAACTTCACACAAAGAGTGTAGCTCTAGTTTCATAACACTATCATGCAATATCCACATGTGATACAGACTTCAATGATCATTATAAATTATTTTTTATGAAATAAATATGTTAGAAATACATGTGTTGTTGTAAATGGGTTTTTGGCAAGTTTAGGATGTCAGTGAAGTCTGAGGCTCAATCTCATGAAAATGTTATACATGAATACATTGTACAACAAATCTCGGACAACCAGGTCTTCAAGACAATCAAGAAGCAGGATACCTGAGTTCATGCGCCAATCAGATGTTGCCCTTTTTAAATTGATCCATCTTCATTTGTTTCCATCTGTTTTGGATGACATATAAAAATATTTCTATAGTGGTACTCCTCTCTGGGTGTAGAGCCTGTGGCGCTCAGAACCAACAGGGTGGAGAGAATGTCAACAACACCATATTGCCACAAATAACCAACACAGACGACATAAATGTCTGAGATGACATGATAAGTATGTCATGCGCCCACGATTGATCAAACGTCCGTTTATACGCGTGGAGTGGCCGATCAGTCTCCTAATGACAAACCGAGGGAGCCTTGTATGGCTGTTTGAGGGAAAGGTCAGGACCTATGCAGGGTGGTGATGTTTTGTTGCTGGAGGTAGTCAGTTACGATACGTCCAGTGCGTTAGCCAGTGCGATTGGCCAGTGCGTTAGCGTCTTGAAAGACAATGGAAAGACCAACAACATATGACGCGGAACCGGCACCATCCAGTATGTTGTCTCGGTTGTACTGTCCAGTCACACTTCCATGGACAATAGGGGGCACGGGTGGCCCAGTCGTCTAAGGCGCCGCGATTCGCTGTGCAGAGCTGGTCCCTTGGGCACGCCAGAAACCTATGATTCGAATCCCAGTTCGCCCTGATTATGTTTCTAGGTTTGTCAGCACCATATCCGTGCTCGTGGGTTTCACCGAAGTGGTAAACGTCTGAGACCTGCATCACTTCGGGCTTTCCTCCCACATTAAGCTGACACACCGTGATATAACTGGAATAATGTTAAAAGCGGTGTTAAACCCAACTCACTCACTCACTCACTCCATGGACAATATGCAGTGATGTTCTAGCGGCCATGCATAGTGACGCCGCCCCATATCTTTACGTTCCCTTACGTTGACCTCCGCATGACCTTCGTCAGGACGCCCTTAGAAACGTCCACGCCTGTCCAGAAAGTCTGGACTCATCTGTAAACATTATAAGAGATCATGGGCGATTCAATCGTCAAGTGCAATGTCTCGGGTGTAGTGGGGTGTTCCGGAAACGTTCTATCTCCGGCAGCCATTTTTCAAATCTGATCTTTCTTCTAACGAGAGATCATAACATCAATTTTACATTTCATTATTCCCAACATTTTGGGAACTTCACCGCTTATCAAGACCCTAAAGATATCCGTACTCGGGGAGCGACATGACAACCACACTCCCATGAACACATGTGAGTGAATTCGATTAAGAAAAATGTATCTCAAAAAGCAATTACTCAAAGGTGTAATGCGTTCAAACATATTTGAAAAATGTGTGATTCGTTCATTGCCCTTGGCGTAATCCGTTCTTCAAGGTCACAGGGTTAGTTACTGTCGGTGCCCCTCCTTTCAGCGTTAAGGATAATCAAGATATAAGTGAGTGAGTTGGGTTTAACACCGCTTTTAACATTATTCCAGTTATATCGCGGCGTGTCAGCTTAATGTGGGAGGAAATCCCGAAGTGATGCAGGTCTCAGACGTTTACCAGTTCGGTGAAACCCACGAGCACGGGTATGGTGCTGACAAACCTAGAAACATAATCGGGGCGAACCGGGATTCGAACCCACAATCATAGGGACGCAACTCTGGGCCACCCGTGCCCCCTCAAGATATAAGAATAAGTTAAATCAATGCAGACGAGTGAACATGCTAGAAACTATCTAAATGAAGAAAAATGGTCAAAAATGTAATTTGACTGTGATATTATCAAAGCAACAGCATTGTTGAATTTATCGCAATAAACAGCAGTGAATTATCGGTACTACCATTATTTCGGTATTTTGGTGTGGTGGCATATTACGCATATATGCATCTTGTGTGCACAATTTAGTTGGTATATTCAGACATTTATATATTAAAAGTACGGTTGTTGTGGACGTGTTTGCTTCTTTTCTGGTGTAATCTGTTCAATGGAGCGTGTAATTGAGATCTGCCGTTCAGGGGTTCCACACCGTGTACACTGGACTACTCTGCATTACAGAAAGTCAACAACATTCGCGAAAAGGTTTGGTTTGTTTGTTGTTTAAAGCCGCACTCAGCAATATTCCAGCTATATGACGTGGTCTGTAAATAATCGAGTCTGGACCTTGATCGATACATTCGTGACCAACTCGTGTTATTCCGAGACAAGCCGAATAGCGACTCGTGCCCCGCTCATTGCCATTTTTGCGACCGGGTTCCGTCGGGCATACCTAAAACTCGTTGCGTAATGGTTCACATATATTTCCCCATATATTATATATATTTCAGATGCAATTTAAAGCACATCGGGACATGCGGAATTATACAGTATGATTGAACACATTTAACTGTGTCTTGGGTATATTTTTAGATGCAAGACATATGTAAAATCAAAAATTATTTCTGAGGGATTCTTTGACGAGGAACTTGAAATCACACGCGCATTCTGATTGGTTTGTCGTATTTTCGCACATAACATTCATCGATAGGGGGACGAGTCCTCTTGCAGGTTACGGAAAGGAGCGAGTGGTGACGAATGTGATCGATATTTTGAGCAACGATCCACGCCATCGGGATACGATGACATGTAACCAACCAAGTCATCGAGTTGACCACCCCATCCATTTTGTCGCCTCCTACGACCAGCACGGGTTGCATGTGAACAATTCTAACATGGAATCCCCAGGGTGTGAATAGAAGGAATGAGTCCTCGGGCTGATCGACTGCGGGCTTTATCTCGTTAGCGAAAGTAATTGAGATGATTTAAAAACAAGAAATACAAGAAGAGCGCCATTACCATTATGATATCATCTTATTAACATAACGGGACCTCCTTTGATAAAGGCCCGTGAAGATCCGGGGTAGAATAGGTCTTCAGCAACCCATGCTTGCCGTAAAAGGCGACTATGCTTGTCGTAAAAGTCGACTAACGGGATCGGGTGGTCAGGCTCGGTGACTTGGTTGATGCATGTCATCGGTCCGAATTGCGTGGATCGATGCTCGTGTTGTCAATCACTGGATTGTCTGGTCCAGACTCTATTATATACAGTCATATAGCTGGAATATTGCTGAGTGCGGCGTTAAACAACAAACCAAACCAAAACCAAATCCTTTGATTAAGGACAGAAGCTTTGTTTAACTCCGATTTGTATCATCGATGAGTTGAATGAAGTTGTTTGTTTGTTGTTTAACGCCACACTCAGCAATATTTCAGCTATATGACGGCGGTCTGTGAATAATCGAGTCTGGACCAGACAATCCATTAATTGATATCACGAGCATCGATCTACTTTTGGGATGCGATGATATGCATCAACCAAATCAGCGTGCCTGACCACCCGATCCTGCTTCTTACGACAAGCATTTGCTGAAGACCTATTCTAACCCGACACTTCACTGGTCTGGGATAAATGAGATTTAAATAGTTGATCTTGCAAAATTATTATAAATGTCATATTTGTTTGATTTGATGAATCAAGTTCGATTATCCTAGTTGAGTGAGTGAGCTAGACCACCTTGATGGAGTCGAATAAAGGATATTCAGTAGCGGTTGTTAACCATGTTTGTGAATACAGAACATAGACCAGTGTAATTGTTCATGCATTCGTGTTATACATTAGTATGATATCACGACCTGAATTAATAAGTTCTTAACAGGGCGTGTTTGTTAGTATAAACTTTGATAATTCCTGCGCACAACGAGAGAAACGTATTGACCTTTGACCTTATTTACACGACTCGGTGAATTACCACGCGCTGTTGACGAGTAAGCGTTGTTGTTTACCTGTCGCTAGGCGACATCGGATCATCGATTGAGTGGAGCCACAGGTAAACTGCTACCGTAATACGTCGTATTACGTGACACACAACTGTACAGACACAACACCAGAACGTACAAGCAATTGTTATGATTATGATATATTTGAAAAGAACGTATATTTTTTAAAGGAAAATGTTTCAAAATATATTGGATCCCATTGCAGCTGGTTTTTTTCTTCTAAAACACCACATACTATTTGTTTGTAAATTACTATCACTAACAAAAGGATTTACGGTAAATCATTCGATATGTAAACACTCTATTAAAGATGGCGTCCGCAACAAGCATGGCTGACATTACTACCTACATGTGTTCGTACTGATGGTTGTATGACGAGCGTGTAGGTCAGGAGTGCATTGTACGGTGTTACCATGATATATAATATTCATACTCACCGGTCGTGACAGCATGGGGTGTGCGAACAGTCAACTGCCGGCCCCGCGGGAAAATCCCGGGGGGTCAGTTCCTACACGAGAGGGTACTGACAAACAGAGACAGAAGCAGTAAGTACTTATATTATGCATACAGGGCTACCCCCTAAAATACCCAGTGTTTACCTATATGTCTATCTGTGAGCAGGTATGTTGTTTGTTGTTTAACGCCGCACTCAGCAATATTCCAGCTATGACGGCGGTCTGTGTGAATAATCGAGCCTGGACCTGACAATCTAGTGATTGACATCATGAGCATCGATCTACGCAATTGGGAAACGATGACATGTATCAACCAAGTCAGCGAACCTGACCACCCGATCCCGTCAGTCGCCTCTTACGACAAGCATGGTTTATTCTACCCCGGATCGTCACGGGTCTGGTGGCGAATGGGTCAAGGGTATTTATCCCAATAGAATGTACATATGATACACTGGATAATCTAGTACCCTTAACACCAACATAGATTGAATTTGAAAATCCGAACTGGGCAACCGTGCTTCTAAATCTTCAGTACAGATAATCTGAAGTCAGAAAAGAAAAGAAAGAGTTATTGGTTTTACATTTTGTTCGCGTCAGCGATTAAAAGAGACAATGAAATAAAGAAACAAAGTTGCATAACGTTTTACATTACCTGTGTGTGTGTGTGACTGTGTGTGGACTCCGACATATGCCGTGAAGATCGAAGTACACGGAACAACCACTTGCATTATTCGAGCCCTGCAATGAAACCCTTCTCACAAAGACTTATTCTTGACAATGTTTGCGCTTCGTCACCTTTTACGAATTGTAGAGACGGACTCTATAGAGAATATGTTTTTCATCATATGGTTAAACTGAGACTTCTCATACTTAAAAGACCGATCTTAGACCAAGTCAGGAAAAAGTATCTATTTGGGGAAATGTTTTTAAATTGAACTCGGGTATTTCATAATTTGGACATAAAATTATTGCCTTTAATGAAGTTAGATATCGACCCTGCAATAGCCCCGGGTTATGTTCATCCAAAATTAATCAAGGGAATGTTTCCAGATAACTGTCATTAATTGCGATCACACATCAGAGTGAGTGAGTTTTGTTTAACGGCACGTTGAACACTATTTCAGCTGTTTTACGGCGTGTCCGCTTGACGCATTCTTAGGCGCGAAGCCCGAGTTATGCAGGTCTTGGGCGCCTACCGCTATGGTTAAATCCACGAGCATGAGTATCGTGCTGATAAGACATTCTTGTTTCATTCCGTATGTAGATTTCCTTCTCATGTGACTATTCACGTAGGAGTTCCAGGTGAAGGAACTGTTTAAAGGCCCTAAGCTGCTGAAGACCCGTGATTAGATTACCTATTAGGTAACATTGGTTGAGTCCTTTCTTTGTGTCCCCGCCCTGATATGGATGGAATAGTGTTAAACTCTGCGTGAAGTCATTCACACTAAACTGTCTGTTACACCTGTCTGCCGCTGTACAGACGGGCCCTGACGGACCTGCTGAGGGGGAACATGTCCCTGGAGTGTCCCTCCACTGCCAAGATCGTCCGCATCTTCACCAGCAGCACCTTTACAGGTAGGTCCACTCTAACTCATTAACAGGTATCTCCACTCTCACACATTTACAGGTAGGTCCACTCTAACTCATTAACAGGTAGGTCCACTCTAACACATTTACAGGTAGGTCCACTCTAACACATTTACAAGTAGGTCCACTCTAGAGATTTACAGGTAGGTCCGCTCTAACACATTTACAGGTAGGTCCACTCCAACACATTTACAGGTAGGTCCACTCTAACATATTTACAGGTAGGTCCACTCTAACACATTTACAGGTAGGTCCACTCTAGAGATTTACAGGTAGGTCCACTCTAACACATTTACAGGTAGGTCCACTCTAACACATTTACAGGTAGGTCCACTCCAACACATTTACAGGTAGGTCCACTCTAACACATTTACAGGTAGGTCCACTCTAGAGATTTACAGGTAGGTCCACTCTAACACATTTACAGGTAGGTCCACTCTAACACATTTACAGGTAGGTCCACTCTAACACATTTACAGGTAGCTCCACTCTAACACATTTACAGGTAGACCCGCCCTGACATATTTACAGGTAGGTCCACTCCAACACGTTTACAGGTAGGTCCACTCTAACACATTTACAGGTAGGTCCACTCTAACACATTTGCAGGTAGGTCCACTCTAACACATTTACAGGTAGACCCGCCCTGACATATTTACAGATAGGTCCACTCTAACTCAATTGTTCAGTGTACGAATCAGGATCAGTAGTACCTCGAACATCAAGTGTATCATATGTTCTACTGTTTTCGCTATTGGATAATAGACAGAAAAAATGTACATATCTGCTAAGTAATAGACAGGACGTCATATCCGAAACGAAGATGTGGTGGAAGTTGGGCCCAGGGAGTTTATGATGATAACATGGAGATGTAATACACTGGATAATCGAGGATGGGATAAATAACGCTGATCCAGTTTTCCACGTAACTACCGACACGAAGATATGGGAGCGTATGTGTCGCGGATATTTATCGAAATAGAATGGAAACAAAATACCCTGGGTAGTCGAGGATAGGATAGATATTCCTGAGCTGTTCTGTGACCGCTTCGAGTGGTATGCCCTGACCTTGCTATATAGTGTTACGTGCGGATTCCCAAATTGAAACAGTATATTAACCCAGAAATCTGAACGTAAAAGAACGTAATGCGGAACCAACAACCAACCAACAATTGGTATTCCAAAATTCAATAGGTTTACAAATCAATAAAAATTACTGCACAGTAATGCCAATGGCAGTACCCAATAGAGTGGTAGTACAATATTCAACGACAGTATATAATATGATGGCAGTACACAATAAGGTGGTAGTACAATATTCAATGACAGTATATAATATGATGGCAGTACACAATAAGGTGGTAGTACAATATTCAATGACAGTATATAATATGATGGCAGTACACAATAAGGTGGTAGTACAATATTCAACGACAGTATATAATATGATGGCAGTACACAAGAAGGTGGTAGTACAATATTCAATGACAGTATATAATATGATGGCAGTAGACAATAAGGTGGTAGTACAATATTCAACGACAGTATATAATATGATGGCAGTACACAAGAAGGTGGCAGTACAATATTCAATGACAGTATATAATATGATGGCAGTACACAAGAAGGTGGAAGTACAATATTCAATGACAGTATATAATATGATGGCAGTACACAAGAAGGTGGTAGTACAATATTCAACGACAGTATATAATATGATGGCAGTACACAAGAAGGTGGTAGTACAATATTCAACGACAGTATATAATATGATGGCAGTACACAAGAAGGTGGTAGTACAATATTCAACGACAGTATATAATATGATGGCAGTACACAAGAAGGTGGTAGTACAATATTCAACGACAGTATATAATATGATGGCAGTACACAAGAAGGTGGTAGTACAATATTCAATGACAGTATATAATATGATGGCAGTACACAAGAAGGTGGTAGTACAATATTCAACGACAGTATATAATATGATGGCAGTACACAAGAAGGTGGTAGTACAATATTCAACGACAGTATATAATATGATGGCAGTACACAAGAAGGTGGTAGTACAATATTCAATGACAGTATATAATATGATGGCAGTACACAAGAAGGTGGTAGTACAATATTCAACGACAGTATATAATATGATGGCAGTACACAAGAAGGTGGCAGTACAATATTCAACGACAGTATATAATATGATGGCAGTACACAAGAAGGTGGTAGTACAATATTCAACGACAGTATATAATATGATGGCAGTACACAAGAAGGTGGTGGTACAATATTCAATGACAGTATATAATATGATGGCAGTACACAAGAAGGTGGTAGTACAATATTCAATGACAGTATATAATATGATGGCAGTACACAAGAAGGTGGTAGTACAATATTCAACGACAGTATATAATATGATGGCAGTACACAAGAAGGTGGTGGTACAATATTCAATGACAGTATATAATATGATGGCAGTACACAAGAAGGTGGTGGTACAATATTCAATGACAATATATAATATGATGGCAGTACACAAGAAGGTGGTAGTACAATATTCAACGACAGTATATAATATGATGGCAGTACACAAGAAGGTGGTAGTACAATATACAACGACAGTATATAATATGATGGCAGTACACAAGAAGGTGGTAGTACAATATACAACGACAGTATATAATATGATGGCAGTACACAAGAAGGTGGTAGTACAATATTCAACGACAATATATAATATGATGGCAGTACACAAGAAGGTGGTAGTACAATATTCAACGACAGTATATAATATGATGGCAGTACACAAGAAGGTGGTAGTACAATATCCAACGACAGTATATAATATGATGGCAGTACACAAGAAGGTGGTAGTACAATATCCAACGACAGTATATAATATGATGGCAGTACACAAGAAGGTGGTAGTACAATATTCAACGACAGTATATAATATGATGGCAGTACACAAGAAGGTGGTAGTACAATATACAACGACAGTATATAATATGATGGCAGTACACAAGAAGGTGGTAGTACAATATTCAACGACAGTATATAATATGATGGCACTACACAAGAAGGTGGTAGTACAATATACAACGACAGTATATAATATGATGGCAGTACACAAGAAGGTGGTAGTACAATATACAACGACAGTATATAATATGATGGCAGTACACAAGAAGGTGGTAGTACAATATTCAACGACAGTATATAATATGATGGCAGTACACAAGAAGGTGGTAGTACAATATTCAACGACAGTATATAATATGATGGCAGTACACAAGAAGGTGGTAGTACAATATTCAACGACAGTATATAATATGATGGCAGTACACAAGAAGGTGGCAGTACAATATTCAACGACAGTATATAATATGATGGCAGTGGTTAGTATCAAATACACAAATACAGAGGTGATATCAAAAGTCAGTGATAGTAGTACATTCACTCAGCGGCGATGGTGGTCAAACTTCCGAGATGGGCTTAGGCAGGGAATCGGGGCTGATGAGTGATCCTCACACGAAGGATGGCCTTGAAGTGATGAAATGCGCGAGAGATGCGAGATATGCTCTTGTCCACTTATATACCGTCTAACCAGCTGCTGCAAAGTTCCACAAAGTGCCCTCACAACATAGGTTATTCTCCATGTGTCTATAACACACTCTATAACATAACCAGATTCCACGGTATTCCGGAAGTTAACATATCACACCAGGATCTAAATATAGTTACTTCCTGACGACTGCTTACATTAAAAAGTACTACATTCCTGACAACTAATCATTGTCCAAACACAATTCAATAAGCGTCTACCGAATCTCAGCAGAAACAATGTAACACTGTTACAATGATTGTTCAACAATAAAATATTTCCATAAAAAATGTTTCCACCCCTTAGACACCCGGCACGAGCGGAATGCCCTGATGGAGCGGGTGTACCCGGTTCTGAAGGAAATGTGCCAACAGCAGGGGTACGAGTTCCAGGTGGTGGACATGAGATGGGGGGTGAGGGATGAGGCCACGGACGACCACATGGGGCCAGAGCTCTGTCTGAGAGAAGTCGACCTGTGCAGGAAGCTGTCCACGGGGCCGTGTTTTGTCGTAAGTGTGTACAGCTGTATGGCAGTCACGGCGTCTAGAGTAGCCCAGTAGCTAGTGCACCCGCACATGGTCCGTGTTTGATTCTGTTATTTTGTCCTCATCCGGAAGATGGTACTTGTTTGTTTCTATAGTGGTAGAGCGTCCGCCCGGAGAGCGGAAGGTTCGGGGTTCGACCGCGTCATATCAAAAGGCGTTAAAAGATGGTACTTCTTGTTACCCTGCTTGGCGCTCGGCATTAAGGGGACAAAACAAGGACTAGTCAGCTCGGAGTCTGATTGGGGTATCAATGTTAAACCGAGGCATGGTATCACAGTGGGCTGGCGATATTACGCTGGTCGTTATCCGGACTACTACAAACAACCCCACACTCACTGGTATATGCACGTCGCTACATAAGTGCAGTAATCTGCATTTCATGTTTTCTCACCGTCATTAAGTTCGTTATTGTCCTGATTTTACATATATTTTGTGTTGACAACTTGCTGTTGACCATTTTGTAATACTAGAAGGCAACTTCTGAAATTAAATAAGGAATTTCGGAAGACCGAATTACCATTTTGGGGAAGTGTGCGTTATTATGTGCAACAGATTAAATATCAATGTTTCTACAAATATTACCAGCTCGGTAAGTTCGATGAACCTGTGGCGGGACGTGGTAGCGTGCACAACGCACCGGTCACAAATTAGGTGAAGTTTAGCAACGTAGGTCCCGGATACTCCTTGTTGTGTGACAGTGTTCGGCAGGTAAACCCTCGAGAGTTCCTAGGGCTTCGGTCCTGCCCCCGTAACACATGCGGTCCCACCTTAGGCAAGACACTTTGTTGATAATATGCCTCTATCTACCTGGCAGTGAATGGGTACCCATTGGGATGAGGTAATGTGACTGTTGACCTTCTATCTTGGGTTGTATACTCCGCAGGGAGCTGAGAATGAATATCCAGTGCACACTGATCCATTGAACGGGTAAAAATGTCTGCGCTTTCAGCATACATCTTGTGTATGGAGGCTAGTGCAATATAAGTACACACGTTATTATTGTTATTATTATGTGATCTTTTACAGACGTTCCTGTCACACAAATATGGCTACCGCAACATCCCGAGGGAGATAGAAGCTACTGAGTTCGAGAAGCTCCTGGCGAAGGTTCCGACCGAAGAGGCCGTGTCCTTACTGAAGAGGTGAGAGCTCCCTGCACTGCACACAGAGTACACGAGTTACAGGAGTACAACACTAAATAATACTAATTTCATTATGCATTTAAACGTCACCTTACACCCAACATGCACATCAAAACGTGTTAACCTGACACACACACCTGTCGAATAAAGAAAAGCACCAGACACTTGCTGGCCACACTGTTGACATAGCGCCTGTCGCCAAAAAGCGAAGGCATACCAGCAACTGTAACAGTGGTGGAACCGCACAGTTACGAGCTGTCTCTCTGGTTAGATCGAGTAGACCAAGTAAATAAATTATAGTATTTGGCCTAAATCTATAACGTTCAAAAACTTTATCCACATCTAAATCTTCCAGCGGGTTTGAACGATCTCGAAACACTCTCGGAACAAGAGTTTTCCGCCTCGCTTGTCGAGTCTGTCGCAGGTGAGCTCCAATTGTTGTTATCGAAATCAGCGTTGAGCACGGTCCAAAGCGTACTTGAGATCGTACGTATTTCATACTCAAGTTGAGCACGAAAACGTACTCAGATTATTTATAACCTCCGTTTATTGAGTCTGAGTTTTTAGTTGAGCACGAAACCGGATTTGAGCATGAAATCGTACTCAGGGAAGTTTTATAACCTCGGGGCCAGGTGTACCACGGAGCAGCGATCATGCCTTTACTAGACACGAGTCATTGTTTTTCAGGACTATCATGCCGGTGTCAATATGTTCCACTCTGTGGTCCTTGTAGACACATTGATTATTAACCATATTCTCTTTGTAGACATTGTTCTTATTTCGTCACCATTTCAATACCGATAATTGTGGTTTTCTGACATAAGAGCGACAAAACCATTTCCATATTCACAAGAAATCGATTGAGTCGATTGTAAGATTCCCGCTATATCATAAGTATGTGTCCATGAATTACTATCAAATAGTGATGACACCAGGTGTTAAGCGAAAAGGCGAGCGTAGGCTGCCCCACCGCTGGTACCCGTCACAAACACATGCAAAGGCAAGTCAATTGTACACCTGGAAAAACACGATAATGTATGGTACAAGTCAAAACAGGAAATTGCATCGGACACCATTATTGTCACCGATGCGTCAAATTTGGAAATGTCCTCCACATGTCTTCCAGAAAACTTAACTGTGAATGTTTTCCTGAGGCTTTGAATGTTACAAGATAACCTTGATCAAACAATTTTTTAGAAAGAATCGAACGACGCATGCTTGATTATTCTTCACAAGTTGTGTAGTGTAGACTCCAAAGGCTGATGGTGCTGGAATATTGCACAACATGAAGGGGAAGTTGACTATTGGAAAATGGTTGAAGTCATTTCTCTTATCAAGAATTACAATATTATATTTTACCAAATAGATGGTTCGAGAAGGATGAGAACAAGGTTCCGCCCATCTATGTCCTGCAGCCAATCAGCTCCATGCTTCCAGACTTCCGAGCCAATGATCAGAGCCGTAAGAACAGCGCCAAGTCTGAATGGTCTCATCAGAACACGGTGATGCAGTCGGCGCTGGCGGATGCAGCCGAACACACCCTGGACGCAGACAGAGCTCAGCGTTACGCGGAGTCAGGTACAGCGTGTTTCAATACAACTGTCTCCCGAGATGTCGTCATTCTTCACAGTAGGAGGGGTTCATGGTTAAAGCGTTTGTTCGAAACGAAAAAAACTGGTTTCGAATGCTCCAAATGCTTCAATACTTCAATATTGACCTATCTACAAAGTCATAACATGGCAGACGTGGCTGACCTAATCCTCAAGGTACAGATCCACAGACACACAATACAACCAAAAACAAGCACTTTTGGGCTGGAAAGTGGTCCTACCATATGAGCTGAACACTGCATGTAGTCGATAAAGATGTTTTAGACTTTATCATCGATTTGTAGGGTACTCGAGTACTCGAGCACGGGTCGGGTTTAAATGGACCCGAGAACCCGATCAAGGGAGGTAACTCGCATCTTAATATCCGTGCAGAGATAAGGTAACCAAATATCAACTCATTCGTCACACTCGCCCCTTTCCGTAACCTGCAAGAAGACTCGTCCCCCTATCGATGAATGTTATGTGCGAAAATACGACAAACCAATCCGAATGAGCGTATGATTTCAAGTTCTTCGTCAAAGAATCCCTCAGAAATAATATTTGATTTTACATATGTCTTGCATCTAAAAATATACCCAAGACACAGTTAAATGTGTTCAAACAAACTGTATAATTCCGCATGTCCAGATGTGCTTAAAATTGCATCTGAAATATATATAATATACGGGGAAATATGTGTGAACCATTACACAACGAGTTGACAATAGTTTTAGGTATGACCGTTTGCGCCAAGACGGAACCCGGTCGCAAAAATGGCCACGAGAGGGGCACGAGTCGCTATTCGGTTTGTCCCGGAATAACACGTGTTGATCACGAATGATATCAACTGTGTGGCATATTCCCTTTGAAATCGGATACTTGATTCCGGTCCGGATTTTGAGACAGATACATTGTACTTCAGTCAGTTTTCCCCGCCAGAGTCCCACTTTGTGGGGTTTCCTTATTAGTACCTTATCAAACCATGTACCTTATCTGACCCGTGAAGATCCGAGGTAGAATAGGTCTTCAGCAACCCATACTTGCCGTAAAAGGCGACTATGCTTGTCGTTAGAGGCGACTAACGGGATCGGGTGGTCAGGCTCGCTGACTTAGTTGATGCATGTCATCGATCCCAATTGCGGGAATCAATGCTCATGATGTCAATCACTAGATTGTCTAGTCAAGACTCGAGTATTTACAGACCGCCGTCATACAGCTGGAATATTGCTGAGTGCGGCGTTAAACAACAAAGAAACTTGTACCTTATGTAACGCACAGCTAAGACAAACTAAATGCAAAGTTGATACTCGCTTTTCTTCACCAGTGACGGAGTCGGAGATTTGTCGAGCGATGAACTCCAACATGGACGTGTCGAGCCAGTGCATCTGGTTTGACAGAAAAATACAGGACATCGACAGTCAGGACACCAGCTACCTACTCAGCAGATACAAAGGTGGGCTGATTCAAACACTCTCTCGTAGATGTCAGCTCTACAGGTGCAGCTCCCTGCATATCACGTTGTTTGTCTCACAATATCGTCATCCCTGATACACACCAGCCATTCCCATCTACTACTGCAACAACGTTAACCATGTCACTGTCGATAAATTACATTTGTTCTTTTTGTGAATCTTGGTAGGGGGGTCTTTACCCATAGGACAATCTCATTAAAATCCGATCTTAGTTCTCGCTACCGCTAAACAACGATCTGAGGACATCAAATTAGGGGTCACGTCAAAACGACCTTTCATCCGACCAATCAAGGCGTCGCTTACCAGATCATGAATTTCAAATTTTTAATCGAGAATTTGTAAAAATATGTTTCGAAGCGTAGTCGCCAATTTGAATTTAGTGCCGTAAAGCACGAGAAAGCTGCTTTCTGATTGGCTACTGTCTACTTCTTGTCAGTCTTTCCATTGGTCGGTCAAAATTCGCGCAAGGTCGGTCTGACGTGACCCGTAATGGGATGTCCTCAGATCTTTGTTTAGCAATAGCGAGAACTAAGATCTGATTTTAATTAGATTGCACATAGATGTCACCCAGAAGTGCAGCTTCCCGCATATCATGTTGTTTGTCTCACAATATCGCCATCCCTGAGACACACCAGCCATTGCCATTAATACACAGATAAAATCTCATATTTCATATTACTGCTATGGCAAACATGAGCTTTACTTCGTTTCGCATAACTTTAAAACTTTGAAACTCCCTATACGGCCTTTTTACCAGATCATGAAAGTGACAGTCGGAATGTGTTTTCTAATCATGCAACCGCGAAATATTTAACACAGGGTATTCCGAACGGCAGTTACGGGATTTAGGATTATATCCATACAATCTAGGCCATCTATAAGCCATTCCAGAATGTTCTTCTTGTCAGTTTTAATTTTTTTAAGCGAGAATACGTCAGAATATGTTTCGAAGCGTAGTCGCCAGTTTGAAACTAGTTTCGGAAAGCTCGAGAAAGCTGCCTTCTGATTGGCTCATGTCGATTTCTTGTCAGTCATTTCATTGGTCGGTCAAAATTCGTGAAAGGTCGTTCTGACGTGACCCGTAATGGGATGTCCTCAGATCTGTGTTTAGTAGTAGCGAAAACTAAGATCTGATTTTAATGAGATTGAGTCTATACATGTCTATTTGGATATTCTTTATACAAGGTAGACTATATCCTATCTAATTATGGAGAGAACTGTGGCTAAGTTCACCATGTTACAAGTCGTTGAACCCCACTATTAGTCCTAGTGTGATCCTTGGTAATGTAAGCACCACTCTGCGCCAGTGAGTTTCACCAGGACATCTACGATCTTCATCTGTTAAAGATTTCCTCTAACATTAAGATGACATGTAAGGATGAAATATTTTGAAAAGACGCGTTGAACCCGTCCTGCGCATGTTACAGAGTGCCTCGGCCCAGAGGAACGTGACCGGGAATCACGACAACGTCTCGCCCAGCTAAGGGAGAGTACTCTAGGCAAGCAGCTGCCGGAGCAGAACATCCTCACCTACAACATCATGTGGCATCCTAACGGTAAACAACCTCGTTACACGGAGTCTTACACACTGAATACCAGGGAAAAAACTACTGCAACGAAGTGTACCATGTCACTGTCGATAAAGTAAATTTGTTCTTGTGAATCTTGGTAGGGAAGTCTTTATCCATAGCCGGGTTCGATTCCCGACACGGGTACAATGTGTGAAGCCCATTTCTGGTGTCCCCCGCCGTGATATTGCTGGATTATTGCTAAAAGCGGCGTAAAACCATCCTCACTCACTCACTTACCCATAGGAGGAATGTTTGAAATGGATTATGCTAATTCGTCTCCACAAACTTTTACCGTCACCCATTGTTTTTGCATAAACATTTAGCTATCGCGGTGTATGGAACTTAGACATTTCTTGCAATCTGGGTGTGTAGAAGCTTTTAGTCTCAATTTCCTATAACCTAGCGGTATAGAAATGAACTATCCTGCTGAATAGGATTGTTAAGTATGCCATTTCCATGTCCGGAAATATGAGCTGTCCAGTGACAATTTCGCGCAGTCGGGTGTACATGAATGAAAAGTCTCCATTTTCTGTCTATCCGGGTATATGAGAATGTGAAGACACAATTAATCGCATATATCTGTTCTCTTCATCCGGGTGTACAGAAATATAAGATATATATCAATGTTCTGTTTATCCGGGTGTAAAGAAATGTACGCTATGACACTGTATCTATATTCCTCGCAATGCGTTTTCTAAGGAAGCATAGTGTCTGTGTCCCGTTACTGGGCTGTTCCATATGACATGGCCTCTTCAGTTCTCGTTATCTAGCTATTTTTTTGGATGTAGTATTGTGTATGTTGTCACCCCCGGGTGTGCAGGTATTGACCCCGGCGCGGTGAGGGAGCACGGAGAGTACATCGACCGGTTGTGTGAAGACTTCCGGTACAAGGTGTCCGCCATGATCAGCCAGGCCATCCAGACCAGGCAGGACACCTACCTCAGCAGCCCGGTGTTCGACGAGGTCGTGCAGCACACGGTGTTCTGCCAGGAGAAGTGTCGGGCGTTCCAGGGCAGGACACAGACGCTTCAGGTGAGTTAGTTAGGGATACAGTGCCAGGAGTCTCTCAGGAAAGGATACACACGCTTCAGGTGAGTTAGTTAGGGAGACAGTGCCAGGAGCCTTTCAGGAAAGGCTACACACGCTTCAGGTGAGTTAGTTAGGGAGACAGTCCCAGGAGCCTTCCAGGAAAGGATACACACGCTTCAGGTGAGTTAGTTAGGGAGACCATGCCAGGAGCCTTTCAGGAAAGGATACACACGCTTCAGGTGAGTTAGTTAGGGAGACCATGCCAGGAGTCTTTCAGGAAAGGATACACACGCTTCAGGTGAGTTAGTTAGGGAGACAGTGCCAGGAGCCTTTCAGGAAAGGATACACACGCTTCAGGTGAGTTAGTTAGGGAGACCATGCCAGGAGTCTTTCAGGAAAGGATACACATGCTTCAGGTGAGTTAGTTAGGGAGACAGTGCCAGGAGCCTCTCAGGAAAGGACACACACGCTTCAGGTGAGTTAGTTAGGGAGACAGTGCCAGGAGCCTTTCGGGAAAGGATACACACGCTGCAGGTGAGTTAGTTAGGGAGACAGTGCCAGGAGCCTTTCGGGAAAGGATACACACTCTTCAGGTGAGTGAGCTAGGGAGACAGTGCCAGGGGTCTTTCAGGAAAGGATACACACGCTTCAGGTGAGTTAGTTAGGGAGACAGTGCCAGGAGCCTTCCAGGAAAGGATACACACGCTTCAGGTGAGTTAGTTAGGGAGACAGTGTCAGGAGCCTTCCAGGAAAGGATACACACGCTTCAGGTGAGTTAGTTAGGGAGACAGGGTCAGGAGCCTTTCAGGAAAGGATACACACGCTTCAGGTGAGTTAGTTAGGGAGACAGGGTCAGGAGCCTTTCAGGAAAGGATACATACGCTTCAGGTGAGTTAGTTAGGGAGACAGGGTCAGGAGCCTTTCGGGAAAGGATACACACACATAATTTGGAACGACAATGTCAGGAGAAGTGTGGGGCGTTTTAGAATAAAACACACACGCTGCCGGTATAGTCTATTGACTCCAACTATATATCCCTTGTCTGGCTCTATGGATAAACAGTTTTGAGGGTCCCGTGGATTTCGAGTTAACGAGGTTTCCTTGTATTTTAGGAAATCCGAAGTTACCTGGTTGGTTCCAGTCGACAACCCTTCATCCTCCACGGCCCCTCCGGGAGCGGCAAAACCTCCATCATGGCCACAGCAGCCACCACTGCTTGGGAAACACTCAAGTCTAAAGCTGCAATCATTACCAGGTAATATCCACTGAGACGCTGTAAGACAAACCGTGCACCAATATTCACAAAAGCACCGTCGATTATATACCGTGAAGCCTAGTTCACGCAATCAAGCTGTATGATACTAAAAGGGACATAACTCATCGTGCAAAGTTGCGCCCCTTAGCTGTCAGCATTCTCTAATCATTGGTTCAAATCCTAGAATCGAACCCCAATCATACTCTTGCTTGTGAAAACACGACCTGTGTCTCTGGTCACCCTCTGATATCAACTAGACATGTCGTGGTATGACTGAAATACTATTCCACCTGACTCACTCACTCACTCACTCACTCACTCACTCTCTCTCTCTCACTCACTCACTGACTCACTCTCTCTCTCTCTCACTCACTGACTCACTCACTGACTCTCTCACTGACTCACTGACTCACTGACTCACTCTCACTCACTCACTCACTCACTCTCTCTCTCTCTCTCTCTCTCTCTCTCTCTCTGTGACTCACTCACTCACTCACAGTTTGACACAGTTCAGGAGGAAATATGATCATTTACTTTAGGTGAGGTGAGGTGAAATTGGGTTTAACGTCGCGTCCAAGATTATTGCACTTATATAGCGACGTGCATGCACGTGTATGTGTGTGTGTGGCTGCTTGTACTAGTCCGGACTGATGCCGATTTATAGTGCTAGCTCACTGAGATACCATGCCGCAGTTTAACATGAATACCCCACTCAGACACAGTATACTGACTCCGAGCCGACCAGTCCTTGTTTTAGCCCCTTAATGCCGAGCGCCAGACAGGGTAACAACAAGTACAATCTTTTAACGTCTTTTTGTATGACGCGGCCCGGGATCGAACCCCGGACCTTCCGCTCTCCGGGCGGACGCTCTACCACAAGACCACGGAGGCGGTCCATTTACTTTAGGAATTTACTTCATATTTAAATATTTTGAAGGGATATATCCCATCTCATTGAAATAAAATCGTTTGCTCCGGCGCTGTACCTCTCTGCGTGAACTTTCTGATCAGCCAATCAGTACATCGAATTGTGTATCTCAAATGAAATTAAACGACCAGTACTGGGTGTAAATAATGAAGGCCGTGCTATTATATTGTTGATTATAGATCTCCTGTCGGCTGGCGCTTCTACGCCAAAAAGGATTGCCGTTCATAGAGAATGTATTCTGAATGTGTTTTCTGTTGTTTAAATCGAATTTTCCGAAATTGAGGTGGTAAAGAAATGAAACCGCATCATTTTAGAAAGGTAACATCTGATTGACTCGAAAACGAACGTGGCTTTACAGTAAGAATGGGCGGTCAATCTTCGCTCAGGGTCCACATGATGCGACGCGACGCGGTGTGTGTGTGTGTGTGTGCGTGCGTGCGTGCGTGCGTGCGTGCGTGCGTGCGTGCGTGTGTGACTGCTACTAGCCGCTTTTTTGTGCTCGCTAAAAGAGATACCATGCCGCATAACATGGATATCCCACTCAGATGCAGTATACTGACTCCGAGCCGACCAGTCCTTGTTTTAGCCCCTTAATGCGGAGACCCTACATGCTACAACAAGTACAATCTTTTGGTATGACGCCGCCATAGATCGAACACCGACCGTCCGCTATCCGGGCAGACGCTCGACCCCAAGACCACTGGCTTGTCTTTTACGAGTGAGTGAGTGAGTGAGTATGGTTTTACGCCGCTTTTAGCAATATTCCAGCAATATCACGGCGGGGGACACCAGAAATGGGCTTCACACATTGTACCCATGTCGGGAATCGAACCCGGATTTTCGGCGTGACGAGCGAACGCTTAAACCACTAGGCCACCCGACCGCCCCTACGAGTGAGGATAAGCTGCACAGTCGCATGATAAATCCAGGTTCATGCGGAATTTGTTGGCAGATCTAGTTCCATATAATCCTTTCGTTGTATTGTCTGCAGGTTCATCGGCACGACCCCCGACAGCTCCAACATCGGCAGCCTCCTCATCAGCATCATCACACAGCTCGGGGAGGTGTACCCATTCGACACGTCCAATCTCCCTCCGGTAACTTTGGCTACAGGCTTATTATGCACGTTTTAACAGGGTTCCATTGTTTTTGTAATTCTAGGACACTGTCTGTTTCAGTGGAATGTAATCTCCATGTGTTTTCGTATATCATTTCCTTTGATGGGATGGAATTTTGAATGTCTGACTTAATTCACAAACACCACAAGACGGGCCATCGAGAAATGCAATTCATACCTTAGTCATCCCTTTGCATTTTGTATGAGGCACCTTTTCTAGTTACCGTTTTAATATTGAACATTTTATTCCCTATTTATGATGACAATAATTCATTTATTTATATCCCAAAACAAAAATCGACATTAAGATATTCATAAAACCTATGTATTATTAGATATCACATAATTTGTTTTCGAGATCACAAATTCGATATTTTTTATCAGTAAATAATTTTGAGACATCACAGTTTCGAAACGTATTTATTTATATATCTAAAAGTCGAGTTTGTGATATCAATCATCCACTTTTAGGTTTATGAAAACAATCAATTTATATCCCGCAGTTTATAAACTCAAAGTCAACAATAGTGTCTGCCACGTCTATGACTCATTCAACTTTATTGATATATTTGTTTGTTTGTTTGTTTGCTTGTTCTTGTTTAACGCCTCACTCAGCAATATTCCCGCTATATGACGGCGGTCTGTAAATAATCGAGTGTACAAGACAATCCAGTGATTTACATCATGCGCATCCATCTACGCATTTGGGACACGATGACATGCATCAACCAAATTAGCGGATAAAGCATGGGTTGCTGAAGAACTATTCTTTTAGCTTGATGAAAACAATAAATATGATAAACATGACACGCTCCTTAACAAGCAACTACACGCACTGCTTGTCCCACAGGCAAAACAGATTTATTGTTTATTCGATATGAATGGAATTTTAGGATGTCAAAAACTGAACCATTGCTATTGCTTATTCGATGGCATTATTAATATCACTAAATACAATTTGTGACATACTTCTGTTTCTTAGATATCAAGAATTCGATCATAAATATAAGTGTCACAAATTTATTTATTGATATTTAAGAATATAATTTGTGAAATGAATAGTATGATATAAAATCGATTTTGTTGTGACAATAATTCATTTTTTATGTCAATAAATTACATCTTAAAACAGAGACTAGTAAAACTAGCATTCCCAATATAATTACAATATTTACTAACAAATATATTAAAACAAGACTGGCCAGATGCCTTGCTTTTCACACATCTAAGGATATACTGCGATAATAGTTCATTAACAAAATTCTCGGCAAGTTCACACTGTGAAATTAGTAAATTCATTCTTGCAGTATAGTGAGTGAGTGAGTTTTAAGCCACGATTAGCAATATTCCAGCAATATCATGGCAGGTGGCACCAGAAATGGGCTTCACACATTGTACCCAAGTGAGACATCGAACCTGGGTCTTAGTTGGGCGAGCGAACGCTTTAACGTTGAGGCTCCACCACCGAGCCTCACGCAGTGAAGATAAGCCCCGATAGTATCTTCTTTCCTCCTGCTGGGTACATGTCTTTGTCCACTCTTCTGATCGTAGATCGACTCCATCCACCCGAACGTGTTAATCATCGCCTGTGTATCGCAGTAGTAACCTGTGAAGATCCTGGTTGGAATAGGTCTTCTGCAGCCAACGCTTGCCGTAAAAGGCGACTATGCTTGTCGTAAGAGGCGACTCACGGGATCGGGTGGTCAGACTCGCTGACTTGGTTGATGCATGTCATCGTATCCCAATTGTGTGGACAGATGCTCATGATATCAATCACTGGATTGTCTGGCCTAGACTCGATAATTTACAGACCGCCGTCATATAGCTGGAATAGTGATGAGTGCGGAGTTAAACAACAAAAAGACAAACAAACAGCCTATCGTAGTCTGTGTTGCCATTTATGAGCATCATGTGTGTTTAACATGTGTCTCTCTCAATCAAAACCACTAATTCTGTATATAACAGACAATTAAGGAGCTGCGAGAGTTCTTCAAGTCAACATTGTCCAGAGCAACAACGGAGACCCCGCTCGTCCTCTTCTTGGATTCTTTGGACCAGCTGGACACTTCCGGTGATGCCAGGCAGTTGCTATGGATACCACGGGAACTTCCGGTTAATGTGAAGGTAGTTTTATCAACACTACCGGAAGAGAAATATGAAATTCTACCACGGTTAAAGGTAAGGCAATACTTTTTCACTATCAAAACAAAATCGATACAATGTCGCATTGATGTTTTAAGTACAGTACAACCTGGTTATAATGCCAGCTTACGGGAGGTGAAATAGTATCAATTGGAATATGCTAATGAACAAGATATTGTGATGAAGATCAAATTAATTGGTGTGTGATTTTAGGAAAGTGAGTGTTTGTAAAGTTTCCCCCCAAAGAAAGAATAAAAGAGGATGAGCTGTAAGTGAGTTAGTGAGTCAAGATTAAACGTCACGTCGGCAATATTTCAGCCATGTCGTGACGGGGATCAGCTGTGAGATCAATGCACTTGAGAGAGCTACTGGTTTCTAAAAGATGAACGACAATGATACATGCTGGTGAACATTACCCCCAAAATTGGCATTATAGACAGGAAATTGGCATCATTAAAAAGGTCATTTGTTTGGGCGGAAATCCGTTCCAAGAAAAAACATGGCATTATAACCAGATTGGCATCATAATAAAGGTCATTTGATTGGGCGGAAATCCGTTCCAAGAAAAAACATGGCATTATAACGAAGTAGTACTGGGTAGGGTTCATTGAATTATTAAACTGCTACCATTAGAAAATATTGGAAGACGAACAGAATTTCATAGTGTTCACCTTTTTTTATATGATGAGATGGTAATGTGTCTGTTATCCTTAGTGCCTCATGAGGCAGCTAGGATTGTATATCCCTCAGGGAGCTGAGAATGAAATTCGAGTGCACACTGATCCATTGATCGGGGTAATATTGTAGCGTTTTGGGTTGGTATTTGATGCATTAGTAATAAAGATGTAATTTATTGATTTTGATTTCGCAGTAAACGTCAGGTGGATTTGATTTACGAATGCTACAGTGTCAATATTATTGTTCCGAAAATGAAGTATACATGCCTATTGACATGTTTTAGGCGCTCTTTCCTTGTACGTGTAACTATGCAGAAGTGCCCACTCTTGCCCTGACTGAAGTGACCAGCATAGTGGACACATGGCTTGAACAAGCAGGACGAAGATTGACCACTGGTCAGAGACACACAGTAGAGGAGGCCTTCAACAGGTGCCCGCTACCCCTCTTCCTGAAACTGTCGTTTGACCAGACGCTCAAGTGGCGCTCCTACTCCCCCAGCGACACTACCGTCCTTCAGGACACCGTGAGGGGCTGCATCAACACCCTTTTTCAGAGGATTGAAGAAATGCACGGGAAGATCCTCGTTGAGCGAGCCCTCGCCTATCTTACACTCAGTGAGTAGAAGGCAACACAACACCTATGAAACTACATACAAAGGACTGTCTTTGCTCATGTTGTACAAATCATGTATGCTGGTCGTAAGAGGCGACTTAAGGGATCGGGTGATGAGGCTGGTGATTTGGTTGATAGTGTGTCAACGTACACTCTACGGCGTGGTCGTTCATAATATCGGGTTCAGATTTGATGATTATTTACAGTCCGCCAACATACAGCAGGACTATTGCTTAGCGGTAAACAAAACAATCATTTGACTATGGTATGGTTTGTACGTGTGTATGCCAATTATAAGATGAGATTAGCTACTGTGTACTAGGAACATATTACAAATATATGTGTCTGATGAAGCTTCTCTGCTCGAGATGTTTGCCTGTGTTGTTACTACGACACACACTTTTTCCAAAGTGAATATAAGGAATTACTTCAAACAGCAATCGTCATCTTCAGATTATTTTCAACAATGCCCCATCGTTATTGCTGAAGTTTAATTATTATGAAAAAGAGATGAAACATGCCCCATAATCGTCGTTCCCTCCCCAGGCAGATCTGGCCTATCAGAGACCGAGCTGGAGGACATCCTGTCATGTGACGATGACGTCCTCAGTGACGTGTACATGTACTGGACTCCGCCTATCAGACGACTTCCGCCTCTGCTCCTAGTGAGGGTCAAGGCCGAACTCGGGCCGTATCTGGTTGACCGAGGGGCTGATGGCGTCAGGGTGTTCTACTGGTATCACCGACAGTTCATCGAGGCGGCAACCGACAGGTATTGCTGGGACTCTCAAGCTGTTGCTCACTTGCATCGCTCCCTGGGAGAGTTCTTCTCGGGAGTATGGTCAAATGGTACGTGCCAATTAATTGTCAAGACTTATTTTCTGACTACACGTTCATTCAAACGTACAACTTGTTTCTGCAGTAGATTTATACATGCGATTGCTGTCGGCGTTCGATAGCGCCTTTACGTCAGTGCTCACATGGCAAAATATATCTGAACAATGATATAAAAAAATGCATTGATGATAGATATATTCAAATTGTGCCATAGAATGTTTCTTGTGATATATCACTAAAATCAGATCTTACTTTACGCTACTGTTAAACAAAGATCTGAGGACATCCCATTACGGGTCACATCAGAACGGCCTTTCGTCCGACCAATCAGAGCATCGCTCTCCAGATCAGGAAAGTGTGTTTTCTAATCATGCAACCTCGAAGCGGTTAACATGGGGTATTTCGAACGACAGATACGGGCTTTACGACTGAATCCGTCAAAATCATCGTCTATCTCTCGCTCCAATGAGATAACATTTGAACTAAAGAGACTTTGCATAGACTGTAGACTGCCATTCAACCTAGGCCATCTGTGAAAGTTCTTTTGTTGAGTTTTCATGTTTTGAATCGAGAATTTTTGTCGAAACATTTTTCAAAGCGTAATCTGGTATGGAAGTGGCTAGCGTGAAACTAGTGCCGAACAACTCGAGAAAGCTGCATTCTTATTGGCTTATGTCGACTTCTTGTCAAAGGCATTTCTTTGGTCCGTCAAAGTTCGGAAAGGTAATTCTGACATGACCCGTAATGGAATGTCCACAGTTCCTTGTTTTATGGTAGCGAGAACTAAGATATGAAATTGATGAGATTGCATTTTGTACTTTTCGTGTTTTTTGCATGCAATGTTTGACCAATGATGAATTCAGAATCACCCTCTGATAGTGTGATCTAGTTAAATGTCAACCTCAAAATGAGTTAACATCCTGCAACACATTTTTGTTTTACTTCAAGGAAAAACAAAACCGTACACAGATTCAAGAGGTCAATCCGGAAATGCTGACCGTCACGTTACCTCACAGCCTGTTAAATATGGTACGAACTTTAACCGCCGGAAGTTAAACAACCTACCGTATCACCGCCAGAGGGCGGGTCAGAGCGAGCTCCTCATGGACGAATGTCTGTGTAACCTGGAGTTTGTGTCGGCCAAGTTGAAGTCAGAGGGACTGAGGTTAGTACTCCTTAAGTCGCAAATGAATGAGCCTGTCCAATTTCTGGATATATTGTTCTCTATGTTTTGCGTGGGGGCCTGGGATTATTTTGAAAAACAAATTTTGTCCTTCTTGGTCGTTAGATATTCTGAATGTTGAAACAAATATACATTGATTCACTTTGGCTTCCCCTTCTCAGTAAAAAGCGCGGTGGGTAGCCTAGTGTTTAAAGCGTTCGCTTGTCTCGCCGCAGACAAAACTTGAAGCACAATCGGGGCGAATCTGGGATTCAAACCACCATCATTGGTTTCTGGCACGCCTAAGCGAAGCAGGACGCTACTTTTAGAGGCATGTACACCATATATACAGAGAAACCAAGCATGGTCCGTTTTGTTGTTTGTAGTAGAATAAGTATCAAAATCCACAGATTTAATCTACGTGAAAATATTTGAACTCGTTTGTTTATTACAGACAAGTGACAGACGACTACCTCGACGCCACGTCCCACTTTCCAGATATTCAACCTCTCAAGACGCTTTCAGAAGCCATACACCTGTCCCAGGGTGCACTGGTCACCAGTCCTGACGAACTTCCTGCTCAGCTCATCAGCAGGATCAAGGACAGAAAAGTCAGTTGCTCTCCTTCTTTTCCAATACAAGTACTTGCTTCCCAGCTAACCATACAGGGTCGGTATCAGTTGATGCGATCAGGAAACAACACATGGATCGACCTCTGCGGTGGGTCAACTCATTTAGTAGTCAGCCTCCGAACACAAAATGTCTACATGGACACATACACGTTGGTTTAGAGACGTTGATGGCATGAAAAACACGTGAGCAGCTCTTTCAGCATGTGTGAGTGAGTGAGTTGGGTTTAACGCCGCTTTTAACAGTATTCCAGTTATATCGCGGCGTGACAGCTTAATGTGGGAGGAAAGCCCGAAGTGATGCAGGTCTCAGACATTTACAACTTCGGTCAGCATGAGTGAGTGAGTATGGTTTTACGCCGCTTTTAGCACTATTCCAGCATTGTCACGGCGGGGGACACCGGAAAATGGGCTTCACACATTGTACCCATATGGGAATCGAACCCGGGTCTTCATCGTGACGAGCCAACACTTTAACCACGAGGCTATGCCACTGCCTCCTTTCAACATGAAGCTCATATATTAAGCACATTGTCAAATGCACCATAAACACAAAGAATGAAATAATTATAAATGTAAGAATCATTTGAAGATTTCAAACGTGTTCTTCTGGCACCTACCTCGACTGACTTTAGTTCAGTGTTGTTGAGCTAGGATTCAACATTGGAGATATAATGCTACAATCGGACAATCCATTTTCATGGTTCGCAGGGTCTGGAGGATTTCGTCGCCCAGTGTCACGCCTCCCCCACCCCCTTCCTGCTCCCCTCCCAACGTATTGTGACCCTGACGGGTGGGGCACTCCTCCACTCCCCAGCGGAACACACCCAGGAGATCACGGGACTTGACCTCACCAGGGATGGGAAACTTGCTGTCACGTGTAAGTGGAGACAAATTACACAACTCTTTGTTCCCTTGTTCTGTTGTAACGCTTTTTTCATTCTTAATCTACATATAGAATCTACATCTTTCTAGAAATTCAACTTATATAATAAACAAAAGAAACAGACGTTCTGCACAGTTGAGCTTGAAATACAAGCGAAACACCCGTTGTAACCATCTGATCCTCTATTAATTATTATTTATGTCGTACGTAAGAGACAATGTTTTGTTGGCCCTTCCAAGGTGAAGTAGAGGACATTGATGGCCATGTATTCCGAGAAAGTGTCCGTTCATCACGGGTTCGAATCCCAGAATCGCCCTGATTATGACACTTGTCATCGTTTCTTCATCACCCCATTTTCCCGAGGCAAGAGAGTTAACTGACTATAAAAGTTGAGTTTCCACCCTTGCCGAACTAGGCTGGTATTATGGAGTTACATTTTGGCTGGACTAACGAGTTTATGCATAGTTCAATCAAAATCGCGCAACGAAATCGAAATCCGGTTCGTAAACTGTCGTGCAGATTTCGGTCGATTGCAGGATTTGCAAAGCATGTGCACCGCCAACTCAGCAACGCCACTTTTAGCAATATTCCAGCTATATCGGAGAGGGGGGATGTTACACCAGAAATGGGCTTTATACATTGTAGCCATGTCGCGAATCGAACCCGGGCCTTCGGTGTGACGAGCGAACGCTGTAACCACTAGGCTACCCCACCGCCCCTGGCATTATGGAGGAACGTAGTGTATACAAACCTGTTAAGTATTTACGATAGCGTTACGCACCATTAACACACTCACTCCCTCACTTCTCCCAGGTGGAATGGATAACTCCGTGAAGACGTGGGACGTCGGTACCGGCAAACTCCTCCGTTCTATAGACGACACAGGCCCACAGTCTAACAGGGTCTACACAGCCTGTGCCGACACGCTCGTCATCGTTGTCACCAGCAACAACATCCGGGCCTTCGACCTCCACTCGGGAGTGGAAGCGTACACGCTCTCCAATTACATGGCAAACTCAGGCTTCTGTCTGGCCGGAAAGGACAAGACCGCCATGTTTGTGTTTCTCGAGAAGAACGTTCAGATATATTCAGCTGCTGATGGGGCGTTCGTGGGAACGGCGTCTAATGCGCATGTGCAGGAAGATGAGAGCATGGGAAGCTCATCTGCTGTAGCAGGTTTGTTGTTATATTTAGTATCAAGTTCAAGTTGGTAACCTAACCTGTTATTGTAAATATTATATGAAGTCTTATCTTCTTTCTAAATCATACGGGGGCACGGGTGGCCCAGACGTCTAAGGCGCCGCGATTCGCTGTGCAGAGTTGCGTCCCTTGGGCACGCCAGAAACCTATGATTGTGGGTTCGAATCCCGGTTCGCCCCAGTTATGTTTCTAGGTTTGTCAGCACCATACCCGTCCTCGTTGGTTTCACCGAATTGGTAAACGTCTGAGACCTGCATCACTTCGGGCTTTCCTCCCACATTAAGCTGATCCGCCCCGATATAACTGGAATACTGTTAAAAGCGGCGTTAAACCCAACTCACTCACTCACTCTAAATCATACATGTAATATACAACTGGACTACTTACTCAACATACACTTACATTGACGTCTGTAGTAGGTAGGATGGACTTGTCATGTATGTACAAACACCGACGAAACGATACTCATTTATCTTCTACTTACGGCAAAATATTACGTTTATAAATGCTTGAAAAGATCTGTACATTTAATAACTATGTAAAGGAGCTTGAGTTTCATGTATACATTGTTAACAATAAACAGAAAATGGACCATGTGATGATAGAGTGAATATCAGAATCTCTGCCCAAGTCATGTCTATTAAGTCTGCACATACTACGTCCCGTTAGGCCAGCCACGTGGTCCTGTAGGGTCTGTTTGCAAATCCGTGGCACCTAATGTGAATTAATTTATTTATTTTTAAATTAAAAAATTAAAAATTATAAAAAATAAAATGTATGTGCAAACGTTTTGGCGACTAACCAGCAGCTTACGTTACATGTCCCCAGCGGGCTGTGAATATACTTTGAGTGCACACTGATCCATGGCGGAGGCAGTAACGGCCTGGGTGACGTAAGCATGCTTACAGGCATGAATATGGCGCGCAACGAAAAAGCAAAGATGAAAAGTTAAAGAAAAGATTTACAAAGTTCTTTTCAGTGAGCTTATGTACAAACTTTATATATAATATCGGGGGAAATAAAAAAAATTACGAAATATGATAATTATAACCTTAGACTGTCAGGACAATTGTCTAAAAACAGAAGCATCGGAATAGGATTATCAATGCATCCGATACATAACGGTCATGCATATATTTTTCGAAGCGCTGTCTGCCTGACTTTAAATTTCCTAACGCTGTCAGTTCGCATAAATAAATGGGGCTCACCATCGTAAGTCGTAAAATGTTTATAAAACAATTATTCAGTAAAATGGGCAATTTGAAAAAAAAATGTATGAAAGCAAAATTTAACATAAAATTGAAATTTCTAAATGTCAAATTCGGGCTTTACTTAAAGGTGACAGAATTTCTGCTTGCCATGGAAATTTAGAAATTAAACAGTCTAATCTGTACATCCCATTGGTTATTTAAGGTTATTAAACAGTCGTTAAGAATGACCAAAAATACCCTTGAGATTTTGTGGCGTGAGCTTGCTTCTACTTTCTTGTTAGCAATAGTCCAGCATAGCCAAAGGAGGGAATAGAACATTGGCCTTCGAACGAACGCTTAATCCACAAGTCTACCCACCTCACTCTTGTCATTTGGTCATTCGGAGCGCTATTTAATTTCCAGGATGTGAGGACTTTGTGGCAATATCTGAAGGTAACCATGGAAACAAGATGTACATCTTCAACGTCAGTGATTCAGCCTTCCTGTCAACGGTGATAGCGTTACCTGTCTCCGAGGCTAATATGAAGGATATTATCAGTTGTGCGGCTTTCTCAGCGGACCGGAAACGCGTTATTATCGGCGCGGGCCAATCACTTCATCATATGTTCTTTGATATCCACACTGGTGATTTAGTTCGTACATTGCCCGGTAAGTCAACTCACCTTTTCATTATGTGTTTATTTTAAATGAATTTCAATTACTTCACTTTTTTCGTCCATCAGTCTTGACGACATAGGACCGTCTGTTGTATACGTGTTGTCGCTATTTATAACCAACGAATCAAGCGACGTCCTGGTTCAAGCGAGAGGGAAACCATTCAGCATTCAGACCAATGAGAACTCAGCTTACATAGCACTAAAGATAACATTCTTCCCTTGCTCTAAACATTGTCACAAAAAACAACAGGGAATACTTAAATTATAAAGCGAGACTTACATGTAGGTTGAAGAGTTTATTTCCTATGGGCAGTAATTATCGGAAAATCAAATGCTCATTCTCAACGCTATAAGCACATTATTTGTTACATTAGAGTAGTACAAAATACAAACAATACTTTCCAAATCTTCAAACTTCCAAGTTTCACAATGCATTATGATTGTTAAAATCGTCAGATGCTTTGTTTGTCAGTTTTTAATTCGAGAAGAATCCTATCATTAGCTTGTATCTGTCAATTCATACTCACGCCTTGTGTAATCTCGATGACGAGATGTGCGAGATGTGACGTTTTGGCAAGTGACATAATGTCTCTGACCTGTAGGACAGAAGCACGACCGTATGTCAGCATTCCTCCACGCCACCCCCGACGGCAACTACCTCATCTCCTCCAACTGGAACAACGTGGTCATCTGGGATCTACAAAAGTCAGAACGCCATATTGTTCTCCAACATATCCACAGGTCAATTGTCAACGCGTTGACAGTGGATATGCGCATCTTCGTGACGGCCACCAATGACCTGATGCTCAGGATCTGGGACCTGACCCGAGATGACTCTCAGGGCCTTGGTGCCCTGCTTGCAGAACAACAACCCCTGAAGACTGACGTCACAAGTGGTGCCCCGTCGTCCGAGTACTTTGTCCTCAAGTAAGTACTTAGGATTTGACTATAGATGTTTAGAGAGAAGAAAATATCGACCTCGACCTGTGTTAAACGAAAATGTGTGAGTTGGGTTTATCGCAATCTCATTCATCTTCCCGAGGGGGGCGGTCGGGTAGCCTAGTGGTTAAAGCGTTCGCTCGTCACGCCGAAGACCCGGGTTCGATTCCCGACATGGGTACAATGTGTGAAGCCCATTTCTGGTGTCCCCCGCCGTGATATTGCTGGAATATTGCTAGAAGCGGCGAAAAACCATACTCACTCACTCACTCTTCCTTAGGCAAGGGAGTTAGCTGACTATAAAAGTCCAGTTTCCAACCTTGCCGAACTAAGTTGGAATTCCGGAGTTACATTTTGGCTGGACTAACGAGTCTATGCATATTCTAATTAAAATCGCGTAAACAAAATTGCAGATTTCGGTCGAGTGCAGGATTTGTCAAGCATGTGTACCGTCAGCTTGGCGTCGAAAGATATTTTCCAAATTGTTTCATGTTTTTTAATCATGGTGCTCATGATATGATGCGTTTCGCGAGGTAATACTATTAATAATAAAAATAAATGTATTTATAAAGCGCAGCATTCACTGTGCATAAGGCCCGTTGTGTTACAATATAGATTTTGGTTTTCACCAGATCGTCTTGACTGGGCGCCGACATTTTGTTTAAAGCAAATGCAAATAATATAAGAGGTTGAAGCTGATTGGTCAATAGGAGGGACATATAGGGTAAATGACTCGTAATAGCCACTGGTGGCGCTACGATTGAGCCACGAAATTCCAACCTAATTCGGCAAGGGTGGAAACTGGACTTTTATAGTCGTTTAACGCCCTTGCCTTGGGAAGATGAATTCGCGTGAAGATCTGAGGACACCTCCATATAAAATCGCCTTCATGTGAGCTTTCCAATCAGACAATCAGCATCGAGGCTTATAAAGTGAACGAACAATTTATACCAGCATAAGTGGTATTCCAGTTTCAAAGTGGTAAACGTCTAAGACCTAAATCTTTGGCTATCCTCCCACATCAAGCTGACAGCCGTCATTTAACTGCTATACCGCCCAAAGCATTAAACAACATATCCACTATTGACGTATTGTCTCCTTTGCTTCAGATCCATGTACGCGATGGACAGCCCGCGGTTCCTCCTGCTTCACGGGTCATTCCAAATCAAGGGCGTGGCCAAGGAGTACATCCGGGTGTATGACGTCACAACCGCCACCGTACTCAGACAGGTCAAACTGGTAGGCATGCTTTGTGTGACTGGGTTTTTGTCTACCTAAACGAGTTGATACGCGGTTGCCGATTTTTTGTAGGCTACCAGTGAACGTCACTAAACAGCATCCATTGGTCCTCCGTATCGAACGGAATCAAATAGGGGACTAAATGGAGTTTGTTGTGAACATCAGCAGAGTTGGGTTTTTTGTATTAATAATTGTTATCGCCAAACACAAAACTCCAAGGCATTGCCATCTTTTGATACACTAGTAATTACAGAAGCTGCGCATGCGCACCTGTAACCGGATATGGTACAGATTTGTACCACATGTTTTGGTCGCCGCTGTTCCCTAAACTCGTCAAGCTTGAACAAGTTCAGAGGATTTAAACCCAGACGGGTACAACGATCAGTGGCGCATGGGTAGCCTGTTTAGGCGTTCACTCGTCAACCCGAAGGCCCGGGTTTGATTCCTAACATGACTACAATGTATGAAGCCCATTTTTTGTGCCCCCGCCGTAATATTGCTTGTATATTGCTGGAAGCGGCGTAAAACTATATATACACGTATGCTGATCAGAGATAATTTTATGTTTTATATCGTCTCAATTATGGAGGGAAGAAATCTCAAGAAACTACTTATTACATCATCGTAAATGTATCTGGTATTTTTTCACTTTCAGCAAAAATCAGATCAGCTGATCGTTCCCTACGGCGATCACTCAATACTTGTGGGGTCATGGGACAGAACGGCAAATGTCCTTGACCTTGTGACCTTGACCTTCATCAAACAGTTACAGGGCTATTTACCGAAAATGGCTACCTCGCCGAACGACATCCGAGTAATTGCTTGTGACAAAGGTTTGTGAAAGAATAAAACAAACCTGCAACTGCTTTTCATATGAATTGACGAAGGAAATAATTCCCAACCGCCGAAGAACTTCGCGACTGAATGCAAAACCAAGACTCTCTTGGTCTCTATGTCGTCATTTTGTTTCAGTTGCGACGCCAACAAAAGCACGGCGGAACATCAAAGTGTATTCCTTGGCTACAGGTCGCGTGACGTCAGTGATGAAGGCGGGTCAGTCAGAGCGTATATCAGGACTGCAGGTACGGAGACAAACATAACCACGACATGTTGCGACACTGACACCCCCAATAAATATATACAGTAAAGTACGTTTATAACGAACACGCTTATAACGAACTGACGGATATACCGAACTGATTTTTATGTCCCAACTATTTGCTGTAGTTATATATAGTTATGCTGTATATATGCTTATAACGAACTACGGTTATAACAAACTAAAGTTAGTGGTCCCTTTGAGTTCGTTATAACCGTAGTTTACTGTATTTTGTTGTGTCATTATAACCATAAGAGAGAATTGCAAGAAACCTGCGTATCAAGTTTTTGGTGTGGATCATTGCAGCTCAGTACTGACGAGGTTACGTTACTGGCCAGCACAACTAAAGGCCCGCTACTTGTGTTTAACACAAACACGTGCTGCTTCTTGTGTTCTGTCAACACAACCTTAGTGTCTCTGAAGAACGTGGTTGATGTCAGAATGACGTCAGACAACTTCCTGTTGTTCAAGTCGGATGTAGGCGATAAACACTCCATCGTTGTTTTGGACATGGCGAAAAGTAAGCGTTTTAGATTTCTAATTTATTGACATAAAGTCTTTGTCTTGCCTACAATCGCAAGCGTTAATTTGTGGTCGATTCTAAAATTTGCTTAAAGGAACGATCATTTGCTATACTTGTCGAGACCTAGGATTTTGTATAGAGATAGCGATAAAGGTAGTTTCCATATAGCTGCAAAACCAGATATTTTTAAATTAAAACAATGAACCTCAACATTTTTTTAAAGAAAAACACGTGGTATGTGACAAACAATTTTGTTCACAGCCTGAAACATAATTATATTTTGAAGAATTTCCAGGGCCATTATATTTTTTCACCCACCCCGAATATCAAAAATATCAAATTTTTATTTTATAATATATATATATTCTCACGTTATCACGTAAATTGTGACTATATTTATATAGAGACAGAGCACTGTCGTCTGCGCACTCAACCAGGTCATGGCGCGGTACGTAGATTCGATGTTGTGGCCGATGACACTGCTGTCGTTGTCACCGACGCGCACCTACACGTCTTCAGCATTTCGACAGGTTGGTTAAATGCCGTTCAGTTGAGTTCAACTACTAAACTTTCTTTTGAGTCCACTGAAAATGTATCGTAATGATTGATAAATAATTTCACTCATGAAGCTAACAATCAGATGTCCTTGTATCTCATTTTAGGTCAGCAGAAAAAAATATTGGGCTAAGCTTACCTAACACGACTCCGAATGCGGCAACTAAACGCATAACGCATTTATTATGCCAAAATGTTTACACTTCATGTTTGTGGTATCCATATCGCATAATTCTTCTTAGCTTAGAACGCTGACGTTAAGGGTCAAAGGGAGACTACTCTTCAAAGCTTAGCGGCCAAACCTTGTTGACAATTTTAACTATAATCTTTATCAATAAAGTCACGAACATGGTTTGAAAAAGAGTAAGGTCCTGGCACATCATAATTAATGATACAAAAACACAAAACAGTGTCGAATAACGAATTTCTGTACCAGAATTTTCATGTGAAATATGTGAAGCGGGTGTTGGAAAATCCAAGATGGCTGTTACTGATACATGGTATCACAATCATTTTTGATTTTTACTGACGGTATATGGGCTCATGTGAGGTGAGTAGTTCTGCCCTCTCATTGGTCAATTCCACTTTGCGGCATAATAAAGACTTATACATACCAGGGGAACGGGTAGGATGCATATTGAGTTGAGTGTTGAAGCTAAGCATTAGATACTATTGCATAAACAGGAGAACAGTTGGACTGTGTTCACAGCCGACACGGCACGTCACGAATCTGTTGCCGTGACGGCAGTCCCTACTTCACCACCTTCAACAACGACATCGACGACAACGCAGTGAAACTTTGGCAAACATCACCAGTGAAGTGTGTGGCTTCGTTTACGCCGGATATCCGGGTACGTTGGAGATCCATCCAGGTTGAGACACTCAAATCGTCAAAACAGTGTTGTTGAGGGCTATGATTTTGTTTGTTTTTATTGTTTAACGCCGCACTCAGCATTATTCCAGCTATATGACGGCGGTCTGTAAATAATCGAGTCTAGACCAGACAATCCACTGATAGACACCACGAGCATCGATCGACGCAATTCGGAAACGATGACATGCATCAACCAAGTCAGCAAGCATGATCACTCGATCCCGTTAGTCGCCTCTTCCGACAAGCATAGTCGCCATTTACGGCACGCTTTGGTTGCTGAAGACCTATTCTACCCCGAATCTTCACGGGTATTTTAGGGCTACGATGTCAATAACTGATTTAAACCATTCCAGGCTTAGTGATGCATGAAATGTGAACGGGTCGTCGTTTTCAAAATCATGTCACAGTCGCTATTTCCATCTACACCCTCTCTCACTACAAAACCCGCCCCCTCATCTTTACCACCGTCCAGCTCCCGGAACATGCACACAAATCAGCACCGAGGTGAAATCGATTTGGTTTCCGCACATTCCGACATATTGACTTGTTATTATCCCGCACCCAACAAAGTTGGCGGGGGATATAGAAACAGGCTCCGTCCGTCTGTCCGTCACGTTTCGTTTCCGGAGCATAACTCAGAAACCGTTCAATATTTTTTCATGAAACTTTGCAGGTCTGTCAAGTACATGCTGATCTGGTGCCTTTGCTATTTAGAAGTTATTTTTTTACGTTTCCATGGCAACAAGATGAACTTAGGTTCCAAACTCTTCTCTTTTTTACAATTTCCATGACAAGTTCCTCCACGAATAAAAAAGGTTAGGCTTTGTTTAGATTTAATTATGTCATAAATTCTGCAACAGGGGCGGGGGATATAGCCACGTTAGTGGCAAACTCTTGTTTGTTTTAATGATAACTTAATTTAGCTGTTTATATTTCGTCATGATCATGGGAACACGTGGAATTATTTGAAGGGTAAAACTGTATCTGCGTCCTTGCAAGAAAACCGTGAAGGAGCCAGGGATGTACAGCATGTTTATGTGTTTCAGCCACGTGAGATATTTTTGTCCCGGGATGGCCGCACCCTCCTTGGTTACTTTAACACCACCCCCTACCCCGTGTTGTGGACGCTACGGGGCAGGGATATCTCACCTGGGGGTGAGGCCGGAGACACAGGACAACTGCCCAACCCGTACGGCATTGAGTGTAAGCGTTTCCTTTCAGTAAACTTGATGAGATACACATGGGTTTTTTTTGTTTAACGCCGCACTCAGCAGTATTCCAGCCATATGACGGCGGTCTGTAAATAATCAAGTCTGGACCAGACAATCCAGTGCTTGACATCATGAGCATCCATTCACGCAATTGGGTTTCGATGACATGTATCAACGATGTCAGCGAGCCTGACCACCCGATCCCGTTAATCGCCTCTTGCGACAAGCATGGGTTGCTGAAGACCTATTCTACCCCGGATCTTCAGTGTGTGTAGGTGTGTGGGTGTATGGGAGGTAGGGAGTGGTATTGGTGGCATAGTTGTAGTTTTTGTTGTGAAACGCCGCACTCAGCAATACACAAGCTAAATGGCATCGGTCTGCACTTCATCAGCATTGAAACACGAAAATGAGAACCACGCCTGACAACTCGATCCATTTAGTCGCCTCTTTCGACAAGCATAGATGTTGGGGACTGTTTTTTTCCATACATCTAAAACAATTTGGAGGAAGAGAGACAGAGACTTTCTGATAATAGTTATATTTGCTGATTAATATTTTAAAAAAAAATTCTTCAGATTTTGGGATGTTATCGAGTATTTGAAACCTGCTAATGCCAACGTAAATGGTTTTTAACATGCTGTGTGTTCTTGTATTATTAATTCGACGTAGATGTTTTGGAATTGTTTTTCTTTGATAGATTTGGAAGCAGATCTCAGCAGCCCTCGCGAACAGCTGCCAGAGGACCGAGAAGACCCGGACAGTGACGAAGACGTGGCCACGTGATCAGTAATGATGCTGTATATATCACATATGTGCCAAATATGGACATACCTCATACATACCAAGCAGTGAATCGGGATAGTGACAATGATATGGAAATTACGCAATCATCGGACATATGTTATTTTATTGGCCTTGTTAAAAGAAAGCGACTCTAACCTTGAGGCATCAATACATCTCCAATATCCAAGGGGGCACGGGTGGCTCAGTCGTCTAAGGCGCCCTGATTTGCTGTGCAGAGTTGCGTCCCTTGGGCACACCAGAAACCTATGATTGTGGGTTCGAATCCCGGTTCGCCCCAGTTATGTTTCTAGGTTTGTCAGCACCATACCCGTGCTCGTGGGTTTCACCGAAATGGTAAATGTCTTAGACCTGCATCATTTCGGGCTTTCCTCCCACATTAAGCTGACACGCCGCGATATGACTGGAATACTGTTAAAAGCGGCGTTAAACCCAACTCACTCACCCACTCACTCACTCCATTATCCAAATTGATGGAGTCGTGGTCGGGGGTATTAGGGAGACCTGCTCACGTTTTGCCTTGTTTCTTTTTATTTACTGATACACGTTCTTATACACTCGTTATGCTGGATACCTCCACGCCATTTCACAGTGGTTAAAGTAATGTAGTCCTGTTGTCCAAGCTCTGCTGTGATACCCTGCTCAGCTGCTCAACAAACTCACGACCCGTGAAGATTCCGGGGTAGAATAGGTCTTCAGCAACCCATGCATATAATCGTGTCTGGACCAGACAATCCAGTGATTGATATCATGAGCATCGATCCACGCAATTGGGATCGAAGACCTGCATCAACCAAGTCAGCGAGTCGGACCACCCGATCCCGTTAGTCGCCTCTTACGACAAGCGTAGTCGCTTTTTACGGCAAGCATGGGTTGCTGAAGACCTATTCTACCCCGGATCTTCACGCGTTCGGAGAAAGGGTTGTTGAAAATCAAGTTGTTCCTTCGTGCAGTGTTTTCAGTCATGGACCAGCACAGATGTGATATTAATGGGGAAAAAAGCGATACTGTGATATTCGCAATATTCTGTTTGTATATGGTTGTTTGTAAATTATTTTGTTCTACTCATTCGTCTAATTAAACTCAGATAGTTTACTCTGATACGATACCTCTTTGCGGCAACATCTGAACTTTCTATATATATATAGATAGATAGATAGATAGATAGATATATAGACCTCTTTGCGGCAACATCTGAACTTTATATATATATATATATATATATATATATATAGATAGATAGATACATACATACATACATACATACATACATACATACATAGATACAGAAATGAGATATCGAAACTATTTTGTTCCAATGGAAATGAAAAGAATTGGCCTCGTGGTTTTTTTACCCAAATAAAGTTCCCGAAAAACTTGTCTTTTGTATACAATTTTAATTATGTGGCTCTTTTGGAGCAGTGCCCGAAGGCTGTGTGCCCGCTACATGGCTTTAAGTTAAGCTCGATGTCACCACTACACCGTATATCGCTTTTATGTATTCCCGGGCGATGGAGGAACTTAGTGTATACGTAGTGAAGGGTCAATCTTGGTAGTCCCAATATGTGGTGTCAGTCTTGGTTGTCCCAGTTATTGGGGTCAATCTTGGTGGTTCCAATGTGTGGTGTCAGTCTTGGTTGTCCCAGTGATTGGGGTCAATCTTGGTGGTCCCAATGTGTGGTGTCAGTCTTGGTTGTCCCAGTGAATGGGGTCAAGCTTGGTAGTCCCAATGTGTGATGTCAGTCTTGGTTGTCCCAGTGATTGGGGTCAATCTTGGTGGTCCCAATGTGTGGTGTCAGTCTTGGTTGTCCCAGTGATTGGGGTCAATCTTGGTGGTCCTAATGTGTGGTGTCAGTCTTGGTTGTCCCAGTGATTGGGGTCAATCTTGGTGGTCCCAGTGTGTGGTGTCCGTCTTGGTTGTCCCAGTGTGTGGTGTCCGTCAAGATTGACACCACACATTGGGACTACCACGAATGACCCCAATCACTGGGGCGGCAAAAATAGATAATACCGGAGCTGATTTGTCTGTGATAGACCTAACTGTAAATATCTCCGCAGCAAGTCTCAACCCAAGCTGAGATAGTCTTACTAACCTACTTACGCTGTACTGATCACCCAGGAACTACAACCAATATGGAGACAGCGCCGCTCGTTGTACTCGTTGTACTTATAGTGAGTAGCGTACAGGAAGTTTGTGGTTTCTTTCCTGTTCATCCGTTCATTTGAAAGGAGACGATACTGTATATTATCCTCAGCTTGGTGTCTACGGAATGACGTTGTCTTATACATTTCCACTGAAGTATCTGGGCTAATTATATCATTTTGTCTGGTAGCCACTGGCTCCCATTGTGTACAATGTTCATTGAATTTTACAGCATACTGCTGTATAGAAACACAGCGTTAAAAGACCCGTGAAGATCCGGGGTAGAATAGGTTTTCAGCAACCCATACTTGCCGCTAAAGGCGACTATGCTTGTGGTAAGAGGCGTCTAACGGGATCGGGTGGTCAGGCTCGCTGACTTGATTGATGCATGTCATCGATCCCAATTGCGTAGATCGATGCTCATGATGTCAATCACTGGATTGACTCGATTATGTAAAAACCGCTGTCATACCGCTGGAATATTGCTGAATGCGGCGTTAAACAACAACTAAAACAACGTTTAAATCAAGAGTTGGTTCCAAGCACACACTGATTACCATAAGATTACAGTGAGGTGTATGTGTGTTTTGTTGCTGTATGTTTTTTATGCTATATGGATTTACGCATTGTATCCGAGTGGAGAATCGAACCCGGACCTTTGGCGTGACGAGCGGACGCTTAATTCGTTAGACAACCTCACTACATATTCGCACATTGTCATGACCAGGTTCTCATTGCCATTGTTGATGCATGTCATCGTATCTCATTTGCGTAGATCGATGCTGATAGCAATCACTGGATTGCCTTGATGGTCTAGACGCGATTATTAACAGGTCGTCGCTAGAGAACACTGTACTATATACGTCGCTCATGTGTAATAGACGGTCCCTTGTACTAGTGTACATGCGCAATCGGAACCGGAACCAGATATAATATATAAACATGCCCGTGTTTCAACCTGTCCAATACTAGGTTAGTTATTGTCATTTCGCGCTGACTCTCTCAAGTAAAGTGATCGAACAAATGTAACTCTGTCCTTATTTAGTCGCCATGCAGTGGACTTTTTCTGAGTTAAACAAACAAACATTGTCACTGTTCCAAAGTTAACTTACTCAAACCTGTAAATCTTTTACTTCACTCGAAAGTTAATCTTTAGGAGACGATGTTTAAATATTCATCGCACGTCATATTGGTGTTGACATAGGTGTTATTGCGAGTAATACCGCTTTTTAAATATTTCTGAATATGATGTGGAAAGATCATCAACATTCATCACCGCGTCTACATACGACCTTGAACTTGAGTGTTCAAAGTAAGAGTAGCGCCCCTTGGACCAAGTGGACATGCAGTCGTTAGAAATGTCGTCCTTATGTCAACTGATGCAATCTCGTCGTGAATCTTTTGTGCTCCGAAACAGAGCAGGTGGTGTTACAGTATCTTAACGGTCCCTGCACCCAATTTTATAACAGTTGCGGCCTCTTACGAAATCACATAGCCATCCTGACATGACGCGATGTGTGGATCGTCTCGCGGGGACCCCTTCTGACCAACACTGATCCGAGTTGGACGCTCGATTTTCCGTGAATGCAGATGTTTCAAACTTGGTGATGTTTGTGTGTATAAATAATGTTATGAACGTGATTTTAAAATCGGCATCTTATCGATTTATATAACTGATCACACTAGGCACTGTATTGCCAGACTGCTGCTTGAGACAAATGCTATGGTCAAGTCATCAGCTACGAATGTTCTATTCATACGCCTTCTTTCAACTCTGAGTAAGTGAGTGAGTATGGTTTTACGCCGCTTCTAGCAATATTCCAGCAATATCACGGCGGGGGACACCAGAAATAGGCTTCACAAATTGTGCCTATGTCGGGAATTGAACCCGGGTCTTCGGCGTTACGAGCGAACGCTTTAACCACTATTCTACCCGACCGCCCCCTTTTGAATATCCATAATATGCAAAGTTTGAGTAAGTAATAAATAATTTTACACTCGTCTCTGTGAGATACCGTTTTTAGGACACTCACGTTAGATATTTGTATTAACACAAACGGAACGATATCCAACAGGAGCTTATTTAATAATCTACATGTATACATTTGTGAGTGCGTCCTACGTTTCTACACTACACATACTCTGACATCAGTACGAAACAAACTCTCATCACTCGGGTCAACTCGGCTTATTCCTTCGATACCATTCGTGACCAACTCGTGTTATTGCAGGTTACGGAAAGGGACGAGTGCTTCGATACATGAATACTTCGGCTAACAATAGCGTAGTGATATTAAAGATCCCACCGCATATAGTCCCTATAACATGACGGCAATGTTTGAAGACAAATCATCCTGTGCTGATAGGGAGTTAGGTATTTGATGTGAAGTCAAAAGCAAACGGAAACAATTTTGTTTTGTTATTTAATATTTCCCGCCAGATTGTGGCATGTAAAATTGATTCTAATGTGGATACCAGCCACTGCTGCCCGTAGTTCTATGGGAGTGAGTGAGTCGAGCCGAGTTACACTCACACATTATAATCCCTATTTTACCTTCAGTGTTCAGTGAACCTTGTCCCGTGGACAGAGTCATGCGAGACGGCCGCTGACTGCCCGTTTCTGTACTGTTGTGTGCACCCAAAGGGCAACTCCGTGGACAACCAATATCGCCAGCATCAGCACAACGCTGGCGCTGTGACTGGTAGACGGAGTGAAGGCGACGTCGACAACGACCTCGTTGACAGCGGTAGAAGGGCAGTGAAGGGTACCTGTCAGACAATGAAGGCGCAAGGACAAAGTAGGTTAAACTAAACCAGACCACACCCTCCCTACCCAATTCGGTTACAGACAAAACGCTGCATCTGTTGGTGGTTACCGGAACGGTGACCGGAAGTGATCTCTGGCTAGTCACATCACAATTCTTTAATCCTTATTTCAAAATGTCCAGTCGGTTGAGTGAGTGAGTGATTTGTGTTTCAAACGCCGCATTTAACATTATTCCAGTTACGGAATATCACGGCGCGTCAGCTTAATGTGGGTGGAAGTCTCGGACCTTTACCGCTTCAGTGAAACCCACGAGCACGGGTATGGTGCTGACAAAACTAGGAACAAAATGGGGGCGAACTGGGATTCGAACCCACAATCATAGGTTTCTGGCGTGCCCAAGGGACGCGACTCGCGGCGCCGTAGACGCCTGGGCCACCCGTACCCCTCCAGTCGGTTCAGGTGATTAAGATTAAGAATGAAACTTATAAATGAACAAGGTGAGAAACAAAACAAGGACACAGAACACAAGGTGATGATTTTATTATTATCCATCGGAACTGCCCGTTAACGTTGGTTTTCAAGATGAATAAATCAGACGTACTGCTCCGTATGCTCATATGATGAAGACTTTAGTGAGACTGATTATCTCATACACCTGCCATGAGGTATTGTTGACAGAGCAGAGTTGCGTTCCTTGTATGTGCCCGAATCACGCAAGGTAATCGAATCGCGGTTCGTTTTGATAATGTTTCTAGATTTGTCAGCACCATGCATTAGCTTGTGGGTTTGACCAAAATGGTGCATCACTTTGGGCTGTCCAACTCCATCAAGCTGACACGCCGTTAAATACTGCTCAATGTTCACTCACTAATATTATTACAGTTATCTTATCAAGGATTTACGCGACCTACGTGGTACTGATCCTGTTGTACTATTCTCCTCAGTCTGCTGGACAAAGACGGACGTTGCCTACTCCCCCCCAAAAGACATGACCGACGACTGCCCGTGTCAGAGAGGGTTATACTGTGTGGCCAATGGCGTCTTCCTGCCAGGGGGAGAAGTGGGTATGTCTGCTGCTGGAGAGAACTATTGTCAGCAATGTTACTGGTAGATGTATCTGAACGAACCGACGGTTTCATCGGCTAGGTCCCAAGATGTAACGGGTCCTTCTTCAGTTGTGTACTAAGGCGATCACGGGGTAGTGACGCATTCTGCCTTGGAATGAACACCAGGTGTTATGGGAAACAAGGGATCTATTCTGCCTTGGAATGAACACCGGGTGTTATGGGAAACAGGAGATCTATTCTGCCTTGGAATGAACACCAGGTGTTATTCGAAACGGGGGATCTATTCTGCCTTGGAATGAACACCGGGTGTTATGGGAAACGGGATCTATTCTGTCATTGAATGAACACCAGGTGTTATGGGAAACAGGGGATCTATTCTGTCATTGAATGAACACTAGGTGTTATGGGAAACAAGGGATCTATTCTGCCTTGGAATGAGAACCGGGTGTTATGGGAAACAGGAGATCTATTCTGCCTTGGAATGAGCACCAGGTGTTATGGGAAACAGGAGATCTATTCTGCCGTGGAATGAACACCGGGTGTTATGGGAAACAGGGGATCTATTCTGCCTTGGAATGAACACCAGGTGTTATGGGAAATAAGGGGTCTATTCTGCCGTGGAATGAACACCGGGTGTTATGGGAAACAGGAGATCTATTCTGCCGTTTAAGTAACACCAGGTGTTATGGGAAACAGGAAATCTGCCTCTCAGAGACCACAGGCTGACAAAAAGAATAACTGTTGTCGTAAATGTAAATTAGTCGTTCATTAGTGGGTCGTGGTATGTAATTGTCCACATGAATGAATATCTTGATTGTAGTCTTAGATCTTCATCTGGGCTTATTTTCTGTTTTTGTCTACTTCCCGGCAGGTGTATGCAGCATCTAGCAGAAGATCAACAGCACAGAAACAAGCGATACTGTCTATACTGATTTGTAAAGGGATTATAGTGTATCTTACAACATATGTACACACATACACGCGCATACACACACACACACACGCGCGCACGCACGCACGCACGCGCGCGCACACACACACACACACACACACACACACACACATTAAACAGGTGTCAATACAAGCTCTACGTGTTGGTGATTTGTCTGACCTGGGTTGTATGTTCTGTATAACAACATACATGTACAAGCCTGGCTGGAACGGGACATGTTTCAGTCAGCGTTCAAAGGCAATCAGTTTTTATTGATTGATAAGAGGAACCAAATAATTGTTTTCCGAAGATTTTCAAAAGAAATGAAAGGTTTCTTTGTGAGGCGCGTCGCTAATTGTGATAGTTGCACGTATATATCTCTGTAAACTACACATCTGATCACCTAGGAGTGGCTTTTCAGGAAGCTCTGCTTATCTCGGAATACCACTGACAACAGCTCTAACTGACCTTATGAGAGATGTACTTCATGACCCACATGTTACACGTAATCACAATGCCAAACCTGAAGTCCACTACCTGTATTTCCTGCCATTTTCTAAATTAGTATAGTTGCTACAGCTATTATAGTGTTAGTTGTACAGTTGCTACGGCTATAGTGCTAGGTGTATAGTTGCTACGGCTATAGTGTTAGTTGTAAAGTTGCTACAGCTAGTGTAGTGTTAGTTGTATAGTTGCTACGGCTATTATAGTGTTAGTTGTATAATTGCTACAGTTGTTATAGTGTTAGTTGTACAGTTGCTACAGTTATTATAGTGTTAGTTGTATAATTGCTACAGTTGTTATAGTGTTAGTTGTACAGTTGCTACAGTTATTATAGTGTTAGTTGTATAATTGCTACAGTTGTTATAGTGTTAGTTGTACAGTTGCTACAGTTATTATAGTGTTAGTTGTATAATTGCTACAGTTGTTATAGTGTTAGTTGTACAGTTGCTACAGCTATTATAGTGTTAGTTGTATTGTTGCTACAGCTATTATAGTGTTAATTGTACAGTTGCTACAGCTATGATAGTGTTAGTTGTACAGTTGCTACAGTTATTAAAGTGTTAGTTGTACAGTTGCTACAGTTATTATAGTGTTAGTTGTATAGTTGCTACAGCTATTATAGTGTTAGTTGTGTAGTTGCTACAGTTATTATAGTGTTAGTTGTACAGTTGCAACATTTATTATAGTGTCAGTTGTACAGTTGCTACATTTATTATAGTGTTAGTTGTATAGTTGCTACAGCTATTATAGTGTTAGTTGTACAGTTGCTACGGTTATTATAGTGTTAGTTGTACAGTTGCTACAGTTATTATAGTGTTAGTTGTATTGTTGCTACAGTTATTATAGTGTTAGTTGTATAGTTGCTACAGCTATTATATTGTTAGTTGTATAGTTGCTACAGTTATTATAGTGTTAGTTGTACAGTTGCTACAGCTATTACAGTGTCACTCAATACCCGGCGACCCGCATCATCCCGACGATCCCCCCGAGTATCACTTTTGCGAGTCTGACCCTTTTGTGCCACCTACGTGTGTACATGTAACACTCAGTGCTAAAAGTGCAAATTCCTACTGACACCGGTGCAATTTTTTCCCTCATGACCTCATGAAGATGTGTTGTAAGAACACTTGTCCTGAAAATCCAGCTCCGCTTATCAGCAATACCTCCAGGGTTCTGCCCTCCTATACAGGAAACACGCTGAACATGTTAGGTAAAACTGATATGAACAGTCAGTACCACACAACCAGGAACTGAAATCATCCATTCTCATTGTGGATGAGAGTACGCCTTGTTTGCTCGGAAGAGATAGGATAAATCTCCTGAAGTGAGTGAGTGAGTGAGTATGGTTTTACGCCGCTTTTAGCAATATTCCAGCAATATCACGGCGGGGGACACCAGAAATAGGCTTCACACATTGTACCCATGTCGGGAATCGAACCCGGGTCTTCGGCGTGACGAGCCAACGCTTTAACCAATAGGCTACCCGACCGCCCCTAAATCTCCTGAAACTTGATTTGACAAAACATATGCCACAGCATAGATCCGCCATTACAGACCATCCCAGTCTTCCCAAGGTCACAAGATATCCCAAATATGTCAAACCGACCTGCCTGTCATAAGGGACATGTGCGCTCTTCCACGTGTCACAAGTGACAAATGTTATTAAACACCTGATATTTTCAAGGATGCTATCGATGAGATCGAAGGTCCTTTCCGTAAAATTAACTAGGATTCTGACGCCATGCCGAAATCCTTCAAGCCACGTCATGTTACATACACAATGAAACAGAACATGGAAGCTGAAATAGACTATGGTATCATTAAATCTGTCCGGTTTCAGAGTAACACGCCCAACGTGTCTGTACTTAAGGGCGACGATTTGTGGTGACTATAAAGAGATTATAAATCAAGTCTCAAAATTAGATCCATATCCAATTCAGAAGATTGACGATCTGTACGCAGAGTTATCCTGTGGTAAAACGTTACCAAGACCGATCTTGCAAGCACCTATCTACATTTTCCGTTGGAGTGAGTGAGTGAGTGAGTGAGTATGGTTTTACGCCGCTTTTTAGCAATATTCCAGCAATATCACGGCGGGGGACACCAGAAATGGGCTTCACATATTGTACCAATGGCGTGAATCGAACCCGGGTCTTCGGCGTGACGAGCGTACGCTTTAACCACTAGGCTACCCAACCGCCCCTTTTTCCGTTGGAGAAGAAAACCCTGGGAGTACATTTCAATCAACACACACCGTGGATTGTTTCGATATAAAAGATTGTTTTTCGGCATATCATCCTCACCATCTCTTTTTCAAAGATACGATGACAACTTACTGCAGGGATTACAAATGTCGGGAGGTTGTCAAGATGATATCATCATCTCAGGATTGGATGATCCAGATAATGTACAACATGTTGATACAATATTCAGAAAGTTATCTGACGCTGAGATCCGAGTGTAGAAAGAAAAGGGTGTCCTCCAGGCTACAGAGGTCACATACCTTGGCCACACGACTATAGCAGGAGGTTGGTTGGTTGGTTGGTTGTTTAACGCCGCACTCAGTAATATTCCAGCTATATGACGGCGGTCTGTAAATAATCGAGTCTGGACCAGACAATCCACTGATTTATATTATGAGGATCGATCCACGCAATTGGGATCGATGACATGCATCAACCAAGTCAGCGAGCCTGACCACCCGATCCCGTTAGTCACCTATTACGGCAAGCATGGGTTGCTGAAGACCTATTCTACCCCGGAATCTTCACGGGTCTGATACAGAAGGATTACACCCAGGGGCTGACAAAGTAGATACTATATCAAAAGCACCTGTGTCGACAAACGTGTCAGAATTGAAATCATATCAAGGGCTTCTCAATTACTGTGGGAAGATTCTCCCGAGCATCTCCACTGTTTTGGCTCCATTGCATCAACTCAGTTGTACAGTTGCTACATTTATTATAGTGTTAGTTGTATAGTTGCTACATTTATTATAGTGTTAGTTGTATAGTTGCTACATTTATTATAGTGTTAGTTGTACAGTTGCAACATTTATTATAGTGTCAGTTGTACAGTTGCTACATTTATTATAGTGTTAGTTGTATAGTTGCTACAGCTATTATAGTGTTAGTTGTACAGTTGCTACGGTTATTATAGTGTTAGTTGTACAGTTGCTACAGTTATTATAGTGTTAGTTGTATTGTTGCTACAGTTATTATAGTGTTAGTTGTATAGTTGCTACAGCTATTATATTGTTAGTTGTATAGTTGCTACAGTTATTATAGTGTTAGTTGTACAGTTGCTACAGCTATTATAGTGTTAGTTGTACAGTTGCTACAGTTATTATAGTGTTAGTTGTATAGTTGCTACAGCTATTATAGTGTTAGTTGTACAGTTGCTGCGTAAGGATGCGAATGAAAGTTTCTTTGTTTGTTTGTTGTTTAACGCCACACTCAGCAATATTCCAGCTATATGACCGCGGTCTGTAAATAATCGAGTGTGGAACAGACAATCCAGTGATTGACATCATGAGCATCAATCCACGCAATGGAAATCGATGACATGCATCAACCAAGTCAGTGAACCAGACCACCCGATCCCGTTAATCGCCTCTTACGACAAGTATAGTCGCCTTCTAGGGCAAGCATGTGTTACTGAAGAACTATTCTACCCCGGATCTTCACGGGTCGCGAATGGAAGTGGAGTAGTTACCAAGAACATTCTTTCAAAGAGTCCAATAGATTCTTGAACTCATCACAAATCGTAGTGCAATACGACGCTAACAAGGACCTGATGCATGTCAATACGGTTCAAGGTTCTCGTTCTTGTGTTCAAGGCACAGCATGGTCTTGCTCCAAGCTACCTGGAGGATCTCATCATACAATACTAGCCAACAAGAACCCTACGATCTTGTGATCAATCGTTGCCTGAAGTGCCACCATCAAGAACAATCTCCCACGGGGATCGCTGCTTTGCAAGGGCTGGTCCTCCTCTTTGGAACGCCCTGCCCAAAGAACTCAGAATGCTCAGTGAACTTAACAGTTTCAAAAAACTTCTGAAGACACACTTGTTCAGCAAAATATATACGGCCATACCAACTGTGCGAGCTTCAAGGGCGCTTTTGAGCAGTCAGTCTGGAAACTAGCGCTGTATAAATACCAAGTTAATAATAAAAGTTAATAATAATACGGCCTCAGGGCTGGCCTGTCGCATCAGATGCCTGGCGGAAGTTAAAGACCCATATCTTTCTCGTCTAGATCCCTAAATCAAGCAGAACGTAATTACGCTCAGATTGAGAATCAGTAGGCTGAACATTAACGTCTAGCTCCACTGGATAAAAATTGCCGTCTAATGCTGTACACTATATCCAAGAGGCTCAACATTAACGTCTAATACTGTGCTCTATATCCAAGAAACTCAACTTTAACGTCCAATGCTGTACTCTATATCCAAGAAACTCAACTTTAACGTCCAATGCTGTACGTTATGTCCAAGAAACTCAACTTTAACGTCCAATACTGTGCGTTATATCCAAGAGGCTCAACATTAACGTCCAAAACTGTACGTTATGTCCAAGAGGTTCAACATTAACGTCCAATGCTGTACGTTATATCCAAGAAACTCAACTTTATCGTCCAATACTGTGCGTTATATCCAAGAGGCTCAACATTAACGTCCAATACTGTACGTTATATCCAAGAGGTTCAACATTAACGTCCAATACTGTACGTTATGTCCAAGAGGTTCAACATTAACGTCCAATACTGTACGTTATGTCCAAGAGGCTCAACATTAACGTCCAATACTGTACGTTATATCCAAGAGGTTCAAAATTAACGTCTAATACTGTACGCTATATCCACGAGATTCAACATTAACGTCTAATGCTGTACACTATATCCAAGAGGCTCAAAATTAACGTCTAATACTGTACTCTATATCCAAGAGGCTCAACATTAACGTCTTATTCTGTACTCTATATCCAAGAGGCTCAAAATTAACGTCTAATACTGTACTCTTTATCCAAGAAACTCAACTTTAACGTCCAATACTGTACGTTATATTCAAGAGGCTCAACATTAACGTCTTACGATGTACGGGAGCTGCAAGAGGCTGCACATTAACGTCGAATTGCCATGCAATGCCAGCCACGGATTATCTCCAGACGTCATATCTCTGTACACTGTCGTCTACAGAGAAGTCGATTACTGTGACCTACGCAACCTACTCCAGGGTTATCGGGACATTTAAACTAGAGTTCCGCAGCTGCACAACTAGACAGGCGACACAGCCCGACACCAGCATGCCGTCCTTCGTCCTTCTGCTAGCAGCCTCCTGTCTGGCCCTGGTGAGTTCTGTTTGTGGTACATAGTGTTTGCATGAAGGTAATAATTGTAAATTTGCACTTGCGTCGCAATTACCTGTGTCCTTTAGAGAAGTGTCCTTTCTGCTTACCAAAACCTATCCCAGATACCCTCTGATCCTCTTCCTTATTTCCTGATTTGTCAGCAACATAATTTGTGTTGCGCTTTAATTTCACCAAAGTGTTATACATCTGAGACCTGCAGCCCTTTTAGCCCTTACCTCCCAAATCAAGCTTGCACAGTGAATTATCTGAAATGCTAGAAAAATGTGATAAACTTACTTACTCTGTATTCCTATATTGTTATTCGACTCATGTCCCGACTGAAGCGTTAAACTCCAATATATGTATAATAACCATTCCGGTTGCGCGCACATAAGAAGCGCCGTGAAGATCTGGGTCTTGGTCTTCACCAACCCATGCTTGCCGTAAGAGGCGACTATGCTTGCCGTAAAAGGCGACTATGCTTGCCATAAGAGGCGACTATGCTTGCCGTAAGAGGCCAGGCGACTATGCTTGTCTTAAGAGGCGACTATGCTTGTCTTAAGAGGCGACTATGCTTGCCGTAAGAGGCGCGTTGCTAGATCGGGTGGTGAGCCTTGACTTGGTTGAAGCCTGTCATCGTATCCCAATTGCATGGATCGATGCTCATGGTGTCAATCATTGGATGTTCCGGTCCAGACTCGATTATTTACAGACCGCCGTCATATAGATGGAATATTGCTGAGTGCGGTGTTAAACAACAAACAAACAAACAAACACAATGCCATGTACTAACTCATTCCGCTGACCCTAGCAGGTTTACAGAGTCCCACACCAGTATAGGTGTACGCCAAGGGGGAATCGGATTCAAACATGGTAAGGGGGGGTAGCCTAGTGGTTAAAGTGTTCGCTTGTCACGCCGAATCCGGGTTCGATTCCCCACACGGGTACAATGTGTGAAGCCAATTTCTGGTCTCCCCCGCCGTGATACTGCTGGAATATTGCTTGCTTAAAGCGGCACAACACAATACTCACCGACTCACCCAAACATGGTAAACTGAATAATGAGTTCAATTAGTTCAATGTTGCTAGCGTTGTCAACTATTGGTCTGTCACTTCTAACTGCACAACGTGTGGTCAGAGCGACAATGGCACAACATTTGTCTCTACTCTTTATGTTGGAAGCTGCCAGTCCAAATTCCATTTTTTTATGTAGTTCATTTTGATACTGAGACGTCAGTTTTCGTTCATGTATAAATACACATCCAACAATATTGCCCGTATGAGCCTGTACTATGGGATGTACAGGGCGTTAGACAAAAGGGTAGTTACAGTTTTTGTTCGAATTCCACTGTTTCTTTAATGTCTTGTGGTAATCTAGGCGTATGTTTGCAGGTGTATGGTCAGGACACCACGTCCTGCAGTACGGCCACCGAGTGTCCATCCTACATGTGCTGCCAGCAGGTCAAATCCTGGCCCCAGGGACAGATTGGCAAGAGAGCCCTAGGGGAGTGCAGGCCCATAAAGACACAGGGACAGAGTAGGTTGAATGGGGGTGAGGGTTCCCAGAGAGCCCAGGGTAGTGCAGGCCCATAAGGACACAGGGACAGAGTAGGTTGAATGGGGGTGAGGGTTCCCAGAGAGCCCAGGGTAGTGGGGCTGGGTAAAGATGGCGAGAGGGTTATTTACCCATTTGTTTGTACACTCATCTGCGATGTAGATTAACTGTCTTGTATGTGGTATATACCGTGGTATATACGAGCTATATGTGGTATATACTGTGCTATATTATGTGTTATGTACGAGCTTTATGTGGTATATGCTGTTCTATATATTGTGTTATGTACGAGCTATTTGTGGTATATACTATGCTATATATTGTGCTATATACGAGCTATATGTGGTATATGCTGTGCTATATATTGTGTTATGTACGAGCTATATGAGGTTTATACCGGCTATATATTGTGCTTTATCATTTAATGGGTAGGTTTCTCGGCAGGATAAAGTCAACGGATAAAAACCATATCTCTAGGATTAGACCTTTTAGATAGCATTGGTAACTGCAGCTGTCTTGACTCACAATGGTAACACTGCTGCCCTCTCAGACAGTACACGATTTACGTCAGCAGATTGTTCCGCCATGTTAAGACCATAAATACGCAATAATCGTGATTCAAAGATTGTTTCTTCCATATGGACATATACACTGGATATATGACATGTTAAAGTTGCGTCATACATTCAAATCTTGGACTGAAAATGTTCACACATGTTCAAATGTTTGACTAGTCATTTTCTTTGATACAGTTAGACTTTGGGTCATGCTCAAATACTTTAACAAGACTAAATGGGCGAAAGGGGGTAATTTACCAACCTTTAGCAAGTCTGTGACCAAAGATGATTTCTTTGCCGTACGTCAGTACTGTATGTATCCACACAAAAAACTTGTATAAAAGAGTTCTTCATGTTCAACGATCGTCGGGTAATAGATTTTCGGACATTATATATTTTCGGACGGCCATGGTTATCGCGATTACCCGCGCTATAACAAGGGGTGTGGCGTCACACAAGCATTGTAATTACTCAGATGATGACCTGTTTTAAGATAAGGTCGTCTTTTATAAGTGAGTGAGATGAAATTACAAATGTTTCTTAGTGGTCCGAAAACCCATAACACGGGGATACTTGTACTTTCGTTTTCACATATTTTAGCCTAACGTGTACATTAAGTGATGCTACAAATCCAACACGTGTGTTGAAAAGATTAGTTCTCTTTCGTAACGTGTTGTCCTCAGGACTGTGTATCTCTACCCGGAGTGCGAAAGTTCGTTGGTTCGATCCCCTGGCTGAAGGTACTTGTTATTGCCCTGCCTGGCGCTCGGCATTAAGCTGACAAAACAAGGACTTGTCGGCTTGAAGTCAGTATGTTAGGGTAGGGTATCTATGTTGAGCTAACACTACAAAACCGGTATAAGTCTCACCTGTGACGTCATCCCCATCACTCCCTACTGTGACGTCGTCCCAATCACTCACCTACAGTGATGTCATCCATCACTCACCTACTGTGTCGTCATCCCATAACTCACCTACTGTGACGTCATCCCTATCACTCCCTACTGTGACGTCATCATTATCACGCCACGCCCCCCCTGCTGTGACGTCATCCCATCACTCACCTACTGTGACGTCATCCCTGTCACTCCCTACTGTTACGTCATAATTATCACGCCACGCCCCCCTGCTGTGACGTCATCCCCATCACTCACCTACTGTGACGTCATCCCTGTCACTCCCTACTGTTACGTCATAATTATCACGCCACGCCCCCCCCCCCCCCCCCCCCCCCCCTGCTGTGACGTCATCCCCATCACTCACCTACTGTGACGTCATCTCCAGGTTGCTGGGTGAAGAACAAGCCTCTTGACGGCACGCGGCCCCTGCAGGTTATGGACGAGTGTCCGTGTGAGTCGGGACTCAGATGTGTCGGCATCGGCGCCACCGTCGTGCCATATGGAGAAGCAGGTAAATGTACCCTCGTAGGGATTATTCCTGAGTACTAGTAGCAGAAACAGCAGCACGGCTGTAGTCGTAGTAATAGTAGCAGTAACAGTAGCAGTAATTATAGTAGCAGTAGCAGCGATAGTAGTAGTAGTAGTAGTAGAAGTAGTAGTAGTAGTAGTAGTAGTAGTTTGTTTGTTTGTTTGTTTGTTGTTTAACGTGGCACTCAGCATTCTTCCAACTATATGACGGCGTTCAACAAATAATCGAATCTGGACCAGACAATCCAGTGATTGACATGATGAGCATCGATCCACGCAATTGAGATACGATGACATGAATCAACCCAGCCTGACCACCCGATCCCGTTAGCCGCCTCTTTCGACAAACATATCGCCTTTTACGGCAAACATGCGTTTCTGAAGAACTAAGAAGTGGTTGTAGTAGCAGTAGTAGTAGTAGCAGTAGTAGTAGTAGTAGCAGTAGCGTTACCGGCAGCAGAAATAGTAGTAGTATTGACGCCTTTATGATGATATAAGAGCGCAATGTTTTATACAGCGCGGGGTGGAACTGCGCATTCCGACCAAGGTATGAGGCTGACAAAGGAAGAATTACAATAGAACAATAACACACTACACATGATGAACTATCGTAAGTTTGACATACATTTCATCTGTTGTAGGCAACTGCGCGATGTGAGGATCACAACGTTGTCATAACCGGCATTACGTGGGACGATCGTTTAATAAAGATCATAATATATTCTTGGCTTACTTTTTTACGCAAGCGAGGATACAGTTATTTAAGAAAAGAAGGACTGTATTTTGTGATGCAAAAGCAGTTATACTTGTATTTGTATGTTTGAAAACAGCCCAGGTCTTACACTGGCTATTCTCAGGCTCTAACGTTATATATTTACACTTAGTATTCCTGATCTTCCGAATAAATGTCATATATGATCTCCCGTGGAACATCCAGGTGTATTAATGTTATATCTGAACTCACGTGGAACATCCAGGTGTATAAATGTTATATCTGATCCCACGTGGAAAATCCAGGTGTAATAAGGTTATATCTGATTTCACGTGGAACATCCATGTGCATAAATGTTATATCGGATTTGACATGGAACATCCATGTGTATAAATGTTATACCTGAACTCACGTGGAACAACCAGGTGTATTTATGTTATATCTGATCTCACGTGGAACATCTTACCTTACACGTGAATGTAGGATTCTGACTGGCTGAGACCCATTCTATTATATTTGAATGTACTAAACTGTAAGGTACATTACCCCCGCTCGAATTGTCAGTTGGCATTACATTTGCAACATACCGACCGCATTGTGTATCAACATTTAATTATGTAAGACGACATTCCCCTACAGATATTTCCCTATCCCCTACAGATATTTTCCTATTTCCTACAGATATTTCCCTATTTCCTACAGATGTCCCTATCCCCTACAGATATGTCCCTATCCCCTACAGATATGTCCCTATCCCCTACAGATATGTCCCTATCCCCTACAGCTATTTCCCTATTTCCTACAGATGTCCATATCCCCTACAGATATGTCCCTATCCCCTACAGATATGTCCCTATCCCCTACAGATATTGCCCTATTTCCTACAGATATTTTAAGAATTAAATAGATCTAAGGGGCCAAATTAAAACATTGTCTACTGTCGTCTGCTATTTTTCGATGAATGTGTAAAATGAAAGAAGTGGATAAATGTCTAACCGGGGTATTTTTACAGATTCAGCCCAAAGCACGCATGCATAAGACACACTGGAACATAATTAAGTGTCCGGTGGGATAGATTCGTGGTCCGCCACTCCCTCCAGACCACCACTTCAGTTCATCCGTTGAGGGTGTTCTCGCTGTCTCGACCATTTAAAACCCGCAAAACATGCACAAAACTGTGTGAGATCTATGAACAATTCTCGAGATCTAGCGTTCTCGCATTTTTAGTTTCAAATGTCGAGATCTCAGGATTATAATTTACAGTAGTCTACATCTGACCAACCATATCTCGAATTTCGTGGAATATACACCAATCAGCATTACAATACACACATTCAATGGGATGCATATAAATAGGTTATATATGTTATATAGGTTACATAAGATAGCTACGTTATAAATCGCAAAGAACAATGAACACCGAAGCGTGGTTTATTTCGCGATAAAACATTGTTCCATCATGACGTCATTTCTGGAGATTTAAAAAATGCGCTCGCAACTTGATGACATCATATATTGGACGACGTTATTTTTGAGAAGGAAGTGTCGAGTGAGTTGTCTCCCATAGATGTAGCTGGGCTACGCAGAGAGAACGCAGTGGCCGAACGATCGCATCCAAAAGTGGCAGCGATATCAATGACAATCGGTATTAGGAGAAAAGGTACAGATAATTGACATGAGGATTGTAAGATGCGGGAAATACCGAACTTAACCCACCTGTTCGTAAAATGGACTTGTCCGACCTTTCTACTCGCGGATTCTATTCAGGGAGTCATCATTATTAAAATTTGAGTAAATATGTTTGACGTTTGTACATTTGAGAATAAACAACTCCCACACGTCGTTTATTTCTTATATTGGGTGGTGTGTTAGCTTGAAGGTGAAAGTGTTTGTTCGTCATGACCAAGTCCGGGTTTCCTTCCCACATGTATATGTGTGAAATGTGTGCCCCCTGCTATTGCTAAACACAACGTGTCAGGTTGGTGGAGGTAAACCAGAGTGGCGCAGCCTACTGGGCCCCTCATGTTACCTGTATATTGAAATGTCAAGTAAAAGAACACATAACGTATACTCTCATTCATATATATATTCCAATTTATTTTAAAAAGTCTTCTTGGTGATGACAACTTGGGAGTTTCTGTTAGGTGCAAATGCCTGGAACACAACAATGACGCTGTAACAATACCAGGTTACGTTGCTGACAGTGTAACACAGGTAATATATGACCTACTTTTGCAAGGTGGAGGCACGGGTGGCCAAGTCGTCTAAGGCTCCGCGATTCGCTGTGAAGGGATGCGTCCCTTGGGCACGCCAGAAACCTATGATTGTGGGTTCGCATCCCGGTTCGCCCCGATTATGTTTCTAGGTTTGTCAGCACCCGTGCTCGTGGGTTTCACCGAAGTGGTAAACGTTGGAGACCGGCATCACTTCGAGTTTTCCATCCACATTAAGCTGACACGCCGCAATATGACTTGAATAATGTTAAAAGCGGCGTTAATTCCAACTCCCTCACTCACTCACTCACTCACTCACTATTACAAGGTTAAGGAATCTGTGTGACAATAGGTGGGCACAGTGAGGACCAATGGCGGTCAAGCATTTAGCTCGTTCGGTTATCACATAAATCACGACTATGTGACACCCGTTATAGGTGTCTTTCCTTGATTCCTTCAAGGTAACTGATTATTCAAGTGATGTCACTCGATGGGACAGGAATGGTTGGATGAATAGGGGCGTGGCAGGAGGTGGCCGGTCGTGACAATGTGACTGAATGTGATATGTGCCCGGGGGTGACAGGGTGTGTCGGGATGGGATTGGGTGTGGCAGGACATGGCAGATAGGACGTGACAAGAATTACAGGAATGTACAAGGCATCAAATAATGTATTGGCCTACGCATTAACCAAGGCATTAACTAAGGCATTCACAAATGCATTAACTAAGGCATTAACTAAGTCATTAGCCAAGACATTAACCAAGGCATTAACTAAAGTCATTAGCCAAGACATTAACTAAGTCAACAGCCAAGGTATTAACCAAGGCATTAACCAAGCCACCATCCAAGGCATTAACCAAGGCATTAACCAAGCCATCATCCAAGGCATTAACCAAGGCATTAACCAAGGCATTAACCAAGGCACCAGCTAAGGCATTGACCAAGGCATTAACCAAGCCATCATCCAAGGCATTAACCAAGGCATTAACCAAGGCACCAGCTAAGGCATTAACCAAGGCACCAGCTAAGGCATTAACCAAGGCACCAGCTAAGGCATTAACCAAGGCATTAACCAAGCCATCATCCAAGGCATTAACCAAGGCATTAACCAAGGCATTAACCAAGCCATCATCCAAGGCATTAACCAAGGCATTAACTAAAGTCATTAGCCAAGACATTAACTAAGTCAACAGCCAAGGCATTAACCAAGCCATCATCCAAGGCATTAACCAAGGCATTAACCAAGGCACCAGCTAAGGCATTAACCAAGGCTTTAACCAAGCCATCATCCAAGGCATTAACCAAGGCATTAACCAAGGCACCAACTAAGGCATTAACCAAGGCACCAGCTAAGGCATTAACCAAGGCATTAACCAAGGCATTAACCAAGCCATCATCCAATGCATTAACCAAGGCATTAACCAAGACATTAACCAAGGCACCAGCTAAGGCATTAACCAAGGCATTAACCAAGCCATCATCCAAGGCATTAACCAAGGCATTAACTAAGGCATTAACCAAGGCATTAACCAAGGCACCAGCTAAGGCATTAACCAAGGCATTAACCAAGCCATCATCCAAGGCATTAACCAAGGCATTAACCAAGGCATTAACCAAGGCACCAGCTAAGGCATTAACCAAGGCATTAACCAAGCCATCATCCAAGGCACCAACTAAAGCATTAACCAAGGCACCAGCTAAGGCATTAACCAAGGCATTAACCAATGCAACAGCCAAGGCATTACCAATTATTGCAAGTCCATGATACCCACCTAGCGTCTTGTCGGCGTCGTCAATAAGTGTGCAGTTGTACTTAACGTTACAGGGGCAACTCTTCACGAGTCCATCAGGGCGGGGGTTGTTACTGCTGTTGAAGTGGTCAGCTCGGCAGTCTGCACAGAACACGTCAATTAATGTACACAAGATCATTCCAGGTATCTTCAGCAGACAATGGACAGGATCAGACCAGAACCTTTCCCCATTCAATTTCACAGGGAGCTTATGGAGACCTGAGACAGTCATGTTCGGTTGATGAGTACAATGAATCAATTATGCATTTCCATTAAAGGGCAAGTCTGGCGTTTCGTTTCCCCCTTTATGGTATACCTGAAGTTCGTCCGACATCAATTCACTCTACTTGGAGGTTTACCTGAGTCGTAGTGTCCCAGCTTGTCACACACCCCGAGGTACACACCCTGGTCATCCCCCCTCCGCCCGAACCCCGGCCCCTGCACCCAGTCCGCGCAGCACTCGTCGTCGGCGCAGTCGTCCCCGTCGTTGCACCTGCGAGGTAACGCCGCCCTATCAGACGCCGACCTCATACACACACCTGGAGTAAGTGAGTCTGTGGTCAGTATCATATATACCTGGATGTCACAGCATGTGAAGGGAGTAAGAAGCGTGACAATCCGTCACTTTAAACCTTGCATCTAAGGATCATTCACATCTAACCGTCAGACGATTTTCAGGAAAGTTCAGGGAAGTCGTTTTTTCCATCAATCGTTAAGAAATCGACAAAAGCCTTAATTTGCATAACAAGACCTATAAATGGTATGATGACTTAACATTGGAAGATTATATATTATGTTTGAGACTCAGATGCATCTATGTCCTACTTCTGAGATCCGACGTTTCAGTGAAACATCTCCCAGGTGGCGCTACTCCTCGTCTCCCGAAACGTCCGTCCGACTCGGTCACGTGTACACAACATTCATCATCCGGGCATCCCGTGGAGGAAAAGCACCACTTTTGACTTCCCGGAGGATATGGTCGCTGCAGCAACTGCAAGATGATCGGACAATACCACTAAATACTTTCCCCACGTAACATGTTTTCGAGCCCATAAACAGCACGTAACCATGCGTTTAATGACGTAATCAAGGTAGGCACTTCAAAGCTCACCGAAGACGTCAAAGTGTTAGCCACTTGTCACTGAAGTTATGTTACGAATTAAGCAATACGAGGTAAGATATACAATACAGTCGTGCCCCGCTTATACGGACTTCAGATATCCGAAACCTCGGTTCCCGGACGATTTTCATTCAAAACGAAATAATTACTATATAAATTGACCCGTATATACGGAAATTCAGTTTCCGGAACCGGACGGTCATTTTCATACACATAACACTGAAATGCACACAAAATTGTCTCACTAATCCGGACAATACACTTCCGCTGGTGGTAATCCTTCCGCTGGTGGTAATCCTTTGATTCGTGAGAAGTCAATTAACCAAGTGACACTGAGTTACGTTTGAGACGATCTTGTTATACACGTATAATGAAAAGTTACTTTTTCACAAGTGCAGCGATGATGTGTCGGCTGCTGTTTGTACACATCCTGTCTGTAATGTCATGTGACTGATCATCTATTTTTAACTCGACTGTCATGGAGGGGCTCGAAACGGTGACGGTAACAACATGGCGCCTGATTGGTTCGTCTCGTCCGGTCTTGCTTGGCGAAACGTTATCATGTTAAATTTGACACGATGTAAACAGTTGTAAACAGATATAAATGTTCTCAAGGGTACATGTAAGACCTAATTTTAGAGTATTGTGATTGTCATTAGACACGTAATGGGAAATGCTTCTTTTGGGCTCAAAAACACAGTACACGAGGATACACTGTGTCCTGACCCGCCGTGATATTGCTTGAATATTGCTAAAAGCGGCGTAAAACCTCACTCACTCACTCACTCACATTGTGTCCTGAACACACTCAGGTAATCGAATCCTAGAGCAATGCTCCGGTTTGCATGGACTCGGGTACCCAAGCTCACCTAGCGTGACTCCTTCGTTAAGCTTTCGGGGTCATCCCTGCCACTGGTGTGCAAACGGCCATTACAAAAATATATAGTGGCATTTTTAGATGTATGTATCTATGTTTTTTGGGGGAATGCCGTTATACTGAATTGAGAAAAAATGTACGACTCATTTACCATGTACCAGATGAATTTACGTTTGTTCATTGGGTCGATTTTGTAGGCCAACGAAAGCGTTTGGGGAGCTTTGATTGATGACAGTGATGGATCGAGAGCTCCGCGAATGGGCTGTGAGGAGCTTAAAGAATGCCAGATCAGGGGAGGTAACTCGCAACATCACTTCTCTAACGCGTGTTCAGACATTGACGAGGAGCAGTTCATTTTGACTGAAATGATGGTGAGACAAAAAGACCAAAATGTCGATTGTGTAACAAGTCGTGTTACTGTAGAAAACGGGTACTCGTGTCGGGGTCTCCCCTTCATAGTAACACACTATTGGACCCCTCCACAAGATAGGAAACAGTGTGTGTATAATCAGTGTGTTAAACGCTTTACACTGACGTGGAAGAGATTAATCAGGGCTTCAGTACTGCCCCACACTGAAAGGCACGTGGTATCTCTTTAGGCAAGTGACTTTCTTCGAAATGTGCCTCTGTTCACCCAGCAGCGAACGGGTACCTGGTAGGATATGATGGTAGTGTGACTGTTAACCTTTTAGCGCCTCACAGGCAGCTTTGGTTGTTAACTCCCCAGGGAGATGAGAATGAAAATCGTTGAGTGAGTGAGTTGGATTTCACGCCGCCTTTTGCAGTATTGCAGCAGGGGACAACAGAAATGGGATTCACACATTGTACCAATGGAGATTCGAGTTCTGGAGAGCGAACGCTTCAAGTACTTGGCTACCCCAACGCTACGGTCAATTTTACATCTACGATTGAACAGCTCATTATGTAAAAGAAATTACATGAAGTTACATCACGTGAAGCTGACACGCCGTAAGATGACTCTAATACTGTTCAAAGAGACCAAACTGACACAGTCGTGTATAATAACCCAACATTCTTACCTGGGCTGTCTTAAACAGGAATATCGCAAGTAAAATCTTAAACATTGTGTCGTGGTGTCCTGTAGGGCGAAGATAAAAGATAGAAGGCTCGCCTGAGGTCTTATCTGGCACAGTCGTCACACTTCTCACCCTACACACGCCGCAGTATAGCGTGACAGGCAATCATAGATTGACCATTATGTTCTCAGTGTTAATCTGACCGCCTCCGTGGTCTAGTGGTAGAGCGTCCGCCCGGAGAGCGGAAGGTCCGGGGCATCATGGCGTACATGTATGGTCAATACTAACCCTGGGCATCATGGCGTACATGTATGGTCAATACTAACCCGGGCCATCATGGCGTACATGTATGGTCAATACTAACACGGGGCATCATGGCGTACATGTATGGTCAATACTATCACAGGGCATCATGGCGTACATGTATGGTCAATACTATCACGGGGCATCACGGCGTACATGTGTGGTCAATACTAACACGGGGCATCATGGCGTACATGTATGGTCAATACTATCCCGGGGCATCATGGCGTACTTAACAAATTAACAATAATATACTATGTGCAGTTTGTTAATTATCGATTGCGCGCCTTTGTTTTCAGCCGTATACCTGGGTCAGAATATGGAGTCTCGAATACTGTAGGGCCAGAACCTTATTTCAGAGTTGCACAGCCAAAAGCTTCGTTAAGGAAGAGTTTTTACATGAAATGTTTTAGGGGCATGGTAAGGTAGATATCGGGTGCGGTTTCTGTGCACGTAGTTGCATATTGAATTGTATTAAGTTTATGTATATACCAATGCACCCCTTCCCTTCAAAATACACTAGGGGCGGTCAGGTAGCCTAGTGGTTAAAGCGTTCGCTCGTCACGCGGAAGACCCGGGTTCGATTCCCGACATGGGTACAATGTGTGAAGCCCATTTCTGGTGCCCCCCGCCGTGAAATTGCTGGAATATTGCTAAAAGCGGCGTAAAACTTCACTCACTCACTCAAATTACACTAATAATAATCTACATAACGACCAAATGACAGTTTAACCTTTAAACGCTGGAGTTCTCACGGCCTTAATTATAGGTTATTGTTTTCATAGATTAGTTTTTGATTTGATTTAATCTTAGATAGGCAATAATGACCAGCCACAAAGGGTAACACTGACCAATCCCAGATAAGATACCTGATATAGCTGGGGACATATAGACAACCTGAGACTAGCTCTCCTCTGTGCTGTGGTAGGTGTGTTGCAGATTCTTTTTTTAACTGTTTAAATCAGGTATTTAAAACCATTCTAAACCCGGAACCTCATTTCCAAACAACAATGTTAGGACTGTCTGTACATGTACAAGGGTCTTTCATCAGTAACAATGATTTCCTTGACCCTGAATAGGACAGCGACACGTCTTGGCCCACATGGTCGGCAGAATGTGTTCAATTAGCAAAACCTTAGGTTAGAAATATATATGTGTTGGTATAAACGGGAATTATGTTTGGACTGATTTTTCTTTGGATATGTAAGCAGGAAAAACGTACCGTGAATATATTTATCTTGTTCATGGTTAGTTATCCATACCTATTTATTTGATCATATCAGAACAAACTTACATCGGACCATTTCTAATAATTTTCATACAATCTTTCAAAGTTTGCAGTAGGTATGAAATTTGACATTTCGAGTTGTCCAAAAACGATTTTTTAAATACCTCCTGCATTGTACATTTGGTACAGTGTCAATGGAGGCAGTACCGTCACAAATCAGGGGTTACCTGTAGTGATGCCGCCATACACATCGTGTACAATTGCCTTCTATCAGATGGAGTGTCGGTAGATGGTACATACTACATTTCAGGTAAAATTACCACACATATGGTAGATATTAACGTATATGTACTCAGGAGTGGCAAAAATCGTGTATCTGACCATTCATACTTTGGGTTGGGCTGTGCCTTATATTTTCTTATTTGATCGCGAGATGAATGATTTTGCATGTGCGTAAAACCCACAGGGTATTCCGGGCATATATTGCCCCTGTGCTTGTGGAGCTGACTCAAAAATCTCATGTTGGTTGGTTGGTTGTTTAACGCCGCACTCAGTAATATTCCAGCTCTATGACGGCGGTCTGTTAATAATCGAGTCTGGACCAGACAATCCAGTGATTAATATCATGAGCACCGATCCACGCAATTGGGATCTATGACATGCATCAACCAAGTCAGCGAGCCTGACCACCCGATCCCGTTAGTCGCCTTTTACGACAAGCATAGTCACCTTCTACGGCAAGCATGGGTTGCTGAAGACCTATTCTACCCCGGAATCTTCACGGGTCGATAAACTCATGTGGTTCTTTTGGCGTATTGTGAGTCACTTTATCCCATGCTGTCAATCACTGGTTGGGCTGTTCCAGGGACAACATTCTCTTACTAGCGTTTTCATGTCAGTGCCAATAGGTTAGCTAAGTCAAGTAGGATATTTCGTGTCAAACAAATGTGTGGACATCACGCTGTGTACAGTATCTCTCCCCCAGCTGACTGTGTGGGTGGAGGGTGTCCCCACGGGGTGTCACACTGGGGCTACGTGTGGGGACAGGCAGTGTTGTGTGGACGTCAACACCGTCTCCAGTCGTCGTGATGCTGCTGCTGCTCCCGGTGTATGTGTCGACATGGGAGGTGTCAGCGCAAGTAGGTGTCTCAGACTTTGGGTAAACGATAATGGATAATGAGTGAGTGAGTATTGTTTTACGCCTCTTTTAGCAATATTCCAGCAATATCAAGGCGGGGGAAAGAAGGGTGACCTTAAAAGAATACTTCACTACAAATTTAATGACCAATGTGTATCATATATAAAAATACACATACTATTTGTATTATATATTTGTATTACAATTCCTATCTATAATCACAGGAGTCCGTATCTAAAAATAGACGCCCTCGTGCATATTCATTACCATGTGGAGATGGTCATGAATATGCATGAGGGCGTCTATTTTTAGATACGGACTCCCGTGCTATAATATATATACAAAGTACACAATTCATTGAGATCAGTTTAGTAAGTTAGCCATGTGAGGATCCACTATCTGCATCACTCGTAGTTCAAACACAATGTTACCAGATGGTTACAGATTGAAGAAATCGAAGTTGAACATGCCCATAAATAATTTCGTGACGAAAGATGACGACCTGTTTCACATAAGCACATACTTTTGCCGCGCCTTATTCTTGCGACCAATTAAAGCCATCTACTGTCATGAAACATGTGTAAAGCAGCCAGGCTCTAGTCAACAAGACAAACACATGTCTCTGAACGATTCACCTTGTCAAAAAGTTGAATGACAACTGTTACGTGTCGATTCCCAGATTGAAACAATATATTAACCCAGAAATCTGTGCGTAAAAGAACTTAGTGCGAAACCAACAACCAACCAACAAATGGTGTACAGTCAACAAATGTATTACAATAATTATCTAGGTTTACAAATCAATGCAAATTACTGCACAAGTACAATGGCAGTACACAGTAGTGTGATTCTACAATATTCAACGGCAATGTATAATATAATGGCTGTGGTTAGTTGGTGTCAGATACAAAATTACAGTGGTGATAGGAAAAGTCAGTGATAATAAAAAATATATTCACCCAGCGGCGACAGTGGTCAAGCTTCCGAGATTGGCTATAGCTGTATAGGTAATCAGAGATGATGAGTGATCCTCATATGAAAGCTGACCCCGAAGCGATGAAATGTGTGAGATATCTAAACACGCTTTTGTCCCACTATATATGTAGTCCTACTATCTACTGGAAATCTCTACATAGTGCCCTCACCAGTCAAGCGGCACTAGAACATTACAGAATATCCTGCGTGAGTCCACGATATACCGGACATTTACACGTCACACTAGCATCTACATATAGTAACTTCCTGACGACTGCGTTCATTAAATTAGTCTGATACCGCCAGCTCCCATTGTATTATGTACCATGACAACCATTTCGTCGGAAACAGTGTTCTGATGCCTGTAAAACCAAACCGAGTGAACTTTGTTTTGTTTGTTATTTAACTCCTTACTCAGCAATATTACAGCTATATGAAGGTGGTCTGTAAATAATCGAGTCAAGTGATTGACATCATGAGCATCGATCTACGCAATTGGGATACGATTGGGATACTAAGTCAGCGAGGCTGATCACCCGGTCCCGTTAGTCGCCTCTTACGAGACGATATAGCGGACATTTACACGTCACACTAGAATCTACATATAGTAACTTCCTGACGACCTGCTTACATTAAATAGTACTACATTCCTGACGACCAAACACAATGCAACGAGCGTCTACCGAATCTCAACAGAAACAATGTAACACAGTTACACTCACTGTTCAACTATAAATTACATTGCCATAGAACACAAAACTGTTCCACAAAATCAATACTCGCAGATTACAAGAACTGGTTACAACAACATCCATTCTTTGAATAGTCATGCCACATTAATCCAACAAATATCCAAAACAATTTCATGAACTATTCCATCCAATACATTGTACACCGTAACATTCCACCTTGATTTGTTCCTGAAACTCCCAGTCGTCAGCGTCTCACCATTTCTTCTGGTGGCGTCAGCACAGTCTTTCATGGTTATGTTGCTCTCTAATACATACGGGGCGGTCGGGTAGCCTAGTGGTTAAAGCGTTCGCTCGTCACGCCGAAGACCCGGGTTCCATTCCCGACATGGGTACAATGTGTGAAGCCCATTTCTGGTGTTCCCCGCCGTGATATTGCTGGAATATTGCTAAAACCGACCTAAAGCCATACTCACTCTAATACTTACCAATTAATCTTGTTAATCAGTTCCAGTCGATTTTCATCGACAGTGACAGTGACATTCGTCACCACTCGCCCCTTTCCGTAACCTGCAAGAAGACTCGTCCCCCTATCGATGAATGTTATGTGCAAAAAAACGACAAACCAATCAGAATGCTTGTATGATTTTAAGTTCTTCATCAAAGAACCTTCCGAAATAATTTTTTATTTTTACATATGTCCTGCATCTAGAATTATACCCAAGACACAGTTAAGTGTGTTCAATCACACTGTATAATTCCGCACGTCCCGTTGTGCTTTAAATTGCATCTGAAATTATATATATAATATATGGGGAAATATATGTAAACCATTACGCAACGAGTTGACAATTGTTTCAGGTAAACCCGTTTGCGCTAAGACGGAACCCGGTCGCAAAAATGGCCATGAGAGGGGTACGAGTCGCTATTCGGCTTGTCCCGGAATAACACGAGTTGGTCGTGAATGTGACAGTGACACCGACTAAAACGTATTGTTGTGACCTATATATCAATCCGCGTGACGTTCCACAAGTGGGATGCTGAAAACGTAAACATGTTACAATACACCCCCAATATACAACAGAAAGAATCGTTATCGATGCAATTGTCGTCATACAGTTTCAAAAATGATACATCACATCGTTATGGAATAGTTCCTGGTATTCATGTCTTGGTGAATGGATTTTCCCAAAGGAATTTATAGGTTTGTTGTTTTGCTTCGCATTTCAAAGGAATAATGTACCGTAAGAGTTCAACAAATTCGGTGTATTTGTTTCTAAATGGGAAAAACTTTAAGGTGGAAAATAAATGATACATACAACTCACCACTCTTTTTTAATATGGGAAATATCAATCTCGTCTCGTTAATCGGAATGTTCCAGGCGATGGCGAGGCAATTACTGATTATCTAAGACTAGGCTGATATTTTATTTAAAAACACTCGTGATGAAACCTTTATATTCAGAGTGCCACACAGCGGCCGGCTACGCCTGGCACAAGCCACAAGGACTGGTCAAGTTGTGTCCGTGCAGGACGGGCCTCATTTGTGGACCGGTCAACAGTTACGACGAGTTTGGTCAGAAAGGTACGGATTGACCTAATTCAAAAGTATTGATTGAACTTAGCCAAGATCTACGCAGGATTACAATCATTCAGAATGTGTCCATATCCAGCACGTTCTGTTAGGTCCGCGTGAAATTCGAGGGCCTCAGTGCTCCGTGCTGTACTAAGTAGGGCAGTTGGGCAGGTAACAGTGGGGATGCTCTTCAAATGGTGATACACAGCACAGAAATGTACGGGGTCGGTCTGACTTAGTTTGACTTCCGATAGACCACATGTTACAATAATAAGGCTCACTTGACCTGTTAATAGTGTGGATAGGGATGTTGGTTATCACGTCGTTTCTAATTCTGCTCTTTAATGATCCTACTTATTCTGGGAACAACATTTAAATTTAAATATATGTTCAATATGCTCTTCTGTTGAAGGTTACTGCTCCTTCGGAGAGGCACTAAATATAAGTTCAATATGCTCTTCTGTTGAAGGTTACTGCTCCTTCGGAGAGTCACTAAATATAAGTTCAATATGCTCTTCTGTTGAAGGCTACTGCTCCTTCGGAGAAGCACAAAATATAAGTTCAATATGCTCTTCTGTTGAAGGCTACTGCTCCTTCGGAGAAGCACAAAATATAAGTTCAATATGCTCTTCTGTTGAAGGTTACTGCTCCTTCGGAGAGGCACTAAATATAAGTTCAATATGCTCTTCTGTTGAAGGTTACTGCTCCTTCGGAGAGTCACTTAATATAAGTTCAATATGCTCTTCTGTTGAAGGTTACTGCTCCTTCGGAGAGTCACTAAATATAAGTTCAATATGCTCTTCTGTTGAAGGTTACTGCTCCTTCGGAGAGGCACTAAATATAAGTTCAATATGCTCTTCTGTTGAAGGTTACTGTTCCTTCGGAGAGTCACTAAATATAAGTTCAATATGCTCTTCTGTTGAAGGTTACTGCTCCTTCGGAGAGGCACTTAATATAAGTTCAATATGCTCTTCTGTTGAAGGTTACTGCTCCTTCGGAGAGGCACTAAATATAAGTTCAATATGCTCTTCTGTTGAAGGTTACTGCTCCTTCGGAGAGTCACTAAATATAAGTTCAATATGCTCTTCTGTTGAAGGCTACTGCTCCTTCGGAGAAGCACAAAATATAAGTTCAATATGCTCTTCTGTTGAAGGTTACTGTTCCTTCGGAGAGTCACTTAATATAAGTTCAATATGCTCTTCTGTTGAAGGCTACTCCTCCTTCGGCTAGGCACTAAATATAATTTCAATATGCTCTTCTGTTGAAGGTTACTGCTCCTTCGGAGAAGCACTAAATATAAGTTCAATATGCTCTCCTGTTGAAGGTTACTGCTCCTTCGGAGAGGCACTAAATATAAGTTCAATATGCTCTTCTGTTGAAGGTTACTGCTCCTTCGGCTAGGCACTAAATATAAGTTCAATATGCTCTTCTGTTGCAGGTTACTGCTCCTTCGGAGAGGCACTAAATATAAGTTCAATATGCTCTTCTGTTGAAGGTTACTGCTCCTTCGGAGAGGCACTAAATATAAGTTCAATATGCTCTTCTGTTGAAGGTTACTGTTCCTTCGGAGAGTCACTAAATATAAGTTCAATATGCTCTTCTGTTGAAGGTTACTCCTCCTTCGGCTAGGCACTAAATATAATTTCAATATGCTCTTCTGTTGAAGGTTACTGCTCCTTCGGAGAGGCACTAAATATAAGTTCAATATGCTCTTCTGTTGAAGGTTACTGTTCCTTTGGCTAGGCACCTGCAGCAAGACCCAACGTCAACATGGCGTAGCTCCGGCTTTCATTCGTCAACATTTTGGATTCAGTGTAATAAATACTCTTGGAATGCCTTGGTTTGTTGACTTCAACCAACACGTTAAGCGGACGGAGTAGGTATTATGTGTACGTGCACTCGACAACACTCAACAGACGTGTCTGAGTAACACACATAACCTATAATCTTCAAAGGTGAAGTCGTAATGTTTGTTTGTTTGTTTGTTGTTTTACACCGCACTCAGCAATATTCCAGCTATATGACGGCGGTCTGTTAATAATCGAGTCTGGACCAGACAATCCAGTGATTGAAATCATAAGCACCGAACCACGCAATTGGGATACGATGACATGCATCAACCAAGTCAGTGAGCCTGACCACCCGATCCCGTTAGTCGCCTTTTACGACATGCATAGTCTCCTTTTATGGCAAGCATGGGTTGCTGAAGACCTATTCTACCCCGGATCTTCCCGGGTTTATGTTCACGAAGATAGATGTACAAATAACCGTAGAAGGAACAAACGTACATAAAGCATATTGGAGCCAGTACAGCACGAGTTGGGAGTTGGAAGAAATTTTCTTCAGCCACCCTAAAAAAGTCATTCACAGCGGAAATGACGTCATCATTACCAGGAAAATGGCGACCGGCTAGTTCCTTTTTCATTTTGGGAAACAGGTGGAAGCTTGACGGGGCCAAATCGGGTGCCAAGAGCTTTGGCACCAATATTGCAGAAACTTTTTCATTCCCAACTCGTTGGTGATGATGTGCTCAACCCTCTCATGAGAGATCCCCACAACACTGGCAATATGTCGAGTGGTCAATCGTCGATCAGCCATCACCATGTCATGCACCCGGGTAATGTTTTCCGGAATGGTTGCTGTTGAAGGCCTTCCTGGACGCGGGTCATCGTCAAGGTTCTTTCTGCCACGCTTGAATTCTGCAGCCCACTTCTTTACAGTGGAAAAGGAAGGGGCATCATCCCCGAAAGTGGAGACCATGTCAGCATGTATCTGTGTTGGAGTTTCAGTACCCTTTCAGTTGCAACTACTTGATGACTGCCCTATAGCCAGTTTTGTCCATTTCTGGTGATTTCAATGGGTAGGTTCACAAGATGGTCAGGTACAAAGACAATAATAACACTACAGTTGCAGTTCTTATGTCTATGATTCATAAAATGATTGTACTTGTTGGTGGCAAAAGTTTGTTTCAATCCGATTGAGATATCCCACTTAGGCTTAAAACCTTTCAGCCAGCCCTCGTATGTTTCATTTCCATGGTTTTAATCGTAGAAAACTTGTTGTTGTTTTAATAATGCTTTGGCTAAAACTTACTAACAATCACCAGTAGCCAGAGGGATGGTGTAAATCCTGCTGGGGTACCATGTAGGTAGCAGAAGTCCACATGGTACCTAGTATGGTGACCTACCTTTGGTTACTGGTGATCTATAGCTCATTTGTATTGTGTATTGTTATGAATAGTTCAAATTTTATGATGATATGCTAGTTTTAAATCTATATCTGTGATAATCTAGTTATTTTACTGTCCTTCCTTGACAGGTTTTACAGTCCAGGTTTGTGTTTCATTATTATATAACTTGATTTAGTCACGATATGGCTGAAATATTGCTGACGCGACTATAAACATAAACTCACTCACTCACTCTCGTTGCTGCTGCTTTTGTCTCAATCATTTTCGTTGTTAATTTATTGTTCTGACATTGCACTTGAATTAAGCGCTTGAATTACCATTAGTTGAAAGTCTAGAAAAATGTGTCTAGGGCGTTTGTGCTGTTATCTTTGCACACAAACCAGCTGGAACATGTTGTTAATACGCATATCTGGGCATATATCAATATTCATGCGCATCCAGATTTGCAACCGATTTTATGTTGGTCTGTTAACGAACAAACATTGTTATATATTTACACTTAAATACATATTTAACGTGGGTAATAAATAAAATACCACACTCATTCTGGTTAGATACTTTTTGGGGTAGTATCTAATAGCCTTTTTCGTCTGAACTACAAAAATCTGTACAGCAAGTTAAACATTTTTATGTTCATGTCACCTTTTGAGGAACTAATACAGCTGGATGTATGGCTGTACCGACTGTGAACATGAAGTCACGCGCACTAAATGAAAGCGTGAAAACACCCTTCGAGGTATAAAATAGTGATATATAAAAATACGTGTTATAGAAAATTGACATTCACGTTGTGTCAGCTCAGCAATATTCAGCTATTTGACGGCGGTCTGTAATTAATCGAGTCTGGACCAGACAATCCAGTGATCAACATGACAATCGATCCACGCAATAGGGCTACGATGACATGCATCAACGAAGTCAGCGAGCCTGACCACCCGATCCCAGAAATGGGCTTCACACATTGTACCCATGTCGGGAATCGAGACCGGGTCTTCGGCATGACGAGCGAACGCTTTAACCACTAGGCTACCCGACCGCCCCTTAATTGCATGTTCAAAATAAGATTTGTGATGGGACATATCTTGATATTTTATCAGATTTATATTAAAACACATAAACCAAACCTTGTGAACGTACTATGTAAGCAAACTTTGTTAAATTGATGTATAAATAAAGATGATACGCCGTTTAGAAATGAGAAAGCATTCAAAACGCCTGAAGGTAGACATGTAGGGAACAATTCCAAATTGGACCCGTGAAGATCCGGGGTAGAATAGGTCTTCAGCAACCCATACTTGCCGTAAAAGGCCGCTATGCTTGCTTAAGAGATGACTAACGGGAACAGGTGGTCAGGCTCGCTCACTTGGTTGATGCATGTAAACGTATCCCAATTGCGCGGATCGATGCTCATGATGTCAATCACTGGATTGTCTGGTTCAGACTCGATTATTTACAGACCGCCGTCATATAGCTGTAATATTGCTGAGTGCGACGTTTAACAACAAACAAACATGCCCTGTTCATTGCAATAATGCTGTTCCTTACATACTGCATAGTTACATTATACTAAACATCAATCAAACCGAATACATCGCAAATAAGTTTATCCACATTAGCACATGAATTCCGATATATATATACATATAATATATACATTCAGACTGTAATAGCTGTTAAATATTAGCAAATGTCGACAGAAATACTACGTCAATGTACCACTGAAGTCCACCATATTGTCAGTATCATAGTCAACAAAACAATCTACACGTCAAACCACGCAACGACATGTCATATTAGAAAAGAAAGCATTCCACTGAACACCGAATACTTAAATACAGATTGAACGACGATCAACAAATAAGTGTCATTGACGGTCACTGGGCCTATTGTTGATCTTAACTGATCGCCCTTCTCCGGAGACGGCGATAAAGGCATGCCTGTCTCTGAAAGCGATAGTTTGTAGGGGGTATTGAGAAGGTAATCGGTCGATCTCGAGTGTCGGGTCGCTAGGTTTGGGAGGCTTGCACTGTGAGAGGGACCACAGTTACACCTCGACCGTGTTAGCGTGGCTGTATCTGACACTCGTCTCAACCCAGTCTGAGCATGTTTTTGTTGTTTGGTTGTTTTTTGTTGTTTAACGCCGCACTCAGCAGTATTCCAGCTATATGTACAAGTAAACTGGATATACCTTTTATAACCATCTTTTTGTGTTTTTTGTTTAACGCCGCACTCAGCAATATTCCAACTATATATAAATAACTGGATATATCTTTTAGAACATCTTTGTTTGTTTGTTTGTATTTTGTTATTTAACGCCAGACTCAGCAATAATCCACCGATAATAATGACAGCGGTCTGTAAATAATCTAGCCTGAACCAGACAATCCAGTGATTGACATCATGAGTATAGATCTATGCAACTGGGATACGATGACATTTATGAACCAAGTCAGTGATCCCGACGAACCGATCCCGTTAGTCGCTTTTCTAACGACAAGCATGGGTTGCTGAAGACCAAATCTACTCCGGATCTCCACGTGGGTCAGCCTGATCTTGACCTTGTCACACGTATCGCTTGGTACATGTCGACACTCGATAATTTACATAACTCTTTATTTGCTTACGTTTGCTTTTCTAAAACCTCAATGTGTATGCCTAATTTCTATTTAGTACTGAATAACCTGTCTTCACAGCCAATCGTGGATCTGACATGTCCGGTTTACAGTGAATTCAGGCATTATTACTACGCCATTGCTTAAGAAGCAGTGGGCCCGAATGTATTATGTAGCGGAATAAGCCGAGTGGACCCGAATGTATTATGTAAGTATCGGAATAAGCCGAGTGGACCCGAGTGTATCATGTAGGTAGCGGGAAAAGCCGAGAGGACCCGATTTATTATGTAGTGAGGTTAAACCGGCTTAAGTATGGATTTTGCCGTAGGTAGGGTCAATTTAAGGCGATGTACGTCCTCCTCGTTTACCCACTTTATTGTGCTTACAATTAAAAGATCGAATCTGGCGTTCAAGGATATGTTCAGCATATTCTGGCACAACTAAGGGAGACAACTATGTACAAAGCAATGAGGCGCCTTGCATCACTGATTTAGGACTACACATAAACGTTGAGAGTTTCGTCAAATGTAAAGAAATGTAGGATGAATTTAGTTTGACAATTAATATATTAAGCTAGTTATCCCAATGTGGAAAGTATCTATGCTAGATGTTCTGTGTGTAAAAGTTGCGTTGTCGACTGATAAAAAATAGCCGCTTTTGCAAACTTGATGGAACTTGGTCACACTCCCTAGAGCTCAGCAAACGCTACAACTATGACCACTGTCCTTGACCTCAACTGAAAGCATGGCATAAGAAATTGAAGAAGGAATTACCACAAAGATTAAGTCCCTGTTGAAGATTTCCCCGTGTAAAAGACCACAGTGCGTCTTCAAGGTCGTGCCAATGCGGTCAGACGGTGTCTGGTCGACGGATCCGTGTCATCGCGGCTGAACAGTATAACGGTCGCTGGCTAGCAACTCCATGGCTGCGGGAACACCAGGTTTACATTCCGCTTTTCGTAAGTTCCGTTAAATACCTCAAGGGTGATCCGCCCCATGTAAGGTAGGTATATATACTTATGTCATGTCCACACAGAACAGTCAGAAGTTAGCTGAATGTACACATCTATGTCATCACATGTCGCTGTTTTAGTTCTGTTTATAACAAATACATATGAAGGCTGTATCATGAATGTATCAATTTGTCGTTTTAATATTTCCCATTGTATTGTTACTTTCGTGTATCTAGACTATAATCTACAAAACAATCGCACAGATGCAAAATGAAACAATTTCAGAATGTGATCAAATATAGTGTCAGTGGTATGTATGATTACGGTGTCCGTGTCCGTATTGTCACATACTGTTCCTGTACACCCAGACAGTGTGGGGTGTGGCCGTTTCCGTATTGTCACATACTGTCCCTGTACACCCAGACAGTGTGGGGTGTGGCCGTGTCCGTATTGTCACATACTGTGGGGTGTGGCCGTGGTGTTATCAACCGTTGAGTTGACATTTGTTGTTATCGTGTGTGGACTCACCCTTCCTCAATCCGCGGTGGTGTTATAAGGCGCCTACAGCATGGTAGGTTCAGGCGTTGTCGATGATGCATACCTTTTGTCAAATATCTACAACACGTAAATAGTGTATCTGTAGTGATATGTAGATATGCAGCTTCCCATTGTGTACCCATACATACTATACTACCACATGGTCTCTGACACTACTGAAATTCCCGTTGCCTACACATGGAAACCAACCCACCATCCTACACATCACCAAGACATGGAAAACAAGCTACCTATCGCTTACACATGGATACAATCCTACCGGCCTACCTACTGCCTACACATGGATACCACCCAACCGGCCTATACCCATTACCAACACATGGATACCATCCTACCGGCCTACCCATTACCAACACATGGATACCACCCAACCGGCCTACCCATCGCCTAAACATGGATACCATCCTACCGGCCTACCCATTACCAACACGTGGATACCACCCAACCGGCCTACTCATTACCAACACATGGATACCACCCAACCGGCCTACCCATTACCAACACATGGATACCACCCAACCGGCCTACTCATCGCCTAAACATGGATACCACCCAACCGGCCTATACCCATTACCAACACATGGATACAACCCTTCTTGCCTACCCATAGCCTACACATTGATACCACCCAACCGGCCTACCCATCGCCTACACATGGATACCACCCAACCGGCCTATACCCATTACCAACACATGGATACCACCCAACCGGCCTACCCATCGCCTAAACATGGATACCCCCCAACCGGCCTATACCCATTACCAACACATGGATACAATCCTTCTTGCCTACCCATAGCCTACACATTGATACCACCCAACCGGCCTACCCATCGCCTACACATTGATACCACCGTACCGGCCTGCCCATTACCAACACATGGATAGCACCTTATCCATTGCCTCCCCTTTGCCTACACATGGATACCACCCTACCGGCCTACCCATAGCCTACACATGGATACAACCCTTCTTGCCTACCCATAGCCTACACATTGATACCACCCTACTGGCCTACCCATAGCCTACACATGGATACCACCATACCGGCCTACCCATAGCCTACACCTAGATATCACCCCACTGGCCTACTCATTGCCTACACATGGATACCACCCTACCGACCTACCCATAGCCTACACCTAGATATCACCCTACCGGCCTACTCATTGCATACACATGGACATGGATACCACCCTACTCGGCTACCCAGAGCCTACACCTAGATATCACCCTACTGGCCTACTCATTGCCTACACATGGATACCACCCTACTGGGCTACCCTTAGTCTACACATGGATACCACCCTACCGGCCTACCTGTTACCAACAAATGGATACCATCCTACCGGCCTACCCATAACCTACACATTGATACAATCCTTCTTGCCTACCCATAGCCTACACATTGATACCACCCTACTGGCCTACCCATAGCCTACACATGGATACCACCCTACCGGCCTACCCATAGCCTACACCTAGATATCACCCTACCGGCCTACTCATTGCCTACACAAGGATACCACCCTACTCGGCTACCCATTGCCTACACCTAGATATCACCCTACTGGCCTACTCATTGCCTACACATGGATACCACCCTACTGGCCTACCCATTGCCTACACAATGATATCACCCTTCTGGCCTACTCATTGCCTACACATGGATACCACCCTACTGGCCTACCCATTGCCTACACAATGATATCACCCTACTGGCCTACTCATTGCCTACACATGGATACCACCCTACTGGGCTACCCATTGCCTACACAATGATATCACCCTACTGACCTACTCATTGCCTACACATGGATACCACCCTACTGGCCTACCCATTGCCTACACAATGATATCACCCTACTGGCCTACTCATTGCCTACACATGGATACCACCCTACTGGCCTACCCATTGCCTACACAATGATATCACCCTACTGGCCAACTCTTTGCCTACACATGGATACCACCCTACTGGGCTACCCATTGCCTACACAATGATATCACCCTATTGGCCTACTCATTGCCTACACATGGATACCACCCTACCGGCCTACCCATTGCAAACACATGGATACCACCCGACTTGGCTACCAATTGCCTACACATGGAAACCACCCTACCCACTGCCTACATATAGATACCACTCTACCTGCTGCCTACACATGGATACCAGCCTACTGGGCTACCACGGATACCTGCCTACTTGGCTACCACGGATACCATCCTACTGGGCTACAACGGATACCACCCTACATGGCTACCACGGATACCATCCTACTGGGCTACCACGGATACCATCCTTCTGGGCTACCACGGATACCATCCTACTGGGCTACCACGGATACCACCCTACTGGGCTACCTGCGCTACCATCCTACTGGGCTACCACGGATACCATCCTACTGGGCGACAACGGATACCACCCTACAGGGCTACCACGGATACCATCCTAATGGGCTACCACGGATACCACCCTAATGGGCTACCACGGACACCACCCTACTGGGCGACATCGGGTACCATCCTACTGGGCTACCACGGATACCACCCTACTGGGCTATTACGGATACCATCCTACTGGGCTACCACGGATACCATCCTATTGGGATACCATGGATATCACCCTACTGGGCTTCCACGGATACCACCCTACTGGGCTACCACGGACACAACCCTACTGGGCTACCACGGATACCACCCTACAGGGCTACCACGGATACCACCCTACAGTGCTACCACGGATACCATCTTACTGGGCTACCACAGATACCACCCTACTGGGCTACCACGGATACCACCCTACTGGGCTTCCACGGATACCACCCTACTGGGCTACCACGGACACAACCCTACTGGGCTACCACGGATACCACCCTACAGGGCTACCACGGATACCACCCTACAGTGCTACCACGGATACCATCTTACTGGGCTACCACAGATACCACCCTACTGGGCTTCCACGGATACCACCCTACTGGGCTACCACGGACACAACCCTACTGGGCTACCACGGATACCACCCTACAGGGCTACCACGGATACCACCCTACAGTGCTACCACGGATACCATCTTACTGGGCTACCACGGATACCACCCTACTGGGCTACCACGGATACCTCCCTACTTGGCTACCACAGATACCATCCTACCTGGCTACAAATGGATACCAACCCACAGATGTCAATGTGGTATTCGTCTAGGACGTTCGCCACTTCGGGCTTTCCTCCCACATCAAGCTGGAACAAGCTGGCCGCCATGATATAACTTAAATACTGTTCAAAGCGGCGTTACACAAAACTCCTCCCCTCCCCTCCCTCATTCGAACACAGCAGGTATTCCATCTATCCACGGTATTAGATACCCATAGTATAAACTGTATATTAGAGAGACGTGGATATTAACAACATCACAACATGATCAGAAGTATCTAGTTATAGCGCGGTTCATATAGCCATCGAAGGAGACCCGCGTGACATGAGCTAAACACCCGTAAATATGCCTCTCAATGCCGAGATTGTCAACACACCTGTAAACATATCCGTGGGTATTACAAGGTTTTAATTATTGTTCGCGGCCACAAATAAGGAATTCGTCACAATAATAATTGCGGCTTATCGGCCGGCAGTGCATACACGACAGGCGACTTAACATGTTTATAGACGTATCTGGTTACACCTGACAAACTCAATGTCTACTCGATATCCATCAGATGTGATGGAGTGTAAACATTCTGGTTTTTTATGAGTAGGCCTTAATACTATCAAGCGGCAAGAGAAAATGACACTAGTCATCGTCCTTGCCAAACTGCCCAATAGTTAAGGTACCATAAGGACTACAAGAAATTTGCCATTTTTACAGGTTTTGCTATATGTTATCATCATAAGGACTAGTGGACTGCAACAGTTGGTTTCTATCACTGAAGAGGGATGTTCATATTCATTAGACCAGACACTTTTTTAAGTTTAAGGATCGTTGGCCCCAAAAATTAAAAATTAAAAAAGGTAATGTTAAATTGTTTTAAGAATTGATAAGCTACCACACTAAACGTATTTCTAACGAACAATTTTAATCCAAATAAAACGTGTCACTTGTAAACGCCCGCAGTATAAGCTTAGTGATCGATATCAACAAGTACGGCCTCCAAACGTTGAAGTGCGTTTAAACAGGGAAACAACTGGCCCACTTAGCCTGTTTGGCATGAGCTGGGCGCCCAATGCATTTAACACTACCGCGTGAGCACGGCCGTTTAATAAGAACGTACCCCCTGCGGAAACATTAAACCCATTAAACCCCAGCCATAGAATATACAGGACTTGTGGCTAAGAAACATGGCCGCAAAGTCAATAGAAATGGTGTAGGGTTGCACACTTACTGATTTCCGTTGTGTAACTGAGAATGTTGACAAGTGGCGTGTTTACACTGGGCTGTCGATGACTGAATGGTGTTATTGACACTGGGAGATATCGCATGCTGTTTTGACTTCCTATAAACCCGGGAGGACACAATGAAAGCTTACTTGAGAGAGAACGAATGTCCGTGTTAAATTATGATGATTCTGTATGACCATTTGTCGTATGTCAGAAAGATTTATGAAAAATTATTTGGATTTGACGGAAAAAACAGTTACAAGGCATATTTCCATTTGTTTGATAACTAATTCCAAACTATTATTGTATGTCTTATGCACACTGGGCGAAACAACCGCCGTTAAAAATGAAGCTGAGCTATCTGCTTGCAATGATTCGTCGCATTCATCGAATTGTCTGCCATATCTACAAGTGGGCACGGGCGGCCCAGTCGTCAAAGGCGCCGCGATTCGCTGGACACGCCAGAAACCTATGATTGTGGGTTCGAATCCCGATTATGTTTCTAGGTTTGTCAGCACCATACCCGTGCTCGTGGGGTTCACCGAAGTGGTAAACGTCTAAGACCTGCATCACTTCGGGCTTTCCTCCTGACACGCCGTGAAATAACTGGTATAATGTTAAAAGCGGCGTCAAACCCAACTCACTCACACTCACCATATCTACAAAGAGACACGGGTCAGACCTTTGGAGAATTTATTAATTCACATTCGTTACGGTCTATTGGGTAAGGTTTAACATTGTGTTCAACAGCAAAATAAAATTCAAAAAGAACGAACGGTGTCTATTAAATATGCCTTTATCGAATCGGAATAATAATTATAGATTACTACACGAGTTGTAACTAAGATAAATTGTATATGACAGGCACAAATGCTTTTATCTGTTTTTCACACACCCTAAAATCGCAATATTTAACATTTAATCGATGCATATTTTGTTTGTTCTCGTGATCGTGGTGGCGCATTAATACATTACACAACAGCCATAAGTGACGTCATCTGGCTTACTGCTCACTACTCACGCCTACTGTGACCTTCCACGAAAAGGTTTCCGCCATATCTGTGAATTACCAAAGCGATGATGATAATGCAAACTAGATAGATCAAAAACGTTTTTTAAACACCCTGAAACCATTAACTTTCGACACAGATGTAGGGACATTCGAGTGAAGCACGAGAAAATTATAAATGAAGTTCAATCATAAAAATAGTGACCTCAGGTCATCCAATCACGGACCTGGTATTCAATCTACAACCAACGTTTGATGCCTGTTGTGGGTTTCTCACCAACAGGTGTGTGAAAAAACAAAGATCAGAGGACACAATTATTCTCAGATCTGTTTTTGCACGTTTGCACGTGCAAGAGCTCATGCAGTTTACATTGTATATGATTTCTTTCCATATTTCCAGCCTCGGTACATATGTACTAACATACGCTATCCCATAGGCATGTAGTTAATACGTTATCTTACAATTGGAGGTGTGATATCACATTTGATATGGGTATCAAACAAAATGTCCATGTAAGTCATAATGTCAAGCTATGCAAACCGCTCAGCATGTTTTACTGTTTGATTTTGGCTTGTTTAAATACAATCACACGCATGCGACTCGACGGAATATTAACAGATTAATAACGAAGTACGACAACTACAGGCAGGGTAGAAACTGAACTATGGGTTATTCTCTCGCGCTTTGAATTCGCAATGCACAACCAATATATGAGACGATGTGATTTAGTTTAAGATAAGTGTATTTTTAAATGTTGGACCTGTTCCAATTTAATGTGTGTGATCCGATCGGTGATTTATCATGGAAGTGTGTTCTGGCTTAACGCGCGTTTCGCTGTGAGTCGGACATCAGGCAGGGGACTGGGTTCTCAAGTGGAGGACATTTTTTTACAAATAACTTCCTTGTACCCCTATAACACATCCATAGTGGCGTGTGGCCCCTCTAACTTACCAACACAAGTAGTGTGGTCCTTTAAACTTACCAACATCAGGAGTGTGGTCCCTAAAACTTACCAACACCAGGAGTGTAGTCCCTTAAACTTACCAACACTAGGAGTGTGGGCCCTGTAACTTACCAACACTAGGCGTGTGGTCCCTTAAACTTACCAACACCAGGAGTGTGGCTCCTTAAACTTACCAACACTAGGCGTGTGGTCCCTTTAACTTATCAACACTAGGAGTGTGGGCCCCTTAACTTACCAACACTAGGCGTGTGGTCCCTCTAACTTACCAACACTAGGAGTGTGACCCCTTTAACCTACCAACACGAGGAGTGTGGCCCCTTTTACTTACCAACACTAGGAGTGTGGCTCCTTAAACTTATCAACACTAGGAGTTTGGGCCCTTTAACTTACCAACACTAGGAGTGTGGGCCCTTTAACTTACCAACACAAGGAGCGTGGTCCCTTTAACTTACCAACACAAGGAGCGTGGTCCCTTTAACTTACCAACACAAGGAGCGTTGTCCCTTTAACTTATCAACACTAGGCGTGTGGTCCCTTTAACTTATCAACACGAGGAGTGTGGGCCCTTTAACTTATCAACACTAGGAGCGCGGTCCCTTTAACTTACCAACACAAGGAGTGTGGTCCCTTTAACTTACCAACACTAGGCGTGTGGGCCCTTTAACTTATCAACACAAGGAGTGTGACCCCTTTAATTTACCAACACTAGGAGTGTGACCCCTTTAACTTATCAACACAAGGACTGTGACCCCTTTAACTTACCAACATTAGGAGTGCGGCCCCTTCAATCTATCAATACTAAGGAGGTGGCGCTCTTTTACTTATTAATATTAGGTGTGTGACCCTTTATCTAATCCATAGCTTAGAGCCCATACATGTATACGCTGACCAAGAAAAATATTCTTGTTTAAATTATGTTATAAAACAATTATTGACCACAATTCGGGCAATATCATGAATGGTTAATAATTGTATAAAAGTGTGGTTTATGGATAATTGACAAGTTATCTATTCTATAATGAACAGTTTGATATAATCAATATGCTCAATACATTCACAAAATGAGATATGTATTAACGATACAATTAACTTCACGGCTCTGTGTTCGCCGTTGTGTAATTACAGACCAAGAGTCATCGACCTGGGACCAGAGGCCAGAACAGTAACAAGAACTGCCGTGTCTTTCATCAGCAGATGTCAACTAGAAGCAATATTCGCACATTCACAGCTGATCGATCTATCGACTCCAGACGCAGGCCTGACGTGGGGGGAATCTCAAGCACTCTGACGTAGAATGCCGTAGATTATCCCAGTGAGCGATGAACTTCACCGAACTCAACATGTGTCTGGACCGCCATGCAATGACTGAGACCTACTGATACATGGGTAAACAGGCCTGGACGAGAGGCAGTAGAAAGAATATAGCATTTAGGCTTAGTTTACACGGTTCTCAGTCTCTTGAAGCTGACGAAAACATCCCTGTTGCTAGCAAGTCTGTCAATATGCCTAGCGTCGGTGCCAAGTTCACCCAGCCCGTGTCTCTAGAAGGGGAGAGACGGAAAGCCATGATGTTGGTTCACTCTGTGGAGAAGGACATCGTGCTCTTCAGAGATAGGTACTTCCGGAAACCCCAAAACAAGTTCAACGATGACACCAATGATTTCATAGCGTTCGTGTTGGAGAAAACCGGCTCAACCCGGAGACCGCCGAAGAGTTTCCGGGAGTTTTCCATGCTGGTTGTTAAGACTCGCTCGAGTGCGGCGTTGCTGTATAGAGAGGAGATGGCCGTCATGGACGCTGTCGTCGAGCGGCAGATGATGTTTGAGGAGCTCATGATGTCGGGGATGGAACGTTTAGACGACGCTTTGAAAAAACATATCGGTAAGTTCTGCCAGAGCTTCGTGTCTGAGGCGGAGGGCATGGATGTGAGATGCGTCATGGACTACGAAAACAACATAACAAGGTGGAAAGATGCTATACGCGATGGTAAAAGTCTGTTGAAGGACATCACACAGAGCCTGAAAGACCATGGCGCGCCATTTCACCATTTCGTAAGGAATTATAACAAGATCCTACACTATATTGGTCTGTCGCTGGAGGTATTCCCGCGCATCTACAACCCTCTGAAAGACTGGGTGACGGCCGACGAGGCCTATGCGCGAAAGGTGCAGGACGAGCTGAATCTCGCGATGAAGCGGAAGATGGACATTACTGAAACGGGCAGACGCCAGCAGATGAGGGCCGACAACATGAGTCACCAGGTCCAGCATCAGAGCTATCAGACGAAGAAGCTGAGGGGACGACTGTATGATGCGATGGACGACCGGAAGTTCTGCCGGAGACGGGAATTAGCACTCATGGATACATATGCTAAGGTAAGAGTGAGTGAGTGAGTATGGCTTTACGCCGGTTAAGCAATATTACAGCAATATCACGGCGGGGGACACCAGCAATGAGCTTTACACATTCTACCCATGTGGGAAATCGAACCCGGGCCTTCGGCGTAACGAGCGAACGCTTAAACCACTAGTCTAGCCCACCGTCCCTTAAGGTAAGAGGCCGGCCATTTGAGATCCGTATGGAATACACATGGATGTGTTGTGAACAAACATCTGATCACTCGGCTCCACTATCAGGGGAAAAAAAGACTGTACGTTTTTCCGAAAGCCTTTTAGTGTCATCTTCCATTTTTTTTTTATTATTATTTTTTTTTTTATTGAAATTTCAATATAATGGGATACATCTGGGTATTTATATATTGTACATGTTTTGTTAGTTCATTACAATGGTGAACATGAAGTTCTGAATCTTGAAATCTAGCACCTTGAAGACAAAAAAATTAATAAGCAAATGGCTCTGAAAGGCTTCTGTACGGATTGAAGCAGTGCGCAAGAAATGTACGGAAGCAAAACTTCCAGACCCTGAAATGGCCGGTCCGTAAAAGCTGAATTTATACGATCTGTTAAACGATGGATTTGGATCATCCTCGATTACCCAGTGTATTGTATTGTCATTTAGTTTTGATAAATATCCTGGATCCATTAGCCACAATAGCTTCGTTTCGGAACTGTAAAGGCATTTACAGCGGGAAATACAAAATTCGGACTAAATGTTTGTAAGCCCCAGTCAGTCATATCAAAGCAGCTTCGTTTCGGAACTGCAAAGGCATTTACAGCGGGAAATACAAAATTGGGACTGAATCTTTGTAAGCCCCAGTCAGTCATATCACAGCAGCTTCGTTTCGGAACCTTAAAGGCGTTTACAGCGGGAAATACAAAATTGGGACTTAATGTTTTTAAGCCCCAGTCAGTCATATCACAGCTGCTTCGTTTCGGAACCTTAAAGGCGTTTACAGCGGGAAATACAAAATTGGGACTTAATGCTTTTAAGCCCCAATCAGTCATATCACAGCACGTGTAGGTGATCGAGTCTGGACCAGGAAAACCAGTGACGCAAAACTGAAGCAAGGACCCACGCTGGCGCTAACACACGATCAGCGATACAGGTCTTGAACACCCTTTGCCCATGTTAGTCGGCACTACCGCATGGAGGGTACCTTCCTTGGATTCGAGTACCGGGTTCATCCTGGTTAGGGCGGTAGGGTAGTCTAGTGGTTAAAGCGTTCGCGCATCACGCCGAAGACCCGGGTTTAATTTTCCACGTATAAAGACCATTGCTGGTGTCCACCCTCATGACGTGTCTCGAATACTGCTAAAAACGGCGTAAAACCACTCACCCACTCAATCATCCTGATTGTGATACTTCTTACAAGAACATGCACATAATAATGGTTTCAACAACCTAGTCACGATGGAGTGAGTGAGTATGGTTTTACGCCGCTTTTAGCAATATTCCAGCAATATCACGACGGGGGACACCAGCAATGGGCTTCACACATTGTACTCATGTCGGGAATCGAACCCGGGTCTACGGCGTGACGAGCGAACGCTTTAACCACTAGGCTACCCGACCGCCCCTAGTCACGATGGAGGTCGGTTTGGAGTCAGTATACTGTATCTGAGTGGGGTATCTATGTTATCTTGCCCCTGGTACCCCAGTGTGCTAGCACCATAATACCGACATTAGTCCCGACAAGATGAAGCAACCAGACATACACACATACACGTACGCGCAGGCACACACGCACGCGCACGTTTTGTAAGTGCAACAAACATTAAATACTCATATCCCCCGCCAGTATGACATGACCGGTTGTGTGGAGCACTACCACCATTTCCAGTCTAAGTCAAAGCCATTGCCATGGAAACTCGAAAAATATTTTTTTCAAAAATCCTAAACTATCAAAAGGCACCAGTTCACCACCAGACATATATATGTGCAAAGTTTGGTATCTCTCATGGTTTTTTTCTGTTCTGCTTCGGAAAAGAAACGTGACGGACGGCCAGCACCCATTCCTATATCCCCCTTCCACTTCGTAGCGGGGGATAATCATCACAAACCCCATTTAACCTCCATTCCCTGTCTCCTTCCAGAACGCTAGCCAACTGGAGCAGAAGCACCACTACCTGGAGGAGACATTGAGTCGGCTCTACAGCCAGGAGCCGAACGGACGTCCCATGTTCGACCGCCACCTGTCCTCTGTCGCCTCCCTGCAGGAGGACATCGACAAGCTGGAGAAACGCCAGGATACCCTGCAGAAGAACCTGGCCAACATCAAGAAGGAGAGGTACCTGGTCCAGAAGGAGGTACACAAACTGCAGGTGAGTTGGTTTTTATGCCGAAGTTTTTATACCAACGATAGACCTGGGCTATCTTCAACTGCAGGTGCTAACGATAGACCTGGGCTATCCTCAACTGCAGGTGCTAACGATAGACCTGGGCTATCCTCAACTGCAGGTGCTAACGATAGACCTGGGCTATCCTCAACTGCAGGTGCTAACGATAGACCTAGGCTATCCTCAACTGCAGGTGCTAACGATAGACCTGGGCTATCCTCAACTGCAGGTGCTAACGATAGACCTGGGCTATCCTCAACTGCAGGTGTCCTGGGAGCAGATGCTAAAAACAGATCTCTGGAAACTTGGCAAAACAACACAGATTTCCAAGGAATTCTGAAAAAACCCACAATATTTTGGATAAAATATACATCGGACTCGGACTTTTAACGAATTATAGGTTTCAACTAGAGGATCTGTCACTATGTCATTGGAGAAACTGTAGTTCAAAACTGACAATATTTATTCGCGTACGTTAATGATTGTTTTCATGTGAATGTGTACAGGTCAGATAGCTGTAACATTGTAATGTCAGTAGTCAGATGGGTATTTTCTAGACACATGCAATGTTCAAGCCTACAAAGAGTGAGAATAATATTATTTGTCATTCATAACACATTCAAATCCATGCTTTCACCACACATTTCATGCATTTGTTTTCAGGTCGTATTATCTTTTCACATTATTTTCCTTAACGATGTTCAGACTAATGTTGGGAGCAGGTGTGACCGAGTTGTCAAAGCGCTGAAATTCTCTGTGCAGAAATGCGTCTCAGAACCTATGATCGCCCTGATTATGTTTCTAGGTTTCTCAGCACCATACCCGCGCTCGTGAATTTCACTAAAGTTGTACGCGTACATGCAATAGACTTTCATCACGCTTGGACCTCCCACATGAAGTCAACGCACATGAGTCAGTAAGTGAGTTGTGCTTATCGCTGCGTTTAACAGTATTCCAGTTATATCACGGCGTGTCAGCTTAATGCAGGAGGAAAGCCTGAAGTGATGCAGGTCACAGACGTTTACCACTTCGGTGAAACCTGAGAGCACGGGTATGGTGCTGACAAACCTAGAAACATAATCGGGGCGAATCAGGATTCGAACCCTAGTTCCACAATCATAGGTACTAACACACTTCAAGTTAACGGACCCGTGAAGATCCGGGGTAGAATAGGTTTTCAGCAACCAATACTTGCCGTAAAAGGCGACTATGCTTGTCGTAAGAGCCGACTGGATTGTCTGCTCAGGACTCGATTATTTACAGACTGCCGTCATATAGCTGGAATATTGCTGAGTGCGGTGTTAAACAACAAACAACCAACCAATCAATTTAACGTATGACTGTATAACCCCCTCTCGATTCTGCTTTCTGCAAGGTAATGTATGACAAGAGCATCAGGTCCGAGGACGTCGTCCATACCAACGCAGACTGTCAGGTAGCGGGGGTCAAGGTCATACAGGACGAAAACCGAGTACTGGCGGAAAAAGTCGAGATTCTCCGTAGAATCAAGTCGCTGAAGTCACATCCGCACACAATCAGACACATACACAACGAGGGCTACATTCCGGGCCGCCGTATAGATATATCAGGTAGGTACAGGGCAGAGACTCGGCGGTTTGACGGCCGGCGAGCCATCGAAAATAGGGGATGGTTAGCTTATCAAATACAGTAAACTACGGTTATAACGAACACGCTTATAACGAACTGACGGATATAACGAACTAACTTTTTAGTCCCGACTATTTGCTGTAGTTATGCTGTATATATGCTTATAACGAATTACGGTTATAACGAACTAACATTAGTAGTCCCTTTGAGTTCGTTATAACCGTAGTTTACTGTAACATGTTTATCTCTTCGAAATAATCTCGCAAGTTATTGACAGACAAATGTTCCATTTGCATCCATAAAAACTAACATTTTTAGTCCATTGGTCTATAACACATAACAGTAACACATTGAAAAGCACTTGAAAATGGCATTTATTAATAGGACTAGTGCAAATTTCTAATGCTGCATTTATAATGTATTTGTGTTTGGAGATCTTCAATATATTTCTATGAAAACCAAACTTGTTTGTTCGTTCGTTTGTTTGTTGTTTAACGCCGCACTCAGCAATGTTCCATCTATATGACGGTGGTCTGTAAATGAGGCAGACTGGAAATAGTAAAGTGTCAAGTGTCATTTCTCTGAACACAATGTCATATTGAACCGAGTTATCCGTAGAATAGTTAGGTTAACACTAGATGAGAGTCAGGATAATGATTCTGCCGTTATAATAAGTTACAGCGTGTTACAAAATACACATAAAGTGTATCTAAAACGTGTTCCAGATCGCCTCTTGACCGCTTTCCGGATCGTGGCGCCCGATGTAGGGCGCGACTGGGCGTTTCTCTATCAGAAACTGCCGTTCAGTCCGCTGAGGGATGCCGTGACTCGGACTCACGATATAGAACGTAAGTAACTCATCACTCCATAACTTTACGATCAGTTGTTGAACAGACCCCTTCTTGAAAGAGGCAACAAAATGATCCTCAAGAAGCCCGAGTGATACCTGGCCCTTCGGATAGGTACCCAATACAGTGGTTACAATGTGTGACCAGGGTGTCATTGTGCAAAACAACCTTAGCGCTACGACTGTCGTAAGTCTATGTTAAGGTATGGGAGTTACGATCACCTTAGCGCTAAGATCGCTTTGTACAACGGTACCCAGTGCCCACTTGCACAAAGCAATCTTAGCGCTAAGATGATCTTAACTCCAATACTTAAACATTGGCTTACGATAGTCTGAGCGCTAAGCATAGTCGCCGTTTATGGCAAGCATGGGTTACTGAAGATCTATTCAAACCCGGATCTTCACGGGTTGCAACACAGAGGAACGCAGTTTTAAAATCTCTGCGCAAACATTTCTTTTGTAGTTGACTCTAAATGCTACTGAGCTTATTATTTATTTGTTTGTTTGTTTGTTGTTTAACGCCGCACTCAGCAATATTCCTCCTAAGATGACGGCGGTCTGTAAATAATCGAGTCTGGACCAGACAATCCAGTAATTGACATCATGAGCATCGATCCACGAAATTGGGATGCGATGACAAGAATCAACCCCGTTAGTCGCCTCTAACGACAAGCATGGGTTGCTGAAGACCTATTCTAAACCCGATCTTCACGGTCCCTCTCTGTGGTGTAGCTGTAAAGCTGCTAACTGGGGCATTAAACAACATGCACTCTTCTGTCCACGCTAGTTAAAGCCTGGGTTTGAGCCGGGTTCACAACTCACTCACTTTGATTATTGTTCATGCTGCATATGTCTTTCCAGTACTGGATCTGTCCTCACAGCGGAACGACCTGAGTCTGCGTGAGACGGTGTTGAAGAGTCTCGAGCGATGGAGGCGTCTCAGCCATGACGCCACAGTTCCAAACCTCGTGAAAGCTCTCAAAGATATTCGGAAACGAGATCTGGCGAAAAAACTCGAGCGGGAGATGCTGGTGACCAGTTGATGTCGCCCGGACATCCGAATGTACACGAACTGACGAAGTGTATCTCGAAAAACTCTTCCTTTCAGCTGGTCGGGACGTGTCTGTGATAAACTGAACTGGGCTTATATATCTTCGCCTACTATTTCGTTATTTGTTTCGAATAATATCTCAATCAAAACAAGAATAAGGGCATTGTTTTTATATTCTTGTTTTTACACTACACAGGCATTTATAAGAGATGCACGTATAAGTATGTCATCATTGCACTTATCCTTTAAAACACGACGGTACAAACCTGATCTGTCACTTGAATAAATCTCACAATATAAAATCATGCGTCAAAAATACACGTCATAGTATTGGGGATTATGCGGGACATTGCCTGAAAATAAGGTACATAAATATGTTTTACATATAATGCAGTGTTTTTTGCAATTAATTTTTCTCCATGAGAGGAAATTCAATGTCCCACATATCTGTGCAAACTTGCATTGCTCGAGGTAGACTCAGTGCCCCTAATTCTCGCCTGACGTTAATTCTTAATATGGACAACCATCAAACACAGAGAAACTTACCCCATCCCTCACAATCACAATGCATTAAGGTGAGGTGAGGTGAAATGGGGTTTAACGTCGCGTCCAAGATTATTACACTTATATAGCGACGTGCATGCACGTGTATGTGTGTGTGTGTGTGTGTGTGTGTGGCTGCTTGTACTAGTCCAGAATGATGCCGATTTATAGTGCTAGCACACTGAGATACCATGCCGCAGTTTAACATGAATACCCAACTCAGACACAGTATACAGACTCCGAGCCGACCAGTCCTTGTTTTAGCCCCTTAATGCCGAGCGCCAGACAGCGCCAGACAAGTAGTGGAAATCACAAGTCTCGACACCGTCGTGCAGCGGGAGATCCAACCGCGCCACCTCAAGCCGTAATCCCGGTCACCAGCAGCTCATCTAGCCTTAGTATGACTGAAACACACACTCAACGTTAACAGAACGTTCATATCACTCCATTTTCAGCACCAACGGTGTCTGGAATTATACCCAATTCCAACTTTTTGTAAGACCAAGGGACGTAACTCCAGATGGATTTTCGGGACGGGTTACGTCACGACCAAAGCCATTCGTCACCACTCGCCTCTCTCCGTAACCTGCAAGAAGACTCGTTCCCCTATCGATGAATGTTATGTGCGAAAAATACGACAAACCAATCAGAATGCGCGTATGATTTGAAGTTCTTCGTCAAAGAATCCCTCAGAAATAATTTTTGATTTTACATATGTCTTTCATCTAAAAATATACCCAAGGCACAATTAAATGTGTTCAATCATACTGTATGATTCCGCATGTCCAGATGTGCTTAAAATTGCATCTGAAATATATATAATATATGGGGAAATATATGTGAACCACAACGCGACGAGTTGACAATTATTTTAGGTATGCCTGTTTGCGCTAAGACGGAACCCGGTCGCAAAAATGGCCATGAGAGGGATCGGAGTCACTATTCGGCTTGCTCCGGAATAACACGAGTTGATCACGAATGGACCAAAGCAACTCGCCTTGTCTAGTTCGTGTTAAATAATTAAAGATTGGTTTTTAAATGGCTTGTTTTCTTATGAATAATGTTTCTGTCAGCATAAGGTTTGAAGTATTTGTTGACGTTCATCAATCCTTAATAACCTAAGACATGGTGATGTGAAACATACCAATAAAAACAGTATTATACCTTACACTGTCATGTTGATTTCGGAAGACGAGACATAACAATGGGCTCGTGAAGATCCGGAGTAGAGTAGGTCTTCAGCAACCCATGCTTGCCGTAAAAGGCGAGTATGCTTATCGGAAGAGGCGACTGACGGGATCGGGTGGTCAGGATCGCTGACTTGGTTGAAGCATGTTATCATATCCCAATCGCGTCGATCGATGATCATGATGTCAATCACTGGATTGTCTGGTACAGATTCGATAATTTACAGCCCGCCGTCTTATAACTGGAATATTGCCGAGTGCGGCGTAAAACAACATACAAACAAAGACATGACAAAGAACATGGTCATGGTTATTTTGAACAGGGCAATGACATTCAAGAGCTGACATTCACACTTGTCCACACAAGGTTACGTCCCGCTACAAATATTGTATTTTTTTAATGCAGCACACAGATAAATTCCAGCTAAATGATGGCACGCCAAGGCTCGCTAAATACAATGTTTATTCCTAATACAGGATATTTACCATCCACAAAGTGGCCCAAAGACACTCGCGTAATGTTTTTTAGTTTGTTTGTTTGTTGTGAAGTTAACGAGTTAGTTACATATAAATTACAATGAGAAGGTTTCCCCTAAATGCAATTGCAGATATATGCTCTGCCCCGATTTTTTCTGAACATGGTACACACTTTTCGTGCACATTTCACAAATGAATGCTCATCTAAACTTGGCTAGAACAGCATTAATGAGCCTTTCTATTCACTTATATTTTGGGATGCCATTGCCACACGTTTGTGCAGATATGTTTACCTGATATTTGTCTCTTCAAAGGTTAATCTATACTGAACAACAAAAGAAACTGACATTGAATAAGATTTACTGCAAAGTTATGTTTTTTACCAAATCTGAAACAATTTCGGTTGCAACAGATAAAAGACTCCTGTAAGCGTTCAAAAGGTTTAATTTGCCATACTGACTTCAGAAAATGCGTAATTTCATTAAAAAAAACATGAACATGCCAAAATGTCAATTTACATATCAATAGCGTGTGTGTCCACCTCTGGTTGCGATGCAAGCAACACATCTTCGTCTCATGGAATGGACCAGGCGTCGCACAAAGTCCTGTGGGATATCTGTCTATATCTGCTGGAGCATGTTTCGAAGTTCCTGGAGTGTCTGTGGAACACGTGGTTGACTCACGTTGTGCTCGATTGGTGAGAGATCAGGGGCCCGAGCTGGCCAGGGGATGACATTCTCGTTGTTTTGTTGAAGAGAATCGAGTGAGTGAGTGAATATGGTTTTACGACGCTTTTAGCAATATTCCAGCAATATCACGGCGGGGAACACCAGAAACGGGCTTCACACCCGGATCTTCGGTGTGACGAGCGAACGCTTTAACCACTAGGCTACCTGACCGCCCCATTATGTTTAAGGAAAGGAGAGTTACTCGGACATTCACCTCATAGGAGACCCTTTCTCTACACCGCTGTCTCGTGCAATCTACCAGACAGGATAGTAAATTCGCTGTGACTGGCTGCTGTTATTTAAGATAGTGGAATTCACTAGGTTTTGTTTTCTTAGTGTACGCGCTTTGAAAATATATTATTTAACGAAAATTTGCAAATTGCATTTGCAGGCACAAATCCGTCACGCTCCGAACCAGAGCGTGACGTAATGTCATGTGTGACGTCATCGCATTCTTTGACGTCACAATCCAAAATGTTTGCGACGGCGTCACAATAACTGAAAGAATACCACAATGGCGTCCTCCAGTAGTTCCGAGAATCAACCCAAAGCGGTGAAATCGTCGAGTTCTACAAACACAGTACTGACCAGAAGCAAGAGTAAGAGTCTGTCTGCATGTAGGTCAGCAACTTCGTGGTGGGACAAACTTCCGGACGAGGCTCTCATACTTGTGTATGGCTACCTTGAAGACCACGACAGAGCCTCCATGTCCTCGGTCTGCAAACACTGGAACAGCATCTTCAAGACGCCTACACTCTGGCGGGAGCGTCATTTTATATTCGTTGGTATGAGAGCCCTAGACCACACGAAGAAAGCATGTGAATTTATTACCAACGTGGGTACTCATCTAAGACGCCTTGTCCTGGAATGTGGACATCCAGTTCTTCACACAGCCAGACCCATTGCAGAAGCTGTGTCAACCTTTCTGGGACATACGATCAAAATTCCCCAAATGAGGATCAGTCATTTCAAAGTCGTATACCTTGACTGCTACCACAGCTGGAGATTCTTCGACCTGTCAAGGGGGAAACTTATAGACGCTTTGAGTAAATTTTTAAGGAAACAGAGGAACTTACGAAAGCTTGACCTCTCCGGAGCTCATTTGACGTCCGCAGAAGGGATGAGATGCCTTTCTTCCGCAGCGCAAAGTCCTGCCAGAAAAACCATCCACTATCTCCACATCAAGGACCTATTCGAGTTACGTTACCCAGCATTCCAAGACAACCGCTTCCGGGACAATCTGGCTCGCTTCACCAGCCTCCGACAACTTTATCTCAACTACTTGTACGTTGATGAGCTCGTGCTGCAAGTTCTACGAACTAATAGCAGAACAAGCCTCCAGTATTTTCAGATCGTCGTGGATTCGTGTGAACCATGTAATCACAGCATCTCGGCGTATGCGTGGCGGGATTTCTGTGACGGCTGTCCTTATGCTAAGGTTGTGTTTCATTTTCTAGGGAAGCTGTCGATTGAAGATTACAGGAGAGTGTTTGCCCGGTGTGTTCCGATATATGAGATTGATATTCTCAGCTGGGATCGCTACCCGAGTGACCGGGACCCCAATTCAGAGGACATGTCAGCCGTGCTCGCCCACATCATCTCGACATACTCTGCCCAGCTAGGTATATATACCGACCTCCCGATATGTTATATATAGTACGACCACCTCCGTGGTCGAGTGGATAGAGCGTCTGCTCGGAGAGCGGAAGTCCGGAGTTCGATTCCCGGCCGCATCATACCAATAGATGGGTGGTACACATACTGACACGTGCATGCACGTCGCTATAAAAGCGCAATAATGTTTAACGCGACGTTAAGCCCCATTTCACCTCACTTCACATATAATATATTGTGGTCGGAGCTTCATGTGTTTTGTGTACACTGCGTTCAGCATTCACCGCACAAACAGTATTGTCTGAACTCTACGCATTGCCACAATATCAGGCAATAGCAAGGTTCGCACAATGTCCATGCACGGAGTATGAGGTGAGGTGAAATTTGATTTAACGTCGCGTTCAAGGTTATAGCTCTTATATATGCACGTGTGTGTGTGTGTGTGTGGCTGCTTGTACTCGTCCGGACTAATGCCGATTATATAGCTAGCCCACTGAGATACCACGCCGCAGTTTAACATGAATATCCCACTCTGAATACTGACTCCGAGTCGACCAGTCCTTGTTTTAGCCCCTTAATGCTGAGCGCCAGATGGGATAATACCCAATAACAGCCAGTCGGGGATCGAACGCACGACCTTCCGCTCTCCGGGCGGACGCTCTACCAAAAGACCACGGTAGCGGTCGCCTCATTAGTGAGGTTTTAACGGCCTCATTGGCTTACTTGGAATAGACATGTGTCACTATTACACCGCACGGTGGAAGGATTTATTATATACTTCAGTGTGAAATACTGGGTTTCTGAAGTTGAGAAAAGTTATATTCTCATTGCAGTGAACATAACACTTGATTTTTCACTGCAGTGAACATTACACTTTGACGGAACTATTATGACACAAGAGTTACCTCCCCACACATTGTCTCCCTTTATCGAAAGTGTCTAGCCCGTACACAAACTGTGTACGTCCTTTTTACGTTAGTTACACATTGACAAGGCAAAAGAATTACAGATGGTCATTTATGAAATCGCTTCTTGCAGTTTGTTATTCTCTCGAAAATGTTTCGTTATAAACTGTAATATTTCATTTAACTCGTAAATCGAGACTGTTCGTTTCATAAAGCGCCATTTATGTTACTTGACCAGCGTGTATTCTTTCACAGCGGTCTCGTAGTTTTCAAGAATAGTTTTTGTTGAAGTTGATTTTGTATGTAATCATATCTAAATGTATGATAAAGAATTTTCGTGATCCCTAAATATTATTTGATACTTTTGTTTCTATTTTTTAAGATTTTTCAAACAAAAAACTACTTTTTTAAGTCGCAAATGCAAGGGGTGGTGAACCGTCCCTGTGTGTTAGGTAGGGAGAATTTACGTTTCAAGATTTAACATTTGTTATGAAATAATTTAATTTTCCGGTAGACAACTACACACAAAGTATATAATAAATAGGATATTCCATGGGTCTCGTGTAATATCATGTTTCTCTTTTCTCGTGACAGGAGAAGAGAAGATATTTTTACTCATGGCCATGCCATTGGTAAAAATATCTCCTTTGCCCACCGTCACTCGAATAGAAGTGATTTCATGAAGTGAGTTGAGTTTAATGCCGCTTCGAACAGTATTCCGGTTATATCACGGCGTCAGAGCTTAATGTGGGAGGAAAACCGGTGATACAGGTCTCAGACGTTTACCACTTCGGTGAAACCCTCGAGCACGGGTATGGTGCTGACAAACCTAGAAACGTAATCGGAACGAACCGGGATTCGAAAGCCGCAATCATAGGTTTCTGGCGTGCCCAAGGGACGCAACTCTGCACTTTGCCCTCCATTTTTCATGAGACGAAGTGCCCGAGCTGACCCCGGGTAAGAATAGGTTCCCGGAATCTGTGCCGATCGTAAAAGGCGGTAAAAAGGATCGGGTGGCCGGTGACTTGGTTGATTGTGTGTCATGGTACCTCGACGGCGCAGGACGTTGCTCATAATATCAATCCCTGGTTTGTCTGGTCCAGACTCGACTATTTACAGGACGGCGTCTTTGGCTGGAATATTTCAAGGTTAAGCAAATAATAGTCGTATTTCTCTTGCAGTGAGCTTCCGACTCGCGTTTGATCACCTGAGCAACGAACCAATCGACTCGGCGCTTGTGATGTTGCTCGACAGGTGCACGAAGTTGAAGGACGTGTGCATCAACACTGCCATTAGGATCGACACGGTGGAGAAGATCTGTGCAACACTAAAGAAGAAAAGACCTAGAGGTACGACCCGTGAAGATCCGGGGTAGAATAGGTCTTCAGCAACCCATACTTGCCGTAAAAGGTGACTATGCTTGTCGTAAAAGGCGACTGACGGGATCGGGTGGTTAGTTAATAAAAGCAAATAAGTTCATAGATAAGTTGATCGGAATATATGATATTTACAATACGAAGACATACTCGGCGCTAATCTCTATTGATCATATAAAGGATAATGTTGTAGATATAATTACCTGTGAAATATATAAAAGTGTACATATGGGATCATCCTCGATTCATACGTCCGTCATAAGTTCGCTTCGTGAACCGGAGCCCCGTGTCCTCCGCCACGCATCAAGACTGGAAGCGCACCCTGTTCCCAAAATTATCTTTTTTTAAATATTAACGATCCGATATTATACTTTCCTCGTCTCCGATGCGTTTCAAATGCATAAAGAGTCTGAAAACATAACTTTTCTTATATTAATGTATCAAATTGTATTCTCTTGTGTGTTTTTTTGCTTGTATGCTTCTTGGAAGTAATTTTGAGACATTACTTACACCATGTTGTTGTTACATAAGGGGGGGGGGGGGGGGGGGGGGGAGACTGCGTCTTTTTTCACAAAGCGACCGTGGAGCTACTATTATCGACAGGAATGGTTGTTTCACGGAGTCGTCAGGGGAATCCTAGCCACTGCAATGACTGCTAAATTTCCATGGAGCAAAATCCCGTCTACTTGTACAATTTATTTAAAGCACAACGTCGTGAATCCTAGACTGAAAGTAGTCCCGATCGATTTCTAATATGAATTGATAATGTAATAAACATTTTCAGACATATATTCCCATCTTGAAACAGTCTCTATTTTATCTTATAGAACAATATTCGGGCGTGTCTTTTTTGGGGGTGGCATTTGGTTTGTTTCATACAATATATACATGTTATTATAATAAAATTGAGACTGATCCCGTCTATAGGTAAAGCCAGGAGACATCTTTATAGACATACCATACAGCCCCATCTAAATTTAAAAAAAAAAAAATTAATTAAATTTTACAATTCCACACGTCCACTTAATTCCCCGTTGCCATGTTTCAGTGTTGGAACACCTGGAGTTGAAAGTTCGTGACCTGACCCCAGACGAAGTAGCCAAGTTACGGGGCATCGCGGTTTTAAGCAGCGAGGAACTCGGTCTGAGGAGCGTGGAAGTTCAGCCAGATGACTAACCAATCACAGGATTGCCACGCGGCAGAGGCCAATCGGATACGATCAGATTAAAACGTTAAGGTTGTTCCGAATGTCCCCCGATCATGATATAACAATTGCAGTTCAAGGCTTGTGAAGGATATTTATTCTGTATCTTCGTCGATCTATTGATGTATGAAACCGTGTAAAAATTGACTTATTTTATGAAGTGTCTAAATATTTCTCGTGCAATAAAATATTTTGAGAGTTTGAGTTTTCGTCTTTCCAACTTTTAGGTAAAAACGAAAAATTGCTTTGATTATTTCTATTATTGACAATTTCGACATTTCACTGTCAAGGGAAACTGTATGGGGCGAAAGGGTAGACAATAAAGATGTAACTCATCACGCCAAGTCCTTAATCATACACCCCATATGGTACAGTGCGTGAAGCCCGTGCCATGTGTCACCCGTGGGACATTGTATAAAAAGCGGCGTAAAACCAACTCGCTCACCCAATGATCGGAAACTGATGGCTGGTAATAAACTACGTGCACTCCGTGCTCCGTCATACGTACATGTATTCACAGATGTAGTGGGCATCTTTAGATAGATGTAGACGCGGGCCACTGAGAGTTGATTTGTAATTTGTGAACAATGAATTTGATTTCGTGATTTCTTGACGCTTCTGATTTGGTTAGATACTCTCATTTTGACGTGTGATATGACTGATTATTGGTCACATGATGTGGCACATGACAGCGGATGTTTGTTCATTAAACATATCTTCATCCCTCTCCGGACCCGCCTATCTATGTAGGATATAAAACCACGTCAGTTGCGCGCGCCAGATCGTGTAGTTATCACTTTAAGACTCAGGAACACGGGTGTTGTGCTGACAAGATCAAAGATAATCTCTTACAAAAGAACATATTTCTTTTTCATTTCACCCTCCTGCCCCGTTTTCACTTCTTTATTATGTTTCCTTTTGATAACACTTAAAAAACATTTTAAATATGTTTCCTTTACATTTTAAAATTTTCGCCAGACAGTACACTTTATGGTAAGAAATCCGTGACCATAGTGAGTGAGTGAGTATGGTTTTACGCCGCTTTTAGCAATATTCCAGCAATATCACGGCGGGGGACACCAGAAATGGGCTTCACACATTGTACCCATGTCGGGAATCGAACCCGGGTCTTCTGCGTGACGAGCGAACGCTTTAACCACTAGGCTACCCGACCGCCCCTCCGTGACCAGAAAGCTTAGTGATTAAACAAAAGAAGTTGGGTATGGATGTGCTGTGAGTTGTAGAACCCAGCGAGGCGAGGCTGTAGGTGCAGGCCTGTTCTTCCCACCTCAGAGGGCACAGGGTGGGTGGCCCAGTCGTCAGGGCGCCGCGATTCGCTGTGCAGAGTTGCGTCCCTTGGGCACGCTAGAAACCTATGATTGTGGCTTTCGAATCCCGATTCGACCCGATTGTTTCTAGGTTTGTCAGCAAATCGTGCTCGCGGGTTTCACCAAAGTGGTAAACGTCTGAGACCTGCACCACTTTGGGCTTTCTCCCACATTAAGCTGACACGCCGTGATATAACTGTAATACTGTTAAAAGCGGCGTTTAACACAACTAACTCACTTCCCACCTCATCATTAATGCCCCACATAAAATCTGTGGCATAAGACATTTTAATTGCACCAATGTCTGTATTTCTACAAACAAACAACTTAACATGTATTCTTGGTATCTTACCTTACATCAATTACGATGCATCAGACACAGACATTATACATATCTTATGACATTCTAATGTTGACAGCGATCCAGATGGAAAAAAGTGTTTGGGCCTGATAGGGACAAATAAGATGTTTGACCTAAATAAATTAGGACTATTTCTCGAAAACTTCCCAAAAATATATCTCTGACGATCGCATTGTTAATTCAGAGACTCCTTCAAGACACAAAACTGTTCTCATCGAATGTTTGGCACAGGAGTAAATATAAATGAAAACTCAAACAAAAAGGTTAATATAATAAAATTTAATACCTTATCACAGACTCACTAAAGCTATCGCAACTAAAAACTAAATAATATCAACAATGATAAAATATACACAAACATAATTGCTATGTCCATAAGCAAAAGTAAACATATTGAAGCCACTGTGAAAAACAAAGAAATACCATGCAATATAACTTTGAATACACAGCCATATTAATCAGATAAAACCTGAAGCTTGTCTAAGACTAGGTTCTGACCACATATTATAATGATAGCATTACAGAGGGAGCTAGCGGTCCAGTTATGCAAACATATCAAGAAACTGACTATAGGAATATAGGACAGACAAAAATCGAAAAATCTGTACATAATTCATAAAAGCTACTTTGACTTTAGAATTATAATTTGTTCATCGAATAACCCAACAACATATTACCCTACTGGCAACATGAATCACTTTGCCTTTTTGCTACGTCATTGAATGGTTAGGGGTTATGGAAACAAATAAACCAACATGGAAATAAGTGTAGTCTCATGTAGCAAGAGTTACGTTTTCACAAGTTAAACACATGCTGTTCTAAACAGTCAAAGAAGTAATTCCACTAGCACCAAATGACAGTTACAAAATATACCTTGTCAGAGTGGTATTTGTTAGAGCACCAATAATCGCAACCTGTACCCAAAAAAGAAATATAGTGGACAAATATTATCATCACAGTTACAAAAGGGAAATGAAATGAAGGGACAGTCTCACATGGTGAGTGAGTGAGTGGGAGTGAGTGAGTGAGTGGGAGTGAGTGAGTGAGTGAGTGGGAGTGAGTGAGTGAGTGAGTGAGTGAACAGTATTTGATATTAGGGCGTTTCATCTTGTAGAAAGAAAGCAAATCTCATGAAGTCAGACATAGTTATCGCTTCCACAAAACACAGGGGTGGCAACGAGATTGAAAGAAAGCCCGAGGTGATGCATGTATTAGATGTGTACCACTTTTGGCCACCCCTACAAGTACAAGCATGGTGCTGACAAACCGAGGAAAAGTGAGTGAGTGAGTTGGGTTTAACGCCGCTTTTAACAGTATTCCAGTTATATCACGGCGTGTCAGCTTAATGTGGGAGGAAAGCCCGAAGTGATGCAGGTCTCAGATGTTTACCACTTCATCGAAACCCACAAGCACGCGTATGGTGCTGATAAACCTAGAAACATAATCGGGGCGAACCGGGATTCGAACCCACAATCATAGGTTTCTGGCGTGCCCACGGAAGCAACTCTGCACAGCGAATCGCAGCGCGGCGCCCCCCAAACCGAGGAAGAAGCAGAGATCACTGGGATTCGGACCCACAATCATGTTTCTTGACAGTCCCAAGGGACACAACTCTGGACAGAGAATCACTGCGTCTTACATGACTGGGCCAATCCTGCTCCAGTGTTCCTATAAGAAGGGTGGTTTATTCCAGTTACCAGGTATCCATTCCACAAAGCATCTCAGACACAGGCATATTATCTGATGTCAAAGAATGAAATTAAGTTTGACTAGAAACAATTGGTATTCTTCACAATTATATTCTGGTGGGATACTTGACAAACTGGTAATTACTTAGAATATCGCAAACACACACTTTTATTTGTCATGTTTTCTTCATTTGCACAGGCCAAGGTCAAATCTGTTACACAAGGCATGGGATACCGGGTAATCTCATAACAGCTTATATCTTATATTTCTGATTAAACCATCATGGTGACATCATGTTATTATTGTTGCAGCTGATTCTGAGCCAGGAATTCACTGACCATTCAAACATACATTTTTAACAAATAAAATTGATGGTCATTAAGCAAAATTATAGGTCATTATGCAATACTCTAGATCATTACGCAAAATTAATCAGAAATCATAAAAGTCGGATTAAACCATAATAATTATGCCATGCTATTGATCTTGCAGTTGATTCTGGGCCAGGAATTCACTGGCCATTCTGAACGTGCATTTTTGCAAATCAAATAGGTAATTATGCAAAATTAAACAGAAATTATAAAAGTCGGATTAAACTATCATGAAGATATCACACTATTGATGTTGCAGCTGATTCTGAGCCAGAAATTCACTGGCCTTTCTGAATATGCATTATAAACAAGTACAACTATCGCAACTATAGGTCATTATGCAAAATTATAGATGATTTATATATCAAGCCTAACATGGTATAGGTCACAGAAATAAATCAAATCTCTTAATAAATTATTCCGAATAAAAAATCAATTAGCCCTGTCCGGAACCAACAGATTCAAGTAATTTCTCCATTACAGTTTCCGATGTCAGCATGTATAATAACCAGCCATATGATCATGATTATACCTAGTTTTCTATCACATGAAACACAGATCATGAATGGTGCATCCAGTGAACCAACATCCTACAAATAACATGATTATGGAGAGGTATGAAGCATAACTATCACATGAAGTTGAAGTCATGACAGTGCAAAGCCTACGGCATGCAATCATTGATCGTTTGACAGTCGATGAGTATTTTCTATGAATTTGGATCAACAAGACGAATCCGCAATTAGCATGATTTGGGTCGGAAGTATCCATGAAATGCTAATTTCAGGATAGAATGAAATATGTACATGCTACATAAATACCAATGCAGATTATTCAGTATGTTTTAACAAAGGTAACATCTTTAAACATGTTTCTGACACATTTTCTTTGTAATAGATATAAAATAAACAATTCTTGTGCCTTTTTTTCTTCAAAGATCAAGAGACAAAGTAAATTAAGCCAGATAATTACTGCAAAGCCTTGTAACTCAAATGTCGTCTAAACAAGACAGCTACATGACCTCAGAGAGTTGACAGTAACCCAACTAAATACAATGGCGGGAATCACGTGAGACCCGAACCTCGGTTTCAAGCCTGGGTTTCAAGCATGAGATCTAACATAAGAAAGACTGATGTTTATGAGAGTAATTCAACACACAAGTGTACAGGCAGGTCAGGGAGTCTGTAGAAAGTGAGTGAGTGAGTATGGTTTTAACACCTTCAGCTGTTAGCAATATTCCAGCAACTTATAAACCTATTCATTGGGATCACTATTAAGTAAGAGACATAGGCATTAAAACCTATTGTGAGGTTTTACTTTCCGGTCGGGTTAAATCTCATAAACAGGGACGTTGTAATGTCCCTGGGATTTTATATAATATCCCAGGGATTTTATAGGATATTCAAGTCATATTTGCTATAATATCCTAGGGATTTTATATAATGTCCTGGATATTTTATTAATGTAACTTCCGTTCAGATTGAGCATGTAATGAAATGTAAAATCAAATGACAAATGTTTTCATTATATTCCAGAGGATCGAACTCGCAACCTTCATATCTGTAGCCCAGTGAGTGATAAATGTTGTTTAAGTTTCTTTTTTCGGTTTATAAGTATGAAAAAACACTTTCCCTTGGTTTTGGTAGACAGAGCATGCCCTGGGGGTCGGGAAAAACCGCTGGGGCTTCGCCCCCTTGGTTTTTCCCTCTCCCCAGGGCATGCTCTGTCTACCAAAACCTTGTAAGCGTGTAAGCGTGTGACATGAAAGACATTTGAAACAGTCATGCCCAGCCACTAGAAGTGGCCATCACTTCACATATAGACATTATGTACATTGTGGTTACCCTGGTTACCTATATCACATAACATTCACGCTAAAATTCAAAGATTTTAACGTGACTTTAAAAGGACTCTTATGAAGAATTTCACATCAACGCGACATATACACATTGTCTGAATGTGTTCAAGGAACAAAATAATATGTCATTAACATAATAATTCATATCTTAATTATAGAAATTCCTCCAAACCCTATCTGTATTGTGAACTAGGTTTCATCCTTATTGCTGAAGTGAGTGAGTGAGTTGGGTTTAATCCTACATCATGGTGGGGACACCAGATGTTTGCTCTGGCTGAAGACGTTATGCACCGTGATGCAACAGCAGTTCTATTGCACAGACGGAGGTGTCACAGACGGAGGTGTCACAGCGGAGACATGGACGCCTCCTGCGTCTCACTCACGTTGTTGATGTCCACTAAGGGTGACCGCTCGCTTACGTTGCTACGCCTTGACCGCCGTCGCTTTGATTTGGCCATCTTGTCTGTGGAAGATGATGTTGGCGTGGAGTCTGGTGTTGTAAATGATGCTGCGTGTGACGGAGGAAGGTCGGGGCTGGAGAAGGAGCTGGAGGAGTCGTTGGAGGAGATGCTATGTGACTTGACCAGCTGCAGACACAGGCAGATGATTGTTACCATGGTGATGATAAAGTGTTGCATCATTTACTATCTAAACTTGTTGGGGGGTTTTCCGAGGCAGAAATATTTTAAAAAATGAAGAGAAATGTTGTGTTACAAATATGCTTTTCTTCTGTTTTATAAACTATAGTTAATTAACCATCAATGTTAACCATGACAAGCTTCTGTATATTGTCTCCTGAAACTAGCCTAACTCCAAGTGACATGAGTGAGTGAGTGAGTTGGGTTAAACACCACTTTTAACAGTATTACAGTTATATCACGGCGTGTCAGCTTAATGTGGGAGGAAAGCCCTAAGTGATGCAGGTTTTAGACTTTTACCACTACGGTGAAACCCACGAGCACAGGTATGGTGCTGACAAACCTGGAAACATAATTGGGGCGAACCGGGATTCGAAATCCACAATCATAGGTTTCTGGCGTGCCCAAGGGACGCAACTCTGCACAGCGAATCGCTGCACCTTGGACGACTGGGCCACCTGTGCCCCACCAAGTGACATAAATATTGTATACAGTGAAGGGGCAATAGGATTCTATGTAGGAGTTGTACATGTGTAGTGTAGTTGATCTCAATGCAGTATGATATCAATGTCACATTACTCAAACATGTTATCACATTCAGTAAAGCAGTTTCTGAAATGTAAGATATATTATTAGTTGAGTGCAGATGAGAAACAAATTAAATTCAAAAAGAAACTTAAATCTCTTAAATAAGGTGAGGTGGAACGAGGTTAAACATTGCCTTGCAGTTACACACATGCTTTGTTTTGTTTGTTTGTTGTTTGTTGTTTAACGCCACAATCAGCAATACTCCAGCTATTTGACGGCGGTCTGTAAATAATCGAGTCAAGACCAGACAATCTAATGATTGACATCTTGAGCATCGATCCATGCAATTGGGATACAATGACATGCATCAACCAAGTCACCGAGTTTAACCATCTAATCACGTTAGTCGCCTCCTACAATAAGCATAGTCGCCCTTTATGTGAAGCATGGGTTACTGAAGTGCTGTGTGAGTGAGTGAGTGAGTGAGCGAGTGAGTGGGTGGGTGGGTGGGTGGGTGAGTGAGTGAGTGAGTGACACAATATACCAACTCCGAGCTGACCAGTCCTTGTTACATCCCCCCAAAGCAGCCATCAGGTGAGGTTATAGTCTGACATACCTTGAACTTCTTCCTCAGGGCTCTGGTCATGATGGGAGTGAGGCCCTGCCCGGTCTCCCTATTCCTCTTCTTCTCCTGGCTGTCAATGATGGGGGTTCCCCCCGGACTCCTGGAGACATAAATGTTTTAACCTAGCACGATACATTCGCGAAGTTCCATATTTTTAATATATATCGTGATTTCCTGCTTAAAACGTTCAGAATAACACGATTTAACAAAAAATCTTTCGCTAACTTCTGAAATTTATCAAACACGAGCTTGGTATCACAGCTATAATTTGATTGGCTGCCTGAGGTCACGTGCTCAAAATTGACCAATCACGAAACTTGTAGCAGATTTCGGCAAGAAAGCGTCATTAGAAACAAATTTTAATCCAATGAAATCGCTTGTTATAACTACGGAAAAAAACCAGGCGATGTTACGAAAGCGCGATTACGAAATGAATGACCGCCGTGTTGTGACAGCAACTACATGTGTGTGACAGTTTAGCCTTAAATTGGATTGCCCACTAATTAAGAATATAAACTTCGCTTGTGGTTCACTTTTATTGCATGCATGCGCTTCTAAGATCAAAGGATGTATAGTGTGAAAAGTTAACTAGTTGAACAATCGTATTTCCGGGACTTGCCGCGGATGTTTTCAAACAGATTATTAGAACTCCATTCAGCGATAAACGGTTGATTATGCAATGAGAAGCGTTATGTGCAAATGAACAACGAACAACAATACAATTATGTCTGTGTAAAACTCTCAGTAATAAAAGTGTACATAAATTTTGGGAGCCATGTGTTACCGCGCGTAGTTACCGCGCGTAGTAACCGAGGTAGCGCTTTATCGAAGAGCGCAATAGCGAGCGATCACTGTAATTACTTTGTGCATAATGCACACACCCACGTTCGAGGGGAAACTTGCTGTCTTTTATGTCCAGTCAAACATGACATTGTATAATGCACACCCCAACGTTTGAGGGGAAACTTCCTGTCTTTTATGTCCAGTCAAACATGACATTGTATAATGCACACCCCAACGTTCGAGGGGAAACTTGCTGTCTTTTATGTCCAGTCAAACATGACATTGTATAATGCACACCCCAACGTTCGAGGGGAAACTTGCTGTCTTTTATGTCCAGTCAAACATGACATTGTATAATGCACACCCCAACGTTTGAGGGGAAACTTCCTGTCTTTTATGTCCAGTCAAACATGACATTGTATAATGCACACCCCAACGTTTGAGGGGAAACTTCCTGTCTTTTATGTCCAGTCAAACATGACATTGTATAATGCACACCCCAACGTTTGAGGGGAAACTTGCTGACTTTTATGTCCAGTCAAACATGACATTGTATAATGCACACCCCAACGTTTGAGGGGAAACTTGCTGACTTTTATGTCCAGTCAAACATGACATTGTATAATGCACACCCCAACGTTTGAGGGGAAACTTGCTGTCTTTTATGTCCAGTCAAACATGACATTGTATAATGCACACCCCAACATTTGAGGGGAAACTTCCTGTCTTTTATGTCCAGTCAAACATGACATTGTATAATGCACACCCCAACGTTTGAGGGGAAACTTCCTGTCTTTTATGTCCAGTCAAACATGACATTGTGTAATGCACACCCCAACGTTTGAGGGGAAACTTGCTGACTTTTATGTCCAGTCAAACATGACATTGTATAATGTATTGCTTCAGGTGTATGAACATGAGGTAAACTATGTCAATATATATTTTGAGATAGAAGATTACTGGACATAATTATTTTATGAATTGAATTGTATTTCCTGTTTCAACAGGCATTTAATATGAACTAAGATTAATATTATTGTGTGTACTTGTCTCGTACAATAAGCCCGAAATATTTAAACTCATTTCGCCTGAAATATTTAAACACATTAAGCCTCAGACAGGGTAACAACAAGTGCCATCATTCAATCTCTTTTTGTACACCCCCAACAACCTTGTGGTTGCATAAAAAGTACTACCTGTGTACAGTGTATAAAAGACATAATCTGGCCCACCTACCTCTGTACAGTGTATAAAAGACATAATCTGGCCCACCTACCTGTGTACAGTGTATACAAGACATAATCTGGCCCACCTACCTGTGTACAGTGTATACAAGACATTTTATGTCCAGTCATTTTATGTCCACCTACCTGTGTACAGTGTATACGAGACATAATCTGGCCCACCTACCTGTGTACAGTGTATACAAGACATAATCTGGCCAACCTACCTGTGTACAGTGTATACAAGACATAATCTTGCCCACCTCCCTCTGTACAGAGAAGGGATAATCCCTGGCCCACCTACCTCTGTATAGTGAATGGATATCTGGCCCACCTACCTCTGGACGGTGGTCTTCCTCAGCTTCATGCGGTTGACCAGGACTTCCTTGACAAGCCTGGACACAGCAAGAAGGGACATCACAAACTATTGCAAGTTTCATAAAATATTAACATAATGGTTAAAATACACAACATCACATTGTTAAATATTGTCCACAGTTCCAAACCATCTGTTCTTTTTTAATTAAAGGGGAGCAGATGTCATCTGCATATTCAAACATTTCACTGCATTTTATCAAACAAACTTATCAAAACTGTGAACCTTTCAATTACAATCAAGTCGTAAGCAGTGACTTGTAACCATGGTAACTGATTGGCTATGGGTTGTAAATGTGACAATGTCTGTAACAAGATCAATAACTACAGTCTTCACAATGTTTGTTGTACATAAAATTTATGAATTTGGTTCAAAATATTGTATTGTATGGATATCATGAAATTTGCAATGGTTGGCATCTGTGACCACGTTTTATCATTTGTTTCTTGTTTACGCCGCACTCAGCAATATTCCAGCTACATGACGGCGGTCTGTAAATAATCAAGTCCGGACCAGACAATCCAGTGTTTAATATCATGAGCATCAATCCACGCAAATGGGATACGATGACATGCATCAACCAAGTCAGCAAGCATGACCACCTGATCCTGTTAGTCGCCTCTTACGACAAGCATAGTCACCATTTACGGCAAGCATGGGTTGCTGAAGACCTATTCTACCCCGGAATCTTCATGGCAAGCATGGGTTGCTGAAGACCCATTCTACCCCAGATCTTCGCGGGTTGTGACTACTCTGTGGATACAGGAGCATCTTACATGTGTTGTATGTTCTCCTTGCCGAGCTCCCCTAGGGTGATGGCTGACTGTGTCTTCCTCAGCGACACGCGCTTCAAGTCCTCCACACTCACAACATGTGCTTGACTGTCTCCCTGTGACAAGGAGTCAGGCAAGAGTGAGTTATTGAAATCCCACTAAAATCATGAGTACAGTTTGTTTGTTTGTTTGTTTGATTATTTGTTGTTTAATGCCTCACTCAGCAATATTCCAGCTATATGACAGCGGTCTGTAAATAATCGAGTCTGGACCAGATCATCCAGTGATTGATATCATGAGCATCAATCCATGCAACTGGGATACGATGACATGCATCAACCAAGTCAGCAAGCATGACCACCTGGTCCTGTTAGTCGCCTCTTACGACAAGCACAGTCACATTTTACGGCAAGCATGGGTTGCTGAAGACCGATTCTACCCCGGACCTTCACGGGTTCATGAGTACAATAGAACTTGGATATAATGAATTACAAGGGACCAGAGAAATCAGTTTGTTATATGCATTGTTTGTTATATAAACGTTTTCACTCGGAAAGGTCCGCCATCTTGGATAAAACAATACACGTAACTGCAGCATTGCCCATCATGATAACATGTGCTAGTGAAGTGACACTTTGACATGATCTCGTGAAATTTATGTCTGTTACAGGTAAGATAAACGTAAAGTTCAACAAGTTTGAATTGTCACCGCTGATTGTGTTGATTCGCCGCTGATTGCATACAGCCAATTATCAGTGACACTTGACACTGAGTGAGATTTCTCAGTTCTCTATACACATCACTAATTAGGGGTATTTGAGCTTGTCAGGGATCAGATATTAGTTTGCTATATACATTTGTTCGCTGTAGAGAGTTCATTATACTCACTTTTTATATGATAATATAGAGGAGATAAATCAGGGATTTTGTAACAGTTCGCCGTCTCCATTTGTTCTCTCTATCCATGAAGTACTACTGTAGTCAATTATACAAGTTGTGTGCACAATCAGTATCGGAAATAATTGCCTGCCCGTGGCTGGAAGCGTTTCTGTCGGGCTGCATGAACTTTTCCTCCATCTGCCCGACTGTCTGGGCAGATAATTTTACGACGAATTACGTATTCAGTTTGATTATGACTCCTTGTAGATTCTCAAGTACTTGTTTGCATTATTTCAACTTAAGCAAGACATGATTTGTCTCTTAGTTTTTTGCGATTTTTCAATATTCGTAACGTCTGAGTGTGGGCAGGTAACTTTGAAGATAGACAGGCAACACTTATGGGTCACCTGCCTGACTCTCCTAATGGGTTTTAAAATGATTTCGAACAGTGTGCACATTTGGTCAGGTTCATAATGGAAAATATTTGTATTGACACATCTGACCTAAATATGCCCACCTGCATAATTGACACTGTTAGATGCAGCATTTCAATAATCAAGCGGCAAATATTGCAAAACTTAACTTAGTTGGTCATTTGTGGATTCAGGGCAGGGAGCAAGGGCGCACAACCCTCCCCTCCCTTTCAAAGCATGCTAATTATGTCAACACATACAAAATTAATAATTGGCACATTTGGTGACATTTTTCAACAAAAGTAACATTTAATTGACAAATTTTAATAATAAAAACTGTTTCCTGAATTATCATTATGCAATCATCTCACATTTGAATTTTTGTGCACTCCTTCCCTCCTTTCCCAAAAACAGTATCTTCTTTTAGTAAAATAAATGTTCAAAAACTTTAAAACACACATTATAGTAATTAGAAAAAGACACTGGTCTAAATAATCACATACGAATGACCTTGGCCAAACTGTATCGCAGTGACCATGTCATCTTTATGCTGTGATATCTCAATACCTGTTCGTGGCTTCCCTGGTTGGTGTCTCGCGGCGTTGACCTCAGTTTGACCTTCAGTAAATCAGCTGCTGTAACGACCATCTTCCCAGATGACTTGTTTTCCTCTGGTGTCTGAAAGGATGGTCCACGTTCAGTAATATTTATATTTTCTTAATTTATCCCCTTTCTTTCACAAATACAAACATAATGCTAAGAGAAGTGGGAATGTCATAGCTGAGGCTATATACTAACCGACAAAAGAATCGCGAATACCATATATGTTGGTTAATATATGAAGAACTACTTATATTCATGAGATATTAGATTGGTCCGATGCAAAAATGAACATACCGTTAGTGTTATGTTTTGTGAACTGACGCTGATGAATGCCTCATGTCATCATGGTCATAGATCCATGACTCGAAATGCACCATTTGTCTTGTGCAGGATTAGCATGTTAAGTTTGGAAATAACATGCAGCATATCATGATAAGAAATTAGAATAAAGACTGTGGTAACACTTGATGATTGTTAGTTTTGTCATTAATTGGTACACATTGGAAACATCTCTTCTTAACATACATACTTCTCTATATGTTTCTATGGTTTGTGTTTCTTTTATACAAACATAAAAACAAAAATCTTCATGTTAGTCGGAACGGAAAACACATGTTAAACTACTGGTTTGAAAAGTAGAATTTCAAGGTGTCCAAGGTAGTCAATGTATTCAAGGAGTTCATGCCGGAGGGATTTTACGGAACGCTTTAATCAAACTCGCTGGGGTCGCACTTGAGTAGGCTAATCATGGCGATAGAATTTTTAAGTGTCAAGCGCACCCATATCGCATACTAGAGACAGTAAGCTGTCTTGCGTACATGTTACATCTGTGACTGATCATAGACCCCAACATAGATTGTGTGGGGATCCAGGGACATAGGACATTCCAACCATGACAAAGATTGATGTTATACTCCCACACCTGGTCATCACACCTCCTTTTCTTCTTGAACACCAGCTTCTGAGGGGGCAGTGCCGGTGGGGGCGGGGGCGGCGGTGGAGGTGGAGGGGGTGGAGGGGCACAGGGGGGCGGGGGAGGAGGTGGTACCCCGCAGGCCGAACCAGGAACAGCCTTTTTCGCATCTTGAACCAACGTTTCCTACAAAAGAAGATAATGGTATGACTGCACAGTGTCAATGTCACATTAACATCCCCATCCTGGCCACTTCGTAGGCTTCTCACACTACTTGAGTTAGGACTCAACATATGTAACACATGTTATATTTGGGATCACACTTTCTCAGGAAAGTACAAATTCTAGTACTTTTGAGTCCCATCCAGGATTCGAGCCCACATTTTCAGAGTAAGGCACTCAATCACAAGCACACAAATACTGTGACTAAACCCTCTCGGCCACCGAGGCCTCCACAAACATGGTCGGACTATACCACAAAGTGGTCGCACCTAAGGGTGTGCGGTACACCGGATACATTGTGTGCAAATCTTCAGCAATACATATTATTACGATACGTTTGTAAATGTAGCAATATATTGGGGCAAATAGAAATAAGTATATTGATGTGTTTCTAATCGATATGGAGATGGAAAAAAGCATCTTTCTGATACAAGTTGCCTCTGACGATCTTTTTATCAATTAGCGTGTACACATCGCGAATATCAAGCTCCTCACAGCTATAGCCCGTTGGCGGAGCTCTCTAAACTATAACGACGGTGTCACGTGCTGGGAAGGAGCTTGCTACCATGTGACCGTATTATCTCCCTTGATTGATCGTTGCTGGGATACAAAATGGCAAATGGTTTCGACATCACAAAGTGGTCGCACCACGCCACAAAGTGGTCGCAGCACGCCACAAAGAGGTCGCTCCACGCCACAAAGCAATCACACCATGCCATAAAGCGGTCGCAACATGCCACAAAGCGGTCGACCACCAAGAAGTGATCGCGCCACACCACAAAGCTGTGAATTACTGAAAATGATGTAAACTTACCAGTGAAAAACATTCCAGACACAGTTAAGGCTGATATTAACCACTCACAATAATTTCATGGCGCAACACTTTCCCGATTTACAATGACAGATGAGAGATTCACAAAACAAATTTGTTTGAGATAATTGTGATTGAGCCATGACTGTACGTGCCTTCTCTTGTCGGACTGTACGAAGCTCGTGCTCCAGCTCCTGGACGCGCTGCAGCGTCTCCTGTAGTTGCTGCTGCATCATCCACACGCTCCGCACTCTCCCCACACCCTGCAAACAGTTGACTGTTGTCACAGGCCTCCAGCCAATGCATTGAGACATCGACTATGTACTCACATGTTATCATTCTCATTGCGTTACCTCCCTTGAACGCACGCACGGTGGCTTGCCCACCAATTCCAACACATTTCTCCTGCTTTTGATATTTTTTCGCCACCGCGTTACGCATGGAAGTTGGCAAAAAACATCGAGTTACAGTGCGTTATAGTGTTCCTTAAGCATTTGCAATTCTAATGATATAAGTTTTGTTACAAAATTCATCACATGAAGTTTGCAGTTGCCAATTGAAATTACCCTACTGTTTTGCATAATTTTTTTAACATTTTCCCTTTCTAAGTCAAGATTACTGTTAAAAAAATATCAAAAGTACATTAATACAAACATAATGAATGTATGTTACTATTTGTGTCTTTCTTCATGCAAGTTATTACTTTTTTGACAACAAGAAAGGGAAAAAATGTAAAAACAGGCCAAACTGAATTTCTACACAGAGTTATGGGAATCGAATTGCCGCGTGGGGAAGAGGCCACCCTAACTGGGGTACCGAGAGATTTCTTTGGGTATCCAAAAGGGGTGAAAGAATACATTGGTGCACAGGTGAATCATGAGTTTTCATGTGATGATACGATACACAATATTTTTTTCTGTATCGATACAAGACGATACACTTGCTGAAATAAATTACTTACTACTCGATTAATAACCCCGGGCGTTTTTGTCAGTCAGATATAGCAAATTGTGTTGTAATTAGCATTTCAAGTTCACTACTAAAAATAGCCGCTACGACCATGTGTCGGCAGCAGCTTTTCCTTTTGAACCTGCTCTGAAATATTTTTGTCAAGACGTTTCCATGTGATTTGTTGTAAATATGCGTATCGCAATACGCATCATGGCCTACGTATCATGATATTTATCGTGAACTTGCTGCATTGTTTCACCCCTAGTGAGTGAGTATGGTTTTACGACGCTTTTAGCAATATTCCAGCAATATCACGGCGGGGGACACCAGAAATGGGCTTCACATTGTACCCATGTCGGGAATCGAACCCGGGTCTTCGGCGTGACGAGCGAACGCTTTAACCACTAGGCTACCCGACCGCCCCGTTTCACCCCTAGGATCCATACTATATTTGAAATCACTTGGATCCAGTTTATTGTGTATCTTTAAACTAATAAGCAGTCATTTTCTAAAATAATTCTGTGTTACATGCTGATATGAAATGTCCGTATTATACAGATATATCATCTTTGGGACTGTACTAGAAACATAGAAACAAATAAAAGTTAGTCTCGTTTTTTCACACTACAGTCAATATCATTCCAGCAAAATACATCTGTAAATAATTGCGTGAGGGAGTATGCTTTTAGCTAAACTCCAACAATATCATGGCAGGGAACACCAGAAATGGGCTTTTTGTGTGGTACCCATGAGGGGACTCAAACCCGGCCTTCAGCATGATGAGCGAATGCTTTAACCACCAGGCTACCCCATCACCCCGTATATAGTTGAGTATTGACTAGACAAGTCAGTGATTGTTATTATGTACACTGAACAAAAAATAAGGGATCATGAACTTTTTGTGGATGTTTTATTGTAGTATGAGCACACAATTTCATAAAAAAACAAAAACAATCATGATCCCCAACCTTTTTTGTTTAGTATATAACATATATATAACGTCCCATGTCACTGAGGTACAGGGATACAATGACATGCAACCAACCAAATAAGTCTCCAAGTTTTACCATGTTTACCATCGTATCCATAAAGTTGCCTCTAAGATGAGCATAGGTTACCATGGTTACTGGGAACTTATTGCAGAGGGGAATCAATATGAAGGAAAATGTCTTACATTTCTTACTGTGTGAAAGCTTTGCTGACACCAGTCGAAAACGTTGTTGATGCCAGTTGTTATGGTAACCAGACTACTATAACCTGAAATGTGATCCATGATAGCAGTTGGTGACAGCTGGTTGCCAAGCCAACCAAGTGGAGTAGTAGTGTTAGGACCGTCTCTTTTCTGCCTGCAAAATAGATTGAGTGATTTGTTTACATTAAAGTACACTTACATAATGTACGCTAACTACTCATTTACTTCGCTGTGCTGAACAAACTTGTGCCTATTTCCAGTCTAGGTGGAGATCCTTATAGGTGCCATGTTAGTGTCAAGTGAAAGTCTGTTTTGGGGACTTTAGGTTCATACAGAGAATTTCACCAGTGTCTTTTGATATCAAATATATCAACACTTGTAAATAAAAGTTTAACATGTTTAAACTAATAAAACTATTAACTGAATAAAAATCAAACTATAATTACTTGGCCCGCTAGTCAATAAAAGTTTAAAACTGGTGTTGATTTATTTGATATTAAATTTAAAGACATGAGGCTGAGACTGTATTTATCATCAAAGAGGTTAACACTGTCAGGAACTGACAAGGTAAGGATGTCATCTGTGGGATGACTCCACGCCCTGCTACACTTACAAGCTTTTTACTAGCCTGTCAAACCCTAAATGATTAAATGAAAAGTGAGTGTAGCCATTACTTTAGATCTAGAGCGGTCCTGCATGAAAAAAATCCGATCGACAAATGGTCGACAACATGATCAACGCTGCGCGCTGTTTGGATACAATAACCATAGGATCATCCAAGGCGACAACCACCCAATCACCAGATGATCACAGGCTAATACTAGGTATATTTGTGGGGCGATCTGCCAGCTGTTTTTCATCAAATATACAGATTTGACCAGATTGCATTTGTCAAATAGTTTGGTAAAACACGTACGCAAAGAATAACAACTGAAGTAATGGATAGAAATCTGCATTACCTAGTTTCGAAATTCTTTTTCATGAGGGCTGATATCAGATCATCATAGTCTGTCACAAACGTTAACTCCCCTGTCGCGGGCGGGCCATTTGAAGTAACCGGGCGTATGTCAACAGGAAGTAACTTTGAAGATGGCGCTTGCCTTACGACCAATGAAACGCGAGGTTTTATTTTCCGAACCAATCACAAAACGTTTTACATGATCCGGAAGTAAACGTTTCAAGATGGGCTGTGTCTATTCGCACGATATCGTGTACATAAGGAGAACATATTCCACAATGTACACGATATCGTGTAAATAACAGACAATTTCTCCCAATATGCACGATATCGTGTAAATAAGAGACAATTTCTCGTAATATGCACGATATCGTGTAAATAACAGACAATTTCTCACAATATGCACGACATCGTGTAAATAACAGACAATTTCTCACAATATGCACGACATCGTGTAAATAACAGAACTTTAACACGATATATCGTGTAAATAATGAAACATTTACCATAATATGCACGAAATCGTGGGAATAACAGCACACGATACTCACACGTTATGTTATCACGGGTTATATTATTTGATCTATCAGCAGCGATTACGAACATTATATACAAGTACATGTTATCATTGGGTGTGTGTGTGTGTGTGTGTGTGGGGGGGGGGGGGGGGGGGGGGGGTCAGATTATGATGAAATGATATTTTTGTGAGTTATTTTGCAAAATGACTAAGAACACTGCTGCATTATTTTTGTAAAGAAGTTTTGTTATTTCATGCTACTGTATATTTTAGTTGTTTTGGATGTGCGTTTTATGTTCTTTTAGCAAAGAACATTCTTGATCATCTTTATAACAAAGAAATGTTTTCAGTATGGGATCTTAGTATGTCAGGTTTAAGGTTGAGTAAGACTGCATACTTACCCTACATCTAAGGGCTGTCTCAAATATTTAGAAAAGAATGTTAAGGCATCTTATGGAGCCAAGAAACTGAACTTTTAAATTGAAATTAAAATGACAGTGCGACAGTGCATATTATTCAATATTTACAATATTCACACATGTACAAAAATTACAAATTATAATACTATTAATTTGTACATGTGTGAATATTGTAATTATTGAATAATATGCAATTGTAAGAAAACTTGCATAAATAATTATTAATTTGTCCATATGATATTAATAATAAATCTGTACAATCCACCTCAGTTGTCTTTCGTCTTTAGGTCAAGATCTGTATAGCATAATGTTCAAATGACTCTGTAAGATCACCTCTGTGGTGTAGATACAGCACCTGTCTGCCTGGAGGGTGTATGGTCGGTGGTTTGACCCTTTAGCTGAGCCGTAAAAGATGTTACTAGCGGTTACCCCGCCCTGCGCTCGGGTTAACGATATAAAGCAAGGAATGGCTGTCTGAGTCAGTAAAAGGTTTCTTGGATGCAATGTTAAGCCCCATTTCAACTCTATTCACCTAAAACATAAGGTACATTCTGAAGCCCCAATATTAATGACCAGGCTTCATGAATTCTATATCTTACCATGATGACATGGAGTAATGCTTTCACTCTGAAACCCCACCCCCGTATCAGCCTTTGGGCTAATGGAACAGCATGTTATTAATTCGTGAATTTGGTTTAATACTTTGAACAATATTTCAGTCATATCACGTCTAGTAAGAGTCATGTGGGAGTATAGTATTTGGCCGTCAAACATCCACGCATACTAAAGTTTTACATGGTTGTTCAAATGCAAACCAATCATATGAAAATAGATGCTTGCTTCAGATTGCTTGCTCTTTTACAGAAAGTTCGTAAATTTTGTTTTACCAGAAGGTTCGTAGTATTTTAAGAGGGGAAATTATGTTTTGATTTTAATTGGTTCAACAGAACTAAACTATAAATATTCTGATTCGTTAAACTAGTATCTCATTTGGTAAAGTATGTTTACTCCAAATATTTATGATCTCTATATTCACAACATGTCTGTACGACTGCAAAACTTTTAACTAACTGTGATACCTGGTTTATCTACCTCAGCAAACCTTTATATCTTCACAGATGTTTAGAGAAGAAATTACAATTTTAACAACAAGTAAATAATTTTTATTATCTTTGATATATTTCTTTAGAAACGATGTCCGCACTATAGTGTAGAGTTAACATTTTGGGGAGTAATGTACAATGTAGCGTAGCGCAACTGAGACCGGGAACCAGGTTTGTGTGTAGGAAATTAATAGACCAATCAGCGTTCGCGTCTCACGGCGGAGAAGGGGGTTTTCCAGTCGTGTATATAGCACGGCATTGGTCCACTATTTGCACGATATCGTGTATATAGACGGTCCGTTCAAGATGGAGAAAAGTGTCGAGACTTTGGAGGCTATGGTATGAAAATAACTGTACAATGTGTGCAGATCACCTTTATTCTGACGTACATAGAATAATGTAAATAAAGAATATTACATTCTGAAGCGGCAGTTACCAATAAGACTGCAGAATGCATAAAAAATTGTCCACGGACATGATTTCATCAACATGATCACTGTACGACATTCTAGATCTATAACCATAACTGTTTACATCGTCGCAATTTCATTCACTAATCACTGTCATGCAATACAGCCCAAGGCAGGCACGAGCTGATGATCTTACGGAAATAGTTGCAATCTTGCTATTCTGCGCCACACGCCCAAAGCTAATCTAAGCCTAGAACCATAGAAACTTTGTGAGATACGAAGTATAGACAGTGGCAATGTATCGCACAACCCTGTATCTCCGCAAGCTGAGATTGGTCTAGGCACACAGTAATAGTTAACTGAAACAACTGCTTTACGTTTTCTTGAACTAGCTAAGTTTGTTACAGCTGAGACCTGCGATGGAGTCCTACAGTCAAGTCATGTCTTGACTGGAGGGCCCTATCGCAGCTCTCAGCAAGGTTTGTCATGATTTGTCTCAGTGTTGATTTTGTTTTAGTTCCAGAAAACAGAGTCGGATCTTGACTTGTCTCAGTGTTGATTTTGTTTTAGTTTCAGAAAACAGAGTCGGATCTTGACTACCTGTCAAGAAAGCTTGACTTTGAGTTTGACAATTCCGGTAATGCAGAGGTAACTATATAGTAAAACATGTAACTAAACAATTTGCTTCATCACCTTTTACCTCTCACTACTATTTATTGCCTGATTTTCATATTTACACAGCCTAATTTTTCAGTAATTATGTCATATGCAGTTTTTTAAAATCAATGAGAGCTCAGTGGCACCAGGCTCCTGACATTCAAAGAGATAGTGGTTTCAACTTGTTCAAGATCCTTTTTCCTTGATTGCCCAGGTGACAGTCATAAACTGAGATTTAAAATATTGCTGCAGTGTGAAATTAAGGGGGGTCCTTAATGTTCTGTTTGTTTGTTTTGTTTGTTGTTTAACGCCGCACTCAGCAATATTCCAGCTATATGACGGCGGTCATCGAGTCTGGACCAGACAATCCAGTGATTGATATTAATATTGAGCATCAATCCACACAATTGGGATACAATGAGTGAATGACATGCGTTAACCAAGTCAGCGAGGTCCGGGTCCTTAATGTCTTCTATGGTATTTGAATCTTGGAAGTCATAAATCTTTAACTTTTAACATTAGGGTTATGTCTTATGACGAGGACAAATTCAAACATTATTTCAAACCCTGTTCCTCTGAGTATGGTGTAACGGTAGTCAGTCAGATATGGTAATAAGATATTTTAATAGCGCTTTATTGTTTCTTCTCATTAGTGGTGAGTATTGTTTTTAGCTCCCTTGGGGTATGGAGCGAGTACCATGCTTTCCGGTGAGAAAGGCCTATGTTTATCCGCATTCCGTCAAGATGTTTTACGGATTTCAGGGAATTGGACAACTGTGAGTTCTCTATATTAGAAATTCTGTAAAATAAACATCATGAATACTCAGTTTCTCCGTTCAGAGTTTTCGAAAACATTATAGTAAAACATCGATTGAGTGGAAAGAACATGTACCGGGAGTAAGTTGAATTTCAATAGTGTCAGCATGGATTTGAATATTGACAATATGAACAATTGTGATGATGATTTAAGTAGCCATGCGGCTAAACCTACACAAGAATACACTGATTATAAGATTGAACTAAGTGTCAAACGTTTCAAATCTGCACTATCTGCATGGCGTCGGCAGGCGAGTAGTGTCATGAAGTTAGTATCTGACAGTGTGGACATATCTGAACTGCGTTCAATTCGTGATTGTTTAGAAGACCGTATGGCAATTGTGTGTAGTGAACATGGGAAACTAACTGAATTCAATTATTCTGATGAACATTTGCTTGCAAAATTTGACGAGATTGAATCAAAACATTTTGATTTAATTAAATCAGTGAGTGATAAACTGTGTGAACTTGAATTTGGTTTGAGTGAACGGAAATTCGCTGACAGCAAATCATGTAAATCTGTAAAGACTAAGTCATCAAAAATGTCGAATGTGTCAAAACTGTATGAGACCAAAATTGCTGCTACAGCCGAAGCTGCAGCATTAAAGACTAAATTGAAATTTCTTGAAGTTGAAAATCAAAAGAGAGCTGAGCTTGAAAGGTGTCAAACTGAAATGAAATTATCTATGGCTATGGCACAATTAGAAGCTGTAGAGAAATTAGAAAGTGAAGTGAATGAGGATTCTGTTCATTCTCCTGCTTTATGTCCGGATGGAAAAAACATGTTTGTACAAGATTATATTGACTCAGTTCAGGTTGAGAATCTGACACAAAGTGAAATTAAAGCTCCACATGAGTCATGTGTCAAAAGTGACATTGTGAATGTAGACATAGAATCTGTTCCGATTAAAAACGTTCAAGACTCGCAAAATGTTCTGTTCAGTCAAAACTCTCAGAATGAAGATTTAATCAAGGCCTTAGCAAATCAGATAAACATTGGGCGTTTACCTCCACCAGAGCCAGGAACTTTCTCTGGGGACCCTCTAATGTACCCAAAATGGAAAAGTGCATTCAATGTCCTCATAGGGAGGCGAGGTATTCCTGAAGGTGAAAAAATCTATTATTTGCAACGCTATCTTTGTGGACAAGCCAAAGAGGCTGTCGAGGGATTTTTTCTTTTATCGTCAGAGAATGCATTCAGTGAGGCGATCAAATTGCTTGATGAACGTTTTGGAAACCATTTCATTATTGGAGGTGCGTTTCGTGACCGTCTAGATTCATGGCCGAAACTACCAGCAAGGGATGGTAATGCATTACGTAAGTTTGCAGACTTTCTCAGACAGTGTGAAACAGCAATGTCAAGCGTCAGATCACTAGACATCCTAAATGATGAACGTGAAAATTGTAAGCTTATTCAGAAGCTACCTGATTGGCTCCTCAATTGTTGGAGACGTAAAGTCGCCGAATATAGGGAACAGACATCAGAATTTCCTAAATTCTCAAGATTTGTGACTTTCATTGCTAAGGAAGCAGAAATAATGTGTGATCCTGTCACTTCTTTTCCCTTGGAATTGAAACATGAGAACAAGCCCCGGAACACTCGTGCATCATCACAGCATCAGACAGCTAAACGACCACATGGTACAGTGTTTGACATAAATCTGAGAGATTCATCTCTAAGCACTGTCACAGGTAAATTAGACAAGAAATCAAATGTGAAATTTGAAACTTGCCTTTTCTGTAAAGGTCAACACAAGCTTGATGATTGTGAGACATTGTTGTCTAAACCTTTGATTGAAAGAAAACAGTTCTTCATAGACCGTCAAGTGTGCTTTGGATGTCTCAAGCCAGGACATCTTTCAAAGTTTTGTCAGAACAGGCTAACATGTAAGACATGCTCACGTCTTCATGCTACTATGTTACATGGTGATCTCCCTAAACCTTCTGAGGGGACAAAGCTGAAAGGTATTAGCCATCTCAGTAATGGAAGCAATTCTGTGGATAAGTGCTCCATGATTTTACCTGTGTGGGTATCTCATTCCGATAATCCGTCAAATGAACTGTTGACATATGCATTGCTGGATACCCAATCCGATGCGACTTTTGTGTTAAAAGACTTGTGCAACAAACTCGGTGTCACAGGTACACCAGTTAATCTGTTGCTCTCTACAATGACTTCAGCAAATGCACATGTCAGAAGCGAGAAGGTCAGAGGTCTTCAAGTTCGAGGAATGGACAATGTGTTCAGGATTGCTCTCCCTGGAACATATTCAAGGGATGTGATACCAGCCAATAAGGACCATATTCCGACCCCCGACAAAGTGCAAGCATGGTCACACTTACGACAACTGTGTGATGTATTGAAGCCAACATATGATGTTGACATCGGTCTATTGATAGGCTATAATTGCCCACAAGCACTCATACCTCGTGAGGTTATCGCACCAGTTCAGGAAGGTCAGCCATTTGGACAACGTACCGACCTGGGATGGGGTGTTGTCGGTATCATTGATCAATCACAAATTGAGAACTCAGATTCAATTGGCATCAGTCACAGAGTCCGCCGTCCGAAGTTCTTCTATCTCAAAGAACATCTGTGAAGAAGCAGTTTGTTCCAAATGATGTGATCCGCATGTTCTCTGTAGACTTTAATGAGAATGACTACAATGCTTCCAACATCTCTCATGATGATAGGATATTCATGAAACAGATGGAAGAAGGCATTCATGTAGCAGAAGGACATTACGAAATGCCGCTTCCGTTCAAGGTTGGAACTCCAGAGCTTCCAGATAACAAGAGGATGGCATTTCAAAGACTTGATGGACTAAAATCACGTTTCCGTAGAAATCCAAAGTTCCACAGTGACTACTCCGCCTTTATAAATGCCATGATTAAAGGTGGACATGCAGAGGAAGTTCCTGTAGGTGAATTACATGCATGTAACAGATGGTATATTCCGCATCATGGGCTATATCACCCTAAGAAGCCAAATAAAATCAGAGTCGTTTTCGACTGTAGTGCCAGATATAATGGCAAGTGCTTAAATGACTGTCTCCTGAAAGGACCCGACTTAACCAATAATCTGTTAGGCGTGCTCTGCAGATTTAGGCTTGAACCTGTTGCGTTGATGTGTGATGTGAAACAAATGTTTCACCAGTTCTTTGTCAACAAGGAACACAGGGACTATCTAAGGTTCCTTTGGTGGAGAAATGGGAACGTTGAGGATCAAGTTGTCGAATTCCAAAAGAAAGTGCATCTTTTCGGTGCTGTGTCAAGCCCAGGCTGTGCCAACTTTGCACTAAAGCAAACAGTGACAGACCATGTGACAGACATAAGTTCAGCCACAGCACAGTTCATCAAGAACGACTTCTATGTCGACGACGGATTGTGTTCTGTTCCTACACCCTGTGATGCAGTGACACTCATTAATGAAAGCAGAAGTGTATGTGCAATGAAAGGCCTTCATTTGCATAAGTTCATCTCCAACTCTAAGGAGGTCATGTCAGCTATACCGCCTGAGGATCATGTAAGTGGTGTTCAGGACATTGAGATTGATTGTGACGCCTTGCCAACAGAAAGAGCTTTAGGAGTACAGTGGTGTGCAGAATCAGACTGTTTCATGTTTCAGATACAACTTGACAGTCACCAGGACAAAGTTGTCACAAGACGCACAATATTGTCAATGGTTAGTTCCATCTTTGATCCAATTGGACTACTAGCCCCAGTTATTCTCCGAGGTAAAGCGATTCTTCAGGAGTTGTGTAAGGATCAGTATGATTGGGACACTCCGGTATCCTCAAGGCATGGAATGCTTGGAAAACAGACTTGAAATCACTTCATGATTTGAGAATTCCAAGATGTGTGAAACCACATGACTTTGGGAATGTTGTTGCAACAGAATTGCATCACTTCTCTGACGCAAGTATGACCGGCTATGGACAGTGCTCCTACCTCCGATTAATGAATGAACATGAACAGGTACATTGTTCTCTGATAATGGGTAAGGCACGGGTTGCGCCAATCAAATCCGTCACAATTCCGAGATTGGAGCTAACCGCTGCACTTACATCAGTCAAAGTTGGACAATTCCTCACTCATGAATTAGATCTCGGCGAAGTGCAAAACTTCTACTGGACTGACAGTCGAATAGTGTTGGGCTACATCTCAAATGACTCTCGCAGATTTCATGTGTACGTAGCCAACCGTATCCAACAGATCAGAGACAAAACGTCACCTAAACAGTGGCATCATGTAAGTTCATCTGACAACCCTGCTGATTGTGCATCCAAAGGGTTAACCGTCAACAAACTGTTGACATCCAAGTGGTTAAGTGGCCCAGACTTCCTTTGGGAAAAGGAGATTCCATCACCAAACTCTACTTCCGAATTCTTCGTGGCAGCTGATGACCCTGAAATGAAAGGAAAGAAATCAGTGGTACTTGCCTGTGAGACAGATGAGAACAGCCCTCCGTACTCAATACTTCAGCGCTTGGAATATTTCTCCGACTGGTTCCGTGCCAAGCGTGCTGTTGCTCACTGTCTGAATCTGAAACGAAAGCTTCGGAAAAGTAAACAAAGAGATTGTGAATCAGTAGCTGGTTCAGTGCAAGTCAAAGATATTGAACAAGCAGAGATTGTAATCTTAAAGTTGGTTCAGGAAGAAGCATTCTGCGAAGAACTGAAAGTGCTTCAGTCCTTGAATCAAACAGGAACATTCAAGAACGAGAAGGCAACTGTACGCAACACATTTCTGAAATCAGTCAGTGCCTTGTATCGTCTGGATCCATTCCTGGACAGCAATGGGATCTTACATGCTGGAGGACGGTTAAAACGTGCTCAGATTAGTGAAAACCTTAAGCACCCTGTTATCTTGCCAAAGAAGCACCACATAACAACACTTGTTATCCACCATTGCCATGAACAAGTTCATCATCAGGGAAAAGGTCTAACACTCAATCAGATCAGATCAAGTGGATACTGGATCATAGGTTGTAGCTCAGGTGTGTCCTACTACATTTTGAAATGTGTTTCGTGTAGGAAACTCAGGAGCAAGGCTCAAGTCCAGAAGATGTCAAATCTTCCCATTGATAGGACAGAAGAAGCTCCTCCATTTTCATTCTGTGCAGTAGACTGTTTCGGACCCTTTTATATAAAGGAAGGGAGAAAGGAGTTAAAGCGATTCGGTGTTCTGTTCACATGCCTGTGTTGCCGAGCAATACACATAGAGACTGTTGTGTCAATGAGTACAGACTCATTTATCAACGCCCTAAGACGCTTTATGTCAGTGCGTGGTCCGATCCGTCAACTACGATGCGATCAAGGTACTAACTTTGTAGGGGCAAAGAACGAACTGTATGGTGTTCTAACAAATCTTGATCAAAGAAAATTGAGACAATTCCTATTGCAGAGAGACTGTGATTTCTTTGAGTTCAAGTTTAACCCACCATGTGCAAGCCATATGGGTGGTGTCTGGGAGAGGCAGATTAGAACTGCAAGAAACGTCATATCTGCTTTACTTCATGACTTTGGATCACAGTTGGATGATGAATCCCTCCGTACTGTGATGTGTGAAACTGCTGCCATTGTAAACAGCAGACCCTTGACTGTTGACACTCTGTGTGATCCGTCCTCTCCAGAACCCCTGACACCAAATAACCTTCTTACCATGAAGTCTAAGGTAATCCTTCCGCCACCTGGAACATTCATTAAGGAGGACATGTATTCCAGGAAGCGATGGCGCAGAGTTCAATACATTGCTAATGAATTCTGGAGTCGTGGGAGGAAAGAGTATCTGCAAAGTCTTCAGTTGCGGCAGAAGTGGACTGCCCCATGTAGAAATCTTTCTGTAAACGACATCGTGATAATCAAGGACGACAATATTCCAAGGAATCATTGGAAACTTGGACGCATCTCAGAAGTGTACCTTAGTGAAGATGGTCTAGTCAGAACTGTGAAAGTAGACTGTGGTGAATCAAACTTTGTGAGACCAGTTCACAAACTTGTGCTTCTCTTAGAAAAAGAGAACTAACTGTGTTCAAATGTGTGTAAATTCATTTGCAGTATGGTGTTCCGAACTGTGCTAAATTCATTTTCGGGTTCATTGAACTTTGTGAGTGATGATTCCGAATCCGATCCGAACTATTGAACTTTGTGAGTGATGATTCCGAATCCGATCCGAACTATTGAACTTTGTGAGTGATGATTCCGAATCTGATCCGAACTATAAACTTTATGAGTGATGATTCCGAATCCGATCCGAACTATAAACTTTGTCACATTGATGTGTAATTTCATGTTTATTATTTTGTATGATTATGTGTTTTGCCAAAAAGCATTAACCTTCGTTTATTGTCAGGGTATGACACTTGCCTATCTGCACTTGCAATACTGTATTGTTAGCCAAACCATTGTGTTTATATGTATACCACATCAGCATTTCTCATTGTTTAATGTAAATTAGGTTAATTCTAATTTCGGGGGGAGTGTAACGGTAGTCAGTCAGATATGGTAATAAGATATTTTAATAGCGCTTTATTGTTTCTTCTCATTAGTGGTGAGTATTGTTTTTAGCTCCCTTGGGGTATGGAGCGAGTACCATGCTTTCCGGTGGGAAAGGCCTATGTTTATCCGCATTCCGTCAAGATGTTTTACGGATTTCAGGGAATTGGACAACCGTGAGTTCTCTATATTAGAAATTCTGTAAAATAAACATCATGAATACTCAGTTTCTCCGTTCAGAGTTTTCGAAAACATTATATATGGTGATGATCTTTTTGGAGATTTGACATAGTTTTTTTTAAGCAAATCCTGTATACATATATAATTAACTTAGCTACGGTAATTATTTGAACTATGGGTGTTGTGATAAGCCTACATGTTGGTTCCTATCAGGATACTCAAGTCATAAGATCTGGTTATATTGAGACTGTGATTCATTCAGCGATATATTGTTGCATCCCAACACCTGACGGTATACATTATTTGCTTCCATTTTTTTTCTCAATTTGTATTCATGCAGGTTCCTTGTTTTGCATGATCCCGGTCTACACCATGTACCTAATGCTTCAGGTTTGTGGGGTGGTCGGGTAGCCTAGTGGTTAAACATGTTAAAGCGTTTGCTCATCACGACATGGGTACAATGTGTGAAGCCCATTTCTGGTGTCCCCAGCCGTGATATTGCTGGAATATTGCTAAAAACGGCATAAAACCATGCTCACTCATTCATGTTTTTATGTTCTTCTGTGCAGGCCAACCCAGTCCGCTTGATGCAGAAGGTGTCTGAGATCAAGAAGGAATATGGCAACATTGTTCAGGAGGCGGTCGCCATACAGGAGACGCAGAAGGTTGGTGCTGTACAGCAAAGTGAATTGATCTTTAACAGGGCTCCTGATAAAGGCTGTATCGCTGTATGCATGGGTAAAAATATGCACAATACAGTGGGGGATAATCATGATAATTTAGAAAATGTATCAGATTTGTTTCACTGCATGTACGTACAGGCTAACATTCATAAATATATGTATTTCCCCTAAAATACATTCTGATTTCTAGTGGCGTATTTTCTTGAGTATAGTGCACGCATTTCCCCCCAGAAACAGCTGTGTAAGGGGGATGCTGGTTATATACTCCATAATGAGTTTGGATTTTTTCCCCAACGCAAAGATATTACGGTGAGCATGTAACACGCATATCAACAAATCCGTACTGAAGCACGCAAATTAATCATGTAATTACAGTGTCTGATTACAATAAGTGTTCATTGTATATCTGGACTTATGTGACTTATAATACTTGATTTTCCCCAAAAAAAATTCTGAATATTCTGGAGGGAAGTGCGCATTATACAACCGACATACATGTACAATGAAAACAGTATTATTTATTTTTTATTTACCTGTTTACACGAGAGTAGCAATGCTGCAGTGCATATCCAAGATGAAATACAAGATTAATCCATTAAATTCCATACAGTACTCTAAGTGTAGATTTGCCAGTACTCCTATATTGAAATAAAGAGTATGTACTCCTGATGCTGAAAACTCATCTGGATCCGTGCTTTTACCATCAGTGTCTGCATGTTTTAAAAAAGGAATGTCACGTTTTTAACACCCCCTTCAGTGTGTGTGTGGAGGGTGGGAGTGGGGGGTCACTGGTCAGTATACACATGATTTCAATACTACAAAGGTATTTTAGGGGTGGGGGAGGGCGGAATAACATGCTTTGATCCTTCATTTTAACTATATTATCATGGTAATACTGGTGATATTATTTGACATTCCACCTTGACTTTTTTTAACCTTACAATCTCTTTGGTCGGCCAGTGGTATCAAATCAACATTAGCACTTCATTTGTCTGTTCGGTTTCAAAAGAATTTTGCAGGTATAGACTCTAAGTGCGAAACCTCTACATGACAAACAAAGTAGGAGTATCTCCTAGTTTAAGCATGAATATAAAATTTTATTTTCATTGTTTCTTTTTGGTTTTGAATTAGGCTCCTTTTAAAATTGTACTTGCGACTGAAATACTGCTTTTGCTAACAGGAAAGCCAGGAGTCTTATTAGCAGACAGACAGTTGCTTCCAGGTTGATTTCGGCAGTACCAATGGTTGCCAAATTACATGGCATTTCCGTTATGCCATTTCAAGGGCAGTCGTACGCCATGAATAGTGATCAATGGTTGCAGTCATGAATGTGTTTTTTTGATGATGTATTAGCAAGGTGTTTGAATATTGTAATTACTAATTTGATACCCCTGGCAGGAGGCAATGGACTATTTCCGGTCTCAGCTGCTGTCGGCCTGTCAGATGCTCCAGAAACTCCAGACAGACACGGAAGCTGAGGTAAGGCTTTGCACAAATGTTGACGTTTATTGACTTCCAAGTTGACCAATGTGTTTACGTGCTTAAATCATTTGCCAATAACTCTTTCGACATTTCGAGACAAGCCAACAAAAAGGTTGCTTTGCATACACAGTTGGAAGCCTTTGTTGAATGTGTGGTGAATGGATAAAGACTATAATTGAAAGTTGAAGGAAATAGCTGAAGCTTGTTGGTAGAACTGTGGCTCTGAACAGGTTGGTACTTCTGTTCAGAGTTCATCAAATATGAAGGCGCTATTTCCATACTAGCATCAATCTTACAGTCAATTGGGGCGGTCAGGTAGCCTAGTGGATAAAGCGTTCGCTCGTCATGCCGAAGACCCGGGTTCGATTCCCGACATGGGTACAATGTGTGAAGCCCATTTCTGGTGTCCCCCGCCGTGATATTGCTGGAATATTGCTAAAAGCGGCGTAAAATCAAACTCACTCACTCACTCACTCACTCACTTACAGTCAATTCTAGCCTCAGCTGTTTCTTTTTAAACATGCCATTAAGATCTACCCCTGGCCTTCTGATGGCACTCTGACACTTGCACTCTGACACTGACGCTCTACACAAGGCACTGTTGTGATGTGTTGTTGCAGTCGGAGAGTGTGGAGAAGCCGGCAGCCCTGTGTCAGCTGGAGCAGCTCCTGGGTGTCGACACAAGCTCCATCACTCAAACAGCTTCAGCAGCTGCAGCAGAAACACCGCATCAGCAGGACCAGGGAGGGGGGGATATCTCTGCATCAACACAAGTTGCCGAGGCCAAGAGTGAAGCTCCAGGTAACCATGGTAACCAGAGTATACGTTTATAACGATGATACAAATATAATTCTTTGATCCTAGGTTCAGCGGAATACATGTTACCTTGATGAAGACATCGCATTGTTAATGACTACATTAGGCTAAAATAAAATAATAGTCTTGGTTCTCAGGCACTGCCAGCATCATCATACAGCCCGCAGCATGTTTTGCTTTTATTTCCATTTTCCCAAAAGATTTAAAAAATCCTAATACTTAAAAACAATGCGATCCAATATAGCACACAGTTACTTCCCTTTACATGCAGACTGCTTTTGAGCATCTCGTGTTATGGTCATGGCAGCAATAGGAGTTTGTATGCTTGTTTATGTAGGGAGGCCCTTTCAAGAGGCATTGCCTGAGAAACAATGCTTTTATTTTGTTAAGCCTTACATGAAAAAGGAACTTTCGAATTCCCGATTGGGAATTTTTACTGAGGATTGCTGCAGATTTGGGGCCAGATATCAACCTCTGAGCAGGTCTAGATACATCCTTGATTATGATTGTGATTTGAAGAATTATGTCTCATGTTTGCCCTGAATGAATCTGATTGGTTGCATGTTGTTGATTGTTTGTTGTAACCATGGTGACGTATGGATCACATGACGTGTGGATCTAGTCAAGTGTTTCTAGTAAAGTGTTTGAAACACAATACTTCAACAACTATCAATTATGGACTGTTACAATCACATTGTCACAGGAGAAATGATCCTTCATCTATGGTAGTCACTATGGTTTGTTTTTCCCGTACGATTCCGCATTGGAATTGATCACCAGCTACCCATGTTTGTTGTACAAGGTGACGTGATAGATCGGATTGTCAGGCTCCATGACTTGGTTGATTGCGTGTAGCTTGGATCGTTGCTCATGATATCAATCACTGGATTGTCAGCTCCATGACTTGGTTGATTGCGTGTAGCTTGCATCGTTGCTCATGATATCAATCACTGGATTGTCAGGCTCCATGACTTGGTTGATTGCGTGTAGCTTGGATCGTTGCTCATGATATCAATCACTGGATTGTCAGCTCCATGACTTGGTTGATTGCGTGTAGCTTGCATCGTTGCTCATGATATCAATCACTGGATTGTCAGGCTCCATGACTTGGTTGATTGCGTGTAGCTTGGATCGTTGCTCATGATATCAATCACTGGATTGTCTGGCTCAGATACAATTATTTACATGTCGCTGTCATACAGCTGGAATATTGCTGAGTGAGACATTAAACCAACAAACAATGTTGTTGTATTGCAGGAGGCGAGCCCCAGGTGTCGCCGAGCTCTCGGAGGGAGGGTTGTACAGAGATGGTGGAAGTGTCACAGGCAGAGTTTGAGTCCGTGTCGGCACTGGTCAGGGGCAGAGTCAAGCTGGCCGACGTCAATACTGTACGTGCAGCGGTAGAAACTAACAGTTTTAGTACACTGGTCCTGTTGATGATAACATATAGCAAAACCCTTAAAATGGCAAATTTCTACTGGTCCTTATGATACCTTGACTATTGGGCAGTTTGGCAAGGACTACAGGATTAGTGCCAATTTCTAACGCTTACATGTTGTGTAGTATTTACATCTTACTGATGCAATATGATATACAATATACTGTCTGCCCATTATGATGCAGCCCTTGTCCTCTGGACCCAGACTGCTGGAGTATTGTTGACTCTAGTCCTCTGGACCCAGACTGCTGGAGTATTGTTGACTCTAGTCCTCTGGACCCAGACTGCTGGAGTATTGTTGACTCTAGTTCTCTGGACCCAGACTGCTGGAGTATTGTTGACTCTAGTCCTCTGGACCCAGACTGCTGGAGTATTGTTGACTCTAGTTCTCTGGACCCAGACTGCTGGAGTATTGTTGACTCTAGTTCTCTGGACCCAGACTGCTGGAGTATTGTTGACTCTAGTCCTCTGGACCCAGACTGCTGGACTATTGTTGACTCTAGTTCTCTGGACCCAGACTGCTGGACTATTGTTGACTCTAGACCTCTGGACCCAGACTGCTGGAGTATTGTTGACTCTAGTCCTCTGGACCCAGACTGCTGGAGTATTGTTGACTCTAGTTCTCTGGACCCAGACTGCTGGAGTATTGTTGACTCTAGTCCTCTGGACCCAGACTGCTGGACTATTGTTGACTCTAGTTCTCTGGACCCAGACTGCTGGACTATTGTTGACTCTAGACCTCTGGACCCAGACTGCTGGAGTATTGTTGACTCTAGTCCTCTGGACCCAGACTGCTGGAGTATTGTTGACTCTAGTCCTCTGGACCCAGACTGCTGGAGTATTGTTGACTCTAGCTCTCTGGACCCAGACTGCTGGAGTATTGTTGACTCTAGTTCTCTGGACCCAGACTGCTGGAGTATTGTTGACTCTAGACCTCTGGACCCAGACTGCTGGAGTATTGTTGACTCTAGTTCTCTGGACCCAGACTGCTGGAGTATTGTTGACTCTAGACCTCTGGACCCAGACTGCTGGAGTATTGTTGACTCTAGTCCTCTGGACCCAGACTGCTGGAGTATTGTTGACTCTAGTTCTCTGGACCCAGACTGCTGGAGTATTGTTGACTCTAGACCTCTGGACCCAGACTGCTGGAGTATTGTTGACTCTAGTTCTCTGGACCCAGACTGCTGGAGTATTGTTGACTCTAGTCCTCTGGACCCAGACTGCCCGAGTATTGTTGACTCTAGTTCTCTGGACCCAGACTGCTGGAGTATTGTTGACTCTAGTTCTCTGGACCCAGACTGCCCGAGTATTGTTGACTCTAGTCCTCTGGACCCAGACTGCTGGAGTATTGTTGACTCTAGACCTCTGGACCCAGACTGCCCGAGTATTGTTGACTCTAGTCCTCTGGACCCAGACTGCTGGAGTATTGTTGACTCTAGTTCTCTGGACCCAGACTGCTGGAGTATTGTTGACTCTAGTTCTCTGGACCCAGACTGCTGGAGTATTGTTGACTCTAGTCCTCTGGACCCAGACTGCTGGAGTATTGTTGACTCTAGTCCTCTGGACCCAGACTGCTGGAGTATTGTTGACTCTAGTCCTCTGGACCCAGACTGCTGGAGTATTGTTGACTCTAGACCTCTGGACCCAGACTGCTGGAGTATTGTTGACTCTAGTCCTCTGGACCCAGACTGCTGGAGTATTGTTGACTCTAGTCCTCTGGACCCAGACTGCTGGAGTATTGTTGACTCTAGTCCTCTGGACCCAGACTGCTGGAGTATTGTTGACTCTAGTTCTCTGGACCCAGACTGCTGGAGTATTGTTGACTCTAGTTCTCTGGACCCAGACTGCTGGAGTATTGTTGACTCTAGTCCTCTGGACCCAGACTGCTGGAGTATTGTTGACTCTAGTTCTCTGGACCCAGACTGCTGGAGTATTGTTGACTCTAGTCCTCTGGACCCACACTGCTGGAGTATTGTTGACTCTAGACCTCTGGACCCAGACTGCTGGAGTATTGTTGACTCTAGTCCTCTGGACCCAGACTGCTGGAGTATTGTTGACTCTAGTTCTCTGGACCCAGACTGCTGGAGTATTGTTGACTCTAGTCCTCTGGACCCAGACTGCTGGAGTATTGTTGACTCTAGTCCTCTGGACCCAGACTGCTGGAGTATTGTTGACTCTAGTCCTCTGGACCCAGACTGCTGGAGTATTGTTGACTCTAGTTCTCTGGACCCAGACTGCTGGAGTATTGTTGACTCTAGTCCTCTGGACCCAGACTGCTGGAGTATTGTTGACTCTAGTTCTCTGGACCCAGACTGCTGGAGTATTGTTGACTCTAGTCCTCTAGACCCAGACTGCTGGAGTATTGTTGACTCTAGACCTCTGGACCCAGACTGCTGGACTATTGGTGACTCTAGTTCTCTGGACCCAGACTGCTGGAGTATTGTTGACTCTAGTTCTCTGGACCCAGACTGCTGGAGTATTGTTGACTCTAGTCCTCTAGACCCAGACTGCTGGACTATTGGTGACTCTAGTTCTCTGGACCCAGACTGCTGGAGTATTGTTGACTCTAGTTCTCTGGACCCAGACTGCTGGAGTATTGTTGACTCTAGACCTCTGGACCCAGACTGCCCGAGTATTGTTGACTCTAGTTCTCTGGACCCACACTGCTGGAGTATTGTTGACTCTAGACCTCTGGACCCAGACTGCCCGAGTATTGTTGACTCTAGTTCTCTGGACCCACACTGCCCGAGTATTGTTGACTCTAGTCCTCTGGACCCAGACTGCTGGAGTATTGTTGACTCTAGTCCTCTGGACCCAGACTGCTGGAGTATTGTTGACTCTAGACCTCTGGACCCAGACTGCTGGAGTATTGTTGACTCTAGTCCTCTGGACCCAGACTGCTGGAGTATTGTTGACTCTAGTTCTCTGGACCCAGACTGCTGGAGTATTGTTGACTCTAGTCCTCTGGACCCAGACTGCCCGAGTATTGTTGACTCTAGTCCACTGGACCCAGACTGCTGGAGTATTGTTGACTCTAGACCTCTGGACTAGTCTTAAAATAATGTAATTCTAAGGCTGATGATGTTCATACAGGAAATGTGTTAGAGATGACACATGGTATGAAATGTCATTACACCTCAGTTAGTCTGGAATTGTTCCCCGTTTTCATCCGGGTATCCTTCCATAGTACCCTCATAGTTACGAGCTATGCTATGTACACCCAGAGTCAAACTTGTATTCAAAATGAGGTACAGTCGAACAATGTCATCTTCTGTTTTGAGCTGTACCCAAAGAAGCTTTGTAAACCAAAGTGAGTCCAAGGGTACAAAACATTGTTTTACGGAAAAAAAAGAGAGAAAAAAGAAATTTGCTGCACTGATTTGGGATAATTACTTCCATCAAAATTTCGGTTCCCCTAATCAGTATATCATGGCAGTGGGTAAGTCTCCCCGTGAAGGTCGGTTAGATGCTTGTCGTGAGGAGAGGCTTGCTCACTTGGTTGATGCATGTCATCGTATCCAACTTGAGCAGATCGATGCTCATGATGGCAATCGCTGCATCACCAGGACTCGATTATTTTACAAAATGCTGTCAATTATCTGGAATATTCCTGAATGAAGCATTAAAAAAACAAACAAACAAACAAACAAGCAATGAAGATGTCCCAGAGGCCAGAAGTGGTTATACTAAATACAGGAGATCTTTGTTTTCAGACATACAGCGTGCTGTGGAGACACTTTAAGGATGAAGGCAACAGGTGAACATCATTACAGAAATAATTAATCTTGACGAGAGGGTCCGACCCCTGAGGTGGTCTGACTGGTCTAAGGCCACATGTTATACTGAAAGTATCTTTAAAGTTAACGAAGCCTTTAGACCGTCCTCTGTTTCACTACAGTAACCTAACTGCGAACCGTGAAATGTTCGTAGCAGACGCCATCTTGTTTTCTAGCAGACGAGTCATTAGTCATCACATGACCGTCCTCTGTTTCACTACAGTAACCTAGCTGCGAACCGTGATATGTTCGTACCAGACGCCATCTTGTTTTCTAGCAGACGAGTCAATAGTCATCACATGACCGTCCTCTGTTTCACTACAGTAACCTAGCTGCGAACCGTGATATGTTCGTACCAGACGCCATCTTGTTTTTTAGCAGACGAGTCAATAGTCATCACATGACAGGTCAAAACTGATCATGTGACAAGTCAGTATTCGAGGTCAGTGTCAGTCAAGTGATTTTAGGGTCTACATTGAAATCAATTGTTTTATCACAGACGGGTTAACAAATGGAATTGCAAGATTCTAACAGAGGTACAACAATTATCATCAACAGTGTGGTTGATGTGACTGGGGCCCAGCTTGTTATGGGGGACAGCCTTGATGGAGATTGGACAGTATGTCTAAAGATAGTACACTGCAATTATTTGTAAATGTATTTGTCATTGATTTTTTTTTTTCATTTGGCCATTTAAAATTGCAATTCGTCATTAATTTGATCATTTATCAACTTTCGCTATGAACATGCTTTGCAATTTTAACTTTCATCAACTTGCGTTGACATGAAAAGATATGAGGGTGAGATTGTCCTTCTCACTGTTACGGGGCGGTCGGGTAGCATAGTGGTTAAAGCGTTCACTCGTCACGCCAAAGATCCAGGTTTGATTCCTGACATGGGTACAATGTGTGAAGCCCATTTCTGGTGTCCCCCGCCATGATATTGCTGGAATATTGGTGAAAGCGGCATAAAACCACACTCACTCACTCACTCACTCACACACTCTCTCACTGTTACAGCGCGCCCCTGAATGCGCCCGACATGCACAAGATGGGGCTTCGCGTCACTGGAGCCACTGGGGAGGCCAAGTTGAAGGTTTGTGCTGATTCAAAGATGATGCATAGATTGTCAGCCGAGTGTGTGTTGATGTTCCTGATGTTTGGTAGTTACAAACAGAAACACATTAGGTGAGGTGAGGTGAAATTGGGTACAACGTCGCGTCCAAGATTATTGCACTTATATAGCGACGTGCATACCCTGTGTGTATGTGTGTGTGTGTATGGCTGCTTGTACTAGTCCAGACTGATGCCGATTTATAGTGCTAGCTCACTGAGATACCATGCCGCAGTTTAACATGAATACCCCACTCAGACACAGCATACTGACTCCGAGCCGACCAGTCCTCGTTTTAGCCCCTAATGCTGAGCGCCAGACAGGGTAACAACAAGTACCATCTTTTAACGTCAATTGGTATGACGCGGCCGGGGACCGAACCCCGGACCTTCCACTCTCCGGGCGGACGCTCTACCACTAGACCACGGAGGCGGTTAGAAACACATGAGGGAATCAGTCTCTCTATCATATGATGCCATTCTCAAAATATTCATTTTAAAATTATTTTCATTCACTAAAGTACCTTTAGATCCTGCACAGAAATACACCATCTGAGCTCACTCACTCATTCACTCACTCACTCACTCATTCACTCACTCACTCACTCATTCACTCACACACTCACTCACTCAAACTTGGGGAAAACTCTTATCGATTGCTTGGCCAATATTTTTTTAGCAAGAAGCGTCAGTGACCTGTTTTGCATGCACACATATATAAAAGATAGCTTGATAATAAATCGCAAAGAACAAAGAAGAACAAAGGGTGGTTTATTTCACGATATAGCATTGTCCTACCCTGTCAACATTTCTGGAGATTCGAACATGCCCTTGCAGCTTGATGAGTCATATATTGGACAGCATTATGTTTGAGAGGGAAGTATTTTATTAACATCCTTAGAGCTGTACATATATTTTGAAGTCTTATATGAGACATAAACGACTCATGGTTGTTGTGTATTGTACAATAAAACATAGCAGGGAGAATAAACCTGCGCTCCTCATGGTTTATTCTCCCTGCAGTGTTTTATTGTACGATAATCAACGACCATGAGTCGAATATAAGATAATGACACTGAGTTTATCAGACTGGCTTATCACGCCCATAACTCTAACACAAATTAGCGTGATTAGGCCACACTCACTTCTGACAAAGTAGACACAATTTATGGATAACAACTTCTTTATTACTATAAAGGCGACATTTTGGTATAGATCCTTTTACCGTTGTCAAGCAAGACATAAATTGTGTCTACTTTGTCATCCGTCAACTTCTAAGTAATGCCTATCAAACAATTCACACTCACATCTGCTGTTTCCTGATTGGCTGTTAACAAAGTGGGTGGATCTTGTGTGGCAATACTGCCGTGAATGGTGTGACTGTTTCCGTGTTGTCATCTACAGATCTTTGTGTTGTGGTTAGTTGAGCAGTTAGTGGAGCTGTTATTGTCAACTTATTTATTTATCAGAATAGTGGATTTACTTTTATGCTTCCAAAAGTGCAGAAACAATTACCTCAACTCTTAAGGGGCACATAACTGTGTACTTTCGCTTATTGTCCTCATGAAATGATGAATGTTGATTGTTTTTTATGGTTAAAATTTCCTCAGTTTTGGCACATATTTTAACAAATTTTGAACCAGAATGAAGCAAATGTGGCCTTAAGTTCGCATGTTATGATGATATATTTGAATTCCTGTCATCAAGTTCCTTTTTTTGTAGGTTCTGCGAGCCTTGAAGTTACTCAACATGACAAGGAAAGGGGAAGTAACTCTAGTGTGATTCCTTCAGGGATGACCTGCCTGGTTCATTAACACTGCCTGTACTATCTAGTACTTGGAGATAGTGCTGTATTTTCTTCAGGGTTTTGCTGGTTTAGCTAGCTTCAGCAATTGCTGAATAATTCATATTCTGGTGGAAAATACTGAAGAGATCAGTGGATGGGTATTTGGTTGAGTGAGTGAGTGTGTATGGTTTTATGCTGCTTTTAGCAATATTCCAGCAATATCACAGCGGGTGACACCAGAAATTGGCATCACACATTGTACCCGGGTCTTCAGCATGACAAGAAGACCAGTAAAGATCCAGGGTAGAACGGGTGTACAGGAAACATTGCTTACCCTAACAGGCGACCATCACTGTCACAAGAGGCAAATCGTGTGGTCAGGTTCGCTGACTTGGTTGATGCATGTCATCAATCCCAATTGCGTGGATCGAGGCTCAAGATCTCAATCACTGTATTGTCTGGTCCAGACTCGATTATTTACAGACAGCCGCCATATAGCTGGAATATTGCTGAGTGCAGTGTTAAACAATACACAAACAAACAGAAATATGACAAGCGAACACTTTAACCACTAGGCTCCTGTAGGGTATGACAGGATTATGTTAATGAGAAAAAATATCCCTCAGAGAGGCATCTCATGTTTTTCTTCTGTCCTGTACTCAAGTTTTATGAATATACACAAACCACGCAAGTGACTGTATAAGCCACCATGTTGTTTTTTACGGATGAGAAGTTCCCTGTTTTGGGGTTATTTTGTTTATTTTTGAGTGGAGTGCTATTGACATAATTTCAACATTCATCAAGAACTTTTATTAGTCATATGCATTTACAATGATGGGGAAGTCATGCACCATGCTCAAAATCACATAATGTTAATTAATAAAATAGTGCATCGGAAAATACAGTAAGGGGCCTGCTTGCGCTGTAGTTTTCTTTCCTGTGCCACAAAGTTACTTGATTGATTTATCACTGTTTATCACAATTTAATTTCAGCATTACAATCAATAAATCTCTAATTTGCCACCATCTTTGTTTATGCCGGGTGGTGGGGTAGCCAAGTGGTTAAAGCGTTTGCTGGTCACGCGGAAGACCCGGGTTCGATTCCCGACATGGGTACCATGTGTGAAGCCCATTTCTGGTGTCCCCCGCCGTGATATTGCTGGAATATTGCCAAAAGCTGCGTAAAATCATACTCGCTCACTCACTTTGTTTATACCATATTCATTTGTACAAAATCTTTTGGGGTTTTTATTCCTCCCAAAACGTACTGATTACGAATAATTTGATCTGGTTATATCATGTTTTTGCTCAGTGCTGTCCCTACCTAATATGGAATGTAGGTCAGGTGATACCGAGTGTTCTTGTGTACATTGCGCACATTGCACACTTGAGTACAAATGCTTTTTGAGCATTGTGCAGTCGAAAACTACAGTGTTTGACTTCAGGAGAATAAACATCTAGGACACGACAAACTTGGTGATGAAAATGAGAAATTTGCGATAAAATATTTCTGTTATGCTGGACATTGTTTAACCGCCGTCATAAAGCTGGAATATTGCTGAGTGTGGTGTTAAACAACAAACCAAACCAACATTGTTTAATATGCAGAGATTAAAATCACTGTAACTTCTTTCAGTGGCATTTAGAAGTTGGTGTGATGAAGTAAGACGAGTTCTATGGATGAACAACTTCTTTATTACAATTAGTGCGACGTTTCGGTGTAGATCCTAACACCTTTATCAAGCAAGTGTAGGTGTTAGGATCTACACCGAAACGTCGCACTAATTGTAATAAAGAAGTTGTTCATCCATAGAACTCGTCTTACTAAAATCACTGTGTGTATTAGTCATGTAAACTAAATGCAGAAATAGAAATCAGCTGTACACACATTATCTCCCAATCTACCGGTGATTCATTTAAAAATTATGCAATAATATCACTTATAAGAATCTTGCTACAGTGAACGGATCAATTCGTGTCTGAAACTAATTTACAAGGACTAATATATTCCATATCGTGTTATATTAGTTGGAGCTTTAACTATATATTTTTTGTGATAAAAACAATAAGTGTAGCATGACAGCCGATTGCTATATCCGGATATGTTGTACGTATGGAACAATTTGTCCAGTCACTATTCAGGCTTCCTGCCTTTGGCGACTACAATTGTGAAAATGGTATGGTTACATATAATAGTCAAACGACATCAAATATGACTTTTAACGATTTAAAGTATGGCATTATGATATATATGGATCCAAACTCTGTCAACTATTGTTCGCGTCAAGGCCTCAATAGCGATACTATGATAGTTGGTGCTGTAAATAACGCTGAGTTGGTGCAATCTAATTGTACAAACATTTTTAATAAAATTGTTAAAATTTAATAAAAGCATAAGTCCAGATGCACAACAAACACGTTATTACCAGCTAGTGTAACAGCTGGATTCAACTGCACAGAATCAGTACAGATTTGTTAATATTCTGTTTCGAATGAATGACGCAGATGTGTATTGTGGGAATACAATGAATTCTGCTGGCTGCATTGATCACCCCATTGATAAGTTGGTCCATGGTATCATAAAGGGTGTTATCGCGAAGTATGACGAAGTATGACTGTGGTTTCGTTTGTAAGTTGGCACTGCGATATTTGTAAATGAAATAACACGTTATTGTTTGAAGTTCAAGATTAAGATTATTAAGGTTAAAATGTTTTACTCAGCTACAATCCTAAGTTATGTTCAATTGATGACTGATTGCAATTGGCAATGGCCCCTGTAGTGAAATTATTGGCACATACATGCAAATAAGGGCCCATAAAATTTGTGAACAAGGGGCCACAGGTGCGGGAAGAAAATGTTCCTCCCCATCACTGTATTATACTCTCTGTTATATCTGATATCTACTCAGGAATCGTGTGTCTGGAATATTTGGAATATTGCCGAGTTTGGCAGTGCGTTAAACAACAAACAAATATCAGACAATGAGGTGGCCCAGTTGTTGAAAGTTCCGAGTTCGATACCCCACACGGTACAGTGTGTGAACCTGGGTCTGGTGTCACCAACCTCCATGGGGATTCCAGTAAAAAAAAGTCCCTAGCAATCTTGTGGTAAGAGTCGAGTAAATGGATCAGGATTTCATCCTCGCTTACTTGGTTGATTGTGTGTCATAACCTATAGCTATCTGTTTCACTGAAACTTTGCTAACCATCATTATGGCTGTGAGGTGCCGCAATGCGCTGTGCAGAGTTGTGTCCCTTCTGCACGCCAGAAACCGGTTTCAAATACTGGCTCACCCCGATTATGTTTCTAGGTTTGTCAGCACCATACTCGTGTCAGCACTAGTGGTGGGACGATACGTCGATGAATCGGTGGATCACGATAATTAATTCCGATACAAGTATCAATCACAGTCTCACACTAAGTAAAACTTACATCGATTCATACCTTAAATGATTACTTTAACAGCTGTTTCACCGAACACTAATTACTAGTGAAAAAGTAAATATTTTCATCTATTGCGCCATACTTGACACTGCTAACTGTAAATCGTCAGTGTGCCAGGTATTTGACTATCCTGTCTATGAAAAAGATGGCTTACACACAACAGATAAGAGTATCAGATCGTGAACAGCCTATCATGACAGGTATCAGATCGCACAGTTACTGTATGGGCCCAGCCCTAGTCTGCACCATACCCTGTGGGTTTCACCAAAGTGATAAACGCATCACTTCATGGCTTGCCTCCCATTTCACGCTGACAACGGCCGGACTGTTCACAGCAGAATTGAACCCAACTCACTAACTCTTTTGACATCAGATGTGATGATGATTTTGAAATCATTTTGTTCGATAGTCTGGTTGTATACTGTTTACTTGCTGATCTATATACACTGTCAAGATTTGTGTACATGTTTATTGTATGTATTTTGTTTTGTAATGAGGATTTGTTGATTTGTGTAAATAAATGTAAATATAATTTCTCTGATATTGTTTTTGTTTATGGTTGGTATATTTCCTACTGCAGTAGCCAGACGAACCGTGAAGATCCGGGGTAGAATAAGCCTTCAGCAACCCATGCTTACCGTAAAAGGCGACTATGCTTTTCGTAAGAGGCTACTGATGGGATTGGGCTCGCTGACTTGGTCGATGGATGTCAAGGTATCCCAATTGCCTGGATCGATGCTCATGATGTCAATCACTGGATCGTCTGGTCCAGACTCAATTATTTACTCTGACCGCCGTAATATATATATATATATATATATATATATATATATATATATATATATATATATATATATGTTCAAAGTATATGTACAGCTTCTTGAAGGATGTTAATAAAATATTCACTCTTCAAAAATATTGATCTGTATTTATATAATGATGATTCTGGTTAATGATAAACCATGAGGGTAGCAGCCCCAAGTGGTTTGTTCTTCCTGCAGTGTTTTTTTATATAAACAAAGACCACGAGTCGTTTATTTCTTATATGAGATATCAACATTATGTACAGCTTCTTTAAGGATGTTGATAAAATACTTACCAAAATTTCAATAATGATGACTCCCTGAATAGAATCCTACCTCGGAAATGGCGGTCAAGTCCAATTTAACAAAAGGAGGGTTAAGTTTATTATTTCCCGTGTACTCTCACAATCCCCACGTCGATCATCTATATCTTTTCTCCCAATACCGATTGTCATCTCTCTCTCTCTCTCTCTGGAGATGTCAGAACAAGTAAATAAGTCACGAGGAGAGCATTTCAGTGTTCTGGAATGTGTACGAAGTTAAGCGAGTGGTTAAACATTACTTTCTACATTATCATCATGGCGTGCAGACTGACCTGCCTGAAGCCTGCAGTAATCCGGTCTTGATATTAACCCCTTTGGTGAAACTCACGGACGTGAAACATCCGGTTAACCGGGATTTGAACCTATTATCATGCACATCCTCTTGCCTTCATTTGTATATCGAATAAAAGGGGGATATGTCAAATCACTTGAAACGGAGATCATAAGAGTAGGTTAAAGTCTGAAATACAGTAAACTACGGTTATAACGAACACGCTTATAACGAACTGACGGATATAACGAACTAACTTTTTTGTCCCGACTACTTGCTGTAGTTATGCTGTGTATATGCTTATAACGAACTACGGTTATAACGAACTAAAATTAGTAGTCCCTTTGAGTTCGTTATAACCGTACTTTACTGTAGCTGATAATGGACTTTATATTAATAGCACAAAAGCTCCAAGAATTTGCTTGACCTTTTACAATCTCACAAAAGGAGCAGGTTCAGCTCTGTCAAAGCATTTGATTTCTTTTCGACTTTGTACACCGCTCTCCCACATGACATAATGTGGATCTTTGCTGATACTATCAAATCACTCACTTGCTTGATAAAGGTGTTAGGATCTACACCGAAACGTCGCACTAATTGTAATAAAGAAGTTGTTTATCCATAGAACTCGTCTTACTTCATCTCAATTCACAGTTGAAAAAGGACATTTTCACGGGACCATATATGGTCCCGTGGCACTAAGAGGGTGTGAAAAGTAAGGGACCATATATGGACCCGTGGCACCAAGAGGCTGACAATCACCAGGATGCTGTCACTATTTGCTGTGATTCATGAACACATGCCCATTATGTAATCGGAGGTTTCTTTTGATTCTGAAATGATTTCTCGCTTCTTCTTTTTTATAACAAAAACAGCACAACCCCAAGTCTATATTCATATACACCTCTGAATCTAAGTTGCTGAGGAATATCTCCACGTGTCTGTCTCTATGTGGGTGTGTCATCTGTTACCCTATAGTTCCCCATGGTCTCAAGGCCAGCATTGACTTTTAAAAACAATATTAACACACGGGGATACCCGGGACATGAAACATATATTGACATTTATTATTGAATATTTCAAATACACTAACAAACGTCATGCTTTATTCCGATATCGATGGAACGCTTGATCCGTCCAAATGGGAATTCATACATTCAGTGAGTGAGTTAGTATGGTGTTACGCCGCTTTCAGCAATATTCCGTCAGGGGACACCAGAAATGGGCTTCACACATTGTACCAATGTGAGGACTCGAACTCGAGTCTTCGGCGTGAAGAGCAAACGCTTTAACCACTAGGTGAGGCGGTCAGGTAGCCTAGCGGTTAAAGCGTTCGCCGAAGACCCGGGTGCGATTCCCGACATGAGTACAATGTGTGAAGTCCATTTCTGGTGTCCCCCGCCGTGATATTGCTGGAATATTGCTAAAAGCGGCGTAAAATCATACTCACTCATTTGACCACAAGTTGACCCCACCGCCCCTGTATATATTCAGTTAGTTGTGCACAATCTGTTGCACAGCCCATAGTGTAAAACTGAAAGGCGGGCATTCTGTTGAGTCTTTGTGACTGGGTGGCGTCAATGTTTCAACTGTCGATATGGTGGTGATTGTTTGGCCACGTCGAGAAGTGAGATGTATTGTAAGGACCTTGGGGCATAGCAGTCATGGCGCAAGAGTAAGTGAGTAAGTTGGGTTTAACGCCGCTTTTAACAATATTCCAGTTATATCGCGGCGTGTCAGCTAAATGTGGGAGGAAAGCCCGAAGTGATGCAGGTCTCAGACGTTTACCACTTCGTTGAAACCCACGAGCACGGGTATGGTGCTGACAAACCTAGAAACATAATCGGGGCGAACCGGGATTCGAACCCACAATCAAAGGTTTCTGGCGTAGCCAAGGCACACAACTCTGCACAGCGAATCGCGGCGCCTACGACAACTGGGCCACCTGTGCCCCCCTCATAACGCAAGAAAACCCAAGTGATAACATTGCGTGATAACAACGTTTGTTTGTTTGTTTGTTTGTTGTTTATGTCACACTCAGGAATATTACAGCTATATGACGTCGCTCTGAAAATAATCGAGTCTGGACCAGACAATCTAGTTATTGACATCATGAGCATCGACCTACGCAATTGGAATACGATGACATGCATCAGCCAAGTCAGCGAGCCTGACCACCCAATCCCGTTAGTCTCCTTTCACGACAAGTATGGGTTTGTATAGGGCTGTCCGTAATCATATTTAACGTGGCTTGATACTTATTGATACGGATACTGCTAAATAAACCTTAGAAATGTCATTGTGAACACCGCATGTTGGTGGCAGTTGGCGTTCCGCGTACAAGGGAAGAATCAATGTCCACAGAACAGAGGCGTGCGTTCAAGTATGGAGCTTAAAGGGATACGCTCAATGTTTGAAAGTCTTGAAATATGGATAAGTATTTTCTTCGCGGATTCAAAATTTGCTTATTATGGACTATAATTTCGACTGGTCAGACTTGTGATCGGCGCAATTCTCGCTGTGCGAAGCGACACCTACCGGAGGATCGAAGAATGAGAAGCCGAATATCATGACAATGGTATACAATAAAAGGCTGCAGCGAACCTGACATGCGTTGTGTTGTTGATTAATGCATGTTCGATTTGAAAGGGTGGAGATATCTATCAACATCATACAATAAAAAACTAGGTAAACGAACATGTGATGCCAAACTTGATCAATAGATATGTGAAATTCAGATAAATTACCACTAATTATCACATGATTACTTACTACTTAAATTGTATTTTCTGTTCTGCTAAGCATTGTTTTATATGCAGAAATAAAGCGCCGTTATATAGCTGGGATATTGCTGAGTGCGGCGTTAAACAACAAACCAACCAACGTAAACTAAACCGGAAATAGCAATCAGCTGTATACACATTTTCTACCAACCTACTATTGATTCGGTTAAAAAATACACAATAAATATAACTTATAACTGACGCAGATGTATTTGCAAGAAAGAAGGTTATAGTAAGCATCATCCACTCAAATGCTAGGATTAAGGGGATAAAGACAATGGGATATTGCTGAGTGCGGCGTTAAACAACAAACCAACCAACGTAAACTAAACCGGAAATAGCAATCAGCTGTATACACATTTTCTACCAACCTACTATTGATTCGGTTAAAAAATACACAATAAATATAACTTATAACTGACGCAGATGTATTTGCAAGAAAGAAGGTTATAGTAAGCATCATCCACTCAAATGCTAGGATTAAGGGGATAAAGACAATGTCAACGATGTTTTCCAGTTGGCCTCTCGCAGGACCGAAGCCCAGTTTGTTGGGTCGCTGGTGCTAATTGGCTTCTGGCGTTTACCGGGCTAATTTAAAAGGCGCTGGCGAGAAAACTGAAAGTTGGAATGTTGTTTCCCCCTAAATCGTTGCCGTGGCTATCCTGGTCTACACGTAGCCTTCAACTGACCCACGAACAAACCCTCCTACCCTGATACTGTTTGTTTAAACAAATAAGTTTGTTTAGCAATAGAAACACGTTGAAACACGTTGATATCATTAAAAATGAAATGCAGAGATTATTCTCATTAACTCGAATTGCTGAAATAAAGTCGATCGAAAATATGCTCACCGTCAAAAGAAACGCGAATCATAGAAACATATAGTGATCATTATGTATGAACGTTAAGAAGAGATGTTTCCAGTGTATACCACGTAATGACAACACTAACTATCAGTCAAGTGTTACCAAGGTGTCTTTATTGTTATCACGATATGCTGCACGTGATTTCCAAACTTTACACACTAATCATGCACGAGACAAATGGTCTATCTCGAGCTATGACGTCACATGTGATGCGTTCATGAGCATCGGTTCATACAACATACCAGTATGTTCGTTTGTACATCAAACCAATCTAATATCTCTTGAATATGAGTAGTATATATAGAGTCATATATAAACCAACATTTATGGTATTCGCGTTTCTTTTGTCGATGAGTATATATCGAGACACTCGTCGTTCGAAACAATCAGAATGTCGACTCTATAGCTGCATCACATGACCAGTTCGTGACGTTCGAACAAACGTAGTTTCACTGTTTGGACGATATGTGCATTACTTTATCGTTTGTTGGGGGTAGAATAGCACTTCAGCAATTAACCCATGCTTGCCGTAAAAATGCTTGTCGTAAGAGGCGACTTACGGGATCGGGTGGTCAGGCTCACTGACTTGGTTGATGCATGTCATCGTATCCCAATTGGATGAATCGATGCTCATGACGTCAATTACTGGATTGTCGATTATTTACAGACCGGCGTCATATAGCTGGAATATTGCTGAGTGCAGCTTGAAACAACAAACAAATTATCGTTTGTTGAATTCAGTTGATTAAGTATTCAAGCTACCATGACCATACATATCAAGTTCTCTTAGTTTGTATTTGGCTCCAGGTATTTCCGCTAGAGCTCGGCCACAGCTGTCATGTGGGTTACAGGAAACGTCAATCAAAATCGCGGGTCGTGTTGGATGACTGATAGTATCGACTTGAATGTCGAATTCGGCTTCAGATGAATATGCCTATCAACTTGAATTTCGTTTTCTCTTACAGATAAGACCGCCTCCGTAGTCTAGTGGACAGCGCGTCTGTCTGGAGAGCTGGAGATCGGGGTTCCCTAGCCGCGTCATACAAAAGACGCCAAAAGATTTACTTTTAGTAGCCTCATGGTATCTCAATGGGCTTGCACTATATAATCGACATTAGCCCGGTCTAGTACAAGATAAGACACACAAGACGGAAGGATGGATGCCCAGGTGATGCTCTGTGGTGTGGTGTGGTGTGGTATATACTCTAGACTCCAACTTGAACGACTATGGCTATGTGTATGTGAACAAAATATACGAGAACAATAGTTCCATGAAAAATACATTTATTGGTGTAGATAGTTTAATGTATAAATATCAAAAATACCTTTGTGTATTTGACCTCATATCGTTACAGTCACCCAAAGTTGGAACCAGTACGAACAGTGTCAAATATTGACTGACAAGTAACAGGCATTATCGGGCCCAGGTGAGACATTGACTCGCCCACAGGCTGATACACAGGAACCAGGATATGTAGGCTTCAAAACCAAAAGCCTAGCATAACCCCCTCCTCCCACTCACTCAAACCCCCACCCCCGCCATATCGCCATGTGGGTATCAGACATCTGAGACCTGCATCACAGTGGTTTTTCCTCCCACATATATCTGACTCACATATATGCCCCCCCCCAAAAAAAAAACGCCAACGCAACTGTCGCTATAAAAGCGTTTGTGAATATGTATAAACTTGGAGGGGGAAAATTGAAAGACATTGCATTGCTCTGACTTATCCCAAGATCGCGTTAATTCACGCACTTTCAACAAAAAAACAAACGACACACAACCATACGACAACCATACACCAATCATCGCTAGAAGTCAACGCCTCTCGGGAATTGTATATAAATATTAACATGAAGTGTACTATTAAACTGCAAAATCCTTATTCAATAAAATAAAATATATAAATATATATGAATTTAATATATGTATTTTATATAAACATGAAGAAAAAGTCACTTCAAAAGTAAATATCACAGTTCAGCCAAACACACCCTGAGATGTTTGATTAGCTGTCAATCATAAGATCCGACTGGAGCTTGAAGTCCACGTGCCTCTCCTTCAACATGGGTGTGAACTTCTCCCTCAGATAGCTAAGCTCCGCCCATTCCGTGTCTGTCAAGCCGCACACCGTCACGTGCAGAACTTGGAGAACTGAAGTAAAACATAATTTGATTGGTTCATACGATATGTAAACTCTGCCATCTTTGTCTATCCTCAAAACGTCCTTCGTCACCAGTCGTCCTTTTCCGTAACCCTTCGGTTTGTCCCGAAATGACACGAGTGGTTACGCATAATGTTTTAATGCCACTTTTTACAGAATTACTGTTCATTCGTCCCATGTCAGCTTTGTAATTAGTGTTTAAGGTCGCCTTTGACAGGATTTCAGTTATACCACGGCGTGTTAGGTTGGTGTGGGGGGAAAGTCCAAAGTGATGCTAGGCGTGGAGGTTTACCACGAACACGGGTATGGTGCCGACAAATCGAGAAACATAATCAGAACACTCTTGGACTCGAACATAAGACTTTAGGATACAAGTTAGTTTCGTTATTTTTGGGGATAACATACCAGCCTAGCAAGGCGTTGATTGTGGCATGAATTGGGTAATGTTGTAAAGCAAAACACGAACTACACCCACACAATAGCGTCTCTAAGAGAGCAACCATTTGATGCGATATTCTAGGGAGGGGGTGTTGATGGGATTAAATAAAAAATAAATTGTCACAGAAACTGCTTGAAATAAAACATAATGCTTTAGACAGTTGGAAAAACAAGGCGTTTTTGAAAGGCTTCTTGTTTTATTCATCTGCAGCTAAAAATATATCTAGTCTCCGAGCAATATTGCTGCTTGCGGCGCTTATAAGGGCAAACGAACCACTGTGAAGCTTAATTCCTGTTCAATGGCATTACGACTCACTCACCCAATCACCCGCGAACGAACGAACGACTTACAGATCTTATTCTCCTGTATCATCTCACAAATGGCCTCGATCGTAAACACGTGCAGCACTGCGTTGATGGTGAGTTCGTGTAGGCACGTGCATCGCGACAGCATGCGCACGAGGATGTCATCCACATACTCCTGGTTGTTGTCAAGTTCCAGTGAAAGGCTCTCTGTAAACAGTGAAAGGCTCTCATTAAACAATGAAACGCTCTCATTAAACGAAAGGCTCTCAGTAAACAGTGAAAGGCTCCCTGTAAACAGTGAAAGGCTCTCATTAAACAGGGAAAGATTCTCTGTAAACAGTGAAAGGCTCTCATTAAACAGTTAAAGGCTCTCTGTAAACAGTGAAAGGCTCTCTGTAACAGTGAAAGACTCTCTGTAAACAGTGAAAGGCTCTCATTAAACAATGAAATGCTCTCATTAACAACGAAAGGCTCTCAGTAAGCAGTGAAAGGCTCCCTGTAAACAGTAAAGGCTCTCATTAAACAGTTAATGGCTGTCCGTAAACAGGGAAAGACTCTCTGGAAACAGTGAAAGGCAAGAGTGAACCTGCAAGAGGTTGCTGGGGACATATTCTAACCCAGGGCTACACGGAACCTGCAAGATGGTTCTGGGGACATATTCTAACCCGGGGCTACACGGAACCTGCAAGACGGTCCTGGGGACATATTCTAACCCAGGGCTACCCGGAACCTGCAAGTGGGTGCTGGGGACATATTCTAACCCAGGGCTATACGGGAACCTGCAAGAGAGTGCTGGGGACATATCTAACCCTTGGCTACACGGAACCTGCAAGAGGGTCCTGGGGACATATTCTAACCCAGGGCTACATGGAGAACCTTTATCATAGCAAGGTGTATAAAGAAACAATTGAATTTACACGGCGGGCTGAAATGATTATAAAAACATATTTTTGTAGCATTCTCTAAAATTTGATTCCAGATAACAAATAATATCGACAAGTCGGAATCATAATACAGTTAAACTTAAATATTAAAACACAAATATAAACGTTGCTCGTCACTCCTATGCAAGCAGTGTGTAACTGGTCTTATTTCGGACTCACGGGTGTCAACTGCTTCCACAGCTGGTTTTGTGCAGCCATAAACAATGTCTACAACTGGAAAGTTTGTTTTTGGCGATACAAAATATGACAAATTGCCCTGTTAGTGTACAATGTCGTTGACACCAATTGCACTTCACAAACACACTTCATATTGTCCCCTAGCTATTTGTTTTCATTCCAAATCGGGGACCAATGAAAGTTTGAGTTTACTGTCGTCCAATCGAAACCTACGAGAAATCGACCACCGCCTGCCCGTCTACTCGTATAGGTAGACAGGAGCCTAGTCAGTCTCAGATGTTTTTACAGACTTACGAAGCGTCTTCTTGTGGTGAACTCCGAGGTAGTTGAGGGTTTCCGACAGATTCCAGTCAGTGTCATCATCATAACCGCTCCACATGTGCATGTCCTGCAAGGGCATTTCGGGTACGAGGATAGGGATGACTTCAGAGGACATTCCGATACTCTCGAACCAGACTTCGACTGTCAAATCTGGGCACGAGGTCTTCAACAGTTTCCACGTCCTTCCAGAAATTCGATGGAAATGTGGGTCTGGCTTGTAAACCTGTAAAAGAAGAACACAGACGTGGAACACTAACATTCAACGCCTTTTCAAGGCTTTTCAAGGCTTAATAAGGCTTTCAACTGTCATTTTCAAGACTTTTCAATAGGTTATTACCCTTAGTCTGTCAATTAAAAACATACTAAAAAGCAGTATGAACATCACAAATTTTCAAATAAGTTTTATTTTTACAACCAATTAAAGTGATAAATAAAGTCTGGCATTAATTAATAAGTAGATGTCATTTTGTACAAGTTAAAGGCTTTCAAGCTATTTTTTGTGATTTTCAAGGTCTTTTAAGCTTGACACTTAAACTTGAGGCTTTTCAAGTGGGACCTTAAATTCACGGCCTTTTCAAACCTGTATGAACCTTGAATATCGAGTGGCACGGGACATTTACTTAGGTGAATAATAATTGAATCAAAACACTGAATGGAGGATCGGCGTAAATATAATATTTATGTTTTTGCTGAAAGTTATTGCTGCGTAAAATGACGCGCAGTTTCACTTGGTGACAGTTTTCGCGTGGGAGGCTTATCTTGTTTTATATGAAGACCTCTTGAATAACAAAATCATTGTCAGTAAAGGGAGACGTGTATGTGAACACTCCATGCATTACCGTGTGTTTCTACAATGTACGTGACACCCTTTTTAAAACAGACAATAGTATATAACAAATTATGTGTCAATGGGGAAATTATACATTTTTACATGCCGTTGTGTGTGCATAAGCTCCTCTATAAGTGATCTATCATCTCTCCACATAATGTCATTGAATAAGCCCAGCGATATTGATAGTTTTCCATATGTATATTTTTTCAATATATATTTTCTTTTTCAGTATCAACTTGATTCAAGTTTAAACATGGATAATAAATGGAAACTAATGTGCATATTTTATTTTTTTAATTTGGTAGTTTATGGAAACGAATACATTTTATTAGGTATATATTTATTGACATTGCACAGAATCTAAACGTCGCCGGCCTGAACACTATCTATCTACCTTGTGATTTCTTTTGCAATAAGAAAATTAGATTTTAGAATGACAAGGATACGAGGATGTGCGAGCTGTGAGCTGGGTCAAAGGGCTTGTACCCCTTCTAATGCATGTTCAACATGGGAACCGAAGACACGAAGCCTGCTAACAGACGCTCCTGTCAGAGTAATGTTTATGTGATTGTTTTCACGTTTTCAGTTGTATTTAATTTTCTTACAAAACGTCGAGTGAGCAGGATGAAGTAGTTTCATGTCAAATTTTGGCTACAGGAAACTCGTGAATTTGAACCCAAGCATCTTCACTCACTACACTTTCTCAGTAATGATTCAAAAGTTGACCCGTGGAGATCCCGGTTAGGATGATATTCAGCAAACCATGCTTGCCGTAAGAGGCGACTAACGGGATCAGGTGGTAAGGCTCGGTGATTTGGTTGATGCATGTCATCGTATCCCACTTGCGTGGATCGATGCTCATGATGTCAAACACTGGATTGTCTGGTCAAGACTTAATGCATGTTTGGTGTAAATATACACACATGAGTAAACGCCTTCACATTCACTCACGTTTGTATATTTACACACGTATGCAAATATACACTCATATGTAAACAGGTGCATGTGAACGGCGTACTGGGCACATAGTTTAACAGTGTGGACGTAAGTCAATCGGTTAGCTGTCACGATAATAATAATAATAATAATCACGAGTCCGCGTCCGACGGATTCTCAATAAAACTGGTTGCTTGTCTTTGAGTCATGTGACCTTTGTTGAGATCGTCTGCACGAGAACTTGTGGTAGTATCCTAAAGGTTCTCCGGAAAAGGACTTTATTCCTATTCATTGACTGATCACGTGGTCAAAGGAGCCTCGATTTGTTGTTTCGAGCCAGGATCCGCTGACTGTCATAGTGAGTCAAAGATTCGCCCCCTTATGATATATTCACTGCGTACACGATATAACGTACTAGCTTACGGTGTGTAAATAATTTCATATGTTCTGAAGCGGTGGGGTAGCCTGGTAGACCAAGGTTCGAATCCCGACATGGGTACAATGTGTGAAGCCCATTCTGGTGTGCCACGCCGTGATATTGCGGGAATATTGCTTAAAGCGGCGTAAAACCATACTCACTCACTCTTATGTTCTCAAATATTATGTACAATGTAATGATGCAAAAAGATATATAGGTGTTCTAACCTTATGCGACTAGAATTAAATGCTTTCGTAATTAAATGTAATGTTTAATTACATTTAATTACGAAAGCATTTAATTAATATGTTCTCAAATATTATGTACAATGTAATGATGCAAAAAGATATATAGGTGTTGTAACCTTATGCGACTAGAAATAAATGCTTTCGTAATTAAATGTTTAATTACCAAAATAGATACAAAATACAACCTGTTCGCTGAAATGTGACTCCGACGAATGTCACCGATGAGGTCGTCGCACGCCTAAATGGAACTTCTATTTTCGAGTACTTTTTCGATGTCGATGTCCAATTTTCGACGTTTATGCACCGCTTTGATATTCAGTTTCAAGGTTTTATAATATCAAACCATGCAAATGCAAGCGGGATAATTTTTTCTGCTTATTTTAAGCTATTCGGTCTATTTTCCAAACAGTGATGCTGTCGCGTGCGGCTTTATCAATAGCGTCAAACAAACATGGCGGATAGGTGTCCGGTCTAATGTATACCAAAAATCGAATACCCAAAGAAAAAACACATACTCAAAGAGAATGATTTCGTGTGAGTTGGTATCCGGTGCAAGTGTACCCTCATTGCTTCTGAAAAAATATCTTGAGCGCTCAACGGCTGCTACAAGCCGGCAAACTTACCTTCGCTCGTCGACTTACCTTTATGAGAATGCGCGTGAGTTTTCCCGCCAGATTTTTGTTAAGAATGTGCAAAATGTCCTCGGAGAGACAGCTGTAGTTGATGGACAGGTCCTGAAGCGCCGTGAAGGTGCCCATAGTGTGTTTGAACCGCTTCACCTGATATATAGCTAGCCGCGTGTGGAAGAAATCTTCAATTCCAAGAGTTTTCAAAACATGACCGGAAGAATTACCCAGGCTCTCCAGCAACTTGCAACCATTCGTCAAAGAACACTGCGCGGAGCTCATGTCAAACTCTTCTATGTGACGTTGCGATCGGAAAAATCGGCAGAGACTCTCTACTACCTTTTCTCGAAGATGATCAAATTTCCAAAATCGGTCAAGTTCCAACCTTTCCAAATCAAACGATACGAGGCGACAATCTTGAATTTTCTGTAGAAAACTGTCGATATTCTTCTGTACGACTTTGGACGTATGGTTAGACGGATGGTTACAGTAAAGGATCAAATGCCGTAAGTATTTCCCATGCTGGTCGGCAAAGCTGCATGCCCTTACTCCACTGATAACCGCGCGGTATCCCCCAAGCTCCACGCTGCGATGCCTCCATAAACACGGTGCATGAAATGCACGGAGCCAGCTGCGGCACACAAGCGCCATATTCGCCCTGTCCTGGTCATGTAAGTGACAATATATTTCTATCAACGCCGTGTCCGGGAGATAAACCCAGGTCGAGGATTCCATTGTGCCCCACAGTGACGATGTAATCCACCTTTTGACGTTCCTAAGCCATTGCAGATCCATCGGCAGTCCCCACAACATGAAGTCCACAATGCCGTTACGTCATACGTTCTTTCTATGACGTCATGACATTATGACGTCACAATATCGGTCGCATGGATGGAAACCAACCCGTTGATTGTTGATTTGCTTAGCAACATTCTGAGTTTCATAATGTTGGAAAACCATATGCGGCTCCGGACAGTTGTCCCCCTGTTGTTATAGAAACGTCCCTTTCGCACTTTTGATCAACATTGCTCCCGCATGATCCGCCCTGCAGATCTTATACACGGCAACAGAGAGTTGCTTTCTGTGATATGTCAGTGTAGATTGTACACATTTGCATAGTACAATAAAGCGGGGTCAGGTACAACCGGACAAAGGACAGAACAAAATCATATTCTTTATTTCTCGCAAAGACAATCGTTACAGCTATAAAAAATACGGCAGGAAAAAAAAACGAAAGCAGGGACCGGGCATCAAGTTTTTGCATTCGTATATTGACCATGGAAATACTATGATAATTATTTACGTCAACACGGGGATATCGCTTTCTAAACTAGGCCGTCAACTGGCTTTGCATACCGCTCAGTGCCACACTGTGATGACGTCGCGGTTTGAAAAACGTATACATGGTATAAAAACGTTTTTATTTCTACACACACAGTTGTAGAGTTCTACATGAGTTGATTGTCTGTCACTCAAACAGTATGTTAAATCAGAAAATCCAAACGGCATATGCACTGCCTGGCCATCGATGAAAGTGCCCGAATTCTAAGTTTGCTATGTATTTCATGTTAACTGTCCCAACACTGAAACACCCGAATGCGGCCAGTTAAGTCTAGCAAGCGCCCTAGCTTGTTGAAATCTAGATCTCAAACAATGCATATCACCGTAGAGTCAGATCCTCACGATGATAAACACTACATTTATGTCAAAGTATACATTCACTGAGAATTGTCCGTGAGTTTAATTTACCGATAAAAAAAACCTTTGAAAATTGACGAAAGTGGTCGTGATCATGCGCAGACTGTTTTAAAGATTATGACAGTTTGGATTTTATATCTTGATGAAAGCCCGCTTACGCCCATATAGACTTCAAGGTCCTTGCTCTTTCATCGGTGATAAAAACATATTATTTTTTCATAAATGCGACTTTAGAATTTTAATGACACTTGATATATACATGTAAATATTAAAACATACGTTTATTTCAAGCAAAATCTACCATTTCATCTCATTCTACAAAAGGAAAAGTTTGAGCAGATAATGATCGTAGATCAATTAAACTAATGGAATTATTTGTCATATTTATGTGTAATTACTATTACTATATTTGATTATCAATTCAACCATTCGAGATTCTAATGTGTATGGCTAAAATATCAAAAATGCTGTTTCAACTTGGACCCATTATGACAGCTTTCTCCATTCCCTTACTCAACTATTTCCACGTTATTGATTTGGAATATCACGCATGAAAAGCACATTTCAACATAATTGTTGTAACTGTTAATCCTTCACCTACATGTACTATATGTACTACAATTGTGTCATGTAATCTACCTGTATCAGGAACAATACGCAGGACAAAATTCATTGTTAAATATACCTACCTACTCCTTACTTAAACAATTAGGGCTGCAACGATACAGGAAGGCCACGATACGATACGCATCTCGATATTCTGGTCATGATACGATACGTATCTCGATACGCTATGATACAAAAACAAGACTTAAAGCATGTCAAGATTGAACCTTTCGTGATTTTGGAACAGACATTATTTTATAATAACAAGACTACTGAAGCTGTTAAGCTTTACAGTGGAACTTTCTCTAACTTTCCTTAAAAACAAGTTCAAACACCAGAAAATAATTCATGTACTTCACCAGTGATACAACTTCAAAAAAAATTTATGCAGTCGAAAAAATTATATCTGAAATTATTTGTTTTATCAGGAATAATATATTACAATATCGTGTTATTTGTTTATCAGGAATAATATATTCCAATATCGTGTTACCTTAGTTGCAGCTTTTACTATATATGTATTTAGAATTATAAAAACCACAAGCGTAGCAATTTGGTACTGGCGATTGCTGTTGCAGGATATTTTACGTATGGAACAATTTGACCAGTCACCGTAGGGACTCCCCGCGCGACAGGTATTGCGATTGCGAAAATGTTATGTTGACATATATTAGCCAAATTGCCACAAATATGACTTTTAACGAGTCAAAGTATGGCATTTTTAATATATCTATCCATTCTTTAGCAACTAAAGTTCGTTTCAATGCGTCAAAAGCGGTAATCTGACCGTGGTTGCTGTATCTCTTCACACACGATTTCACCTAACTTAATGAAAACAATATTAAATGAAATTTTGAATAAAATTAATAAAATATATTACAAACACATGTCCAGATATACAATGAACACGTTTTAATAACAAGATAGTATAATGATGGGATTGAATTGCGTACTTCAGTTCGGTTTTGCTGACTGGTTTTTCCGGTGTTATGTGCTTGCGGTGATCAGCTGATAATGTTTTTTGTGATGGAGAAAAACATCTGTCAGTGTAAAACCTGCAGCTGAGCATATTAAAAATGTTAGTACGTTTTGGGGAGCTTTTTTGCGTTACCGCGCTATAACCAAGTTAGCCGTTTATTGAAAGGCACAATAACGAGGAAACGCTGTTCTTGAGATTTGCCTTCCGTATCGTGGCGCATCGATAAATGGGCCCACGTTTATCGTATCGTGGGTCAAGTATCGCGATGCATCGGAATATCGGTGTATCGTTTCACCCTCATAAACAATATGTTTCAATCAGCCTAACCGCCCGTTGTACTGACCGACAAAACCTCAATATTCTGCTGCGTGTTACTTCAGCACGTACAGAAGGTAACTATTCTGGTCCCGCCTCTGTCTAACTAGTGTTATAATAGTCTTTGATATCAAAGACATTTGGGTGAGATCCTTTAATGAACTACTGACCTTAGCATGCACGCATGCACGCACGCACGCAAACATGTAAATGCCTTCAAATCAATGACATCATTTTTGCATTTGTAATATGGCTGCTGTGGCATATTTCTATATGTAATACTAGACGTTTTTATGCTGACTCCAGGACATTTACCAAGTCCACTATTTTATCCAAGTTTATATAATTATACCAAATTCAATATGATATTAACAATGTTTTTAAGTGTTATTTTAACTGAGTTTCTTTGATTATTACAATAGAAAAAAACTTATTTTGAATTCCACTGGACCTTAACCGTTTTTGTTTCGAAGACGATCATTTTTCAAAACACACAAACGTAAATCAATAATGTTAGTCAATCTTTCATGATTTTTGCACAATGCCAACATTTATTGCGGCATATTGCAGCATATTGGACACTTACTGTCGTATAACAATGGCTGACACGCGCAGTTTATACTGGTTTATTGACGTGTACATGAATGTTGCGTTCCGACCCAGAACAAGCCGTGGCGTTACACTATATTCCAGCAATTAACTGTTACACAAATAGTGCCAAACCAATGTAAAAGGATCAAAATCACTGTTAGTTACAGAAACTTAAGTCATTATTGTGAGTCTAATATAGAGATACGGATGCGGGTAACACACAGCCTGAAATGATGGGTATGTCTGGTCGTCTCCAAATATTGTCCTACATTGGATGAGTCCGTGTTCCGGCAATAGAACTCTTTGAAATTAATCAGACCATCTGAGTGAGTGAGTGAGTGAGTATGGTTTTACGCCGCTTTTAGAAATATTCCAGCAATATCACGGCGAAGGACACCAGAAATGGGCTTCACACATTGTACCCATGTCGGGAATCGAACCCGGGTCTTCGGCGTGACGAGCGAACGCTTTAACCACTAGGCTACCCGACCGCCCCTCAGACCATCTGAAGCTCCCCCTGTGCAATAGTCAGTCTCAAACATCTAAAATTCTGATACAATTATCGCAAAACGTCGGCTTATAATTGACTGGTAAAAGCTGATAACAGGATCACATGAGCATGCAGCCTTCGAAATTCACGTTAGTCCGCTGGCCCGAGACCACTATATTTTGCCGAGGACAAGTAAAATTTCAATGGTAATAGTTCACCAGTAGCATTTGAGGGAAATAATTCTGAACTAGTTCTCATGGCATCGATTTTGCTACAGATTGGAAATGAATATAAAAGACAGAAAATGAAGACTTAGTGAACATTCATTTTTGTCTTATTCAAGCAGGAATGGCGACAAACTGTCTTTTAGGCGGGCGGAAGACCCGGGTTCGATTCCCGACATGGGTACAATGTGTGAAGCCCATTTATGGTGTCCCCCGCCGTGATATTGCTGGAATATTGCTAAAAGCGGCGTAAAACCATATTCACTCACTCAATAAATCTTTTAGGCACGAATTTCTAAGACTGACATGTGACTCTGATTTCCCCACAGCCATTCGTTAAACAGAATCGTCAGAATCGTGCACACCCGTACTCTTTGTTGGAACTGACATGAATGTAAAAATATGCACATATCGCGATCGAAACATTTACAAAGATGCCCTACCATTCGGTCTAGCCTTCTCTGTATACGACTTGACTGGAGTGGACTTTTTGAATTTAAACATTTGTTCTGTTGGCAGATGAACATAAAATTGATGTAATTGTGTCTACATACAGTAGCAAGTATAAAACGTCAACGCCAGAAAATCACCAGTCTCAATTATTCAGATTCATTGAGAGCAAAGGCAAAATAGTAGTTAAAATTATATGAATGGAGAACTGAAAATCAGTGATGACGCCAAGTGTTCGAGAAAAGGAAAAGCAAGTCCTGCCCTAAGGGTAGCACCGCCACTCACACAACGTGCATACAAAAGTAAGCGTTTGCTTCTTAACGCCGCTCAGCTGTACTCCCAATGACGGCGACCTTTAACGGTCTTGACCAGACAACCATCTGAACATAGCAAATATAGGCAGTCCGAGGACCATTCACATGCGAACATACAGGATATAATTGTACGCCTGCCTCGTTCATTGTCTTTATGTTGTATTTTGTATCACAGAACCACACACAATGCGATATGTGCATTGTTCTACATACAACACTGTCGTAAAGCTCATTACTTTCCGGGGATACATGTGGTTACTAAATAGCACGGATGTGACACAGACTGTGCGGGAGATATTGCGGAGTGTATATTAGCGAACGGTGACCAATCACATATCACCAAATATCATCATCGCTATATGCGTATATTCCTCAAGCTTCTCATTGTCGGAAAGGTCGTCACACAAGAGCATTGGCGCAAACCACCCAGGAAGTGTTCATACATGTGAGGTGTTACCTTGTCACACGTCGACTTCTATGTTGAAACAATATGTTAACCCAGAAAGCTCTACGCAAAAGAATTCCGTTCGAAACCACCAATCAGCAAATAAATAATATAAATTAATAATTGTATTGTAAAATAACTTGGTTTACAAATCAAATACACATTACTGCAAAGTCTATTACAATGACAGTACACGATAGAGTGGCAGTACAGTTACAATGGAAGTATTAAATACAATAGCAGTGGTAATAGCAGTGATAATAATATTCACCCAGCAGCAACAGGGGTCAAACTTCCAAATTAGGCCTAGGATGGATATTCAGGGTAAAAAACACGATTTTCACACAACCGCTGGTCTTGATGTAATGTGAGATGAAATTGCCACGTACTTGCCCTCTCATATAGTCTAAATCCCTTCTAGAAAGTTCCATAACAAGTTGGATTAGTCTATAGCTGTTCTATAAGATTGCAGATTACATTTGACTCCAAACGCATCTAGTATAGTATCATCCACACCACTAATTACATTAGATAGTCATACATTCTTGACAACTAAGTTTCCTTGAAAGATAATGTTATGAACCTCTACTGAATCTTAACGGAAACAATGCAATACATTTACAACATTGTTTAACATTAAATGACACAGCCATATAACAACCTAAATACAGGGTATCGATCACCCATTACCGAGGCCTAAGCCACGTTGAAGGACTGTTAAAATGTGCCATGAAATCTGTTAGTTTGTCTTTTATACAATCATATATATACTCTCTCATCATAACAAGAGCCGGAGGCTAAGTTAATTAAAACCCTCGCTCATCATGTCCAGCTTCATGGGTAAATGTTTGAAGAACTAAAATATTGCTGGTATATTGATAAAAGAGGTCTTAAACTATTCCTATTCATTCACTCATTCACTCAGTAACTTGATACATGTACTGTCATTACGTCAGTGGCGCTATTCGTGTAACATTGTTATTTTACCCTTGTCACGGTATCCTTTTCAAAGCAACCATTTTTCCAGATAGAAATAGAGAATATATCTTTTCCCGATTTTTCAAAAAACATGTTCGCTGAATAAAACACATGCTGTGTCCCAATCCTTCATTTACCTCACATCCCGTGAAAATATCAGGTTAGAATTGGTTTCAGCAACCCAAGTTTCCGGGTTAGAATTGGTTTCAGCAACCCAAGATTCCGGGTTAGAATTGGTTTCAGCAACCCATGCTTGTCGAAAGAGGCGACTATGCTTGTCGAAAGAGGCGACTGATGGGATCAGGTGGTCAGGCTCGCTGACTTGGTTGATGCATGTTATCGTATCCAAATTGAGTAGATCGATGCACATGATTGTCTGGTCCAGACTCGATTATTTACAGAAATATAGCAATTCATTTACCTCACCTTGAAGAGTCGAGCAGCGATGCCGGCAGAAACTGTAACAGGGCGGGCCATTGATTCCCGTTAGTTTCCCCGCTGTAATCTGAAGCGCCACCTGTGCAGCTTATCAATCTCTGGTCCCATTGAACTTACTGTGTCGGGCATGATTAACCTTCGGGCGAGACACATTTCCGAAAGTTAAATACTCCATCGCTTCGACACAGGACGTTTATGACGTAGTCTCTCAGCTGTTCCCCTTGCCATTACTGAAGACCTGACTGTCTACTCCACGCAGGTATAGAGCACTTTGTGATCAATGTTATTCTTTAATATTCCTTATTTTCAGTAATCACAAGGGGCTCGGGTGGCCCAGTCGTCGAAGACAGGCCCGCTGCCCAAAGGCGTGCCCGAAAACAGGTTTCGTGGGTTCGAAACCAAGATTCGACCTGTTTATGTCTCGTGCAATGTCAACACTATACCCGTGATGGTGGGTTTCGCCAAGGTGTGGTATTCATCACGTCGGGCTTTCCACCGACAGGGCGCTGACACGCCGTGATATATCTGGAATACTGTTCAAAGCGGTTTAAACCCAACTTATTCGCTCACTGACTCCTGATGGTTTCCCTGTACCCATCGACATCAGCTTCATTTTGAGTACTGTTCGAATGTCAGCACGCAAAAGATGGCCGTCTAATCAAGTCGTACTCGTTTGGGAGAAAACTGTTGGAATGTATAAGGTTAATAATAATAATGATGATGATGGTTGTGATGATGATGATGATGATGATGATGATGATGATAATAATAATAATAATAATAATAATAATATGATGGTGATGATGATGATGATGATAATAATAATAATAATAATAATAATCACTCACCAAGTATTCAAGCGACGTATGTTGCTGCAAGTTATAAAGTTTACACACTACTCAAGGCTTCATATAATAGAAACCTGTAACAATGGAATCAAGGTGTATATTACTGAAGGAAAATATTACTCTGATCTATGCAGCATGTTATTGAAATTATTGTGGTGTGTGGTTTGCTGTGTTATTTCAATTTATTGTGTTGTGGTCAGTTGTTATGGATATTCATTTACTTTTTTAAAAGTCTCCTGGTGTTTTGAGACAGAATAAGCCCACGGCACCCAATTATTGTCGTAAGAGCCAACTTATGAAGATCGGGTCATTACAAATGTGACATCAGGTTGTTTGTCGTCGTATCCTACGTCGCTCATACTATCAACCACTGGGTTGTCTTATCGTGGCTCGATTGGTTCTGGTATCGCTGGCATTTAAGTGAGATGCATATGTATTGTAAATAGAACTTATCGTATTACTTATTTATATACAACTCGTTTTGCAGTAAAGCGAGTCGGAGAAACGTGACGTTTCAAGCTGTTTCACGTGGGGATCTAGGAACTACAGACTACTTACCATGAGGAGATATATCAGATGCCTGGTCTTGTGCTGTGTCACGTGCATAATCATGTATGTGTACAACATGTCCTCCTTGCTGAGAAACAGTGCCATCCGCCGCATGCGATACTTTCAATTCCTGAGCGACGTTGACGTTAACGTCAGTTGGTCAAACGCGTGCTCCTATCACCTGCTTCACGAAGTAGACCCGTCAGCCTCATGCATGGAACCACAATGGTTGTGTGACGAGCAGGCCGGGATCAGTGACGTCATATGCAGATGGTTCCGTTACCAAAACAACACGAGAGAAAACGTGACGTGTCTTCTACCAGAAAGCAAAAACCTGGATGACGTGAATCAACATGGCGGCAGCCTGGTTCCCAAAATAGTTTACTACGTGTCTGTTGGGATAAAGGAGCCGACTTTCTTGCACTATATAAGTTTCTTGAGCGCAAAGAAGTTTGTGGAGCCGTGGGGTATATATGTTGTGAGTGATGTGGCCATGGGGGGTCACTGGTGGAATAAAGCTGAGAAGGAACTGGGGGTGCGGGTCATCTACAGGCACCCGCCGCGACGTCTTAACAACGTCACCGTCAAGCATAGGACCCACATGTCCGATATCATCCGACTTCAACTGCTTCTGGGTGAGTTTTGTTTGTTTGTTGTTTAAAGTGGCACTCAGCAATATTCCAGCTATACGGCGGTCTGTAAGTAATCGAGTCTTGACCAGACAATCCAGTGATTGACAATATGAGCAACGATCCACGCAATTGGGATCGATGGCATGCATCAACCTTGTCAGCGAGCCTGACGACCCGATCCCGTTAGTCGCCTCTTACGACAAGCATAGTCGCCTTTTACGGCAAGCATGGGTTGCTGTAGACCTATTCTAACCCTGATCTTCACAGGCCTCCAGGTGATTGAATGTAGACAAAATTCATCATGAGAGTGAGTGAGTGAGTGCTTTTTGGTTAGTCAATGTAGACAATTCACAACGAGCCACTGCCAAACGAACGTAAGTAAAATCACAACTTGAGATTGAAGTGCTTGTGTTGTGTGGACGAGGCACATGGTGAACACATTTAATAGCCTTGCCGCAACAATCCCCTGATCAATTGAAAAGGATTCTTCCTTTCCACGCGAAACACCAGTTATCAGTTGCGTTCTAGAGCTTCCGGTGATTCGCATAAAAAAACTAACGAGCTAGGAATTATTTCAAGCATAGATACAGACGCAATCCAACGAGCTGCCAATTACCATATAAGAATTTGCATTCATACATCGCTCAATTTCGTCTTTCACTTAACGTTTCAATGGATAAATGATTATGTAGTGTTGACGTCAGGTGTATATTGATGACAACACTAGGCCCCCATAGACATAGATTTACCTACAAGCAAAGCTGTTGCCAGATGGCCTAGTGTGTTTCACCACGATTGACGGCTGCTCGGCCAAATACTGCTTCCAGTCCTATAGTGGAGTGAGTGAGTATGGTTTTACGATGCTTTTAGCAATATTCCAGCAATATCACGGCGGGGACACCAAAAATGGGCTTCACACATTGCGAACAATTGCGTTTGAACTAGAGAGAGTATACATACTCTCATTGAATGTATTGTAACAGGCCAACCATTGTGGCATTATTAATATCCAGAACATTACTAATAAACAAAACAAACAACACTACGTAAAGCAATGGGCTAATAATGGAATTTACTCAATTAAAGATATATGCAATGAAAACGGATTGATGTCATTTGAAGAACTGACTCTAAAATATCCGATTAAAAGTACAATATTAGACTATAGATATTTAATTTTCAATATACAATATACTCATGGAAAACAACAATCAAGAAAACTAGAAAAATTTATTTTAATAACTTGTATTTAAACAGTTGCTTAAGTGATCTGATGAAACCTGTAAAAGGCGTTAGAATCTTTCATGATACATTAATATCAACTGAATATGATCTTAAAGTTTGTGATAAATGGCAATCAATGTTTGACTGTGAGTTTAATTGGAAAAAAATATTTGCTGTACATAGATTTAAACTGAAGGATGTAAAACTTTTAGATTTTCAAGACAGGAATGATCTACACAAAGAAGGAACTATCAACAATGAATCTTGTAGACACCAGTGTATGTAACTTTAGCAACGCTGTCAATGAGAACACCAGCCATGTCTTTTGGGAATACATGTATAATGAAACTAAAAAACTTCGAACTTTGGCTTAATAATTATCTTTCGCACACAAAAAATAAATTGACAAAATATCTTATTTTGTTTGGTTCTAACTACTCTAGTACTTTAATTAATGATTTACTTTTTTGGTGGAAAAGACATATTTGTGTCTGTTGATCCAAAGGAATCAAACCGAATATATATATACTTTTAAAACTAATAAAAACATATATTCATTCAAGAAATTTATTGCAATAAAAAAGGATGACAAATATAACTTAAGCAAAAAATGGTCACTTTTATTCTCAGAATTCGATTCTTAGCTCTTTGTTGCTACATGCTGTGTTTAATCGATTTCTCTCGAGGTTATATATACAGCAAATATTACAATTTTAAAATATGTTGCCCGCTGCTTATTATCAGATAATATTTTACATTGAACGAGATTAATAAGTCCACACGTTGAAAGGGGGATAGGGGATTTGTATTTCAAATGTCTAATTGGATAAAAATAATCCCGACCCGTGAAGATCCAGGTCAGGAATTGGTCTTCAGCAACCCTTGCTTGTCGAAATAGGCGACTAACGGGATCGGGTGGTCAGCCTCGCTGACTTGCTTGACTTGCTTGATGTATGTCATCGTATCCTAACTGCGCAGATCGATAATCACGATGCGAGTTAATGAATTGTCTGGTGCAGACTTGATTATTTACACACCGCCGTCATATAGCTGGAATATTGCTGTGTGCGGCGTTAAACAACAAATGACACAATGTGTATTTCCGATCAAATAATGGTGTGGTATTCCGTCTTCCGCATTCGATTGGTAACCTGTGTCATGTTCTGAACAATAACAATTATGTCGCACCTGTTGTGATAGAGTATGTGATGTTTCAGGTGCAGTGTGACACCGAATGACTTGCCTTAAATCATGCCTTGCAAGCATTTGAAATTTTGAAAGTGTTCTGGAATTGAAACCCATCATTTTACATCTGAGATATTTTAGCTGTTTCTAACTTACAGATTTTATCAAATATTCCCGAGTCATTCAAGTTATCCTATGCACAGAACAGTGTTAGCTTTTTATCGCTGTTATCACTACAACGTACATTTTATTGAGCAAATAAACTGTATCGTCCATTAACGTAAACTATGTTACTTTTCCAATATCTTGCCCAGGGGTTTGTCTCTCCCAATGTGTCCACCAATAGCCCCGGCTTCTGTGGAGGTGTCACACCCTTCATGGCACATCTTCCCGATCCCTATTCGCTCTGCGTGGTCAGTGACAACTCTCAAGTCGCGAACCAAAGGGTAGAAGACATTGTTATTAATTCTACTCTATTGTGTTCTCATGACAGATCTCGTGTACAGAGCCACTCATTTGTTTGGGAGAGACAGTTAAAACATTTAGTACTGCATAGCAAATAAAAACATAAATTGCTGAATATACCGATTTGTAAATATAGTTGAGCCTCCTACACCGGCAGATACTAATGCAAGAACAGACAGTTGTTTGTTAATAGAAACTCTATTTACCATCACAGTCTAAGGATAACTCGATATGCATGTCGAGTATCCCAGTATTCGAGCTTTACTCTATAGTATTGGTAAAAGTCCCTCCATTTAATATTGTAATGGGGGGGGGGTATTGATATTTATTTTGATTATTTCTTCGATCACTGTTTCAATACATTTTTGCATTCATGTCATCACCTAACATGTCCAATCTTATGTTCGTGTAGAATCAGAGAAAAAATCATCTTTTCCTATGCTTTCCTGAACACGTTATTTAAAATAAAATAAAAAGAATTCTAGCCCCACTCCAGAATACTGTCTGTCACCAACATCGTCGTTAAACACAATTTCCTCACCCATTTCGTGTATTTGTTTCTCAGCCAATGGCGGTGTGTACCTCGATCTGGACATGGTTGTGCTACAGTCTCTAGATCCACTCAGGGTTCATGACATCACACTTGGTCTCCTTGACAACGGAACGGGGATGGGCAACGCCTTCATAGCTGCCAAGAGACACTCCCCCTTCATCACCACATGGTACAAGGATTACAAGAAGTACAGCATTTCGCCATATAATGCCAACTCCATGGCGAAAGCTAAGCAACTGTGGTTGGAGAATCCCGCAGCTGTTAACTTGGAATCGAAGAGACTGTACAATCCAAATTGGTTTGAAAGGGACGCCATGTTTAATAAAAGTAACTTCAACTGGCGAGACAACTACGCCATGCATATCTGGATGGATACGCCATCTGTATCCTTTCCAAAATCACCGGATGATATCAAGAAACTTAACAATACATTTGGACAAGTTCTGCGGTATATCTATTACGGCAAGGAAACATTGTTGGGAATATGATAAAGACGTTTTTGAGAGAACACTGACAAAAACCAAAGAGTGATGGTTCATGCAACGTGATATAAGACTTTGTTGTGCTATATTATATTTTATGTATGTATGTATGTATGTATGTATGTATGTATGTATGTATGTATGTATGTATGCATGCATTAATGCATTAATGCATGCATGTATGTATGTTAGTTGTTAGTTGTCACCTCTGTGTAAAATATAAACAAACTCTAGAATATACTGATAACTTAAAATCGGAAATGCGCAACGCTAAAAACAGAATTTGAATATTTCATTTCGCAGCCATAGGGCAAAGAATCCCGGTTCGACCTGATTATGTTTCTAGGTTTGTTAGCACTATCCCCGGGCTTGGGTTCTTCACCAAAGTAATACACGTCTAAGACCTTCCACCCACATCAAGCTGAAACATGGTGATATGAATACTGTTCAAAGAGGCGTTGATCTCACTCACTCACTCACTCACTCACTCACTCACTCACTCGCTCACCCACCCACTCACTCACTCACTCACATAGCACTACATCTCCGGTATACGTCAGTACACAGGTACAATGTCATACTTCGATCGTGTTGTGACACAGGAACCCTTTTTAATACCTTTTAAACATTAAAAACATTTTTGGTGAACTTTCGTCAGCAGATATACATTCTCCCCACAATAAGAAAACCAGTAAATGAGTTTTGCTTGACGCCGTCTAGAACAGTATTGTCAGCTTGATATGTGGGAGTGGAAAGCGCGCAGTGATGCAGGTCTTAACACGGCGAATTCCAGCGCTTTACGCGACTGGGAGGACCCTTTCCTCAATAAGACAATGAAGAACAATTATGCATATAATGAATATTGTATTAACATATACTCCATTACTCATATGTTTGTATGTATGTATTTGTTTTCATATTCTATAGGACAACTACACAAACATGTTTTCATTATTGTTTTAGATACCCTAAACAATAAAATAATATTTTTACTAAATATGTCTCATTTTTTCCTAATATTGACTTTATTCAATATGGGCGTGATGTATACTCAATTGTAAGACTTTAGAACAGATCTACAAAAATGTACATCTAGTATCAGCCAGGACAAACAAACGAATGCAACCCCATGACCTTCAGATGGTTTGCTTGCTTGAAGCATAGTGACACAGTTTATGATGACTACCCATTATGTTTCTAGGTTTGTCAGCACCATACCCGTGCTCGTGGATTTCACCAAATTGGTAAACGTCTGAGACCAGCATCACGCAGGGCTTTCCTCCCACATCAAGCTGACATGCCGTGATATAACTGGAATACTGTTCAAGGCAGTGGTAAACCCAACTCACTCACTCACTCACTCACTCAATTACTCACTCATGATGTCTACCCAGGACCCATCGACCTCAGCTTCGTTTTGAGTCTAGTTCAAACGTCACCACGCTAAAAATAGCCATCTAATCAAGCGGCACTCGTTTGGGAGAAATCTATCTGTTTATTATAATAATAATAATAATAATAATAATAAAAAGGCAAGCATAAGCCAATAATTTGTTATTCAATTGTCAACATATTTCAAGTTCGAAAATGCCGAGACTCAGCGCTGCCGATCGGAACACCACAGCACCATTTTCCGCCTTGTGTGACAGATACACACAGTTCAATTCCACTGCGGACCGTCCGAGAACCGGCCGACCAAGAGTACCACCCCTGCACAGGATTGCTACATTCGACTGTTCCACGTCGTCGCAATGCCACAGCTACGGAGGCTGCAGGACGCATCCCTGGTTTGAGGAGGATATAGGACAAGACTGTCAGGAACCATCTGCGCGAGGCTGGATTTCGACCCTGAAGACCAGTTATCGTCCCTGTTTTGCAACAGATCCATCTGCAGCGACGCTTGCGTTGGTGTCATACCTTACAGCCTTGGAATTTGAGAAACTTGGGAGGAGTGTGGTTTAGCGATGAATCACGATTTCCGGCGAGATGGAAGACAACCTGTTTATCGTCGTCGAAATGAGCGTTTTGACCCACATTATGTACGTGAATTCGACAAATTCGGTAGCAGTAGTGTCATTGTGTGGGAGGCCATATCCTACACCCCGAGATCTGACTTGGTTGTGGTTCAGGGACATTTGACGGCAAATCGCTAAATGAATCAAATTTTTCAACCTTACCTTCTTCCAATCATTTACCGCCAGAGGGAGCTGTTTCAACAGGACAACGCTCCACCGCACACAGCTCGTGTCACGGTAGACTACCTTCATAATGCCAACATCAACACCTTGCCCTGGCCGTCGAGATCTCCAGATCTCAACCCAATGGAACACCTCGGGGATAAACTCGATAGGCGTGTACATCTGTACGTCAATGTCAGAACACGCCGAAGACACTGGCCAACGCGTTAATGGCAGAATTGCACAGAATTCCACAGGACAGAATTCGCACACTTATCCAGTCAGTGCCGAGGAGATGCAGAGCCGTGATTGCTGCTCGGGGCGGTCACACGAAATCAGCGCAACCTTGTGGCCTTATGTGACATGACAATGAACAGTTTTCATTGCTTTTGTGCAACGACAACATGTGACTATCGAGCTCCAGGATTTCATACTTGTATCTATGATAATAAATTTCATATATAGACTTTATGAGGTACAACAAATTAACTAAAATTCTACCTGTGCTTTGCTTTTTTCAAAGAGTGGACTTACGCAAATGGCATGGGAACACGTGTCACCGACCAGTCAATACCCAGTTAAACATAATGTGCTGTCGTCAATTCAACTGCAACTTGAATGTATTATAAAATAAATAAATAATTGAATACATTCGCCAGCTGGCTTCTTTTCTTATGGCACCGAAAGAATAAATTCGACGCAACGCCTAATTTATGTTTGTCAGCTCTCCAGCTAGACTGGGATTGTTTCTGTTTCTGTACACCCTGATCCAGGTACGCCCTGATCCTGGTACACCCTGATCCAGGTGCGCCCTGATCCAGGTACACCCTGATCCAGGTACACCCTGATCCAGGTAAGCCCTGATCCAGCTAGGCCCTGATCCAGGTACACCCTGATCCAGGTACACCCTGATCCAGGTACACCCTGATCCAGGTACACCCAGATCCAGGTAAGCCACCGGTGGTTGGTGCTTTAATAGGGTCCAACATTGCACTTACAGAGGGTGTGTGTCGTATTCTCACGACCATAGTTTACTAGGTGCCTATTCCATCTGACCAGCACAGGTTTCTAGGCGCCTATTCCATCTGACAAGTACAGGTTACTAGGCGCCTATTCTATCTGACCAGCACAGGTTTCTAGGCGCCTATTCCATCTGACAAGTACAGGTTACTAGGCGCCTATTCTATCTGACCAGCACAGGTGTCTGGGAACCTATTCTATCTGACCAGCACAGGTTACTGGGAACCTATTCAATGTGACCACCATAGGTTACTGGGGACCTATTCTGACAAGCACAGGTTACTGGATCTGATTCTATCTGACCAGCACAGGTTACTGGGAACCTATTCAATGTGACCACCATAGGTTACTGGGGACCTATTCTGTCTGACCAGCACAGGTTACTGGATCTGATTCTATCTGACCAGCACAGGTTACTGGGGAGGTAATCCATATACGTTCAATATACAACCTGGTCGTTAACGAATCCCGGTTCGCCCTGCTTTTCGTTCGAGGTCAGACAGTACCATACCATATCTCAGCATGTATGCAAACGTCTGAGACTTGTATCACTTATCCCCCACCCACCCACCCCCCACCCCCCGACACACACACACCAAGCTGACAAGCCGTGATATGACTAAAATACAGTTCAAAGCGACGTTAAAAATAATTCACTCTCATTTGCCTCGCCATTTCTCTCCCCTGGTTTTCTATGCGTATCGACTAAGGCCTATTGAGCACCTCTCATACAAAAGGCTTATACTGCATCCGTGTCGATATAGATTGATGCCATGTGTGTATATTGTGTTTGTGGCTGCGTGTTAAGCTTGGCTATGAGTATCTGACCGAGTGTAAATCATACATCCAATATTCTAGAGACCACCAGATGGGCAACCCAATGTCTACATTGTCACGATCCAGTGTAGAAACGTCCCTAGAATTATACTCAAGAAATTCTATAAAACGTTGAACTGAAACGTTCAACACATGGTGGACATTGGATCAGTGGAAAATCTCAACGTCAATCAACCATTATAAGCATTCGCGCCCACTCGTGTCAATCGGGCGGCCATTTATCAACTTAGTTCAATCTTAAAGGCAAAGTTAAATTAATAGTCGTCTTGCTGTACAAGATCTGTTTGTTTCGTGGATATTTTCTAAAAATAACACGGTTTCAAACAACATGAAGAAGAGCCATTGAAATGAAATCTTATATTTCTGTGAAATCGATAGGCACCAGTCGTAACTAACCCAGTATATTACTCTTCAAAAAAAGATTCGCAAAGCCATATTTGTATGAGGTAGGAAAATACATTTATACAAGGAACCATACAAGGTATTGAGCCAAAATGTTGTGGATTGTAGTCATCTCAGTTATCGGTACATAGGAAAAGCCCAAGGTGAAAGTCAGCTACCAACAATAACGCGTATGTCCCCCCTTGGAATCGATAGCGGCCTGACATCTACTGCCCATGGGAGAGACGAGTATGCGAATCACATCCCGGTGAATGGTAGCCAACTCGGCCTGCAACGCAAAAGCCAACTGCTGCAACGTCTGGGGTTGTGGTTGACGTCGGCGTAGCCGTCTATCCAATTCATCCCACAGGTGCTCTATCGGGTTCAAATCCGGTGATCTTGAGGGCCAGGGGAGAACATCAACGTTGTTGTTGCGTAGACAGGCTCTTATTATCCGTGCTGTATGCGGTCGGGCGGTGTCCTGCTGGAATACACCGTTGCCGTTGGCTGCAATTGGGAGGACGTGTGGCAGGAGAATTTTTGTTGATGTATCGTTAAGCCGTAAGATTGCACTGGATATGGATCAAACCTGTTTTGCCATGATACGATGTAGCCAACCACATCATAACGCTACCCCCACCAAACATGTCTACTTCCTGTACGCAGTTTCCGGCGTAACGTTCTCCCCGACGTCTGTAGGCCCGTGCTCTTCCATCCCCTCGACGGAGGAGAATCCTGATTCGTCGCTGAACCAGACATCTCTCCATCGCAGTTGAGGCCATACCCTGTGTTGACGACACCAATGCAGTCGTGGTTGACGATGTTGTCGACTCAATATGACGCGTCGAACAGGACGTCTTGCTCGTAGACCTGCTGCTCTTAAGCGGTTTCGTACGGTCTGATCGGAGATACTGCGCAGTCCGTGTATTTGGGATGCGATTGAGGTGGCTATGGTCGTCCTTTCACGTAGGTGGCGCAGTCGGATATAGCGATCTTGGGCGGGGTTGGTTACTCTTGGTTGTCCCGACCTTGGCCGATCACGTGTTGACCCATGCTGTTGAAACCGATCCCATAGCCTTGTGATGGTGCTGGGCGCTACATTGAAAACCCTGGCTACAGCCGATCGGGATTCCCCTGCCTGCAAGCGGCCCATGACGTTGTTTCTTTGCACTTCTGTTAATCTTGGCATGTTCGAACTGTCACTGTTCGATTGACGCAGATGTCAGGCAACCAAAATCCCTGCACTTTTATACCGTTCATAGTGCTGATGCACGTTCTGTGCGTGCAGCTCCATGGCCCTTTATTAATGCACTGGGTCCGTTTTTTTCCGAATCGTAAGTGTTTCCCGACTGAGGGTTTGCATGTCCTTGTTGTGATCATTTTGATCCGGAAATATGTCACTGACACTATAACACATAAAAGCTCTTCATTTTGCACATGTTAGTCCGCTAATTTTGCTTTTATGGCCAAAAATATCCGTATTGCGTTTCTTTTTTTGAAGAGTATATTTGAAAAGTTCTGTGGAGAAATACTGAAATTTTTTTAACCGGATACAAGCCCAGCC